CTCCCGCAGCTGCCCTCGAAGGTTCCTCCATTGCAAGGTACTTTGTATCGATACCATCGGAAGGTATAGCTTGCTTATATATCCTCGAGACCACGCGTCCTCCAACATTGCCTCCCAGAGGAATACATACATACATACATACGGACTTATTTATATTTAGCTGTCTGTCTGGTATCGTCATCAAAGCTAGCTGATCGACCTGATTGTTTGTGACCGTTTGCTCAAACCGTTTAAACAACCGAAGCGACACAGGCAATCGCCTCCTCTAACGACCGTTCGGCTTGTTTAAACAATTAATAGCTAATAGGCTTATTGCATTTGCAAATTGACAAGCCGGGCCTGTTACTGTCAAAAGGTACTTAGGTATGTATGTGTGCTCCTCCGGAATCTGTTTGTATTCTAGGAGTATCTTCCCTTCAAATATATATAACCCACCTCAGACCAAGACTAGCATAAAACCGAGACCCATTACATCCATCGTCATCCCGCAGCCAAGCTAGCTGCAGCATAGCAATCCTACATGTGCACATGCTAATACCCAACTGACTTTTAGAAATCGAACACACAGTCTCCTGCCGATATCTGCTGTTATTCTTGTCTCTCGTGAAGGAATTCAGTGACTCTGGTATGTAAGTATGCATATGCACGTCGCCCACAGCATCCGTCAAAGTCTTTTTTGTCTGAAGGATGCTATGCTTCTTTTCTCCCCTGCACATATTTTGTCCCATTCCCTTGGTATCGGTTGGGTCTCAGACTCGGCCACCACGTTTTATATTTGCCTTTACATAAAAAAAAATCCAACTTCAACGAGCTTTGCAAATTTGCCACACTTTGTGCATTGCCTCGTGGAGTTTTCCACGTTTGATATTCTCTTTTTCTCATTCTCGGGATATCTGCACAACCCGCTAGCTTGTCGGTTTGTTCCAGCGAATTGGGCTGATGGTGTATGTTTTGATCCAGCTTTCAAACATAGCTCTCGACACACTTCTACACCAGTGAACCCGGTTTCTGGGAACATCAAAGATACAGAAAGACCAAAACAGACATCGCCGTCCTGCTTTGTTTTATTTTGTCCTGTTCTTTTCTTTCTGGGACGGACAAGAAACAATTTGGCGAGCGAGCCTAGGCGCCTGAGCCGTGGCCTTTTTAAAGTAGTAAGTTATCGCCTGTGAAGGTGCACGTCCCCTCGGTCCTTCAGATATTACCATCTTTGCTCTCGGTTCTGGGAACCCGTCTTTCCCTTGTCGACTTGGTGTTTCAACCAGTTCTCTTCGGTCTCTGAGCCCCCTTCCCTCTCCTGCTGAAACTTTTGCTTGTTGAGCCGCCCCTCGGTCAAGCCATTGACGGGGCTCTGGAAAAACATTTTTGCTGGGACTGCGAAAGCACAGGCCCCCCCGCTCACCCCCATCCTTTGGTTTTTGGCTATGATCTTTTTTTCCGGTCAGCCTGTTCCCCCCCCCATTTCTCAGACACATTTCCCTGGGTCTCATCGTTCCTGTCCACAATTCTTGGTTAAGAAAGGTGCAAACAGAAAGGATACTCCGGAATATTGGTAGATGAGGTGGTATGCTGTTGCCGGCCATTGTTGAGTTGATGGAGTAGTTCCAGTTTGGTTTGAATCGATTCAATCGTTCCATGTCAATGGTAAAGCCATGCCTTTTGGGATGACATGGACCTTCCCTTCAAACGCTTCTTATGAACCTGTTCATTTTCCCCCTTGCCATTAGTCCATGCTACTTTTTTTTTTCCTGCATGGTCTAACCATACAAGCAACCCTGCTCCACCATTCTTTGACTTTTTTTTTCTTCTTCGAGGGCCTTAGTTTTTTTTTTGAGGTTTAAAGCGCACGCAGACCTGAAAAAACGGCGCTTTCTCCCGATTCCGCAAGGAGTGGTTACTGAAGCCGGCTCATGCGGGTCGCCTTCTTTCAACTCAAACAGCCTGCCCACATCCAAAGACCGATCGCCTGGAGGTCGAGAATCCAAGCAGCCTGTTCGACTGCATCGCATTAGTGCCCTGTTGAAATGATAGTTGTTCGGCCTGTTCGAACCTCATCAACTCCCCATCCACACCCTCGAGATCAAATCGGATCAAATCAGAACGGACGGAACATTGACGTTACTGCGCCCAGGCTGTCCTTTGTTTGGGCCGCAGCCACTCAAGCAAGATTGACGAACCCCGTTGAACAACACACATGTATGTACATGTGCAAATGCATCCGTGCGTCTGAGGAACCCGAACAGGTATTGACTGTTCTTTTTGTTTCTATGTCGACATTCCTCGAATCTCTTGCTTGCTAGCCAATACCAGTCTGAGTAAAGACAGTCGTTCCGTGCACAGTAGCCGCTGGGCAAAACCGATCTGAATAGTCGATTGAGATACCGGCGCTGTCCTCGTGCCTTCGGACTAGCTGGACTCCACAGCACAGATTTGGATCTCTTGTCTGCACTGCGCGCTGCTGCACAGAAACGAAACCTGGCTGTGGATGGTGTAGTTTTATGTATGGAACACTCCAGCCGGCTTTCTAGAAGCCCTACGCACGTCCTTACTTGGCCCGATTCCTGTTTCTCCGGATGCATTTTCGTTCGACGTTTTTAAATTTCGCACTTGCCCTTTCCTTTCCTTAAGCCTTCCACCCCCCCAGCATTTCTTATTTACTACGTATACAAATACAATTGTACATGCGCATACAGTGCTAGCCCTTCGTCGCCTCCCAAGGTCATTCACCTCCGGGACGTTTCATCGGCCGCATACTCTCCCTCTCGAACATCCTCTCGGGCTTTTTTCTACAAGACTCGTCGCAGGAGACGTCGGCGGGGAGGGCTGTGGCTGACCCAACATCAGCAAGAGAGACTCTTGTTTCTTCGTACATTACATACCACCCTAACCTTCCGGACCTTCTCGAAGCTTTTTGGGTGGACCCCGATTTACTGCGAGAGAAGGGAAAGAAAGAGAGCGTGTGTGTATGTATTGTGTACTGTGTACTCTGTTTTGTGTATGTGTGTCTGTGTCTGTGTGTGTCTCCCCGTATTGTTTCTGTTTCTAGTCTTTCCCCTCCCTCCGTCCCTTCATCTGCACCCTGCTATCAATCAATTCACCATTGCTTTATCTTGAAATACTGTCCGCTACATCACGCTCCAGTCTGCACTCGGGCTACCGTTACGTACGCCCTGCATACTCCTGCTCGCAAATAAACGTTTCGATCGCTTCATTTGCAAAGCAGTAGTCAGCTACCTTGAAGCACTAGCTGCCTGATCGGGGCTGTCGCATTAAGAGCCCCCGACATAGTGTACTTCCCTTTATGCCCCGTCTCTGGCGTTGATCACCCTGCAATAGCCCATTCGCACCACCCGAGGAAGAGGAGGGAGCACAGGAAACACAAGAAGAAAAAAAAAAATAAAAGAAGAAGAAGAAGAACAACAAGAAGAAGAACAAGAATAAGGGCCCTGGGTCACTCGCTGGGGGGATCTGTATTCCCAAAAAGCATACGACCTATTACTGGACCCGCATTTTTAATTTTGACATTTTCTGATTGTGGAGCGGTGCAGTGCAGTGGCTCTCAGCTATTATTGATCGATACTATTGCTATTAGCCTGGGCTTCCTTGCAGTCAAATGCAACTTAGCTGTTCCCCTTCACAATTATTATGTCTGTGTCTCGTCCTTCTTCCCCCTCGCTCGCATTGACCCTTTCGTCTCGCAAATTGCATCACGCCTCTCGCCCTTAGAAACTCACCGCGCTCCGTTTCTCTGAACACACCTGCCTTTATTCTTTCTTCCCTTTTGCACAACTGTTTTTGGTGAAATTGTTCTCGAATTTTTCAGGATAGGAGCTCATCTGGTTTTCTTTTTAGCGACTTTAGACGCTTTTCGACATTCCTCTGTTCCAGAACCGAGTACAGAATATTCCGACCCCGACGCTTAATCATAATAATTCCCAAACCCGCTCCTCACATTCGACTTTCTTAAAAGAAAATACCATTCGGCCATTAGACACATCCCTCCTCTTACCGAAAACTTTCGCCCTTTCTTTGGAAACTACTTACTCCTCCCTCGTGACCGATCCTTCACTTTATTCGATATTTTGGTACCAAGGAAAAGCGAAAAAGCACAACCACACGCACAAACAGTGTCAACAAACGGAAAGTACTTGATTGAGAAGGTCGTAGAGTAACCGGGTGTACCATCTACTAGGAACATTAGGGAAACACAATAACGAACTTTGGGATATCCGAACGGCAACGTTAAGGTTTCTCTTGTGCTTCGACAGAATATTCCCTGGGCTTCCTTGTCTACCAACCAACAAATAGAATCCGGCCGACAGCCCAGCGTTCCCGCTGGTTGACTAATTCACATCCATCCAACGGGACCTCTTCTACTTCCCGGCGGGTTACTCAACTACTCGAGACCAGGACTGTGCACCCTTCCATCCTGTTCCTGTGTTACACAAGCCCTCGTGTGACGACTCGGCCTGAGCCTGCGCCCAAAGAAACAAAAAAAGAATTCAAAGAAGTTGATGAGCGAAAAGGAGACTAGCCAAGGTTAAGCAGGAATTCCAAAGCAAATCAAAGCAAGTCATTTGTCAACGGCTTTCCTGGCTCACAACTGGAGAGGATCCGAGACAATCAATCAAGTCACTTTCGACGACAAAAAAAAAAAAAATAGCCCCCCAATCCGTTACCAACTATATCCCTCGATACCCCGCCAGTTTTATGGTTCCCTGAACTCGGGACGTCCTTCTTTTCTTTCCTTCCAGGTGGCGCTGTTGTAAATATTATCGATTCATCCGGAGGGGCCTCTCCTTTTCAACAATCCCCGTCATTTATTTTTGTTTCTTTTCGTTCAGCGGGGATTTCCTTTCTTTCTGGGTGTCTTTTCTTTGGACGATAATTCGACATTCGAGGTTCTTCTTCTTCTTTTTCCTTCTTGAGGGAACGATCCCCTTTCTCAGCTGCGGCAGTGTCGGTGGCAAGCCAAGGAAGATTTGAAACACACAGCAACAATGTTTAAGGAGATATCGAAGTGCAATGTGGTGTATGTTGACCGGAGGGCTAAGTTGGAGAGAAGCATCTCGCGGATGGCACTCCCGCTAGTGGTAGACGAAAGCATGGAACCAGAGAACGAGGAAGTCCTACGAAACATCAACTCCTTATTATCCGTGTTCTCGAACGGTAAGTTTGATTATCGGGCCTAGACAAGAAGGAGGGTCACATTCTAACGTTCTGAATAATGTTATAGTATCGGTCCACTCGTCTGCGTCATCCTGTCTAGCTACTTTGGGAGAAATCAGCAACTACGACCCGACACCGACAGTCCTACTACTGGATGTTCCTGCCAGACACCTCGAGGAGGACGATCCACAGGAAGCCGACCGACATGACTCGGGAATAGCATCATCGGTAGGAGACGATCCGCTTTACGGCAAGGCCCTGCTTCGTCATATCAGAGAGGAAATGGAAATCGAAACATACTCCCAAAACATACTCGCTGTTGCTTTGATATCTGAACTAGATCCAGCCAATAAGACAATATCTGGAGGACTGTGGACTGAATCGGACAACGAAGAGGCGATACTTGCATCCAAGCTTCTTGATACTGGCGCCGCTGAAGCATACCCCTCGCCTCTGACGAAAGAGAACACGAAGGCGTTATCCATGCATTGCTATCGGCTGGCACGAAAAGCTCAGAAACGGCGAACCGAGAGGAAGAGATCGTGGGTTGGCGTTGACACCGATTTAGAGGCGGAAGAACGGGAACGAAAGAACAACGTTCGTGTTGCAGAAGGTTATGCGTATTTGCGGGAGAAGATGTAAGGAAAATCCCTATTAGACTTCCCGTCCCGAAAACTATCAAGCATGATGACGGATAGTTGGGTGGTTGTGATTGATACTTAGTGATTATGCTGGAGGGAATCCCTCGACAAGGAGTTTATTACGGAGACGGGAAGCTAATCGTTTTATTTGTTTGCCTCCTAGGGTGTCCGAGTTAATGTCAGATATCTTTAAACCGAACGGTCCAGCGCATACGCAGTCAGAAAGGTTTGTGGAATATTCCTTATGTTCTTCGTGATTGCCCTTCTCGGATGGTTGCAGCTGACGATGATTGGTGAACAGCAAAATCCGAGTATCACCGCATAGGCACGAGTTGGTACGCCAGAGCGTTTGCCGATGGGATTTCTCTGCACATGAGTTCACAGACGACGAGCTTCTGCTTTGCGCTTTTGAAATGTTCAATCATGCCTTTACTATGCCTGAGGTTGAAGAATGGCGTATATCGCCTGGACAGCTCACGGATTTCTTGTTTGCTTGCCGTAGGGCGTACAACGAACAAGTTCCGTACCACAATTTTCGGCACGTGGTGGATGTATTGCAAGGGGTCTTCTACTTCTGCCTTGCATTGGGAGTTCTGCCACACTTTGACGGCAAGGCAGCGCCAAGGCCTAAGACGGGCAGCACGGCGTCCTTGTCTAAAATCTTGCGGCCCTTCGATGCCCTTACACTGTTGATAGTGGCTATTGGCCACGACGTTGGGCATCCTGGTGTCAACAATGCTTTCTTGGTTACGCTGAAAGCACCGCTCGCGCAGATGTACAACGACAAGTCCGTTTTGGAGTCCTTTCACTGTGCTGCCTTCTCCCAGGTTCTCCGAAAGCACTGGCCTATAACCCAGACAGTGCCTAACATGCGCAGATTAATGATCGAATCGATCCTTGCGACGGATATGGGCCTTCACTTTGATTACATGTCTCAATTGGAGAAGCTGAAGCAGAAAATCAAGCAGGACAAGGGTATGAAGAATTGGGATGAAAAGACAATCTCGGCCAACCGGAGCCTTTTGTGCACATTGTTGATCAAATGTGCCGATATCAGCAATGTGGTATGTATACGGAATCGCTTCTTTCTCACCCCAACCCCCCCGGTCTAATCCTTGTTTGTTCTTATAGGCTCGGAGATACGATATTGCTGCCCAATGGACTGTCATTTTGACCGACGAGTTTGCGAGACAAGCCTCGCTCGAAACCGACCTTAAGATTCCGACCTCGCTGGCTGTCCCACCCGTTCAAGGCTCGAGCATCGCACTAGGTAAATCACAAGTTGGCTTCATGAAGCTTTTCGCAGCACCACTATTCCAATCGATCGCAGACGTCATGCCAGAAATGAATTTTGGCATTGCTGAAGTGAACGCAAACGTGGCAATCTGGGCGAACCTGATAACCGAGTGCACAGAAAAGGGGGACAGGCCATTCTTCTTGGAAAAGGTTAGGAACTCCCTCTACTACCAGCCTTCTAGCAATGGAGCTAGTTCTTCCCTTGGAGCAAGCGAAAGCCGACTATACGACTTCAACGATAAGCAACGAACGAATGGTGGTGTTGGGGTGCTCCATGCACCAATATCCAATGGCGGGGACTACTCTGGAGACTCCCGGATCCGAAAAGCCTCACAAGCGTACCAAGAGCAAGGGGCACCAGATCTTCTTGGGCTTGGCCATCACGGTAAGGAACAACTGAAATTGCTCAAGAAGATGAAAATTTTCTCGACATCCTCGGAAGTATATCCCCATGCTAACGGAGGTGGTATTATTGGTAAAGGAGCAGATGGTAAAAGTTCAGGCTCAACAACACCGTTCGTGACCATCAAGAACTTTTTTTCTTGTTTTCCTAGGAAGTTCTCTGACTGATTCGTTGTGACTGTGGATGGCTTACCTCATGGGCTATCATGCCCTCTGGTAGCCCCCGTCTTTCTTTGAAGGTGCAGTCCCCCTTCACCCGGAGAGCAGCAGACCTCTAAAACGGGTGCGATCAGACCTACGCGATCACGTTTCAATTTAAATAAGATCTTTCGGTGGAAAAAAACGGATACGATTCCCAATGCCAATACTAGTCCGAAACTGCCTACGAACGCCGATGACGCACAGTAACGACAACCATAAATAGAAGACGATACTCGGCGACTACGCTTTTATGCACCTTTTTTTATTTTATTTTTCCATTTTCTCCTTACGCCCAAAAAAGCCTTTGTGTCCCCAACGATGCCTTTCCCTTTCCCGTTTCACTTTACGATCTACAGGCGGCGTTCCTCCTATGCGGGCTTCTTCTTCCTCCTCTTCTTTTCGGGCCTCCCTCGTTCCATCTCTTCGAGGTTCAGTTGAAAAGACAGTATTCCGGGATTCAATGACATTGTCTTTGCTCCCTGAATACCGTTGGATTGTGGCATTTTCAAGTCCGTATGGCACAACTTGTCCAATCCTATTCCTTGGTCCCATTTGTTTCTTTCAAGGGTCCTAGCAGAGGCACTTGCTGGTTCTGTACACTCACGAGTCCCTGCTCGGATCCTTTTCGGTACATAGCTTCTTTACACTCCGTTGCCCTGACCTCCTCCGTACTCACGAACAGTTTTACGTGCTTACGCCTCTTTTTTGTAGCGGAGCTTCTGTTACCCCTTTTGTCTTCTTTTTTTCTTTTTGATATCTTTGCCTTCGCTGTTCTTTTTTTCACGTAACAAAAATAATCCACCTTTTTCGTCCCGTTTCTTAGTGTTGTATTATATCCGGAGTCTTTGCCTCTCTTGCTTTCTTTGTTTCTTTATATCGACTAAAAATATCCTTTTTATACAAATCCTTCTCGTGTAAGATATGTCATTACTTTTTTCCCTTTTGCTTCTTTGCTTCTACTTCGGACTTGGGGATACCACTTTTGTTTGTTACAAACTTGATTTAATTATCTCCCTGTTCCGAGCACCCTTTCGCAGCACCCGTTTCCTGGAAGGCTTTGTTAAGCCCTATATGTTGATATCCTTCGCTTTCTGTTGAACATATATTCGGCGATGCTTGGTCCTTCCTTTTATACCTCTTGCGAATGACAAAAATGTTTTTTTTTCCCTTTCTATTGGAAATATATCATTAAAAAAAATCCTCAGCTTCCCTCCCCCGGGTCCATCTATAGCTCTTGGTGGGCTGTCGAGATGTCCTAGCTTTCTCCCTTTTTTCAGTCGACGGGTTGCCGGAATTTGAGATTTCAGATCTAGATACCAGTGTTTCGGGACCGGTTTGGGGTTTCTTTCTCATGCTTCCTTTTTATATTTCTTCTCCCTTCTTCTTCTTCTTCTTCTTCCTCTTCTTTTTCTTCCTGATCAAGATACAATCTTTGCGACTTTGGGATCGAATATTGACGATGGTTTATTTCTCTTTTTCTTTTTGTTCTCCCTGATACCTCTTGAGCTTGCTTTTGGCAGACACCCCCTTTTGTATATATATGTCTAGCAGGTAACTCTATCGGAACGTTCTTGATATTATATCTATCATCTATCTTATTGCGAGTGTACAAATTTTGAAATTGGGGTAAAATATAATCGCTGTGAAAGATTATAATTCAGTCATGTTGACTATGTTCTGCTGGCTTTGAAGCCAGAAATCAGCATAACAATCACAAAACCACCAACAATTTTGATAATGGTCAACACCATCACTATCGATTTCCAGACTTGTAGGCAACTGAGAGACAAAAGAGTTTTATCATCGGATTGTCATACCGATTTTCTACCAGCTCCCGCTGTCGGATATCAAATGCCGGTTTTAGTTGTGCTGTTGTGGGCTGTTAAACTAACTCACTTTTGGTGGGGAAATGCGAAAAATAAATCTTTAAGGCGGATCCGCCGTAACAACTTTCGAGGTCTAAAATAATCACGTGACCAGACTGCAAACGCAACACATTCGATATCGACTGCAGGCAAATTATGGAGCACCAACGTTCGTTCTACGCTACGAATCAAGTCACGGGAGCCATTTCGTTCTTTGATATCTTGACAATGAAACGTCCAAAATTCGCAAAAAAGTATGCAAAAGATGCAAAAAAGTTATTTATCTACGTTAGGCACTATTCGCATATGGTCACCCACTATACTACTAAATGCCCGCTTAGAAGCTTGAGTAAGGCAGAGCGGACGGGATACCCTATGATCTTCTAGCAGTGAACGTAGATATCAGGACTGCAAAAGTAGTATGTTATAGTGATATATTGGTTTCTATTGGGTTAAACCATAGATTTGTATGCTATCTCTTAAGCCGACAACTGGATGTGATATGTTACACTGTATTGATCTATTGCCTATCATAGCCCCCATGCCGGTGTAATACTTTCGATTTCCCTCTGGGGGAACTCTCAGGTATTCGTTTCCACCCAATCACTCCAAAATTTCACAACGTTGTCGCTGAGGATGGTAACATCGAATGCTCCAGCCCTCCCACTTGCATCGCCCCCGCCCCCGAACCCTTCATTCACCATGCTATCAACAACCAACCATGTTTCTCCAACCTCCCTATCAGGTCTTAAATCAACATCCTCTAATCTTGCTACTCCTTCTACAAACCCATCGTCGCCTCCGGCAACATCATCATCCCATCCTCCCGCGATCCAGCGTTTTCGACCGTTTTCCCAGACACCGATTCTAAGGTATTCTCCTGAACTCTTCTTCGCAACCCTAATTTTTCCCTTTGACAACCGTGTCATATAAAGCCGTATGGATGACGTCTTGGCCGGAACTTGGCATGTGGATGATGTCGTATGCAACCCTGCATCTTCGTTCGGAATGACAGTCAAGTCACTTTGTCCAAGAGGCACCGAGGACCCTACGGTAATCGTAAACGGCGCATATTGATCTGATGTATAGGTGCTAGCAACGATAGTATATGCACCTCTGGGGACTTGTTGCACCGAACACATTGTGAAAAACCGTTTATATTCCCCGCTGTTGGCAAGAAACTTGTTGCGGGCGAGAGTATGTACTCTTTTCCCTCCGTCGGAATGTAGGAGTGCAACATGTATCAATGGAGAAGCGGTATTCTCCGCTGCGATGGCTTTACCAACAGACTTCCCGTCTTCTGAAGGTTTGGCGTGAATTGAAAGGCCGATTTGGAGGTTTGCAGATTGGGAGAGGGAGATTTTGAACATGGGGTTGCGGCCGTACTCTCGACTTTCGGTGTTTCCACCTGTGGCGGATATCGTCCATGATCCCTTGACGGTAAATAGGTGTGGGTACGGTTCGTCAACTTGTTCAAAGGCCATGGGAATTGATGTAAAAGCCGAGATCGTGAAGCTGTGGGTTGATTCGGCCGGAACTAGATCCTGGCTAGAGACTACGACTGTATACGCAGTTTTGGCGGGAACCTCAAGACGAAGGAGGGTTTGTGGGCTGTCGACATAAGGGCCGCGCTTAAGATAGCCTGACGATTGGTACACACGCTTCCCATTGGTAGCGAAGACATAGAGGGATATGTGACCGCTTTTGTTCCAGAGAGTTTTGCGGTCGAAGTCTTTCTTACGAAGAAGATGGCGGGACAAGAGGATCCAAGCTTTTGAAGGGGTGGATGATTTGTTAATTAATTTGTATTGAGGATTTCCCCAGAAGCACCCGGGGACGTTCCAGAGGTGGTCGGTGGTCGAGGGCTTAGTTATAACTGACAGTTGTGACCAGCTGAAGTGCCAATCATACCGGTGGTTCCAAAGAGCTGGGTTCCAGTTTAGGTAGATAGAGTCAAAGTACCTGAATACGCTGTTTAGGTCGATCCAAACGGCGGATTGGGAGGGCGATTGGGCGAGTTCTTCCGGGTAGGCATCTTCATCAGATTCGCTATCTTCGTCCGAATCGGATTTAGGGTCGTCGAAGTCTCCATCCGAGTCATCATCCGAGTCATCGTCGATAGCTAGTGGACCGGACCAGTTCCCGCCTGTCTTCCACGGGTTCTTGACCAACAACCAGCGTCCTACTCTACCACTATCTGATACCACCTCCTGAAGTCCTATTATAGCATAGTCATGCTCTCCAACGAGTCCGTGACCTTCCCAGGCTTCAAGTACACCAGTTCCAAGAGTCATAAGGACGTCGCCACTCTTCCAAGTTTGGTAAACCCGGTCCCAGAGTGTTAAAGGTTCGGCTAGGTCAAGGCTGAGATCTGCCGGATTTCCTTTCAAGAATAGATGTTCCGGGATCCATCCCGTGAAGCAGTAGAGATCAGTCCCTGAGTTCGAACCGGGGAAATCGTAGCCTCCCATGGCCTTCAAGTAGGCCTTCTCAAGCAAACTTGGAAGAATGAAACTGGGGTGCTCGTTAGATGCTACATGGAGAGAGTGCTTTGAATCCCCCAAAGAGGCTGGTAAAAAGTCGTCTATAATGACCTTTAATCAAAGTATAAGTTTGGTGTTCAGACCATGAAGATAACAAGAACTTACTTTTCTGTAGCACCCATTAAGCCACAATTTAACAATGTACTTTCCGGTAGGGCTCACAACTGGGACACCATCTCTCTGGGGCCAGATGATACAAGATATGAGACTACCGTGCCCGTTCTGTTCTCTTGTGAAAGCAGCGCATAGTGAGGCCACGACACTACAATCGGATATGATATCTTGCGAAAGATCTGCCGCGAGATCTTCTCCTTCTCTTTCGAGTATCATATTCTCCGTCCCAGTCCACAGCTCCCTAGGCCTGTACCATCTATCGAAGTTCTTCTGTTGCTGGACCGAAAGAGCCAGAGGCCCGGTTGAGTCCGTGAAGGCTTCCTCCCCAGGAGTTGGTACAAAGTCTGTATATTTGGGACATTGTTTATCTTCCCAAGGCCAAAAACTGTGTGGGGCGAGCTTTGAAGAGGATAGTTGTATGATCTCCTCCGACTTTGAAAGCGCTCTTTGAGAAACTGGTGCCTTTTTGACGACTTTCTGTGCCATTGAAGTTGGAGTTTGTACAGAGGGTACATATTCGCCTTCGGCATCTGTCGAAGAAACGACAGATAAACCCACACCAGCTATCCCAGCTGTTATCCCTTGAACATTTACATTCTGAGGGCCAGTGCTGCCGCTTTGGCTACTACTAGCCTTCAGCTTCTTAAAATCTTCGCCTTTTTGTAGCAATTGCATGAACTTCTCACGCCGCCTCTGCTTTTCAGCTGGGTTCGAGCAGGTCTTCCATGCCTGGAGATACAAGTCGGCAGCCTTGATACAGGCGTCTAGGGCAGCAGCATAGTCCTTTCGAGACGCCGCTTGAGAGATGAGCGATTCTGCTTCCTTGGAGAGAGTCCCGTCAGCGAGGAACGGAAATGGAATGGATACGAATAAGGGTCGCCGCCGTGGGGCCTAACAAGCGTACCGCCGCTCTCCTCAATATATCCCCCATGTTGGCATGAGGGCCTCCTTGGCTTTAGTCTCGCTGGTCCCTCCTAGCTGCTTCAGGATGTCAAATATTAGGCCAGGCCGTCGGAGGCACCGATAATATTATGTATTAGGTGCTAGGTATTAGGTATTAGGTATTAATTTGGCGATGCGGGGCGACGTCACTGCCGAAAGGCCACCGGTATCAGGTTGCTTGAGTCTGTTTATCCGCGGTTGCATTAACTAAACTCTGGTTGGCTTTCACGCGAGCGCCGCTGGAAGACCTCGGCTTACAACCCGCACCATCTCTCCGGATTAACACTGTCCCCCATCGACCTTACCCGACCCAGCGGACCTACCCCAAAAACTAGCTGGGTCCCTCCTTCCTTCCAAAGCTCCTCCACCATGGTTTCCTAAAAATATATCTTCTTCCCGGACCTGTATGCTTTTTTTTTTCTCACCGTCGACACTTGTTTCTTATCATTCCTGACAGTGTTATTAATTATTACGAGCAGTTGCGCATCTCGGTTTAATTAATCACAAGCCGAAAAAACGGCCACGACGGAATAACCCCTTTGGATCCATCGAATAATCAATAACTCAGTATCACCATGTCGCTCTCGAAAGAAGCCGCTTTGCCTGCCTGGGGATATGCTGTCGCCGGCGCTACAGGTGCCGTACTAGCAAATGCGACGGTATATCCGCTCGATATGTTCGTATTATCTCTTCTTTGTGTATTCAATGAGTTTCACCAAGCACATGCTAATTGATATCGCAGTGTTAAAACGCGTCTACAAGTTCAAGTCAAGAAGAGGACAGTCCAAACCGATGGTGTTCTTGTTTCCGAAGACCCGGAGAAACAGACTCCTGCTGTGTATGTTGCCGACCAGGATCTCTTCCCTCCATCCGATATTTGATGGTGTGACTGGGAACCGACAATACTGATACATGTTGTCTGATATTGATAGTCCCGAGCCGGAACACTATGCTTCTACCATGGATGCTATCAGGAAGATTAAGAAGAAGGAAGGTCTCTCAGGTCTTTATGCCGGCATGCCTGGCTCCCTGATTGGTGTCGCTTCCACGAACTTCGCCTACTTTTACTGGTATACGTTTGTGAGAACATATTATATATCCGTACAAGCGGCCCAGGGAAATCTCTCCACTGTTGCCGAGCTTTCATTGGGTGCTGTAGCCGGTGCTTTGGCCCAGTTGTTCACCATTCCTGTTGCTGTTGTGACAACTAGGCAACAGACATCTGAGAAGGAGAACAGGAAAGACCTGATCACTACCGCTAAGGATGTTATCGGAGAGGATGGATGGACCGGATTGTGGAGTGGGTTGAAGGCAAGTTTGGTGCTTGTTGTCAATCCTGCCATCACATATGGCGCCTACCAAAGGTGCAGGGAGACTTTCTACCCTGGGAAGAAAAACCTTAAGCCAATGGAAGCTTTCTGTAAGTTCCCTCGATTCCATGACTAGTATCTGCATTCCAAAATAGTCGTACATACTGCTAACAATCATACAGTCCTCGGAGCACTCTCCAAGGCTTTGGCGACCTTCGCCACCCAGCCCCTCATCGTCGCTAAGGTTGGACTTCAATCGAATCCACCAGCTGGCCAAAAGAAATTCAAGTCTTTCGTTGAGGTTATGAAATACGTTATCCACCATGAGGGTCTGTTAGGCCTATACAAGGGGATCAGTCCCCAGTTGATGAAGGGGCTGTTGGTTCAGGGTCTCTTGATGATGACGAAGGAACGTGTCGAGCTCATTTTCTTGTTGATGTATAGATGGTTGATCAAGAAGCTTGGAAAATAAATTCTTAACGGGAATTGGGCGTCGGTATTCTACCTTACCTCTCTTAACGGAAAGAGGGAGATGTTTTTTCTCAGTGGGTATACGATATGGGTTTTGTTACTGCGTTTTTTGCTTTGATTCGGAGCGTTACTGGTTATTTCGTTTTGAAGGGTTCCTACTTCCAAAGTCTTTCATGCTTTCCTATTTCATTTCTATTATTACAATACCTGTATTTGTATAACTAGATTTTCGCTGTCTCGGGTCACCTCAGGCTGTAGAATCGTTAGAATATCGCTGTCGATTTCAGCGTCACCCTTTTTTTTTTTGAACCGTATCGGGAGCAATGTAGAGAATACGTTATATCATTTCGATTGCTTACACGACAATATAAGAGAGAACGGTTCGATAAAGTGTCCAAAGGTATAGATTTAAGCAGACATAAAATCAAAGGCAAAGGACGCTGGAATTACCTGGATAATAAGGAAGGAACAGGGGAGTGTGAGGGAAGACTACAACTAGTAAAAGACCAAGAGGAGGAAAAGAAGTAGGCGCCCCAAAAGCCAGAAACATGGGAAAGATCATGTCGAGCGGTCTTTCAAAAATAATAATGCCCGTTTTATGCTTGCTTGTGAGCAATATCCCCTGCTCTTCTTCTTATTCTTCTTCAAAAATTTTGGTTGGTTGTTTTTTGATTGTTTTTTTTTGTCGGCCTTTTCGTTTTTTTACGTATTCATTTGGTACTATAGGCAGAGGCCGCTATTTCTTCTACTGTTTCTCTGTCGGTGGCGTTTAGACGTATTGAGAGACCCACTGGAAACCCTCCTTGTAACCTATTTTGCGCCATCGCGGTTAGTGCCAACCTTTTGACTAGTCTGTAAGGAGTCTGTAAGGAGCCGGAGGCATACCTTGTCTCATAACCACACTGCACATAAAAACTTCGATCGGCCTGATTCCTTCCATTGGATTCTTGTCCTTTCCGGTGGTCTGGTACAATCCCAACTGATGTCTCAATTCCTCTTCGCTGATGGCCAAATGGTGGTCAATCTTGTTTCCGAGGATTAGGAAGGGAACTTTAGAGAGTTCCTCCATAGACAGAAGGGCGTCGAGTTCGGCTTTGGCTTCAGGTAGACGCTCAAGGTCTTTGGCATCGACGAGGAAGACGATGCCGGAGACTTCAGGGAAGTAATCTTTCCAGAGACGACGGGCTGGAGAATTTAACGTTAGCTCTCTTCTCCTTTACACCACAAAAGATAGTCGTGATAATGATTACCTTGCTGATGACCACCAAGATCGAAGGTGGTGAATCTGCAGTTGCCGATGGCAAGTTCCTCGGAAGTGGGATGTAACGTGGGGGTAAGAACAGCTACTCGGTCATTCTAAGAACCGGAATGAAATATGAAATTAGCAATGAAGTTTTATAGCACTGTATAGTCAAGTTTTGTCTCGAAAATCCCATCGGATAGACGTTATGGTGGACCCGGGAGGTGCACGAGGGAGGGTAAGTACCTTCAACATGTGCAATAAAGTTGTCTTTCCGGCATTATCGAGACCGAGGAAGAGGAGTTTGGCATGCTTGTTCAAAAGCCCGAGGGAAGCGAGGACGTCCCAAACTATAGTATACAAAATGTAAATGTTAGATAACCTAAAGTTCAGATATTATAAAAAAGGACAGTTTTCAAGAAATTTTGTTCTTGCTATTTGAAGCTATCAGGGATGGATAGCACTTTTGATAGGCGATGATGCATGAGGTCATGCAGCCGAAGCTTAATACATACACCAGTTGATAATGAACATTGCGGCTGTGGTATTCTATAGGCGGTATGCGGTAGGATGATATGGCTGGAAAGGGCGTGAGGATTGATTGGACGGTAGAAGCAGGGAGTGATGATGACGATGGTCGGTTATAGTCTGATTCTTTGATGCTGTAGAAGGAAGAGGGATGGGAAGGGGTGGTTGTGACGATTATAAAAGTTGGTCTGGGCGGGCAGGCAAAAAAACGAACACGTTGAGCTTAGTTAACTGCTGCCGCCCTTTCACAGGTACCGCTACCACAATCACTATATATCGCCACATACGCCCAAACGCAACAAAAAGTAACACCACTGCCAGACCACTTGGATTACATAAGAAGAACTCCGTTTAAAAACTCGCAGCAGCCAGGGATACGGTTGAATTATGTGATCGGAAATTTCCTTTGTTCCCAGACTACGGTCCTTTTGTTGCGCTATGGTAAAGCTTCGACTCAAACAGATCCCTTGGTGGACCAGTTTTCATAGGTGTGCATCTGCAGCTATAGTATGGTCATGACTCTGAGCTCTGAGTCTGCCGACGGCATTGATATCGAATGAGATTTTGGAGTAACACGGTGTCACGTATGGCATAAATTAACGGCGAAAACAAGCGACTGGAGTTGATGCATCCTGAATTAGAGTTCAATATTCTTATTTACAAAATGCAGGGGATTTGGGTGGTATGGAGCACTTCGGATTAGCAATCAAAAAATCTGTATTGGAGTTGCTATTTTGACGCCGGTATAAAGTCAGAGGGTTTCTTTGAACAAATATTCCTTATTCAAAAGGATGATGTGCGAACTTTGGTCTGGATATATCCGGATATCTTCGAGGTCTCTGTGTCGGCTCTAGGTTCATATGTGAGAGTACGAGATGACTGCTTAGCCTTGTAATTGGAATGGATCTTAAAAGACAGCGTGTTCACGGCAATCTCTTCTAGGAATTATACTTCGATGCTAAGTATTGGCTCCCTCAGCAGATGATTCCAAAAGTTTGAACTGTTTTTTTCTTTTCTGTTTGACTCGGCCTCTCGAGCTGTCGATGTACAGCCTGGACTAGTCCAAACACCGTCCTATGTCGAAGTTGCCGGTTTAGAGGCACTGCCCAGATCCTCTGGACGCTGATAACATTCTTCAAGCACCGCAACAGCCTCTTCTATTTCCAGACGACCATAAGGGGTCTGTACGTAGGGATGTTGGTGCAGATAATATTTATCTAGCATGGAGACCACATACTCTGGGAACTTGCCTGGAGACCCCTGTGCATAAGGGTTTGTGATCGATGGTGCTTTCAAGTCATCTCTCCAGTAGTAATGGTGCTGGCTTTTCGCAACCGTAAACCGGTGTTTCTCAGATATCAAGATCGAACCGACTTTCATTTCATAGGGATAGCACGATGAAATTCTGTGAAGGATGCTAAATTTGTCATTCGGCTCTGGCCTCTGATATATGAACCTTGTGGTTAGCATTTGGTGTCTCCTTGCTAATTGAGTTAACTGGTGCCATGGTTTGAATACCTACAATTCGATAGGAAGACTGTTTTTCGACCAAGTCAAGGCGATCGAGCCACTGGTCGTTTAGCTCTGAACCAGATGCCTTTGTTTGATCTTCCCATAAGTGGTTCTTGAGGTTAGTTAGCCAGACCTTGACAGATCTTTCAATCATATAATCCACCCAAGCATTACTCTGTGTCGAATCTGAAGGTATTACAGTTTTAAATTAGCAAGAGTTGGGATGTAAGTCCGTCTATGAAGAGTCTGGCAGTACATACTCTAAAAATATGACTTTATTAGCCCAAATATCCACTAGGAAAAAGAAGAAATTGGCGGCGATCTGGTTTCTTTGGGCGGTCATACTTCTGAATCAAATTCATCCACCGATGGCCTGAAACCGCGAAGTCCAAATGCTAGGTCCGTAGACGGGAACCTATCCAGATAGGATCGCCATAGACTTTCTGTATTCAATTGCTTTAAAATCTGCGCGGCAGCTTCTTGTTCCTTTGGAGTCGTCCCGTATGTCAGGCATTTTGCGACCCTACGTTTAGTTGATAAAAGCCAGTCGTCTTCCACGCTATCGGTCCGAGGCGGTGGAGCGTTGGAATCTCGTTTGGGATTTGGATGTTTGAATACTGTTTCGACACGGTTTCCGACTATATAAGAGCGGACATTGCTTCGCAGAAACGGAGACTTGGAATATGGCAGATTGCGACGCCCAATTCGCAAAATTCCGGGTCGCAGCGACATTCTGCCCGACAAGTTGTCGAGAACTAGAAGCTCTAATGCTCCAGCTAACCTCGAAGGCCGAAGGGCCTATATAGCCTTAGCTATCCCGCCTAAGCTAAGCTGAGCACGCAAGCGGTGCTGACTAAGACTGCCACACATTCCAACACATCGGCTTTATAGTTCTACGATTCTCTTACGTAAATTTTCTTCTGGTTAATTGGGAAGATTCCGGATGCTAGTTCTTCTTAAACGATGAATCATTAGTAATGTGATATCGAAGACGCCAATAATATACATTAATTCCTTCAGACGGCTGGAGACCGGCCGCGTCTATGATCGTAAATGCCAAAACACCATAACTCAATTTCCAAACGAAAGGACCGGATGGGTGTTATACCCCTCCAACATTTATACTTTTCTCGGAACCGTCCACCTCTTTTATACTCTCACTTGTTTGAATGGTGGTCTTCACTAAGATGCCTTTGATACTAGTGTTGTCGCTTTGGGCGTCCCCTCTTTCAAGGTCTTCCAGCTCATGATCTTCCTCTCTCGCGCAGTGCGTGCTGATGATTGTCGAGTTCGGCGGAACATGACTTCGGATGTAGCTTTTGCCGCCAGTGCCGCCGGTAAGCCCGCTCTTGGGTCCGGTAGAAGAGAGATAATATGAGCTCTCGTCACCACGGCGGTATAGTACGTATATCGTAGGTACCATAGCTACGATACTAGCAAAGAGCGTTTCGATAGAAGCCCACAATGTGCGAGAAAGTTGAACACGAGAGTGGTTTGTTCCTTGAATAAGACGGGGAACACATATAGCGACTAGGAAGAATCCGAGGGAGAAGAGGCCACAGAGTTGGAGGCGTCTGTGTATAGGAGTTCTAGGTGTTAGTCATTTTTCTGATGTTACATACTGGAGTTGTATGTTCGAGAATATCTTACCTCGCAAGTGGAATTTTGGCCTTGAAGACAAGTGGAAACGGAACGGCAATTAACATGACGTCGGTTATCATATTACCGATTTCTAGTTCATAGTGTTAGAGCCCGAGATTAAAATAGTTGGGTTTGGAGCTAGCTATGGGATAACCGTACCGTATGTGATGAGCCAAAGATTTCCTTGAACACTAATTCATACAACTCGAATTAGATTGTGTAAGGTTTTTTTCGAAAAGTACCTTTGTCCCTTACCATTGTCCAGGATCAGGATCGACCTGCCACCAAAGTTCGAATGGTCGACACTCTATGAATACAGCCACAGAAGCTGCAATGTATGTGATAGCGAGCGTTATAGAAAACGCCCAGATGATGGGTTTCTCCCATGCCATTCTTCGAATGATGCGTCGTAGGAAATCGAGAACCGTGAGCTTGAGGCACCATAGTCTACTTTTAGGTAAGTATGGCTTGAAAGCTCAGCAGTACTAGAGTAAAGACTAACTTACAATGTCGTCAGGGAGAATCTGCCGGGTAAATTTAACTTGCTGCATAATATTATTTTGTCCAATTCATCCTTTGTAAAGTTCCAATTCGCCCTTTCTTCCGGCGTTATTGCTTCGAACACCTTCCGTTAGTAACATATCTTAGGGACGAGAAGGGAGAACTGTGAAGATTAAATTAACTTACTCGTTACAGTACCATATTTCAATATAAAGTGCTGACAGACAACTCGAACTATCATAAAAACTGCAGCCAAAGCCGTCCATAAGTCCCCCAAATTAAATTTCTCCTGTCTATACTTTCGAAACCCCAGCCTTGATAGGAAAAGAAGAAAAGCGAGTCCGTTGCATGCCCATAAAGACGAGGGGTCATTACCACCGGACATTATAAAATATAGGCTGATGGTATGGGGAAATGCAAAAAGTCAAGAAAACTAAAGGAACGGATGATCGAGGCCTCCAACAGTGCACTCAGAGGGGGGGTAGAAAACGGTGTGCCATGATTCAGGGAAAGGACGACATTATTATAGAACTTAAGTTGATATACCCTGATTTCTGAGGAACCTTTCGGCAAGCCTGCATAGCCTGATACAGCTGCAACGTGGTACCGTGGGAAGGGAAATTTATGGAAACGAGGGAACCGGCAGCCAAGTGCAGGAAACGAAACACTTGAATTTGCTATGGGCACCGGCGTCGCCTGTAGGCCATGTCTGAGTTTACGACCCTAATTCATCGTTAAGTTTTTTGCTTTTACCTAACTCCTCGAAAGCTTAGTGGCCGGGGACTAGCTTTTTTTGTTTATGGTTCAGGGAAATTCTAGATTCGTGACCATGCGAAAAGTGTCAATCGCATGTTACTTTAGGGCTCTGATATGTAAATAGAGCATAGAATGAGCCAATAGAAGAGTACTTTTTTTGGTGGCTGACCCGGCGTCTGGCTTCGAGACTAGAAGAGTACTACACAGGTTGAAAGCGCCTCTTAATCAACACTATCCCGTATACGTAACAGAGGACGGGATGGATGTCAACGTCAAAGCGTGGCATCTTTTTTGCGCACACACAAATCGAAGACCACGAGCCCCACGTGTGATGTTAGTTAACTGGAGAAACGTTGGGTTTAGCTCAGGTTTGAAATCCGTTTGGTTGAAATTGTGTAGAACTGCTCCCAGACTCGTAGAACTGGCATTTGCATTACATTTTTTTCGTGATAGCGTCAAATCTATCCCGTAACGTTAACCAGATATGAAATGCACATATATTAGGATACTACATGCACATGCCAGATGAATCACGGGAAGAAGAAGCCGACCCACCCGCAGAAGCATCAAAGCCCAATCAAAGCGATAATCCTCTGGGTTATGATATCTGATAATGACGCCCGAGCTGATATCAACATTACCATGGATTAATATCAAACCCCACAATGTGTTGACATAGATGCAGACAAGAGGCTCAAACTCAAACAATAAATATGTGTATATGTAGAGTTCTGGCCCGAAGTTTATGAAAATGTTTGAAAACTTGTGGGGCGTGGTACTAAACTTTGGAATCAAAAGCGGTCAATGCAATTCAATGCAGAGTTTTCGTGTCCCATGGCCAGTCCTACTGCGTAGTGTCTGTGCAAATCTCCCACAATAACTCAGTATTGTCCTGGACGACGGTCAGTTTTAATTCGGTTGACTAGTTTTTCTTCCCTTTATCTCGATTTGTAGCAAGGATTGTGGCGATATTTGTGCCTCTGAAGCACCAAATGCTGTCATAGCGAAGGGTCATAGCACAGGGTCTGCATGCTTGCCTTGATCCTATGGGCCTAAACGTTTCTCTTATGAAATTGGATAATGCGCCTACGTTTGGGCTGAGGTTACCGAGCTTGAATGATATATATTGGCAAACTCCCAAGTTTTCTTGGGATTTTGAGTTTATCATTCCTTTGTTCTATCTTTTCGGGTCGAATTTCCCCTTGGTCCGGACAATTTTTCGAATGGGCGCATCGACGGGTCTAGAGTGCGTGCCGTTGAACCCGAGGCTGGAGAAATTTCTTTCCTTTGGTAAATTGCAATACAGAGGTAGCTGAACTCGAGCTGCTAGCCCCTGTCCCGAGGAAATGACTTGGCAGTGAATAAGAGTCTTTTGGCGATATCGATCCGGCGTCTGGGGAATTGTTCCTCGCTTCAGTTGAACTTTGTATTTTACTCCACCGGAAAAATGGATCGTGTGCAACGATAATGGTGGGGACCTCATCTCATAGCTCCACAAGGGACCATGGGTTTGGTGCATGGGACACTACGCAGTGCTGCGGTACTGTAGATCTTGTTATAATATGTCTCGACAACGTATACACACAGCTTAGCCCAGCCCGCACCATCGGTTTCTTCTCTTTGGGTTTTTGAATCGACTCGATTTGGAAAATGATCAGTTGTGCAACCTGGCAGAACTGCTGGACGACCTCCCAACACATGTTAGAATCGAATCGTGATATTTGCAATATTTGATTCGCATCTGCGGTTGCAATTGACGCTGGTTGAACATTTAATTCTTCCCTGTTCACTCCTTCTTTGCCTTCGGATTTTTTCAAAGAGTGATATTATGGGCTACTTTGATGGATCGCGTTGTAAGTAGACACATAGGACTAATAGACCTGGATCCGGGATCGAAAATTAAGGTTTCTATAGTATGGGAGCTTACAGGTATAAATTTGTTTAGACTGGGAACGGAACTAGAAGAGCTACTACTTTAATTTACATATTAAGGAGGGTTCGGATTCAAAAATCGGGGTTAATTACAGACTTACGTTCTTTTGATATGTCAAGTTGCTCTACCTACAGTGTTCAAATAGCTATGCCATGCCAGCGTGCTATTTGCCAGTAGACATTCCTTCTGTAGGAAAGGGGTTTTTTACTAGCTAAGCTTCGTCCCAAACCCTGAAATATTATGTATTAATCCTAACTCCTTGGTAATGCAAATACATTTCAACGAAGTCTTCATATATACTGGATCGATCTAAATTTTGGTTATTCAATTTCATTCCCTAAGAATCTGTGATAACTATAGCGCTAGGCCTGTAGGGAGGTATAGAATTACACTACTGAACATATATGGTTTTATTACTCGTGTATTTGAGGCATATCACTATAGTACTAGTATTGGAATACTTTGCTTAGCCCTGGAAATGAGCTACATACTTGAGAAACAACATAGGACTATCTGTTCCTTTGATAAATTCGAATCAAAAGTTAATCATAGTTTCGCTTCTATTTCATATGACACCATTTTGATCATGGGGTAGCCTGGTCTTGATGGTAAGGTATCCCGGCCATAGGGACGTACATATAACTCTACTACTATATTACGCGTATACGTAGCATTAAACATTGTCTAACATTAAGCATTCTCCATGGAACTCTAAGATCCATCTGCTGAATTATTTTGGGCTTAGATGTGTTCCCGCGTCTGAAAGGTACATGAGAGGTCTCAAAATTTTTTCTTCCTTAGAAAATTTGCAATGGATATAAGTTAATTTAACACCGAATCCAGTTACGTATACACGGCAATTTCCGCGTATAGATTTCTGAAACTTGCAAGTCTTAAGTGATATATCGTCCAAAACCCTTACTAGAAACGAGTGCCTGCCACCACACTCATCATGATCGATTAAGCTTTCAAAGACTTGTGCTAAGTTTTTGTGGCTGACATCTGCCTGAGATGCCGAATCAACTCTTGACTCCCGGGTAAATTTGCTGAAATATCTGGATCTAATAGGCCCAACATCTATTTGACGTCTAGATCTGCTGGTACTAATCCTTGGACACTTTTCATGTTCGTCATCTCGGGAAATTTGTAAGGGGTAAGTCTATTACGTAGAGCTGAAAGATTTCTCATCAACTTGCTTGATATTTTCTATATACGCTGGGCCACCATTCAAAAACATACGGACTGTAAGATTTCTCAACCTTAAATTTGTTTAGGACATGACCCAATTTCGTTTTCGGAAGTCTAAGGATTACTTCCCACATAGAAAGCCCTTGTCATGGTTCTCTTAAGCTTACCAACTTCATCACTATTTCTGGGCCGTGGACTTTTTCATCTAGAGAACATCCAACGATTAGACTATTAAAATACCTCCTTTTGGCCAAATGTTAGTTCCTTCGGTTGGATCCATGAAGACGTATCGTCTTTGCGGTCTCGTTTGTAAGTCTATACTACTTGACCATCCTTGGCCAGCGAGGCTAGTTTGGTTGAGCTGTATATTCAATCTTTTATAAATTTAGTGGCTTGCGTGCGCATGCATTTGCCCTATATATACCAACCTTTATGACCCGGTGTGGTCATCGACCAATATTAAGGATTGATGTACATGTATGTAGCTTGGAATTAGTATTCCGAATGTATAATTCTTATATATATCGTCATCGACAGCGGGCGGACAAAAAGTTTGAAGTCCACATAAGTGTGTATGTGTGTTTGTGTTTGTGTATAAAACAGCCTGCAGCAACGTTATAGCATAAATTCTATAAAGCTTCGACCCGAAGGTGGTGTGGTATATATCGTATATGGTATTTGATATATAGACCGTATAGTATAGACTTAAAGGAATCACATATTTTATATATGTATGTATATATGCCTTATTATAACTTTTGCAGTTTCACTTCTTAGGCATCATCATGTCTTGTACCGTGATGATAATACTGTTAACTGTTGTTAGATATGGATTTTTGAAACTCTTTTAATTAGAGGAAGTATATAAGTTGCGTGCCTCCCTTTGATGATGTCTGGGAATGAGACCAGAGGTTGCTCATTTTTACACTAGGCACTATAAACTATGGAGGAGAAGGGTGAGCATGTGAGGCGAAGGGGTTGAAAACGAAAATTCTGTCAGAGAAAAGGCTTGGGATTCTTATAACTACTGGAGCTAGCCTGACAATGAAGTTTAAGGCAGTTTAGAAATCCATAGAGGATCTGGGTAACGGTTAAGTTATCATGGAATACTGGGATGGAAATTGACAGAAACGGAAACTGATAGAAGGGCGATGATATATAGATACATCAAGCAATGCTGTGTATCAAAATCCGCATACAGTAAATATATAAATGGGCTAGGGGACTACGCTGGTGTATAATATTAATCGATTGGGGTTAGTATATCACGCAGTAGCCTCGAATCCAGGCGCTTTGATAGTCTCGTATTGCGGACGCGGTCCACACTTTGAAGCGCTTTGATAGCTTTGAAAGTCAGAGATGAGAGATGTATAGCTTAAGCGCTTCCCTCTATATAATTTCCTTCTATAGTATGTCTCTCTGATAGTAAGGAGTCTCTGATAGTAAGGAGTCTCTGTTAATAAGGCGTCTCTGATAACAATGCCTCACTGATAATGAAACTTCTCTGATAATAATACCTCTCTGATATCATGATCGTAATGCCTCTCTAGTAAACCTCACAAGTTTCCGTCGATAGTTTCCCCCAATAGTTTTCCGATATGGACCCTCCAGCAAGGTGTCTTTAATTTTCGTAACAAAACTAGTACTTTATTAGCATATATTTAATGTATCCTGGGTGCCTCAACCCAGCTAGGTTTATGCCTATACACGGAAACAATAAAAGGTAGTTAAGAAAGGGACATAAGCGTGAGAATTCTCTTCGACTGGATGAACCATCCATACTGTAAGCATATAAACACCGTTTTTTATAATAATCATAGACGCCAGTCGCTAAAACGCAGTACACAGAAAAGCAAGTCATACTCATAATAATGATAATTTATTGAAAAAGGGCCCATAATAAAGAAAAGCCCGTATCAAAACAGGCTCGTGAGAAGAAAGTGAACAAAAGGCTTGATAAAACAAAGGCATAAAAGGACGGGACACAGCCCGATCCTTATAACAAAGGAAAACAAGAATTGGGCGGGACTATGCCAGGCCCTGTAATAATAATAAGAATAATAATAAGAAGAAGAAGGTGAGGGTGAGGGGGAGGAGGAGGAGGAGAAGAAGAAGAAGAAGGAGAAGAAGAGGAGGAGGGACGACATGGTGGCGGCGGCGGCGGAGACGAAGGAGGGCGGAACAAGGATCTAGGCCGAAGGCTTTCTGGTGCCATTCGGCCAGACCTTGTTGAAGAAGTCGATCGTGACCTGTGGTGGGGTCCTGCGTCTCAACTTCGGGACGCGGGGGAAGGTGGGCACGTCTTGGTTGCCCCGGACCTTGGTTGGGGCCAAGTTTTCCCCGAACCTTGGTCTGGCGGCAACCAGACGTGGGCGAGTCCCCAGCATCCCGAAACGGCTGGCGACTTTGTACTCGGTAAAGCCCTCATAATTACCGAGTGGGGCGTGAGGAGGTGGGTGAGCGGCGTTCTGTGCCGTGGGCATCTTGTGGATGCACAGCGGCAAAATTACGTCGTTATTCTCCGGATCGTAATTATTGGTGTAATATTTGGCAATCGGGAGCTGTGACGTCGGCTTACGCAGCGACTGGGCACCCTCGAAAAGGCGTGCCTGGACAATGGGATGGTTGGTGCCGATAGGTATAGCCGCGGCAGGCTTTTTGGCCTTGAGCCAATGGGTGTCACTGACTAATCGCCGGGTGACTTTGGTGGCAGCCTGGATTTCAGACTGCCCTTCGGTCAGAGGCTCTCGTCTGTAGCGTCTGGTGCCAAAGACACGGGCCGACCCAGTTAATGGTGGGATGGCCGAGACCCCGACGTTCAACCCGGTCTCTCGCTGGAAATCTGTGGGAGCTCTGACCATTGGGTGGAGGTCGGGGGTAGGCTGATCCGAATGCCAATCGTGGTAGTGACGGGAAGCACTGGACATGATATCCATCTGCTTAATCTCTCGCATGAGAGCCTTTGACTCCGTTTCGAAGGAATCCGGGGGGGAGGTGACATCTTCTGTCGGTGTCGGTGTTGGTGTCGAGATGTCTCTGTCTGGGCTTGGGGTTGGCTGAATTCCGAGTTGCCCTGATTGTGGGTAGTCATTCTGTTGACGGTTGCTCTGTTGACGGTCGAGTGCAAACTGGCAAGCCGCCTTTACGTCCTCTAAAGCAGCGATGCGCTGTTTGACGAGACCACCTTCGATCTTGGCGATCTCTGTGACAGCCGTGGGCCGTGAGAACTGCTGCACCCGGGTTTGGACGTATTTTGGTCCGAGGTGCTTGAGTCCTTTTAGTGAGGACTTCTTCGTAACGACTTCGGAGGTCTCAGCCCGCTGAGACCAAGTTGCGATCAAGCTCTTGACCTTGCTGGAGGCTGGTGCCTGAGCTGGTGGGGGTGGTGATACTGCTCCATCGGCAGCCATTGCCTTAGTAATGACTTCGTCAATACTGGCGAATCTGGGTCTGTCTTTGGTCGTTGGAGCCATGTCTCCTAAGGGCCAATCTGGAGGGGTGGTAAGAAGTCTTGAATGGTTAACCATATCGATGGCTTTCCAAGAGAGATTTGTATTTATAAAGGTAAAAGGATAAAAGCAAAAAGCCACGAATGCAAAGAGCACAAAAGCAAAGGGTACAAAAGCAGAAGAGAAACTTGAGAACTGAGAAGGTTGGTATGGAGAGTATAGAAAGGTAAGGCGGGGTTGAGGAGGGAAGGAAGAAGTCCCTGGGGGACGTAGACGGCAGGGTGTTCTTATAGCCCTCCATTTGCTCAAGTGACATCAATGCCGAAATATGAAATGATATTGAAATATTAAAATATTTGCTGTATATTGGAGATAATTCGGTGTCGATGACGAGGCCTGGATCGTCGGGGTGGGAATAAAAATCATTATTGGGTCCAACCACAGATTGATTGAAGTACCGACCGCCAGACTATTCATCCAGATGAAGGGTCCTTGACGCTATGATATACCTAATAGTATCAGGTAGCCCACGATAAATGAGAAAGGGAGGATGTTCTGCATGATAGGGTTGTATGGGTATCTGTCAATGGACAGGGTTTTGACAGCCAGTGCATACCGGCCTATAGACAGCTCAGCCATATTCATCTTCTTTTTGTTTTGAGGACACAAAGAAAAGATGATATACACCAGGCCTGCACCCTCCGTTGTAGTTGATCCACGAACGGGCCTTAGTAAGTATGAATACTTAAAAGGCCCGTCTAAACAGTATCCCTAATCTCGACATCAATTCTGAGGTCGAGTTTCTCTCCTTCTTCGAGCTTCTTGGCCTCCACCATCTCGCGAGCCTTCTTCCATAGCTCCTGATCCATCTTTCTCCCAACAGAGTCAGATCTTCCACTTAAAGCACCAATGTCAAGGCCACTTGCAGAGCCACTGCCTGCCGCTGGAGGTGCAGAACCGGCTGGCGAAGTGAGAACGGCGGGTAGTGGAATATCTGCTTGTTCTAAGGCATATATCTGACGCTTCAGAGCTGATATTATCGAGTGCACTGAAGTGTGATACTGTGCCGACTGTGTTCTGAAGGTAGATTGAGATGGCTTTGGGGATGAGAGCGTGGTTATGGCAGCCGATGCAGTTGTGAGCAATGAGGTTATTTCCTAGACAAGATCTGTCAGCATCGCCCTCCCACTAAAGCATTGGTTGGTAGTATATATAATATTACCTTATCAATCTGGTTCAGCTGTTTTATTCTGTCTGCTGGAGAGAATTCGACGGGCTGTTGAGTGTTTGGCTCCGTTGGAGCATCGAGTGGAGAAGACTCCATAATGTAGCTGGAGTCGGATTGATTCTACAGTAGCAACTATCGGAGCGGAAGCTATTAGGATTCCAACGAGCTAGCGGTTCGGTGGAATGATGTTGATGTTGATGTCGGTGTGAAGCTTGGAATTGTGGGAGACGTGACGTTGAATTGAATTGAAGAAGCCCGAAAGGTCGTGTTGCGAAGGCCTCAAAGTCTTGGCGCCATCCGTTCCGCCCGCCAAAATTTCGGAACTTCAACCAGACAGACGTCAACCCGCCTCATCCCACCACCGACCACATTCCCGATCTCGAACCAGAAGTCTAACTTCCCACCCCCGCTATCTCCTCCCTTCAATCACCCACAATGCAGTCTCTGCGTCTCCTCCGAACCGCTGCCCTCAGGGCAAAGCCCATGTCCTCAACAATCCGCGCGCCAGTGCGAAGAGGATACGCTGAGGCTGTTACCTCGGATAAGATCAAGCTTAGCTTGTCTCTTCCTCACCAGGTAGGGCCAATTGAGTCTTGCCTATATATTGTATAGAACTATTACTAACGAAAGTTTATATTTCTAGGCTATCTACAAGGCCACTGATGTGTATGCTCCCCACTTGAAACCGCCGATATTCCCGCTCCGACTAATATATATTGCGTTTTGAACGGAACAGCGTCCAGGTCAATATTCCAGCCGAGTCCGGTGTTATGGGTGTCCTCGCAAACCACGTTCCATCGATCGAGCAGTTGAAGGCCGGTATCGTTGATATCATTGAGGAGGGTGGTGCCAACAAGCAATTCTTCGGTATGGGAAAATGGCTCAGGTGGATTAATTGGGGGTAGTGGGCAAGTTATCTGACATAAGTTGCTTTAGTTTCCGGAGGATTCGCTGTCGTCCAGCCAAACAGCAGATTGAGCATCAACGCTGTTGAGGCTTATACCCTCGATGAGTTCAGTTTGGATGTAAGAACTATTCAAGTTTGGTGGATTCGAAATGACAGTAGCTGATGATTGAAACTCGGATTGTAGGCCGTCAAGTCCCAATTGGCAGAGGCCAACAAAATCGCTTCCGGTAGCGGTAGCGAGCAGGATATTGCCGAGGCTAAGATCGAAGTTGAGGTTCGTAACTGTTCGTTCCGATTGTAAATGCTACTCTTATACTAACCTATGGATGAATGAACCAGGTCCTCGAGACATTACAGGCCGCCCTCAAGGCTTAATTTTGTTAACACCTTTGTTTTCTCTTGAAACACATCTTCGTGTACATTTACTTTGGTTTTCTTTTGAATTACCCCCCAAAAAGAAAGTATACATGGTGAATTGATAGTAGCTGGATGAGCGATATCCAATCATAGATTTTGTCCCAACAGAAGAAAAACTTGTGTAAATGATGTTACAAGCGAGGTCGTCGTGGTTATCCACGCGGCTATGTACAACAATATAGGGCACTATATACAGACTCAGTGGAATATGGTATTGCTTTACGACCTACTCTGCTGATACGGGTAGTACTTTGTCTCACCCTTCAGCAGGACATCTAATCCCTTCCTTTCCCTTTCCCATGCCCACCCCTGTCTATCGATCCTATAAATCAATCCACTGTCCCCGATTTTCAATTTCGCGAAATCCTCCATTCTCAAAGCCTTCACTAGCTTCCTGAAACCAGCGTATGCCAGCCAAGCAATATATTTCATAGGGCCGAAATAGCCCTTGATTTCCCACCTATTAATGTTAGAGATAGGTGAATGGAAGATATCAACCATAGTAGTGGCTTTGGGGGTTGAGTTGATGATGCGTTTCCTGAAGGGGATGATGGAACGGGCTTGGATCTGGAGAGATACGGATGGTGGGACAGAGCCGATTTTGGGAATGGCGACAATTCGATGAACCATTCTAGTTATGAACGTTAGTTTCTATAAATTGTGTACTATGAATTTGATTGGAGAAATATACCTCGATGGCACCCAGAAGCAATAGGCACAGATAAACAGTCCCATACCCGCTCCAAGGGCACTGACACTCTTCGTCCACTGTGGTGCCTCCGGCTGACAAATTACATTGTCATAGAATTCTAACCCTGCCCAGCCTATCGACACTACGGAGAGCGAGTAGTAGATATAAATCAGAAGCCGTGAACCGGATTGATATAGCACGGTTTCATGGCCTGCCTTAGCAAGGTTCTCCTCGAGAGACCAGTATCTGGGCGAGTTCGAGGATATAGACTGGCTCAAAGAGCCGCTAGGCTTTGATCCCGAACGTTTGACGGGCTTGGAGGCATAGGTTCGGGTTAGTCGTAGGAGAGTCGATGGACGAATTGGTTTGAATGCAGTTGTGATTGTAGTATAGCCGGAGCAAGGGAGAGATGAAGTTATGGGACGTCGGAGTAGGCGAAGGCCCAGAGTGGTAGCGGGTATCGACATGGTTTTGTTTGAAGTCGTAGTCGTAGAAGCCCTACTATATCCAGCAATGCGAAAGCAACAGTCAAGTATATGAACAGCAACTGCCACCCACCCACCGGATAAGAGAGCAGTTGAACTTATCGGCCTCCTTTTTGAGGTTTTCCTAATGCAATATAATTGAAGATGATCAATATCGAGAATATCGACATATGGCGACGAGGCGAGTTGGAGTTGCAGTTAAAATTTGTAGCAAAGATGCGGCTCTGCGAGTGACAGGGATCTATAAACTCCGACTGGCTGGCCGTTCTTTCGTTCGGCAGACCTTCGATTCACATGGGCGACGATTCAAGCTAATGCAGGTTGCCAGTACGTACGATACAATACTTCTACTATACCCGTCGACACCTGTAAGTAATTGTGATATTTACTAAATTCTAATTAATTAAAATAAATTAAAATTAAAAAAATTAAAAAAATATCGTCGGCTATAGAACTTGGTCTACTGCGATTTGGGTATTTAACTTGTTAATGCCGCCTGCCTGCCTGCCCGCCTGCTAGCTGCCTGATTGCACCGAACCAGAATTACACAATAACGAAGCCGGGAAACTTGACCCAAATCGTCGTATTTCCGTCGTATTAACTCTCCAAATCGGAAGCTTCAGAAGCCGGAATCGTGTATAACGTATACATGTATGTACGGCATGCATAGGACACAGAATATATTATGCTACGTGCTGGCCTCGGCCACATGCGCCCTCTCATCATTCTGCAGCGGATCCGGCCAATATATATGGGAAGTGACAGAGTCGGATGACAGGAAGCACTAGCACTCACTCTCCTCCCTCACTCACTCTTTCTCTCGTTAAATGGCCACCGGATTGATAGCATAGGCCTATAGGATTACTTAATACGTCAACACTCGTTTATTGTGAGAGAGTGGGTGGCTGCATGTGATTGTGCGGTGATATCGCATCCCAACAGCGCAGTTTGCTGCTGGCCCTGGATTAGCCCCCCAGTTGGGTAGCCTGTAATATAATGTATGTATGCACAGTGGCTCCACTCCTGCTTCAGTAGTGACATATCCCAGGCCTAGGTTCAAAGCCGGGATATGGATGATACTCAAATAGCGTCCTGCTCCCTCATTTCTCCCTGGAATATCTTCACGTTGAGTTTTTCGAATCTCACTATTTAATTCGCATTTCGATCTGAATAGCATCGACTTCTGGAGTCGATCCGTACGGAGTATTCTCCGCAACTTAACTGGCAATTGCAGAAGCCGACTTCAATTCAGCCAACACTTTACGTCATATCCAAACTGTGCAGCCCAGGTCCAGCCGACAAGCCGCCACCACAACCACCACCAGATTAATATCCCCCAGATAACTCCGAATACCCCGGATATTGATAGATAACGATACTATGATAAAGGTCGTCGCCTGGCTGTCAGTACGACAATAGCCACCAGTACCACCCCGACGTCTAACATTATGGCCTCGAACGACTCTGTGACCGATGCCTCGGAGCCTTACGCGGCTCATGAATACCCTCCGGAGTTCGTGGTTGATTATAGCAATAAGAAGCGTGCGTTTTCTCAATATACACGATTTTCTAAGAATACCGATATAGGGGGACTAACTGGTAATTTTTTTATCTAGATATCGATCAATTTACCCAGGTCTTAAATGCCCCGCCGAGTGCACCAGACGTATTTATCAGTGCCGAGAGCGACTGGAAACCTATACGGCAGCGGGTCGGTAAACGGAGAAGAAAGTCGAGGAAGGACGAAACTAGAGAAGGTACCTGAAATCTGCGTTTTGGAGACAGATGGTTCTTATCTGAATAGGATGCTAAGGATATGCTGGTTTCTAGGTTATTCGTATGCACTATTCAGCTGGCCTTTACTGCTGCTCGTGTTTGGATGGATTCTCTTTTTAGGGTATGATATACCACCCAATGTCCTCCGTGACCCCAGATCTTTGAATAAATTTTCTAATTTTTTTCAATCTTTATTGTTTTCAATTTTAGTTTCTTATACTTCCTGACGAGAATCTACATCTGGTTGTACGAGCATTTCATTACACACCGCGGAAAACGTCAAAGGCTGCGCTTGGCCCTTCGAAAATCCCGAAATTATGATGAATGGAAGGTTGCAGCCCAGGAGTTAGACCACTACCTTGGTGCCGATGAGTGGAGAGAGACGGATGAGTTTAGTTATTATGACTATATCACAATCCGACGGGTTCTGACCGAGCTCCAAGACTTCCGGCTACGAGCGAAGCGGGACGACGACGCCATCGAAGGGTTGGCGGCCTTGGTTAGAGCATGTGTCAAAAATGACTTTGCTGGTATCGAGAATCCAAGGCTTTATAGTCAAACATACTATGGAACGAAAAATCTTCTACAGGACTACTACGATGAGTGTGCGTCTTGAATTTCATACCCAAATTTTGGGCCTTGGCTGACTATTGAACAGTGGAAAGGTGCTTACGCGTTCTCGTTGATTCCGACCAGCTAACATCAGACGAAAAACGAAAGCTATTTAAACATCTATCTAAGAACCTCGGCCGAACAGCTCTTTGTCTCTCGGGGGGAGCATGTTTTGCATACTATCATTTTGGTGTTTTACGTGCTCACCTCGACGCTGGCGTCATCCCTAGTATTATCACAGGAACTTCTGGGGGCGGACTCGTAGCGGCTTTAGTTGGAACCCGAACCGATGAGGAGCTCAAGATCGTTATCCGTCCGGAACTCGCCGACAAGATTACAGCATGCCATGATAGCATGGCGGTATGGATGACTCGGTGGTGGAAAACGGGGGCTAGATTTGACTCCGTTGATTGGGCCAGTCGGGCCTTATGGTTTACTAGGGGCAGCATGACCTTCCGAGAGGCATACGAACGGACAGGCCGAACTCTCAATATCTCTTGTGTCCCGTCAAACCCGAACAGCCCGAGTATCCTCCTAAATCACATTACAGCCCCCGATTGTGTCATCTGGACTGCATTGTTGGCTTCGGCTGCGGTTCCTGGTATTCTGAACCCCGTTGTTCTCATGATGAAAACAAAGAATGACGATTTAATACCCTACTCCTTCGGTCACAAATGGAAGGACGGCAGTATTCGTACCGACATTCCCATTCAAGCCCTGAACCTACACTTCAACGTAAACTTTCCGATCGTCTCACAAGTCAACCCGCATATCACACTTTTCTTCTTCTCCTCTCGCGGTACCGTCGGCCGACCGGTATCTCACCGTAAAGGCCGCGGTTGGCGTGGGGGATTTCTGGGGAGTGCGACAGAGCAATACTTGAAACTCGATTTGAATAAGTGGCTTAAAGTCCTCAGACATCTCGAGCTTCTTCCCCGTCCGTTAGGTACCGACTGGAGTAACCTATTTCTTCAACGATTCTACGGCCGGGTCAATATTCTTCCGCGTACGAAGCTTATTGACTATTACTACATCCTCTCTGACCCTTCGAGGGAACGATTATCATGGATGATTAAGTCAGGAGAACATGCTACATATCCTAAATTGAAATTTATTAGGAACAGATGGAAGATTGAGAAGCTAGTGGAAGAAGGTCGGAGGAAACATAAGGGTAAAGGAGCGGAATTGGAGGCCATCTTGAGTTCAGAGGATATAGCAAGTCTTCTGAAACAAAGGAAAGGCGGTAGCGGATCTATCAGCAAGAGGAACTCCAGGCGAATATCTACGGATCTATCGAATATCACTGGCGCTGCTGCCGGAGGAGCTAGAGATTCCATCAACCTTCCAAATGGTAATGGAGAAAGTACTTCACCAATTACTACTGGATCCGGAGCGACAAGTCCAAATACTCAACGGTTCAGCTGGTTTAAGAATAACCTATGGCCTGGAAGTATTAACGACGTTTTGGCGAGTCCGAAGAATACGGAATTCAGAAGGCGCAGCGTGATGAGTTTGAAGGGGTTAAGTAGATCGCGGAATGGAAGTCAGGAAACAGTAAGAGCTGTGCTTGAGGGTGCTGCCGGTGGGGCTAATGGTGGCTTATTTACGGCGAGCCCTGCACAGGTGGATAGTGGGATGAGCGAGGGAGAAGATGAGGGAAGATATTTTGGAGCGGCCGGAGGGGAGTTTGGAGGGTACGAGGATCTTACTAGCGCCATTAATACAGAGGACAGCGCGAGTGGAAGTGATGGAGATGTCTTTAGTGGAAGTGAGGAAAGGGATGGATCTGAAGAGTACGATGACAATGGGTTGGAGATGGCTGGGGGACCGGTACGGCGAAGGCAAGGGGGTGGCAGTAGTGAGGAAGAAGTTGACGAGGTTGGTGGTCGGCCAGGTAAGGTAGAATTTTTCAGCGCTGGGCCATCTTGAGGGCTATGGCTTTCCACTTTTTTTCCTTGAAACTTTCCTTGGTTTCCTTATGTTATATCTCAGGCGTGAGGTGGTAAATTGTATTTTAAAGACTTTTTGATCCACGGTTAAACGTTATATTTGGGCCATGAGGCCGGCTGGGAATATCGATTGGACATCATCACTGGAGTCGGAGATAATATAGTTAGAAAGGCGCGGGTTCTAATATGGTTTTTTTTACTAGCCTTTCCATCTTTCATTTCTCTTATTATTTTGAAAAACAGATGGTGCATGCCGTTGAGGGGCTTGAAGATTGAATTGAGAAACCAATTTTGACATTTTTAGATATACCGATATCATTTCTTTCTTTTTACAAGCTTCTGATACTAACATCCCTCAAACTCTCCTCCTCAAACTTATCCATACCTTTGCTTCATTGCTCGATATTTTTTCAAATAGTATCTGTGTATAAAATACATATGTTAACAAGATTAATGCGCATTGGATATATATCCAACATCGATCTGACCAAAGGTTATTCCTTCCTTTCTTTTCTTGTTCCACCTCGACTTTTCTGCGGGAAATAAACCCATAGATAGAAGGAAGGACACCTACAGAGCTTCAATCTCCTTCTTAACATACTCCGCCCTAGCTATTGCATTTTTGATATCTTCTTCCTTAGTCAATCCCGCACTCTTTGAGAATGCTTTATGACAGCGTGTGCGGAAGTAATTGTAACCCAGAGGATAACTTTTTCCGAGGTAGAGGAGTTCTAGAGCAAAATATTATATATACATACTTATAATTATATATATGATTTGGGAAGTTTGAAAAATAGGTTTTGGATTGGATTGGATATATGGAGAAACGATTAGGCGAACGAACCTTTGTAGACATTTAGAACTTGGGAACGAAGGATGGACATTTTGATGCCATCGTCGATTTTGGGTCGACTCTGGGCGGTGTGTGATCGTAGGTGGTATTTATAGTATCTCCTTAGGAAGATCTAGCTGAGGTCTACGTACGGTTAGGATTATAGAATACTATCGGCCGTGGTGTTCCGTTATCCGCAAAGTCCGGGCTTGAGCTTGGCTGGTGAACAGTGACGAGGGACAACAACGTCACAACGCGGAAAGTACAACAGAACTTAAGAATGAGCTCGCTAGCTCTTAGCTAGTGAAGTTTTAATTTCCAGCACCTTCCAGCCTCTGGAAGCCTGCATTTTACCTACATTTTATGGATTTCTTCACTTCGGGGTTTGGAAATATCCAGATCGTTCTTTGATCGGGTTGCAAGCGCCTGGTCCCGAAACTATACATTACGTTACGTATGAATTTTAAGAAACCGTTATAATATATAATCTGAGCGACCTAAAACTTCTATGTATGATTCGACGTTACATCAGCAATATATGTTATTACATAACACCTCCATATATGTATCCGCTGGTATTGGCGGTAGATGTAAACTCAAAGAGCACATAAGTACTTTGCGAACATGTCAGATTTTCAAAATCATGGCCCGAAATATACTATAATCTGCGGGACCTTTGGCTAGGCGTCTCGACACCTACTTATTCATACTGGGGTACGTATCGATGGAATGAACTGTTCCCGGGGCCAGCCTATAGGTACTTTCATAAAACCTACATATAAGAGCAGCCATATGATAAAATAGCTGTTAAGCTGTCGAATACATTAATATATGAAAGATGGGATACTAGATCTAAGTACTTGTGGGAATGGGATTATAAGAATGGCATATATGAAGATATTTAAATATTCATTTATATAGTTATGACCGAGCTCTATCTCTTTAGCACCATCGCAATAATCGACTTTAGCCTTGGTTAACTGAGAACAATCAGAAGGATAACTACGAGCTGATGTACCCGGTGATAGGCGCCGTATACCTCGAGCCGGCAAAACCACTAGGGACTGACCTCTTTGGAAGGGAAATTAGGGATCCCAAATTCAAATAACTAGCGGCCGTAACCGCAGACGGCAAAGAAGAATGGGAAACTTATGACATTCTAGACCGCAAAAAGTACCGACGCGGCCATGGCACTCTCGAGTACCATTAATTGGTATCATGGAAATGGAACCAGCGGTGCCCAACTTTCAACTAGTGGGTTAAAATATTAGAAGAATACATATGAACACAAACACTAGTTAATGAAGACCTCCGGCCGCGATTATATATATAAATTAGTATTTTAAATTATAATGCGGGAGCCATTTTTGTTACGTACGTGACAGTAAATTTAGAGTTAACACAAAGCTAGCCTTGTCGATATGACATATATTCGATGATATGTGATCTACACTGTTGAAGCATCATCGCTTATGCATGTTGGGACGAGAATAAGAAGGGAGAATGATCAACAGCTGGAATGAAGCTGCTCCCATGGCTGTTTTTACGAGACTATAGACCTGTATAAGTTGAGATTAATATTATTGGGGGTCGGGGTGGTCTCGTTCCCAGACGTCACAAAGGCTGCGTCGGGGTTTGGGTCATTAGAAGGTGCATGACTTCATGCTGGAAATATGGGGCTTTCGAGGGAAGATTATATCGACCGGAACGTAATTTCACGAGCCCAATCAAGCGCCATGAGCTATACAGATATGGACTGTGCGGAAGCCAAATCGAAGCAGTTCGATGCTCTATGGCAGGAATATTACATATATGTATATGCTTCAGGACAAAAGCTATTCACTCAGTTATTGATGTTGTGAATAGTGAGGTAAAACCTCTTACCACAGTGTATATCTAGTTAGATGGCCGAGAATTTTAATTTTGGAGATTATCAAATCTATAAACTTATACCTTATTAAGAACTAACTATATATATACACCTTATCTTAGCATTCTGACTGCCATGAGGGTAGAGTAGTCACGCATGGGGTCTCATTAGTTTTTCTACCAATGTTTAGATTTCGGATTTTTTTACATTAGTGCATTATTGAGCATACAATTGAGTGGACGCAGAACTCTACAAGTAATTTTTTCATTCGCCTTATACTCAAGCTCTACGAAGCTACTTAGTTTGTACTTCTTCCCCCCTTACGTACCTAGGTTTCGATGTATTTGCATTGTACATGTACGTATACTTCCGGTCACAAGAATGTTTAACAATAGGTATGGTGTTAGTAATATGGTATCTACTATCCACTTATTTTCTGTAACCAAATTCTTCATTGAGCTCAGGTTGACTAGCTTCGAACTAGCCAGTTCGATTCCTTTCAGCTTTGTGAGGAATTAGTGTTGCTCGCGTGGTGCATCCTAATCCAGACAGGCGAGGTATCTCCAACCTGGCGTGCAGCACTGCGCCGCTTGGCTATCAGACATCTCAAGATGGTGTTGTTATACATGAATAATTGAAGGTATTAAGAACATAGCCATTATACCTCTGCAGCTCTGCATGCGTCGTGACATAACATATTATGTTCATCTGATGTGAACGGTATTCAGATGCATTAACAGCATCCAAGACACAGTGTTCGAATGTTCATGCCCACAAGGCTGCAGGTAACCGTATAGTTTCTAAAATTAAACAAATCGATGTCATCGTAGGATTTCTATGATGGCAAAGGATCGGTCCCGTCGGAACCTCGCAGCCGGGTTGTGATTGGAATGGTGGGACTACGAGGTATGTGGAAGAAACCGGAGAGTGTGCTGGTGGAGCATGTTCTGCATGTTCTTTCTCTTCTTGGGGTAGCTGGTGTTGGGTGTGCGGACTTCTAGAAGTCTGCAAGGTTATTCGCATCCAATTTATATACAACGACCCTGAGATCAAGGCTACCCTTTAAGGGTCCTCAAAATATTTGTAGCGTGAGATCGTATATCTCGGCTGAGGAGCAAGGACCATGGCTGTCGTCGCAGATATGGTTCCTGTACAGCTTTTGACTTGAGATAAGATGGTTCGCCCGCGCGCGGCGTTAAGATGTGAAACTCGCGTGGGCCTTGGACGCCTCAGATGGGCGGATTAAACAGTCGAGGACCGGGGCTTCTGACCTAGCCCTGCAGCTTCAACGACAGCGAGAAAGGAAACAAAAAACTTTGCTCATCTGCATTCTGCGTTTGCTCTGGTAGGCATTTAACCCGAGCAGGTGGCTCGTTCCCTTTTGGATTGCTTGCCGTCTCAGGATTGGTAGACACCTTGACCGACGCTAGCTTCACTTTGGCACTGGTTTCGCTGTTCCCGGTTGCAGACGCAGTGGTGGGCAGATAATTTACTTTCGGAAGTAATAGCACCCTAGTTTATTGGTTGTCGACGGCTCGAAATTAAACTCGCTATCCATAAATAGGAGTATAGGAATCGTGGTATCTATGGCGGAATGATTCAGCCTCAGACGAGGTCAGATATCCCACTGCCGTTAGAGGTCTGCGTGAGGCGTATATAGGCTTCAACATTTTCCCTTCTCCCTGAGGTTGAGAATCCTTTATTTCAGCTTGGTTGGTTGGGCATCTTTGTGCTTTTTTATCGTAGTTTCGACGCTCCTAGCGCCGGGTCATTCCTTTCTGTCACCCCTCTCCGTTCCTGCTATTGAACTCGAAGCTCGTGAATTCGTGAACAGTTAACTTTGCAAGGGACTAACAAAGTTCCCACCAATTTACCCCTGCAGCGAAGCATCATATCCGAGCAGCATACAGCGTACATACCAAGCGTCGGCTCCACCATCTGCCACCGGGCCTCTGATTCTCTGACTGAGAATTCTTCCGGCTACCAGGGGCGGCATTAATATATAAAGTAAAAGCAAAGGTGTCGCTTCTCTTTTCGAGGCCTTCCCTCTTACTGACTCAACGGAATCGACTTCTGTTTCTTGTTTTTTCTTTCTTTGGCTTCGATCCTTCGACCTTCGGTCCTTCCACTGTAAGCAATCGAATTCTCCCTAACCCTCTTTCCCCCCCCTCTTCTCGCCTCGCCGTCTGAGGTGCGGCACGGATCGTTTCTCACTGTCTCGTTCGTTGTAGGTCGTTTTGTCCTTGAGGCCACTTGCACTTGCTGGGCATCAGGTTCGGTGACATTGCATTGGCTGCTTGGTTGGTTAGCTCGAAGGCAGCTTCCGGACTGGTGTGGCGGTTAACTGCATTGCATTGTCTTCTGTCGTCTGTCGTCTTCGTCAGCTCCCCAACACCACGTTTCCGTCCCCCCTTAAAAACCTCCAACCTCCAACCGACATCCAGTCAGCCTTCATGATCGTGCCGCTGAGGAAGCACTTTTCCTAGCGAATCTTTTCAGCAAGGAAAACTCCTTTGAGGTCAGCAGGAACTGCAGGAGATTGAAATCTTCTTCACCGACTCCGGTAGTCCTCCGACCCTCGTTACCTTACGATCTTACATTTGAATCAATACTTCATACCTAGTCACTGGTGCAAGCATCCGTTTTCAAAGGTACGTTCCCGCCAGATGCTCGGACATCACCAGCTTCGAGCCCGAGTCCAATATGATGAATACTAATAATAGCTGGCTACGACGTTTAGTCAAGCATTATAGCCTTGGATCTCAAAATCACGTCCTTCTTGTATTACTGCCCGCCTGCAGAATCTGCTTTTTGAAGAGCATAGCGTCTGCCAACCTTCATTAGTTTATAATATCGCATCGAAAGCACCTATACAAACGCTATATACTATAAAAGTTATATATATACTATATATACGCATTCAGAAAAAATGGCTACCAACCGTAACAGCACTCCCGATGGCTCTGCCTCTTCTCTTCGACCTCCTACCAACCGTGGTCATCATCTTCGTGCCTCTGCGGACATGTCTGGGTTCACCTCTCCTCTCGCAAACTCGCGCCAAATCCGTCCTGCTTCCGAAGTTTACTTGAATGCTGGGACGCCACCAGCTCAAGGATCTGAGGCTGAAGCTTATGATAAGGCTGCCCAAAAATGGCTTGCTGATCTTGAGTCCTACGAAAACACCCTCGATGAGATGGCTGCTGCGACTTTGGACCAAGAATTCAAGGACGAATTGAGCGCCATCGAGCAATGGTTTCGTGTCTTGAGTGCTGCTGAGCGTACTGCAGCCTTGTACGCCTTGTTGCAGCAGACGAGCCCAGTTCAAGTTCGCTTTTTCATTGCAATTCTCCAGCAGATGGCCTCAAGCCAGTCTGGTAAGAAGACTATGTTTCTCTATATCTCTTTTCGCATAATTCGTACGCTAACAGACCTGTGAATGTAGACCCACTCTCGAACAGAATGAGCGAACTAATGGTCGGCGAGCAATCTCGACACTCTTTCCCATCTCGACCACCACCATCCCCTACGACTTTGACCAATCGGAACTCTCAGCTTGATCCGGCGACTGTCAGCGCAATGTTCCCAGAAGCTGCAGCCGCTTTGGCTACTCAAAGGGCTCGATACAGCCAGGTTTCTGGTGTTACCCCTGGTACCAAGTCCAATAGGAATAGTGCTATCTTTGAGACCAAACCTTCGAGCTCCTTGTCCACCATGACTTTGGCAAACAACCCACCTGCTTCTCCTTGGAGGCGCGATGAGAGCGTTCCACAACCTGGTGCAAACGGAAACGAAAACAGACCCAAGTCAGGACAAGATAACAAACCTGCTTCTAAGGAAAGCATGGGTAACTGGCAAGCCCCTCCACGTTCTGCAGGCATACGTTCTCCAGGTGTTCCGACTACCGGGTCGAACTTGCAGACCACTACGATTACTAGTGTCAATGGTGGCAATGGAAATGTTGAGATGCCTGAGCTTTCTCCCTTCCCACCTGGTGCCAACTGGGCGTCCATGGTTAACACCCCTGTGGTACCAATGTTTGGTAACGATGCTATGTCTGCCCAGGCCAATGCTGATATGGTGGCCAATGCTACCGCTATGAAGCTTGCCGCCATGTCCACTGTCAATAACCGCTTCTTGATCGACTCCGATGTTCGCAAGTACCGTCGCTCCAAGCCCGATGCCGCTAGCATTCTTAGTCCTGGCCTCCCGCCAAACCAGCAACAGATCCCGGCTATTACGCAAAACGTTATTATGTATAACGAGCGTGGACAGCCTGTCCAAATTCCTGCCGCTGCAGTTCAGGTAGCTGCGGCCCAGCAGCAACTTGCTGGCCAACCTTCACCAGGCCTACAGAGCGCTACATACGCTCGTAAGTTAATATTATTTGTGTACGTTGCAAGTCCAAAGCTAATACTGTATTTTGTGCAGACCTTACATCACCTCAAAACAATGGTTTCTTGACTCCAACCTACGGATCCCCTCTTCTCAGTGGTCCCACGCTCTCTCTCAACCAGTTTGTCCATGCTGGTAGTGAAGGTGGTTATCACAGTGACCATTCCGACCTGACTGGCCGTGGCCGAAGCCCACGAGGAGGTCGACGAGGAAGCAGCAAGCCACCAGAAGACCCAACTGATATCACCCTCTTGAACGATATTCCTGCTTGGTTGCGAAGCTTGAGGCTCCACAAGTACACCGATAATCTCAAGGATCTCAAATGGCAAGAACTTGTTCTGCTTGATGACGAAGCCCTCGAGAAACGTGGGGTTGCAGCTGTTGGTGCCCGTCGCAAGATGCTGAAGGTAAAACTTAATTCTCGAATATAAAACGTGTTAGGATATCAGGACGCTAACTATGGATTTCTTCCAATAGGTCTTTGAACAAGTCCGTGACGCTAAGACCGACGGCAAGTTGCCTGCATAGAAAAATGTTCTAGCTCCTGTATAGGGCCGGCATGAGACCAGATACCCTCATTTATAGAATCCGCTCTTTCAGTAGTACTTAGGTATCTCTAGTACAATTGCGAGCCATTAGCTTTCATTTCTTGCTTCTCCTTCACGACCTTAACTCGCGATTGCCTTCTCCTTCCCCTTCTTCTCCTCCTTCTTTTTACCTAACGCGCCATAATATTCTCTCTTTCTATTCCTAATGCGCATATGCATCATGCAAGCAAAGCTTTGTACGAGTTGATGAGATCCATTCATGTTCATAAATTTCGATATTTCTACCTTTCCTAGCGATGTTTCAACAGCTTGATTCGCACCAATCAAGAGTTCCATGGCCATCCCCTCTTCCATCCAAAAGCTCTATTTCCACTCTCCGTTTTTCCGTAGAAAATAAGTAACTCACGAATGCATATGTCCAAAATAGTAAAGTGGGATTGATATCGATGACTAGATGCTGCGGGGTCTGTGCGTTGGCAGCAGCCCATTGCAGCTGCACCGAAAAAAAATATTTGATGCGAACCAGCCAACACCAACTTCCGAATAGGCGGGATCTAACCTTACGACAGTCTCGAAGTCATCGGCACACAATCAACTTTTCATTCCTTAGCCAGAGGCAGTTCTCCATCACGTACGGCGTAGTTGTATGTAATCCGAAGATATTTGCGCCCATCTAATCGAACATTCATCCGTCCTTTTCAGCCGCTCGACCGGCAAGATAACCACCCACCATGTCGAATAACCAGTTCACTCCGAACCCTCTACGGCCGTATTATGTCCCTCCAGCTCACGACTTTCTCACCGGGAAGCTGTCTACGGCTACAAGCTCATCAGCTACGACCCTTGCTTCTACATCCGCCCGCAATGCCGCTGCTGCTTCTCCGTCCTACATCAGCTCCGCTACACGCGACATGCTGTCCGACCTCGATTACTCAGAATATCTCGAAACTCCGAGTGTTACTGTTATGATACGGGATATGATCGATACTGCCATGATGAGGTATACTAGTGTGCTGATATTGCAGCCGTTTAAGGTAGCGAAGACGGTTATGCAGTGTCAGTATGTGCCTAGGCAACCTAGTGGGAAAGCTGGTGAACGAGTGGCAGGTACAGGAAGTCGGAGCAGACGGAGTAGCGAAGTCTCGCCTGGATTTACAGAGTATGGAGGAGAGTGGGGTGGTCAGGCAAATGTGAGGAACGAGAGTAGCTTGAGCTAGGAGATTAGAATTTTGCTGATTCGGCCGTGCACGCTTAGGGCGAAGATTCCGAAGACGACGATCCACCATATTTCGCTTCAAACGACAATGTTGATGAAGCCGGATCCTGGTCGGGGAGCCAAAGGAGGAAAAGAGAACGAGATCCTAGTAGAGGCCGAAAGATGACGGATCGAAGCGGGAGGATGATCACCGATGCTACAAATGCAGCTCCTCAGACGGACAAACCAGAACATTCGTGGCAGATCAGTCCTCGGAAGGTTGGCTCGGTGGCAGACATGTTGGGAGCAATATGGAATAAGGAGGGTGTATGGGGAATATGGAAGGGTAAGGATTTTGCCCGTTATATTTCAGCCTCCTTGCTGATATCTTGAGTTAGGGTCGAACTCGACATTCGTATATACAATCCTGACGTCCACACTGGAGGCTTGGACACAATCGTTCCTTTCAGCAGTAGTCAACATTCCAGACCCTTCGATAACAGAGGTCATTGACTCCCCATCCCCAATAACAGCGCTATGCATTGTCGTAGCGTCTTCAGCTATTACAGCACTTCTTCTCGCTCCGCTTGATATTGTTCGAACGAGAATAATTATGGCGCCTTCAGACGACAAACCGCGGACCATGCTTCCGCTCCTTCAGTCCCTACCATCGTATCTCTGCCCGCCATCCCTCGCTTTCCCGACAGCCCTTCATGCCGCACTCCCCGCCTTCATTTCTACGGGTGTGCCTTACTACCTCCGTATGAATTACGGTATCGACCCTGTTGTGCGCCCGGCTATGTACACAATGTGTACGTTCTTTTCATCCACAGCAGAGCTATTCATCCGACTACCACTAGAAACCAGCTTAAGGAGAGGACAACTCGCTGTTGCCGCACCCAGAAAGACAATTGTGCCAACTGGCAGTTATTACGGGTCCTTCGGTACCCTGTGGAGCATCTATCAGACCGAGGAAAGCGGTGGGACGACCGGCATCGAAGGACTATATAGAGGATGGAAAGTTGGAATGTGGGGTTTACTAGGCACATGGGCAATGGGAGCGTTCGGTGGGGCGACCGCGGGTGGAACCGGTGCGCCTTTCTAAATCCTCAGTTTTGGGATGGAAGGGGACCGAAAGTTTTTGGTTGCGAGTTCATGAACTTATGACACCGGATTTTGCAGCCTTCGGGCGGGGGTTAAAACTTTTACCAAATGGAGTTCTCGGCTTGGCACTTATTCGTGTTTCTTTGCTTTAATTGGCGTTTTCTCATTTTTTGAGATTGACTTCAAGTATATAGCTTTAGAAACAAAGGACGACTCTTCTCTCTTGTATGCGTCAATACTACTCATCTCATATTCACTCCTATCAAACGATGCTTGAAGATTTTGGAAAGGCTTGTATGCTGCCGTGATCCGGGGAGATATCATTTCCGTCAAAGCCGTACATATCTGAATTCTGAGGCTAACGCTACAGTGTATATATAAACCTAGCTAGCTTTGATATAAGAAGCATAGGTATCTCCAGAAGCCAGTTGTATATGTCTAGCGGACCCAGCTTTATAGGTTCTCAACATTAGAATCCTCCATTTCGAATACCAATATTTCCTACGACCTAAGCTTAGGCTTCTGGAAATTTAATATCTCATAAACGAACAATAGTACTCCGGGAGCTAACCCTAATTAAAACAGTACCTCTTTCAAACCGCAAGTCAACGGTGATCTTCAATATTTCAACTGTAGCAATCAAAGTTGTCTATAACTAGATTCTCCTTTGGCGGAGTTAAACAGCAGAACCGTTATAGATAGATACCATGGCTCGAATTCCACGGTAAAATTCGACCTAGCTTGTATCGGTGTGAGTTGGTCCACTGTGCAACTGGAAATTTGGATTTCGGGGCGGCTATTTATCTCATACAAGGTGCTGGACCTATATACACCATGGATGGTAGATGCTCGAGAAGAATGGATTGAAGCGTTAGGAATACGGATCATAAGATCTGTACATATAAGAAGAAGTTTCGGGTTCTATCGGCGTATATTACCGATTTTTACTCTATAAACTAGGTATTTGACTTTCTATGATAGTTAGAAGAAATTACATACTTTCCCACCTGAATATAGATAGTTGGATATGCTTATTTCCCAGTCTACCGTATATCGGTTTTATCCACCGGACACTGGATTCAGTTGCTAGCATTTGTTGGATTCTGGGGGGAACTGTGTTGTTAAGGGTGCTTGTGCTAGCCTCGAAGCTAATCTACGTCATGAATTCCTCAGCTGCTAAGTTCATTTCATACTATTAAGTCTCCCTTGCCTTGTGGTCCAAGCATGCTCTAGTGACGATTGGCTTAAAGAACCTTCGGATTTTCTATCGACAACTCCAGGAATTGGGATCTCGACTCTTCGACCGAACCTGGTCTTAATTAAGCTTGCCAGGATCATTTTGCGGGAAGGTGCTTTTTTGGGAAGTCAAGTTTCGCTTGGTCATACGAACTTCTACGGCCGGAGCCTTATCAGTTGCGCGCGATTTATAACGAGAGACGCAAACCAGCAAGTGCAAAATTTCCGAATTTTTAAAACTGAGCCGGAAGTCTTGCCTGTGCTATTCTATTCGAATTCGACATCATCAGTAAATTCTCCCAGGTAATCGTTGAGATATCGTCATCATGCCTCAATACAAATCATCACCAGCCGCTTTGATATCAATCCCGGTCTCGCCATTGACCCCAGCAGCGTTTGCTCCATTCGGCACCATCATCGAGAATCCAAGATCTGCTCCAACATCCGCAACAGTAAACCAAGGCACTGCCGAAAAGTACCCAGAAATCTCACCGTTCATTTCATACGCAGCACCTTCTGGGAAGAGTGCATCGGGTCGTCTCAACCTTTTCGTTTGTAATCCTCGAAAACTTGGCGACAATGGCCGGACTTTTACAGTACATATCCTTGAACGTCATCCATATACGACACAGACATTCATACCTATAGGGCTGGATAAAAGCGATCCTGCAAGGAAATACCTGGTCATTGTTGCTCCTACGCTTGATCTTGCATCTGATGGAGTAAAGCATGCATCAAGGCCACCTCCGTATCCCTTGAAAGAGAAGAAGAGGGTTGGGATTAGAGGCTCACCTCCATATCCGGTACCACCCCACGGAACTGTTGATACACCGGAGACAGAGGATTCTACTCTTGACACTTCAGGGACGGTTAAACCGAAGGGACGAGGGCTGCCGGATTTGAGCAATATCCGGGCGTTTATGTGTCGCGGAGATCAGGCAGTCACATATGGCGTTGGAACATGGCACGCACCTATGGTTGTTCTCGGCGAGGGACCAATTGAATTCGTTGTCGTTATGCATGAGAATGGAGTCCCCGTAGAGGATTGCGAGGAATGCGAGATTGAAGGTGGGAGGGTTAAAGTCGAGATCGGAGACCAAGGACAGATAAAGGCAAAGCTTTGAGAATATAAACATATATTCATATTGGCATTGAAAAGTAATATGGTTTTCTTATATTCCCCAAATTGACCACTTTTGAGCGTTTCTAGGGATATCAGGTCAGGCGATCGGTTTTTATGTACACTAGCAGGGTATCGGATGCTTTCGTTTCTTGACCAGACTAAACGGTCGACTTTTATATAATACAAAAAGAAGATATCTATAATTCATCAATCGTAAGACCGCAATTAGGCGTCCTGGGAGGTAGAGGCTTAATAAACATCCTCGGGACTGACGAGAAATTCTTCTCCTTTTTCCCGTATACTTTCCTTCTTGACATCTCTCTTCATCGGTTTCCTCATATCTAATGGACTGTTAGCCACTTCCAGAATATATATACTAGAGAACGGGGAAGGGGAAAGTATACCGTATGCATCTTCAGCCTCTGCCCCACCACCAGCACTATAATACCCCACCACCCTCCTGTAGACACTATACCCCATTTTCTTATACATATTCACTGCTAGCTCATTGCTAACTCTCACATATAAATCGACGAAGTATCCATCATAAACTTCCTCACTAACTCTCTCCAACTCTTCCATTAGTACTTTCGCCAGCCCGAGCCGTCGGTACGCCGGTGCAACCGTCAAAGCCGTAACGTGACCGTGCCATTCCTTCCCCTCGCCTTCAGCCTTTCCCATAATATACGCCATTATTGTCCCTGTGGGGGATACGACTACTAAGAAGAGTTTGGGCCATCTGGAGAGGTAGGAGAGGTAGAAGCTTATGTCGTAGTTTTCAGTGAGAACGTCGAGGTTGGTGGGGTTGAAGGAGAAGAGATCTACGGCAGTGAAGGGGCGTATGGATGCCATTTTTGCTAGAGATGTAGGACGGGCTACGGAGTAGATGAGATAGCTTTGAGGGTGGTTGAGGTTGGTCAATTGGAGCGGCTGGCGGATTTGCGCCGCATTGAAGGGTTGTTGTGGGCACAGCGAAGCATCAAGAACATCCAGGAAAGGAAGTGGAGATTTGACTGGGATCTTGGAATGGCAACGCAAAAAGTACCACATCGAACTTGATTTGGTGCATGCTTGATATTCAGGCTGTACAGTCAGTATTTGGGTTATGACTATTTGGTTATCAAACTTGTTACAATTGTATGAGTACAATCGCTATAACATTAAGAACTAGTACCTACTGGATAAATCGCCAACAGAGGCTTGCGGCTGAATTCTATGAGCTGAAATCCGCGTGCCACATGAAATTCGTCGCCAACCCCGGATTCGAGATTCACGCTAAAGTCGTTCAACATGCTCGTAACGACTATATAGGATTATAATCAATGGCGTATTCAAATTTTAGATGAATGAAATGCGGAATCTGAACCAAGAAGCCCTTAATAGCTTAACCTATTACAAGTGAGATCGTTGGGTTTGAATCTAGATCTTTAACGGTGGCCCATTCGTGGTTGCCTCGCGCGCTAGATCTATAGAGAAGGAGGACTTTCCTCGTGCGACATCTCACTCTACAGTTGAATTGAGGCGAGAAGAAATTATACATTTGTACCGATCTGCAATTCGAGGCTTATACCCCCTAGGTTGGGTTCTATCACAAACTCATCATTGCGTTATTATTTTCTATAGATAGGACCAATTTTTCGCATTCTGAGTTTTGATCGATGTGCAAGCCTCTGACCCCTAAGATAAATTGTGAGCAGGGAATATTAATGCTTTTTGACTTCAATTTCGGAAACATCGAATTTATTCAAGTGACCCTGCTATATGGCTATAGAAGCCATAGTTCAGCTTGTTAACATATCATATATTACGAAGGTTTCCGTAAGAATATCATTCATAAAAGAGGCTATCTGTAGGTTGTAAAGTTATGCTACAGGACTACGCACAAACGGGTGAGAGCTTAACTAATGGAATCGGATCATTTTTTGTTTCGCTCTAAATATAGGCTCTGCTGCAAATTCATCCGGATTTTATGTCTATATCAGCACTATCACGGAATGAAATGGCAGAACTCAATATATATATATATAAGCGCTGTTATATTAAATCCTTTCTAGAGATTCAACCTGGCGCGAGTTTATTCCAATTGTTAGCAACTGGAATTCTTGCCGGTATCTGAACGTCTCCAAAGCATGGGGGTGTTCGAAGTTACTTTTGTCAGAATGTCGGGAAATGAGGAGATAGAAGGAGCGTTCGGATATGCCGAAATACAACTGACTACACCAACAAACGATTATCTTCTTATGTGTACTAGTATACTCCATACCGTTAGTTTCGCTATCGAGGGGCGCCAGGCGCGGGTGGTGTTCGCAAGACTTAACCCTTCACTTCAAGCATGTTATAGTTATATGCGGCATCCAGATCCAACAATATGTTTTGCAATCCAGATTCTCGCTTTGGTTTCTTGTGTCCCATTCGATTGGGTTTCTTGCAACTACATACCTACCTAGGTACTTAGGTAGTATGTATTATAGCTCTGTCCTATCTGGAAGGAAAAGTTATGAAAGCGACATGAATGCAACATAACACCTAAGCAACTGATTAAACATGTTGGATCAAGACAATCAATGAGAAACAAAGACTGGTTAATGTTCGCCGCCATAAGTGATAAATTAAATCTGGCTCTGAATTTTTATGACAAGGCAATTGAGACAATCACTGGGCAGAAATGCAACCAATTAGCCAATACAATTAACTTAGAAATCTGGAACCCCCAAGCTCTTCTTGCGTATACGTAAGTATATATACATGCAATCGAAACTTACGATCGTCCAACTTTAGTTTATGAAACCAACATCGACCCGGTCAAAATATGTTCGCAAGACCACCTAAACGAAAATAGTACCTGATAGCGATTCAGAATCTACCACACGGCAAGATTTGTCCCCCTTTTTCTCTTTGTGCATGAAAATGTGTGCTATTTATGCCCTGCTACTTCAACAGGATTATATCCTCGCTGTAACTCCCAGTCAAACCGGAGGAGTTGCGGTGGCAAGAAGGATTCGACTAGCTGGGGGTTAATGACACAACTTGATAACTGCTGCATAACTTAAGACGTGCAAACTTAGGTTATCTAATCGCATATCGATTCCGTGGTCTTCCAGGATGTGCTTCGAGGATGGTATTCCCCTGAATATATATCGGCTAATCCACAGTTGTCAGTGGACGTCCCTTCAAGTACTCCTCATTACTTTGAATGAGTTTTTTTGCGACTACATTTCTATTCCCTTCAGATATTTTCGCCTGGCAATATTCGATAGAACAGCTATGGCTTATCAGCTATATCGATATAACGCTGAGGCCTCGGCTGCCCTACTGGCTGCGGGGTTCTTTTGCTTGATTCTCACGTTTTCGGCTTATCGAATGTATACGACGAGGTCATGGTTTATGTGCATCAGCATTGTTGCTATAATCAGTAAGTGTTCCTCTCAATTTAAGTACCTAGATGTATTTTATCGACTAGGATTATGATATATACTGATAGATATGATGGCGAGCAGTGGAGATAATCGGTCTCCTCACTCGATCCCTGTCAATTCTGCAGCCACAGAATTTCAGTGCATTCGTTGCAAGCGTAATCCTCCTAACGTATGTAGCATCGTATGAGAAAAAATGATAGCGAGATATGTCGCTAACGTTATATCTGACTCTTGTAATACAGCCTCGCACCATCGGTTCAAGCTGCCAGTCTGTACACGCTTGGCGGCCGTGTAATTCGACAATCCACGCCATCGGATAAGCAAGATGTCGCTACGTTATGGTTCCAACCTCAATACCTGACGGTGGCATTTATTGCACAAAACATACTAGCAATTGCAATTCAACTCTTCGGAATTGGATACTTTATTAGTGCTGTCACGGCCGAAGCTCGAAAAGACGTTGATCCTACCCCAGAATTACAACGAGCAATGCATGTTCTGGTGTTTGGATTCTCTTTTCAGATTTTGACACTCATTTTCTTCCTTATTCTTACTACGAGGTTCCAGATCAAGTCGTTTGATTGGTTGCCGCAGTTGAAGGGTAGAGGATTATCAGAGAAAGTGGTTAGGACTATATTCTATGTCTTGTATCTTTCGACGGTTCTTCTCATGGTATGATATAGCCGGCACCATGGCACCTTTTAAAATGACAAGGATACTAGATATATATAGAAACTAACCTGATATTTGCATACAGATCCGAACATTATACCGCCTTAACCAGTTCGTAGCAGAAACGACATTATCGAGTTCGTTTCTAGTTACGCAGGAGTGGCCGTTCTGGGTATTTGAGATTTTTGTCGTCTCTTGTAAGATTATTTCTCCCAAAAAGTTATTATTGAAGCCGAAGACTAACATCTGGTCTATACTTTATAGTAATATATGCGAGCTACTTGGTACCCCAATATCCGGGTAGATGGTTCGAGAGGGGTGGCCCGTTGGAGAATGACTTCGAGACAACGGCTGGACCCTCAAAAGCAAAGCAAGATATTGAAATGGGAACAGATGAGGAGAGTGTTCATGAGATCAGAGATAGTGTCAGGGAGGCATACGGAGAGTTTAAATTTGACTTGTAACTGTTATTAGCATTCCCTGAATTGAATTGCGTGGCCTGAGTATCTACGGTTTACACGATAATTATCAGCGGTTTATACGAGGACGAGGCGTATCACTAGTATTATTTGAAATACGATATCATGTATCAGTGATTAGGTACCTATATACTATCAATCTCAATATGAACCCAAAACAAAAGACTACATGAGAGTATAGAAAAGGCAATATGAAGTCTCAAGAATATATTAATTTGATCTATTGTGTAAGGCTAGTATATATTTGTCTCGTTGCAATTGGAGCTCGTGAAACGGCGTGCAGCCTTTCCGCGGGATCCCTGCACATGCAGCTGGCCACCGACACACGAGCATGCCTGTTGGACGGAACATGCAAATATAAATCCGATTTCGTAATTTCTCTAGGTTCGTCATCAGGAATGTATGATCCATCTCCTGTAACTGCTTTTTATAACCAGAAACTTATATTTTCCAAGTTGTCATGAAGAAGAGTCCATATATTATCCTGGTATATTATAGAAAGCCTGGAAAGATGCATAGAAAAAGGTGTTGGTTCGACTTCGACCCACTCGGAGCTAGCTAAGCTTCTCCTCATCAACCATCCAATCAGCATCGACGGCGTCCTGTCGGCCAACCGTTTCGATTTGTTCGAAAACTTCGGACCAGCTGTCGTTTCACCTTCCAATACGTTCTCACTATCAGTCAATCACAATCTCACCTGCCCTTTGGCTCCCGCATAAGCACAAGCGACGCCAGGGGCAGTTACCGGCTCACTGGGAAGGTCGAAAGCCTGCCTTTGCTTTGTTCACTCCCGAACCAGAACTTTACTCCTAACCCTTCTGGCGAGACAGCCCTTCGACTTTCCGGCAATCAGAACTCAAGCCCACTCCGAAAAGTCTATAGCTCCTCTCGTTCTGGAAAAACCATAAACTCCTCGAAGTCTATATTTATTTCTTCACGACTGTCCCTCCGTTCTCGGTCGGTGACGGTGGCTCCATCCGTCCGCTTGTTCCCGGTGCCCACTTTGGTCCCCTAAATTTAACATTTTGAATTTGCTCTCGCCGACATCATACGCTTGTTAAAATCACAATACTCCGTGCTGTGCGCTCAGATCGCTCCTTTTACTCTCTCCTTTCACCTCCCTGGAACCAATAGTAACAATGGCCGACTACTACGACGAACACGATTCCTATGGCTACGATGATGATATCGGACCTGCTTCGCCAACAATGTCGGCTCACAATGCTGCTGCAAATGGCTTAGGCTCTCTTGCAGATGAGCTGGCTGCTGCATGGTCAGATGAGGAGGGCGATGAGATGGACGGCGAAGATGGCGATGTACCCCGCTCACCGACCACCCCTAGGTCACCTACCCACCGCCGACACGCATCAATATCGTCCGTAGGATCGGCCAGCAGCCAGAGAAGACGGTTCGCTAGACTATCGAACGACACAGCGAGCAGCATGGTTTCTAACGGCACCTCTGCTACATCGGCTACAAATGCCAGCAAACCTATGATCAGGCATCATAGGCGGATGTCGAGTTCAGCGACAGTGGAAATTAATGGAAATCACGATGGTATCCCATCATCATTGGAAGATAAAATGGAGCAAATCGAGTCTGAGGCTCTAAGGGGTTTATCAATGGTTAAGGCATGGTCCAGGAGGCAACGGGCAGGGATCTTGAAGCGAAGACCAGGGATTAATGGGATGGTGGATAGCGAAGAGATCGAGGAAGATGATGACCCGATCTGCAGGCTACTAGAGGGGTTGCAGAATCTGAGCAGCCAGAGTGGGATTGAGACGGGGACACAGCGGTACGTACTTTTATTCGATCCGTGTGGGTGAAGGCGTACGTACACGCCGAGAACTCTCGTTCTGACATGATTTCCAACATCAAGGCTTATTACCGCCCACAACTCTCTTTCCACCCACGTCCAAAACCAATCTCGTACACTCCGTGATTTATCACTGCAATTAAACGCCCCTGGAACAACCGTCACGACTGCTGCACCTCGCCTAAGCACTCAGCCCATCACAATATCTTCAAAGGGTGCTGTTTCCGATGACGAAGATGAAGACGACGATAAAGAGGATGACGACGACACGACACCTCTGTTCGCAAATTTACTCTCTACAGTTCCAACACCCACAATCCAACCTCTCCAGGACCTCCAAAACATCCACCAGTTGACCGTTCAGCTGATCTCCCACTTCGCCGGTTTGTCGGATGCGATACATATGTTCAAACAACAGTCGAATGCTGCCAGTCGAAAATTACGTGGCGCGAAAGAGGCCATTAGAGAATATAAGCTTGAAGTTGAAACCGTCGAGCAGGCGAGGCAGTGGATCGACGAAGGTGATTGGGACCGACGGCTTGACAATCGAGAAGCCGCTGGAGTCTGCCGAGAGGTCCTTGGTGGCTTTGAGGATGTTATCCGAAACATGGAAAGACGAATCGAAGGGCTTTGTTAGGGACGAAGTCTTACAGGTTCTGAAAGGGGGGTTGTTTGGGATTTGGAAGGGAAATAAATGGTGTTAGGTGCCGGGATTGTGGATAACTTCTGATTTTTAGATGAGGAAGATACCCTCTGCTCATTTTTGATTCTTTGCCTTTTCCTTTTTTTTTCTTTTCTTCTTCATTCCATTTCGATATATTTTGTCATTTCAAAGAAACGCTTGCATGGGTAGGAAAATATTTGGTATACCTAGGTATATATAAAGAAAGCTTTCCGAATTTTTTTTCTCATGATGGTGGCGTTTTTTGGACCTCTATTCTTCTGTTTCTTTTCTGAAAGTAGAAGCTTTATAATGTATCTTTTTATACGATAGACTTTTATGGTCCTTTGGATGATGGTACGGTTGGTGTAAGGACCGAAATGATATTCTTGCCCTAACAATAATACATAAATAGTACTATAGCTTGATCGATCCTGGATATTCTAAACGATCGGGAGTTAAACCGAGGCATCATCCCCAATCCTCCAAACGTTGAGCCCACCGTCGAACCCACCACTTATCATTAACTCTTCCTCTTCCTCTCCATCTTCCTCGCTAACGGCGGCAGCAGCCAAGCACCTGACCTTACGCCCACTATGACCCTTCAGTTCGGCCTTCACCTTCCCACTTTTAATTTCCACACCTTTGATTACCCCATCATCACCGTTGATCCATAATCCACTGGCAGAGGTATCACCCCTCCATGCTACGATTCCGGTAGAATAGGCACTTAATTCTACAGGAACCGTAAATTCTTTGTCTACTGTATATGTCGAGAGGTTGTAGATTATGGCCTTTGGGGAGGGGATTGACGATGTTATCATGGCTAGGAGGTGTGGATGGTGTGGATGTGGAGTTAGTGATGTTGGGGTGTATGTTAGCCATGATGTTGAGGTTGCGTTAAGTGGGTTTTTCGATGTAAATGTGAATTGTGCGGATGACGTGGTTGTGGAAGATGAGGTTGTGGAAGAGTTATTCGAAGGGGTGGACCAGATGTGAAGGTATGGCGAGTCTCGGATTGTAGTGATTAGTAGTGGTGTGGAGGAAGGCTCTTGGGTCGGATTATCGGCCCTGTAGTCTTTGGTGAATATCACGTCCTCGACTGTTTGATCAAATTTGATGGTTTGAAGAAATTCAAGTCTTGGAGAAGGGATATCGATCTCTGAGGTCGAGTTCATGGCTTTTGGGAGGTAAAGTTTGTGTACTGAAAGAGATTTATCGTAACTTGCTGCGGCGAGGTATCTTGTCTCTTCTTCTCCATCTGCGCCATTTTGAGATTCAATTGGTTCTGAGACCGCGATTTTGACGATATACTTTGTATGACCGGTCCATTTGTCCACAATGTTACCCTTCAAGTCTGAAATGGTGATTGCGCCTACCATACTTGCTGTTACCAGCCATCTTTGGGATATGGCAGCTACGCAAAGGATAGGCCCCGCGTGTAGGTTTGAGAAGGTGGTGAGGAGGGTGTATGGTGGCTTTGCACTATAGATCCGAAGAGATTTGTCGGATGATGTAGAGATTATTACTTGTTGGGATGATGGTTGAGTAGTAGAGTCCTCTGTCGGTAACATCAAAGAGGCTAGAGAGACTGAGAGAATGTTGAAGCTGGTGGAGAGAGTGGTTAAGGTGGTGGGGACGGTTGGATCTAAAGTTAACAATGAAGAAATGGTTTTGTAAATTTTGCGTTGGATTCGTTGGATTTTTGAATACGTAGAAATTGGGAAGAACATACATGGAACGACGAAGTCGACATCTTTGGCATCGACATTGATCTTTTCGAAACGGACAGCTAGGTCGTAGAGTTTCTTCTCCTCGAGGATCTGTTCGATGGTTAGATCGGTGGGGTGATTGGTGATAGAATCTCCTGTTAGATTGGTTTCGCGGATGAATGCCTGGAATGTCTAGATAGTCGATGCAATGAGATGTTAGTATATACATGTATGCAGCTTGCAACCTGACCTTTCGGTGAAGTATATTAGGTGTATGCATGGACTCATGCCATTTCACCTCATGATAGTTGTTTGCTCGAAGGAATCGAGCTACTAGTACGTCTGGGGAGTCACCGGCAGGCATGTTGGTTTAGAATACGTAGTACCCAGTTGGTTGTATATGTTATACGGCCGTCTCTACGAAATCTAAAGTAGAGAATGGAGATATATGTGGAATACGATGCGATAAGGAACTGATATTATCAATCAATGTAGAGATTCTTCTTTATATTTCCATGTTATAACGTTATAATGTTAACATCTAGAATACGAACTTCCTGGCGAACAAAAGATCTTAAAATTATGGTAGTTTGTCAGTAAAAAGATTTGGCCGCAGAATGGAATGGACCACTACGTCCACCTCGATACTGCAATCGTAAAATCGTGCAGACTCTCGTAGCGACGTCATGGTGAGTAAAGCGCCCTGTATAAACACCCCTCTTACTCTCCCCTCCATAATACCCCTCCCGTAATTCCTGCGAAGGAAGAACAAGAGAAGAAAAGAGGATTTGGAGGGAAATGCTTATGTTATCTCTTCTTCGCACCAAAATAGGTCTCTGCCGCGGGTGTGGGATAGCAGAGACCAGAGTGTTGGCGAAGTGCAAGTTCATTGTTTATCAGAAATCACTGTTGTCCTCGTAAGAGGTTTGATAATTGTTTTGTTACCATGTATAGTGTGTATTGATGTTACAGACACTGGTACTTTGGTGACAGTAGGTGAATAATGTATCAAGCATCAAGTATGTATGTAAAGCAGAAACCCCCAGCTGCAAGCAAAACACCGATGAATAACACCTCCCGACCATTGGGGGGAAAAAAGGTTAAAACCCTGGCATTAAAAGTCGTAATATATACAGAGAAACCGAGTAAAAGGATCGTAAAGACATTAAACTTTTGTTTTCAAGTCGATTTATGTCGTTTACTCTTCTGGGACTGGGGTGGGTGTTAGTAGGAGAAAAATAATTCAAAGACGAACGACTGGTACTCACTCTCAACCTCTCCGTTGTCAATCTCCTCCTGGACATCCTTGGGGCTCTTGCCATCGACCTTGCAGCCGACGCTGAAAGCAGTTCCGAGAATCTCCTTGACAGTTCCCTTCAACTCCTTGGACAAAGACTTGTGTCTCATGACCCTGGCGATCTCAATGATCTCATCCAAAGGAATGGACTTGGTGTGCTTGATGTTCTTCTCCTTCTTTCGGTCACGTGGTGGCTCCTTGAGGGCCTTGATGACAAGGGAAGAGGCGGTTGGGACGACGGAGACGGCGGCTTGACGGTTCTGGATGGTGAGCTTGCAGGTGACTCTCAAACCCTTCCAGTCCTGGGTGGCCTTGGCGATATCTTCACCGACTTTCTTTGGGGAAAGACCGAGAGGACCAATCTTGGGGGCAAGAGCGGAAGAAGCACCGACTTCACCACCGGTGGCACGGAGGTAGCTGAAAGGACAAGCATGTTAGCACATCACCACCTCCCTCGAGCGATGCTGAAAACCCAGATGCTCTTAAACTACACCCCCCCCACACACATCATTGAGATAGATGACTGAGGGATGAGAAAAAAAGAAAGAAAATATGGAGTACTTACATGACCTTCACCTCATTTGGATCAAATTTTGGAGCTATAGTTCATCCGATGCGACAACATGCAACTCGTCAGCATTATTCCTTTTATTTTTATTAATCAGAACACAAGTCTGCCGTCTCGCTCAAATCGACAATCCAATCTTCCTGATCATATGGCATAGGTGGTACTCGTCGACAGGGACTACAGCTCAGAATAATCGAGTCTGCTTTGATCCCTTGTCGTTTGTATAAAATAATATGGATGTTTGAACGAGCTCGTATCGCCGCCAATGATCAGGAAGGGATATGTCGCCAGCATTGAGACGACGATGGAATTAATGCATCGAAGGACGTACGCATGGCGAAGCTGTCAAAATAATGATCTTGCTAAAACACAATATGTATTTATTTGGTGAGGGTGAAGTTGATGATAGTTGTCGATGGTTGAGCGTGAAGAAAGACTGATACTGGCGGGACCTTTTGTTGCAGGTTATCAAAAAAATAATTTCAAGGAAGCGATTCACGTGATCTCTAATTTTTGGCAGTCACCTTGTGTTGCGAGTTTTGTGGGGGCTGATTAGGGCTAAAGTCTGGCACAACACCCAACTGGACAGAGACAGGCTCTTCCACATTAGCGACATCTCCAAGATATCGGACATCATCACCTTCATATTCCCACCCCTAACGAACCCATAATCCACGAAGTTACGGTCTTCGATCACATATCCTCACAATGGCCAGTAAGTAAACTTCTCTATATACCTCGATATGGACTTTGTTTCGACTTCTTGGATTTATGCTAACTGATACTTTCACAGAGGTACATTCTTCCCTCTCTTTCCTCAATCGACGCCCGAATCGATAGAAATTCGACTAGATTTTTCGACGATGGAAACAAATCAATCTTGCGAAACGACCTTCTGACTCTTTTGTGCCGATATTCTAGTCGAAAAACTCGTCTCAACATAACCAGAGCCGCAAGGCCCACCGAAACGGTATCAAGAAGCCAAAGACCTTCAGATACCCGTCGCTGAAGGGTACCGACCCCAAGTTCAAGCGAAACCACAAGCACGCTCTCCACGGAACTGCTAAGGCTTTGGTGCGTTAATCCGACTCTTGATTTGTTTGGTTGTTGGTCTCGGTGACCGAGGGTTCTTTTGCTGACTTGGATTTTTTGTGGAATTTATAGAAGGAATTCAAGGCTGGATTACGGGAAACCGCGTAGATGATTGTTTCTTCGTCTGCGTAGTTTGTTCTTCGTCTTCCTAGTTCTTGTTGATATACCATACGCTTTTTTATACATCGCTTTTAACTATCTCCTTTTCCTTGTACCTTATTCACGGAGCACACCTTTTTACGTCTTTCATCACGAAATCTTCATGCCTATACCACAGGCTGAAACGACATCCGAAACGGCAGGCAGATATAATTCTCTGACCGTTACCTCCTCGAATACACTGGAGTATACCTTCAGAAATAATAACACTGTTCGCGGCCCCATTTTATAGGCGTGATTACATTTGTCTTGTTGATGTGTGCTTTTGAATATGACATGAGGGATCAGAACGAAGAGGGAGAAAACAGGCATTAGTGTGTACAGCTTCGAGTACCAAACATACTCCAATGCTCAAAGCTGAAGGATAAAATGGATTTACAACCCATTTTCCGTGCCGATATTGACGTACTCTTTGTCTTCATTACCAAACACGTACGAACTTAACCCTTTGCATACGGGACGAACGTGCATGGAGAAGACAATACATTCTTTCAATCTCACCATAAAAAGTTTCTTTTGAGAGTATTCTACTAGGGACTAGATACATCGTTGTTAATAGATAGTGAATTACTAGTATGAAAAGAAGAAAATAGATATATTCCTTGATCAATTAAATCCCCACTTTAACTCCGGCCGTCTATAGTTCTAATTTTTTAGGATGTCTATCAAATAACTCCTGCGCAATGCGGTAAACAATGTTATACAACCAGGCTCTTCGCAGCAATGCCCCTACATAGTTCATCGCTACCAACAGTATGGTAGAGCAGCTGTAGGTTATAAGCAGCCTCCCACCGTAAATCTCCATTCTCAAATTTCTGTTCCTCCTCTGCCTTTTCGTCGTCACTCTTCCCATTATTAACCCAATCATCACTCATCTGGATAACCCTTTCATAATACACCACCGCGTAGTGCTCAAGCCCGATCTGATGAAACGCTCTTCCCATATTAAACTCCGCCTCCTGTCTATCGAACCAGTCATTGGATTCTTTTCTCATCTTATAGTATCTTTGTAGGAATACTATCCCCTGAAGGATATGGTACTGCCGATTCTCCGATTGCCGCTGCATGGCACGATGAAGGTACGCGAGCGCTATTTGGAAAACTATTATAGGATGATTATCTTGCGCTGCATAGGCTCTGGAGAGGTAGTGAAGACTGGATGTATAGCTGCGTCCGTCCAACATGATTTGAGCATAGAGAACTAGTGCATTGATACTCATTGTGCTAGGGATGATTTCTTTGTCGTTATCATCGCGGAGTAGGGTAGCGTAGACACCACCAACGTCTTTTCCTAGAACATGCTTGTCGAGAGCCTTCAATTGGCGCATAAGGTATTTTTGGTTGTTTTGAACGCTGAAAAGATTTGTCCCGGGATATGTTTTAAGATTCCCGCGGACAAACGAAGCGACGGTAGCGTATAGGTGGTACGCATCGTCCTGGAACAACATTGTAGATGTGAAATATCTGAGCGCTTCTGAGGTTTGATCGGGGTCTTGGGCATGAACAGCACAAGCTAGGTGGACGAGTGAAATGAGGAATCTAGGTCGTTTTGTGGGATCTGAATCTGCTTTGTCGTGATAAAAGACATTGGCATCTTTGGCCGCTTTGCAGACCTCGTAGGCCTCAGCCTCACCGCTTTCTTCATGCAATGTTAGGAGAATAGCGTAGTTTAAGATGATGTTAAGCCATACATCGAATCCGAGTCCACGGTATTGGGTAATATCTGGTTGGGGCTCGTCGATATCCTTGGCTTCAAGTTCTTCGAGTTCCATCTGGTACTCCAAATTCGACTCTAGCCGTCGTTTCATGAGGTGCATCTGGTTCTCTATGTTCCTCTTACCCGTCCTTCTAGCGGTTGTATAACCCAGGAAACCGGCATACTCGAATCTTCTCTCACTCGGGTAAAGGGCCCTTGATGATCTGAAGTCGTCGAACATTTCTCCCGCGGTATCAAGCCATTGAATTATTGCCTCCGTATTCTGTTGGTCAACCTTAGGGCGCAACAGTTCGAGTTTCTGATAATTCTGTATACAGAGTTCCGTTCGCTGCTTTTCGGCTTGATATCGTTCGGTGGCTGTCGGGTTATACTTCTTGGCCTTTCCTTTTCTCTTACCGTCCTGAGTAAAGAGACCACCGCCTGCCTCCTCGTCTGCTTCTCTCGCACGTTCTTGTTCCCTGATTCTTGTACGAATCTCGATAACCTCGTTGACAACTTCTAGGGCCCGTTCGTTCATATCCAAAACTTCATAAATTTCGATTAAGAGCAAACGCGATTCTAGGTCGTTATCTTTGAATTCTACAACGCACTCGAGACATCGTCGTGCATTCTCCCAATTACGAAGAATCTTGTAAGACTTTCCGAGTCGAAGCCATAAATCCACGGTTTGGAAAAGCTCGACTTCTGTGAGGGGGAACCATAAATCAACAGCTTCCTCGTGTTTACCAGCTTCAGCACAAGAGTCTCCAGCCGATAGGAGGAGGTCACCGATGACCACAACGTCTTCCTTTCTAAGAATTTCGAAGTGTCTCCATCCCTCTTCGAAGTGGCCAATCTTCATCCTAAATTGGCCCAATTTGAATCTTAGCTCCGGTGGGAGCTGATACGATTCTGGGCCTCTACGGGCCCCATTGGCAAAGCCTGATATTTGCAGCCGTCTTTCGTCGTCATCGTCCCACTCACAGTCGTTTCTGATCTCATCCCAGAAAGTTTCGGTTCCCCGGGCCAAGAGCAACCGACATAACGTTTTCACCTGTCTAATGCCGTGCGACCATCTCTTGCCAATAGCGCACAGATCGCCTAGCATATTGACGTGTTTCCAGTCCAAGCCTCCATCTCGGCCACGCTCAGAGATCCAGAACGGTAAATGGGACTCAAATGTCGTTATGGCTTCATCTACCCTGTTCATACCGATAAGACATTGGGTCAAAGATTTGACAACGCTAGTGTCATGGGGTAAAATCTTCTCCAGCAGCTTTCGGAAGTCCAAAGACGCCCTGCCAAATTTTTCCAATTCTTGTAGCAAGTTACCTCGCTCGAAGATAGATGTCCAATCTTTCGGGTTGGCCTTAATTGCTTTGCCGTAGAGATATATAGCCTCTTCTTTGACTTCGTCTTCCTTCATTCCTTCCTGCAGTTCAAGGTCCAGAGTCATCCTGGCGCATGTAACCCAAAGGTCGCCCTCACGATGTCGTACATGGGCAGCTGAAATCCATGCAAGAAGGCATTTTCGGGGCTCATTAATCGCCAAATATACTTCCCCCATGACTTTCCAGGCAGAATAGACCTCCGGGTCAATGTGAATTACTCTCTGAACAAGTTTAAGCGTTTCGGGCCATTCCCCAGCAGCATAATGTTGGTTCGCTTGGCCGAGAAGGGCTTGAACTTCGTGGGAATGTGCCATATCTTGTGCTGCCCGTCTGCCTTTCTTCGCATTCGCTCTTCTTGCTGCTTTGCCTAGCCTGGAGCCGGCATGTAAGCTTTTGTGAAATGCATCGATCTGACTAGTAAGGCCAGCTCCATCTTCCGCACCAATGTCATCTTCATCATTGTCAGATTCGTCAAGTTCGAAGTCTGGGTCTTCGTATGCACTAAAATATTCAACTTTAGCATACAACTGCGCTCAAAGAGATGTGTAGAGCGTACTCGTCTGATAACCACTCGTCCTCCTCTTCCTCTTCCTCCTCCTCGTATTCGCTGGCATCCTCTTCTCCGAAACCATATTCTTCCTCAACAATCTCACCCTCTGCATCTTCATCAGAAACATTTACAGCATCCAGTGGCCCGCGTTCGGCTGCAGGTTCTTCTGCATCTACGTGAAACCTGAAGTCGTCAGAGTGCAGGGCATCTGTGAAGCTAAATCCCGGATCATGAACGCTCCAATCGGCGCTGGGACCGGCAGAACCCGGTAATTGATGTGGCTGTGGGGTTGCATCTGTTAGATGCAGATGATCAAGGGCTAATTGATCGAGAAATTGACCGTAGTTCGACCCAGCGAAACTCGCCGGTTTATCAGAAGGTTGTAGGTTTTCCGAATTCGAACGCTCCATTATGAAGCCGAGCTCGGGATTGGTAATGTAGCGGGGACGGGTATCGAGGGCCTCTGTGCCTCATTCTGGGTGAGACGTAGGTATTGTGGTAGGGTTCATCGCGGGGCAGACAATTTTTTTTTTAGGTCACCACGCGGCGTTGGTCACTAAATTTTAGGTTGGTCGCGCGTAAACTTTCACTCCACCAGCTAACTAACGAGCATGCCGAATCGTATTCGGTACCGATTACCGAGCTACCCCAGACAGTTGACAGGCACGACAGACATCATCTTGTTCAGCAGGAGGCCAAAGCTAATTAACATCAAGGAACATTCGAAAGCTTTTCGCACGAATTCCGAAGGAACAAGGACACACCGCGAAACTTTGCAATGCAAACGATTTCTCGCCCACCTGGAAGTTTTTCCCGAATGCATGCACGAGTTCCTTTAAAGCCTTGATGCAGGCAAAGACGCAGCGCACACGTGAGGATCATAGGCTCAGGTCGGTTCGAGATGGAGGGTGGATGCTACCGAACGACATGCCAATGATGCTTGGTAGTTGATTATCTCGTCCTTGCTCAATTTCCGCTGTCTACGTATGGCACGGCCCGCTACAGACAGCTAAAATTTCCTCAAGAACAACTGAAGAACCGGATATAATGGCCTAATTTGGGTGCTTAGCTAACAGTTAGTGCCACCGTCAACGTTATAATGTCGCACGGGAATCCAACATTATCTGAGCGACTTTGATGCCGGCTCGGGACTTCCCTTATCACGGTAAAACTATTTCACGAATACAAAATCTGGAAGCAAAACGCACTTGCTATGCCCAGAGACAGGCGAATTACGGAGCGAGCGATTTCAGCCATCTCGTCCCGCCTATCCGCTGCAGTTTGGGAAGTCTAAATTCCTTCGTCGACTTGGTTTGCGTTCGCTTATCAAGAACGAGAATCCGGCCAGGGCAACATTCGACGATTTAATCAGGACGCTTAACGTCAAATAGATGAAAATAACGTTGATGATAAACCCCAAGACTGATGATAAGCGATTATTTTAACTTTAGGTCCGCAATGTCGAAAATCTCAAACTAGACAACATTCCTGCCTTACAACGTCTTTTGCATTGTCATGGAGTATATGCTTGTGGGGAATGTTTTTCGCTTTTTCGATTACCAGGAAGCCAAGTCGCACAGGAACCAGCCCCCAGTTAGCCAGCTGCATACAACATCAGACTGGGAATTTCACGAGCTAATTTTCATTCGACGTCGTTTCTATTGAAATGAAAGTGGCCAATTGACAAGGAGGTTGCAAAAGTCTTGGGTTGCGGCGAGCTAGCATACTAACTGTTTTTCTATTTTTATTCGCATCCAAATTAGTATTTCAAGTCCCATGATATATGAGATTAACCAAGACTCGATCGTTAATGATACTGAAGAAAACGGTAAAGCTTGTTGAGCCTCACCGCCATTCGTCGGCGTCATCTATGACATCTGCCGGGAAGAGGTTTCGACGGGTGAAAAACCAAGAAAGGCAAATTAACTCGGGCTGACGGTAGACGAAGAACTTAAACCACTCCTAAACGACTGATATTCTTGAGGTAGTATTATGATTTTAAATGATGATACAACCTGCAGAAGGTGCCGTGCATACTGAGATGTTTACGGTGTACAGCGCGCCGTCCGGCATCCGGTAATATCAACCTGGGCTTAACTCTCAGTAGGTATGCATCAATCGTAGACGGTATGCAGATTTCTCGCTTTCTGTGGGGTATCCCTGCCGGTACAACCTCAACGGAAATGACTGCATGTGCCTGTTTATCCCTTTGGCCCTGGCGCAAAGTCTCCTTTGGTTACTTCAATCTGGCAAATATCCAATCGTTACCATTCTTGGAGTAAAGCCAAATAACGTTGTGCCTTTTGAGAACCGGAAATTTTTATGGAACCCGTGCAGATCTGGTTCTGTTCAAATTCCACATCACAAAGCATAAAAGGGTCCTCGCCGCCCCTTTGGTTTGAGGTTTTATCAGTTCTCGATTACCGCCGTTCGAACTCAAGTTTCTACTAGCTGGACGATAATATTAATAATTATTCTTGTCATTTTGCAAAAATCTCTGTACAAAATTTAACACATACAAGAATACAATTCTCGACGTTCTAAATCCTAAACATCAAAATGAAGTTCACTCTCGCTATCGCTGTTGTTGCCTCCTTCCTTGGGTGAGTAGTAATATCATTATCTCTCAACCTCAGTTATATTGCACAAAGACCCGAGTTAATAAGTATTCTATTCACGGTAAAAAGAGCCCAAGCCGTCCCGCACCCGCAAATTACTGCGGCGCCCGAGCCATATAGGTGCCCAATTAAGGAATGCGGTATCGCTACCACCACCGTTCCACCTCAAGTCTGTCCGGCAGTCATCTGCCCAGCACCTCCAGCTTGCCCGCTTATTGCTCGCGTCACACAAGTTCCATGCTGTTGCAAGACTCAGAAACTCAAGACTACAACTGTCACTGCTCCTTGCTGCACCACTAAATGCATTGTTCCAACTTACACTGATTACACTGGGTGCCCGACACCAACTCCCACAAAGGTAAAGTCTTTCCCTTGATTCACTATCTTTTGTTAGAAGTATTTCTTTCATGGGTGAATGTAATTTTTATTTTATTTCCCTATTACAAGAGGAGGAAGAAACCTGTCTCTTAGAGAGCTTCACTAACTATGTTAAATTACATAACAGTACTACTAGAAATATTTCTAGTTCAAAAGTTTTGCAAAAGCATTTTTTTACGATTATTTTCCCTTATATCTCGCAATTTCCACTGCTCCGGGGCTGGAGGCCTTGCTTATTGAGCAGCCTCCCAAGCTTGTACATAACACTGTATATAAGTTTCCTCTATTCGCCAAAGCATGGTTTCTAGACCGAGGCTCAAAACTTGGCCTTCATGCTTAACTTCGAGCTTGGATTTATTTAATACGTTGCAACTTTCTTGTCAATAATATCAGCGTACTGCTGCCTTTTCGAACCATGCTAACAGAATCTCTGATGCGCCTGCGAAGGGAACTACTACTGTCTGGGTAACTGAAACGGTGTCAGCTTGTGCCCCTCAGTACTAAACGCAGATTAAATCATTCTCGTTACTACGGCCGATATGGTCTGGCGGGTCGCCTATAAGATTCCCACAGTTGGGGGGTGTTTAGTACAAAGCTTTGAATTTATCACGCCAACGGGTGGTGATGTTAGTCCCGGGCGATGAGCATATTCTCGTCGTATACCTACCTAGATACCTAGATACCTTATACGTATGCCACTCCTTAATAGTAATTGTTAATTGTAATAGCTCCTGGAACGGAATGTTTGGAATCAATTGGACAAAATACGTATCCAAGTAGCATGTTGATAGAAGTTACTTTTCTAGTGAATTTCAATTTGAGACTCGCAAACGTATTATTATACTTCTAAACTTAAAAGTAAATGTATATTACAGGACTTGATCGATGATCGAGATGAGGTTCAAGATCGACTAGATACTTACTGATATTTGGCTGATATCTTTCTTTAATTTCTCGGCCAGAAAAATGCAACAGGGCCAACGCCGCTTCCTGAGGGAGTGGCGGGTGACTAGGCTATCAAACATTCAAGTATTAGTATTAATCGTGGCTACTAAATTGGTAGATAAAAGCAATACAAAGAACTATTTGACAAGGCACAGATGCATATTTCATGACTGAATTAAGTTAGTTCTCCTCATCAACCTTCCTAATTCTCTTGATACGAGTATTGCGCATGAGAGTGCAAGCTCCGACTTATCAACCCTAATATGCATATCGTTTCTTCTATCTCCTTGGCTACGGCCATTACCATATCTCCATTTACTACTTTAGTCAGCGGTCTGGTTTTCCCACGAAGGGCAGACCCCGGAGAAATTGCTTCCCATGAACAGATTGCACCGGTGCAAGTACCACTCTATCACCTTCGCAAACCTAGTTGGTTCGCTCCCATATTGAACCCGCGATATAAGACTGGTCTAATGACTAGTCCCACCAATGGAAATTCTACCGTTCCCGGTCAACCACTACAAACTTCAAACGCCTCAGAAATATCTAATGAGTATCATAGCCAAAATATCACTTTCGTTGATGGCATGAGTTATTACTTACCGGTGACAATCGGTGAGCAAGAGCTCAAATTGATTATCGATACTGGGAGTAGTGACACCTGGGCCGTATCCCCACTTTTCGACTGTATTGCTCCTGATGGGAAATACCCACCGGCTTTACGCAGGTGCGGGTTCGGCAATGAGTTCAATCCTTTGGAATCTCCTTCATTCCAGTATCTCAACCAAACTAATGGCTCATTTGCGGTTGGCTATGCAGATGGCAGCTACGCAAAGGGCGTCATTGGCCAAGATATTGTGAATATTTCTGGTATTCTTGTCAACCAAACGATCGGCTTAGCGAACATAGTAAGATGGAACGGCGATGAAATAACCAGCGGGATTCTTGGACTAGGGTATCCTGGAAGCATCCCATCCGCTCCAGGCCATATGCCGTACGATTGGCTTCCAAAAGGGGGTGGTAGCCCTCGCGACCCACTTGCCGGATCCCAAGTGGATATTAACTTCGACTGTCACGCCGCATACCCATCTTTTATCGAGTCTATGGCCGCGCAAGGTCATAACCCACTTTTTAGCGTCAATTTGATGGAAACAAGACATGATTTCGGCGGGCATGGGGGCCATCCTCAAGGAGGGGGCTCCATATCATTTGGTGGAATACCACATGTTAAACATCTTGGGCTACCATTTGCGAAAGCAAAAATGAACCCGAGATTCAACAAATCAAATTGTCCTTCGGATATACGACAGATCGGTTATGAATTCGAGATCGATGCGGTTCTTGATGGTGATACCATTATATCTACCACAAAAAGTATTGCGAAAATTGATACAGGAGCTTCGGTCATGGCCTTCCCCTCTTGGTTGTATCAAGAGTTTTGGAAAAGAGTGTATCCGACACCACCTCTAGGAAGCGCTATGGGAGGTGGCCGGGCATGGAGAATCATGTGCAACGCAACAATGCCAGACCTTGCATTCGACATTGGTGGAGTTGCTATCAAGCTTGATCGCAATCAGTTGATAAGAGCGCAAGTTCCAGACTTTATGGATGAACTTCCAGATTCAGAAGAGATGTGTTCTATGAACATTATATCAAACTTCTGGAGCGATGATATTCTTCTTGGTGTTCCCTTCTTGCATGGCGCTCTAGCAGTTTATGACTTGAACAACAAAGAGATTAGGATTGCAAAGAAATTCTCTTCAGATCCCTTCCATATTCCGGTTTGGTCAGACAAAGTATCATCGGCCGGGCTCATCGACCATCCACCACCTGGTGGAAATACCACGGACATACCTAGAAAGTGGCCTGGATATCAAACTCATACTGGGACTGACCCCGTCACATCAACTTCGATTCGTGTTATTTCAATTAATGGCAACGAACCAAAGGCTACACCGACTCCATCGGCTACAACTATACAGTAAGGGATAAGGGAAATGATTTTATATTGGATTTGCCAGAAATCAAATGCTTTGATTATCCTCTGGTATGGGATTATATTATAAACTGCAAGGCATATGATGTGGATTGGCCCAAGCTAGTCGTCCTGTATAGCTGTGGGCACACAATTGCGCATCCCTGTATTAAACCCTGGGTATCGACTCCATTACTAATTCATTGGGTCACATTACGGACCACGCTTGATCTCAAAACCAAATTATTGATATTGATCACATATTGCGTATAGGTGTATGTATTGCATATGATACTTATGGCTTGTCTCTAAGTTCAATTGATCAAGTGTACGCGTACCATTATCTGTTTACAATTAATAGCAAATACATAAACGAAATTTTAACTACGCTGTCAGATCAAATTTTGAGATCTATTGGTTTGCAGCACTAGTGTTTTATTCTTTAATTCTTAGAGGCCTAGTTGATCCGATGATTAATCCCGAGTCCCTAATGATACTCAAGATGACCTGATTCTGACCTCATGGGTTCTCAGTCGATATCGAAAATTTGGCGAATTGTTGCATTTCGTGCCAAGTTATGTGTTGGAAGTTTAAATGGGAAGGTGGGTATTTGCCGTTTCGCCATGCATGGCCTGGGCCTGGCCATGGGGGCGACAGGATATCGATACTTCGATTCGGCTAGGCGAATTCGGATCCGTACTTTATTTCGGGACCCGTATCTGCCTCGTTTCGGGATTGGCAACTTATTTCAACCGGAAAATTGCTGCATTGCATTGTTCGCGCATCTTCGATTCCCGCAGTCTGTATCAGCGCCGGTGCTTGGGTATAAAAACTTGTGTCTGTGCTTCAGAGTGTTCACCCAAATATCAATTCAATCTTTCTTCTTTCAGTTACATACGCTATAATCAATCAAACAAAAGGAGGTTCTACGGTTTTTATATTAGCCACAAAAATGACAGGCCCGATTAAGAAGGTATGAGTTTGATACGTACCCTCGCCACCCATTCAAACTAGCAATCCAATGTCCACCGAAGGAATTTGTCTACAACTTGGATTTCTTACAAAAGATTACTACATAGGTCATAATAGTTGGTGCAGGCCCTTCAGGTCTCCTCCTCGCTCTCCGCCTTGCCCAAAAACATATCAATGTCACAATTTTCGAAGCCACACCTGGTCCTTCGAACCAACCCCGCGCAACCCATTATGGTATCCCCGCAGTCTGGGAACTCCGCAGAGCCGGTGTCTTAGATGAATTGCGTCTGGACCCAGAATGTTTTCAATTTGATGTCATGTGCTGGCGTAAGCTCGATGGTACCTATTTGTCTGGAATGGATACCAGGGATCTTAATCGCCCAGGTCAACCATACGATGACCGTATAACAGTCTTGACACTGAATAAGGTCATTAGCGTACTTGAGAAGATGGTGGCAAGATGTGAGACTGCTACTGTGAAGTATGGGCATAAGGTACTACCAGGTGTTGAGCAAGATGAAGAAAAGGCTTGTGTGACTATTGAGCGCAATGATGGTGTTGTTGAGAAGCATTGGGCAGACTACGTGGTGGGATGCGATGGGGCGTCAAGTCAAATCCGAAGGAGTTTGTTTGGGGATAAAGAGTTCCCTGGCTATACTTGGGATCATCAAATCGTGGCTACAAATGTAAGTTGCTGCACACAGTATAGTTGTATTTTTCAGAGGGGCAAGATACGTATACTAACGATGCAAAACGTTGACAGACATACTACGACTTTCACAAATATGGCTGGGAGGACTCGAACTTCATCATCGATCCGGAACACTCATTTATGGCTGCTAGAATCGGTGTGAAGGAGCCATTGTGGAGAGTTACATATACCGAAGTCAATGGCCTCACGAAAGAAGAGATTGAGGCTCGCCAGGCCGAGAAGTTCGAAATCATGTTCCCTGGGCATCCAACGCCTGGTTCTGGAGAATACAAAGTTGTCTTGACTAGCCCGTATAAAATTCATCAACGATGCGCATCATCCTTCAGAGTCGGAAGATATCTATTAGCGGCTGATGCAGCCCATCTTTGCAATCCATTTGGCGGCCTTGGACTTACTGGCGGTATTGTGGACGTTGGGGGATTGGCTGACTGTCTGGTTGGTATTCATGAAGGGAAGACAAGCGACAAGATTTTGGATGAATACAGTAGAGTTCGAATCGAGAAATATAAAACGATTATCGACCCGATATCTACAGAAAACTTCAAGAGGCTATGGGGCCAGGATCCGGACAAGGTTTTAGAGAACGACGAGTTCATAAAACTCCTGAAGGCTAACGAAGGTAATGCTGAGCTCTCGCGCAAAATGCAATTAGTAAGTATCCAATTGAACCGACCGAAAGGCAACGTATACGAAAGGATTCGATGATCATATGAACTAACTGTCGATCTAGGGGTCTTTGGGTATTCTTCACGATTTCACGGCTTCTTTCGATAATAATAAGCCTGCCATATCGCTGCCAGAAAAGGTTGATATTTCTGCTGTTACTGTAACTCCTCTTGTCACTTGATCGCTGGCTGATGCCGAATGATTGCTTTTGCTTAGCGATACCAGTCCAAATTATAGTTTTAGAGTATTCTAGTCCTCGGATGGCTGCTGTTACACTAAGTCTTAGAGTATGGTTAGGGTTTTCTCTTTTTTCTCTCTCTCTTTTTTCCTCGTGAATACATGAATGCCTGTGAACTTTGTCATACGGGTACACGCATTCAATTGTATGACTTTCTCATGAAGTATAAAATTTATATTTATGTATATATATACAGAATCAGTGAACTTGAATTCGAACCAGCTAAAGCTTTGAGACAAGATATCCATTGCCCTTACGTAGCATTTCCACGGCTTCCTTTACCATATCATCCACTATTTCTTTCGCTGGCTTAATGTCATCGATTACTCCTGCCACTTGGCCCATCAAGAATGGCAAATCTAGATCGTTTCCTTCTTTCATGTCGTATTCCAGAGGTGTAATACCCTGATCGCAAAGTTCCTTGACGCGCTGTGGTTGCTCCTCCCATTTCTTGATATAATCATTCATCTTCACCCTCAAAGGCCGCCCAGATACTACTAACGTGCGGATAGTATCGTCAAAAGTTGCAGATTTTACCTCTTGCTTGTGCATCTCAGAGCATCCGGCTTCCACCGCCGCAACAAATCTTGTACCAACCCAGACACCAGCAGCACCCTGCATCAGGGAGCTGGCAAGCGACCTTCCATCCCTGATACCACCTGCGGCAACGACAAGTGGGGTTTCGCCCGTCAGTGGCGATTTGTATTTCTTCACAACATCACAGATTGCCGGTATTAATATGCTTGTAGCAATAGACCCTGTGTGTCCGCCTCCTTCGCTACCTTGTGCACAAATTATATCCACGCCAGCTTTCAAAGCATAATCGGCGTGTTTTGGATGTCCAACCATGTTCATAATAAGAATTTTTGCATCATGCAGCCGCTTGATAACATGTGGTGGAGGAATTCCCACCGCAGACACAAATAGCCTGGCACCGGATTCAATAGTGACTGTGATCAATTCGTCTAGCTGGCCGTTGGTATAGTCGTGGTTTGTCTTTCGCGCCCCATCACCAATCTTAGGAAGCGCAAGATCAATACCGAATGGAAGGTCGGGTGATTTTAGTAATGCTTTGAGAGATGTAACAATTTCGAGGAGCTGGGCAGGTGTATAACCAAGTCCACCAACCGTTCCTAGGCCACCCGCATTTGAAACGGCAGCGGCGAGCTCAGATGACGAAGTTCTTGCCATTCCTGGTAGCCTTAAGTTAGCACAGATACTCTCGTAGAATTATGTATATATAGTATATATAGCATATATCATAAAGATTTGGGAAGATTTTGAGGATATTGGCGAATCGTACCTGCCAGCAGGATAGGATGCTGGATCCCAAGAAGGTCTGTAAGTGGAGTCTTGATTTGCTGCTCCATTGCGACAAACAATATGATATTTTCTTCTAATTATATATTTAATTAATGAAATTCTATGAATGACCACAATCGAAATCTCTGGGATAGAGGTAGTTATGTCTATAGATTATATAGCCTCTAAGGATATCGAAATGTCGAGGCTGGATGGTTTGTTTGTTTGTAATGTTTGCCAATGATGCACCCCTTGCTACCAAACTGCAATTGCATAAATTTGCAATATGATTCGAAGCTTGAAAGCTTTGAAAGGCTTCTCCAACAATTACCCCAGATTCCTAGGCCTAGGCTTTATAGAACAGGGAAACAACCTAGGCTATTCGCGTCACGTTGCGCAGAGTAGCATGTGCGTCCCCCGTGTGGAGAAGGTGATACAAAACCGCGGTTGATTGCGGGCCAATTTCGACTAAAAGTAGAAATACAACAGCGCCAACACGATCAAAGGCATTAGAAGCTACATCTCGCAACACGAGAAGGATTAGTGTCTAGTTTCATGGGTTAGCTGGCTGGTCTAGATCTCATTGGTTAAGGCTTGTCTCATACCTAGACCTGGAGGGCCGGTTCAGGCTTTAGAAGTTCAATTGTAGTGAAGATATATATGAGCGAGCTATATAAATACGTGGTGAAAAGAAGATACAACTCCGGTGAACTACTTCATGCTTCATGTGACCGCTCTGTCCTAGACTTTCTAATAAAAGCAAATTTCTAGTCATGCTGGGTAGTTCAATAATAAAATCAGACGGTCAAAGAAGCCATCACAGCCGATGGGTTGAATTCAGTGTTGAGACTGGGTTGTGGTATAGCTGTTTAGATTGCCAAATGAAGCTCTCAGTGTAGTCATACTAGCTTCTGCTCCAACAATCCCATAGCTCTTAATTTATTTTCCCTTCAACTCTACAACATCCATCTACCTCCACATCCTCTTCACCTCACTCCATCCCGCGATCACTTCTCCACGTCATCAATACAGACCAATCCTTCCTTTATCATCAAAACCTAAAAGACTTACCGCTATCTCTCTACTCCTTTTCTACCATGGCTAGCCAGAAGTCTGACGAAGCTCTTCGTCACCATCCACATGGAGCCAACGATTCTAATTTGTATACTCACCACGTAGAGGTAGTCCCAGATCCTCTTGGTGGGCCCCCAACCGTCTATCGACAACGCCCACTCACTCTCAGCTGGGATAAAATGTGCCCTGCTGCTCGTAATATGTTTGCAGAATTGGCCACTGGTGATTATCCCAACCGCTACGAAAGTTGTGTTCATTTGACGTTGTTGAAATGGGCGGAGCAAATGAGCCCTGGTGATCCTAACCTCCTGCCCGATGGCAATCCAACCTACATTCAAGATGATATCATACCCGTCATCAAGGCCTATGTCAATAGAATACCTGAACCTGGCCTTGCTGGGACCCCAATTCCCCCAGCCTTACCGATGAATGAATTAGAGGCTCTTGATTTTCTTCACCACCACCAAGCACTTCCTTACCAACAGGCAGACTATGCAGAAATATTCCCCGAACTTCCGGACGGGTTCGTCTGGCATCCAATCCAAACATTGGTCGGTGTTCGCGGGCTGGACCATCGCACCTTGATCGAGTTCCGTGCCTACAAACACTTCTGGACTATCCATAAAGATGATTCGGATATCAAGGAATTTACGACAAAGGATGAACCGACTTCCGAAATTAGTATCGTCCGTCCTGCAGGAGACCCCGATTATCCACAGGTCGTTCCAGGTGGCTTCCACAATATGTCTTTACCTCCTACAGACCAACAAATAAAGAAGAACTTCCTCAAAATTAACAAGCTTCGGAAATACAATGGAGAACCAGCACACCCCCAAATAATGTACGTTCGATTTGCTCACAACCTTGCAACTATCATCACAGACCATAGCAACGACGCCACTATTTTTGATGGAGAGGGAATTCCCCGCCCAAGGATCATCGGATCTCTCCAGTACGACGAATATATTGATGAGGATGACTTTACATCCCGCTTCGGAGAATATGGACGAGTTTACCTTAACCGTCTACCAACCCTTTTTGAAACTAGTGGTCCGCCAGCTGCACCAGCCACACCAACTACTGAACCGGCACAGCAAACCTCTACCCCCACACCAGCTTCGGCAGCCACGCCGGCAGCAAACAGTAATACACAGCCAAAAACTCGTCCAAACGTTATTGAGTTTACCGCTGAATTTGCGGGCAGGGGTTTAGAGGCGAGAATTGATATCCCTTCATGCGAATGCCCAGCTGCTGTTAAGGCTGCTCAAATGACTGGTGCTTTTGCGTCGGGAATCGCCTCGATGAAGAAGCCGGCTGCCGGTGAAACCCAGCACGTCCATATACCTGAAGTTGCTTGTTGTTCTAAGGCTACTGCGAAAACATCCACCGCTCCTCCTACGACCACTAATACGACTATAAACGCTCCTTTCAAACCTCAACTTGATCTAGCTAGCCTCTCCGCGATTGAGACTAAAATAAGGCAGCTATCTCTCGAAAAGAAAAACCCTCGCCAACTCAAACCTTTGTCCAAAAATCTTGGAAACGCCTATAGTTTTGACCATACTGGTGCCGCTGCCAAAGCCGTAGCTAGTAAAATCGCCACAGCAGTGTCCGCCAAGGCTATTGCGGACGCCAAAGAAGTCACCACGCAGCATAACACTAAGGGAGATGGCGGCACCAAGCCCAGCACTCCAGCTTCAATCCCTGCCATTGTCCAAACCCCTACAGTTCAAAACATGCTGCCAGAGCTGAGATCGATGGCCTCCGCGCAAGGTTACTATTTCGCCAACTGCCTCAACCGTCAAAAGCTTGTCGAAGATCTCGCAAAGGAAGAGCTCTGTAATGATATCCCAAGGATCGGGCCTGGAGCAAAATCCTGGCATACACTTAAAAGCGAACAGCGTGCTAATCCGGTATGTGTCTTAAAAGGGAAGAAAGAAAAATTGAAGCTCTGTTAAGATTTCATAGGTTATTAACTCTGGGATGTACTAGATCACATTCAGGGGCATGGACGGACCATCTATCGAACATATTAAGTACACCGCGGTTACCAGCATCCAACAAACAGTATTTTACTATCTATACACCGGCGAACGTATCAAAAGAAAGAGGATAGCAGCGGACTCAGCTGATGGGACATGCTTCGTTAAAGTTTACAACATCCTTGAAGCTGGTCAACGATTGGTTGTGGAGCACGACATTGAAAATTACTACGTTCGAACAAATGGGGTCGCTCATCGCTATGATCATTCTATGAATAGCGGGATCATTCCTACTCCGAAGGAAACTCTCAAAGAAAAAATTGAACTAACAACTGAGGAACAAGCTGCCTTTAGACATTTGGTTGAGGATTCGAAGGAGCTTTGGAAACACCCAACCACTTGCAAATGCAGACGCAGCAAATCTTAGGTTTGTTGTATACACGCTTGGTTAACCACCCCCTTTCCCGACGTATTCTGGCTTCCTTTCGATAATCATTTACTCAATCCCTATTTCAATCTCCGCCTACCCAAATATTTGGACGTCAATAACGCAATTTTCCAACTCAGCTTTTCGTCGACGTCGGACTTGAGCCCACCCTACTCGTGGTTCAAATCCTAATTTCAACCTAGATTCCTAGGAATCGCTTTACCCTAATCTACTTGGCGGAGACTACTTTCGCCTCTTCCCTTACCCCTAAATTTTTAATTGTCTTCCAGTACTATAATGCCCTTCCCAGTTTCTTCCCTCCTTCTACTCGTTTCCCTTTCTCACTATTTCAACATTGCCCTTATTCTCATCAAACACTCTTTCGGGAAAGATAAACCTCATTTTAACCTTGTGAATAATCCCTTCTTTAGTCTTAAGTTGGGACCTCGAAGCACTTCAAAAACTGTTCTCACATTTCCCCCCCTTCCCCCCTCTCAATACATCTTTTTTCCGTCACGTTTTGCTGCGGCCTAGACTCCTATCAATAGCGCAAATCAGAATCTACCCCTAGAAGTAGATTTTATTTCAAAATATATATCGTCCTAAAGCAACAGTTGAGATGTGAATTGTATCAGATGGCTCCGGACTTACCCCGGATTTAGAGAGCCTTGGTGATTAGACTGCTGCGCCTTGCCCCGCTTGACAAAATCGGAACAAATAAACATCGAGTTGAGAAAGAATAAGCGAAAGAGAGAGGCTCCCAGAAACCATTCTAGGGAACAGTTTGGACCCACATCTGCCTACGATGTCTACTAGTTATTCACACGACACTCTGCCCATCTCCTGCATCTGCCCAGTCCTTGAGGCTTGAATTCCAAATACTAAGTGCCAGCACACTGAGTTGCCCCATACTTTAATACAGATTGATAAGACGAAGGGTGGAACGGCGACTATTGCCTGCAGGCCTGACCTGGGGACTGCAAGGTCCCTATTTGGGTGCCTGTAGCTGCAACGCCAAGGATCATATCTACTCTCATGGCTAGGGTCATATGTGACGTCCGGAATTCGAAATTCATGCAGGCGTTCGGGAAGATAATACTCTAGCGGCGCATCTTTCGATCCGGCTAGTCTTTTACACAGGGCTGTAGGGCGAGCCAAAGCTTAATAATACAAAGGGCACAGGGATTTGCATTCCGCCAAAGCGGGGTTGGCTAGGGGGGCTCAAACCGTATGCAAGTTGATTATATATCTACTCTAGCCCCATAAGACCTTATATATCGCTATATATACTATGGCTCCTAGTATTCCGGGGTTTCGAGAGCTCCGGGCGGGAAGCTTGAAGGCGAAGGATCTGTCTGCTATATCGAGATGTGAAGCTAGCTAGTTAACTCGAGCGCCGATATTTGCGGGTTTCCGAGCTCCTAGCTAGTATATGCGTGTCAGCCTATTTTTTTGCAGTCGAAGCCGTTGAAATCCGTCTGTCCCGTAAGCGTCGATCGTACGACTAAGGCATGCTCTAATCCTCAAGCTTTCAGACCACTATGATAATTCCATAATCCCTTGGCCTTGCAGTCGCACATGTAGTTTTGAACTTAGCTATAGGTGCCAAGGTAACCTTCATATATGCATATCGATTTCTTCTCGTATTAAATTGTGCGTTATTGATCCGAAAAACTTCGAGCGATTAATATATCAGGCAGACTTGAGAAAGAAAACGCCTGGCGAGAGACGGAAGTTCGCGGTTGATTATATTTGTTTCCCCTCAGTTGGCCCTAGACCTTGTCGACATCAGCCAATCAAACGTTGGACAAACTTTATCAAACGCTTGCCTGGGGTCTGAATTGCAAATACAACAGCCCTTCTGCACAATACGATGGGAAACACGGGAAAGAGGCTCTAAATCTCCGACAGGGAAGGGATTCTGCAAGCGAGGGAATCTTTCCCAAGATCCAATGGTACATGTACTCTGACTGAAACTCGAATGGAAAAAGAAACGGTGGAGTTCGATCTGTAACGCCCATATGTACAACCCTGTCAGTAAGCTTAGGCCTGCAGATGCGGCATTGCGCATTTATGTCCCTCGGTTCGAACCTGGTTATCTGGTTCGTCGGTTTTGTCCTATTATGAAAAATTTTACATCATATCATGGAGATTTGATCATATCGGGATATCCTCGAAATTATTAGTTCAGCGCAGTGACCGCTTGCTGACTTCAGTCATGATGCGAATTCGAGATAACTTGTGGCGCCCAATAAGATCCGAGTGATGGTATCGACGGAATCCCTTCGAAGCTCGAAGGGCTTCTAGAGGGCTCGAGGGGCTCACGCCTTGCAGGGTTCACCGACATCACCTCGAAGATTCGGCCGCATAGCGGGAGCTGCGGCAGGTTCCCAATTTAGTGACATTCGCCCAATCGGGTATAGTCTCGTACCGCGGAACCAACATCACCCACAACAAAAACAACACATTGCGCAAGCCACATTTTTCGCGGGATCAGAAGCAAAGGATTATAAAGGTATTTTCGAGGTTAGCGCATCGCACTAAGGGGTTGAAGGCAAAAAAAATGGGGCATGCCCAGAAACCTAAATATGCGTAAGGCGAATCATGTGTTAGCCTCGCAGTTGTCGGAGTTAGCTAATTCTTCAAGACGACAGAACTCTGATTCATGACATAGACTTAAGGTTGGCTAAGAGGCTCCACAAGCCCTACGGCGGGAGTGTCGACGCACTCGACGGGATTTACATGTATGTACCTCGCTTTGAATTTCCAACGCGTTCTGTACAAGCGAAAGGTTTCAAAATGACTAATAGGGCGAATGCGGCTGCAGATCTTCCTTGACGGGGACGGCATCCCCAGTCTAGGCGTGCCTTCTGACGTCTGCATATGATGAAGGTCTACCGATTTAGACTGACAAAGGACCCCGAGCATCTGGCCACTGATTCGTGAGGATTCTGCCTGCCAGGGTGTGCAATAAACCCTGTAGCTTTGCTATAGGCTGCAATTCTGATAGGTCGGGTTTGAAGTCTCACGATCCTTATCGCTCCCGCTATTTCTTCGCGACCTGCCTGGGGGCATCGACAGATTTGGTAGGAGATTGACGGAGCCCCTCAGTTGAAGAAAACAGGTTTTTCTCTCTCTATTCAATTGAGGCTCTCTTGGCCGTTGAGGTTGGGGCGGTAGGTCTGTGCCCTTGCGGACAGCTGGCTGGAAGAATGGCCAATAGTTCCGGATCTAGAGTGGGGCCTCAAGTTTCGGAGTGCCTCGGGGTATGGTTCTGAAAATGGGGATTCTTGTTTGTGACAACTGTTCTATTTCGAACGGGGTGAAATCTCGAAAACGTATCTCGTGGCAGATTACGGATGATTATCCGAGAAACTCGGCCTCTTTTCAAGTTAATCGCTAGATAAATTAATTTGCTAAATTACTTTGCTAAAGCCCTTTGCTAAGACTGACCAAATTTCCAAACAATAAACAAATATAAGAATATGTAATAAAACAAATTTATTCTTCCATTTTCCCGTATACTCATAGCATATATCCTGCATCGCCAGTTTCCTTTCTAATGCCAAAACCACTCAAACGCCATTGTTGTACTGCAAAAAAGTGACAAAACGCTGAAAATGTTGCTCAAAATGTTGCGCTTAAAACAAAAAAAGCCAAAATAAAGGGATTAATGACCAACTCATGCCAAAATACTGTTGAAAATCCCAGGAAATTACACCCTTCATCCGTTTCTTCATGAACCTGGCAGTTTAATGTGCCACTAAAACAAAACAATTACAATTCCTGCTGTGCCCAACTAAACTTGACGCCCTGAGTTTCTAAACCAATTCTAACGACTGGCGCTAGCGTGAAGTCGTTCAAGTTTCTTATGTTTCTTGCTCTTTTCCTTATGATTACGCAACGCGTCTGGTCTTCCGAAACTCTGGCCGCAAAGGGTGCACTCCTCTCTTGGCTCTTTCCCTTCGTGCTGGAATCTGCAATGTCGTAGGAAATTATTGTAGGTTTGTACTCTCGTGTTGCAAATACCTCCTCCCGGAAGCTCGATGACACAAGCCTTACTCTCTGCATTCCAACCATGAACGTGACCCTCCTCTTCGTCCGACCGACTAAGTCTCCGAGGTCGACGGCCGGGCGAGCGGTCACTTCGTCGTCGTAGAAGTGCTGATTGTGGCCGTTCATCGCCGGTAACTGGGGCGAGGTGGAGTGGGCTTGAAGTGTGGGCGTAGATGTCATCGTAGGCACCCGACTGCGCGTCAAAGAAGGTTGGGGTAAGTTGACCATAGATCGGTGGGGAAACCGATGAGAGAGTTCCCCGCTGGAGACTCTCAGATGGGAAGTAGTGTTCTGGGAAATAAGAATCTTGTGGAGGTGGAGAGACTGTGAAGTCTAGTCCGGCGGATGCCTTTAAACATTTTCATTAGCTAGAGTTTTTGTTTACAGGAAAATAGTATATACTTACGGAATCCCCATATTGCGAATTCATAAGCCGATCCATATCAGATGAGAGCATTGCTGTATCATAGCCTGCAAAGTCGCTTGAAGTAGCTCCCATCGATGATCCCCACATTTGTGCTTCGAGGCTGGCAGAACTTGTCGGCCGCGAGATTTGTTGGTAGCTCGAGGACCGTCTATTGTCAGAAACCGCATAGGCTTCCAAGAAATTCAGATTCCCTAATTTAAGTCGGCTGTTAGTTTCAAGATTTCTATAAACGGTCAAGGTAAATGCGTACTTTTCATGAGCATCTTGAATAGGTCTAAGAAGAGACCTTGCTGAAGACTCTCCCGACCTATCTGGTTGGAAGGTGGCGAACTCATAACGGCCGTTGACTCTGGCCAAAGTCTTGCGAGGAGGGCAAGAACACTTTGATGGTTCCACTTCTCGGCATATCTTGTCCACTGTAGAAGCTCATGCTCAAGCATCGACATATCTGGTCGACTCAGGGGTTCAATGCGATTGAAAAGAACCCAAAAGAGCAAATGAGCATCGATGATAACATATTCCGGAATCATATCCGAGCACAAAAGTTCCCAAATAGATTGCACCCAGTTTGTCTGGCTATGGGTATAAGATGGAAGATAGCTGTTGGAGCTCACGGAACCCTCAGCGATCAAAGATGCCCGTTTTCTTTGCATTGCTTCGCAGACGTAACGCAATTCCCTCGGGACCATAGGTGTCTTCTCATACCCTTGTGCTGTGAGAATCATGATCCGGGCCACACAGTTGTAAAGTCCTGACAAGGCCGGACCATATTTGCGGAATCCCGCAACTAGTTCTCCAGGACTAACGTTGCTGCTCGACATTGTGATTGTTGGGTGGTATATGTAAAGGGTTGAGTTGGCGAACCGGTTTGGGGTTTGGGGGATCGACGAAGCGGGGATTAATTAAGGGCTAGACAACTTTGAAAGGCGACTTCAAAAAGTAATAAAAGAAAACCCAAGTAGTTTCTGATGAAACTTCAAACTCCACGCTATTTTCGTATGACCTTTGAATTGGTGTGTATAAGAAAATATTCGATATCAAAGGTCGATGCGGATAATTTATAACGTTAGAGTTATATATGTTCTGGAGAGTGGCTTCTTCAATTGCGTTGTGATGTTGTTCCAATAACAGTTGTTTCAGGCCAGTGAGATCGTATCAATTATATCGTCGATTCTTAATTACAAAGCCAAAGAGCCAAGGATAGTTGATGGAATAGAAGGATATTCGCTGGATTATGACTACTGGGGATCGAATCACGGATAACAGGGTTGATTCGTCAGACCCGACATCTAATATAGTCATCAATGAAACGAATCCATTGTTCAATATGCAGGCAGAATAGAGGTGGCCCAGGACAAACGATGTTTTGGGCCCCCAAAATCGCCCCGGCTAGCTTCAAGGTGCGGCAGAAAGCTAAAGCTCGTCAAGTGAACTCGACACATAGCCAAGCTATAGCTAAATGTCCCCGGAGAGTTGGATTAGTCTCCACCGTGGACCCTGGTGGCTTTCCGATCCTACATCCGATGGGGACTAGCATTACGCAGAAAAGTTTTGGGTAATGATGTGCGGTGCCACCGACGTGACATGGATCGCACACGAAGCGCTTGCCGCGATTTTTGGATTTAGATGGAACATCGCCTTTGTGTCTGCTCATCGTGGTACGTGGAGGGGTTTGAGCCTTGCAAAATTGTGCGTCATGACACTTGCCTCATGCCTCATAATGAGGCGCAATTCTGCTAGAAAAAAACAAGAAAAAGCAAATTTCGTCGAGTGTGTATCGCTACAACATAGGAGAGCGATTGTAGATAATTAGTTTAAAAAGAAAAATCGGATGTGGAACGTATCTTTAGGCTCTAGTTGACGAACTAAGCAATTCCAATTTTCTTGGTGACAGTGAGTTTCGTGGAATCTCAAGCTAGTGCAGGGGGCTCTAATGAAGCATCAACATTGGGATTGGTCTGTGCCCTGCCGCGCGCCGTTTCTCGAGGGCAGCTCTGCCACCCGCCGTAGGCTAGAATAGGGAATTTCGATAGTGACTGCGACGATTGAAGGCAGGGGCTGCTATCACCAGATGCAATCGGAAAGTTATGTAAAGAATCTAAGAGCCATGCGTGTCTCAAACAAGTCGCAAGTATGCGGCTCTTCGCTGTGAAGGATCCGTACTTTAAATGTTGACAAATACAACCAGGACTAGGACAGGTGTGACCTTATTCAGTAACCTCGATCTGTATCTTGTCGGTATGCAAGGTAACTCTGTTTTCCCCCCTAAAATGGATGCTGTGAATCAAGAGATAAACGAAAGAAAGAGTAGGCGAAAGGCTAAGAGAAAGAAGAAACTCGCCATTGCCAACCTAAACTGGAACCGAGATAGCTCATTGAGGCTGTTCTGTGATGCTGCTCGCTCGCGTCTCTAAATTAATCAGAGTAAATCGAGGGAAACCAATTAAACTTCACGCCGCAATTCTTGGTAAGCCAACATGTGGACTATTGCATTTCACAGCACATCGGATGTCCCTTGCGAAATGTGCATATACATATGTGCGAAATCTTCGAAATGTTAGGTAAGGCGATATCAAAAACAGTGGACCCGGAAACCCGGGACTGGAATGATTTAGCCAATTCGAATGTCCGAGCTGTCAGAAATGGGATCTTCTGATCCAGCGAGTGACTACCGACTCGGCTATAGCGCACCGTAGCTGAATGCAAATTGGAGATATCAGATGTCGTGGAGAGCCTTACAGCCGTTGGGGGTGGATGTGGAGGATTGGGCTGGGTGTTGAGTCAGCCTTACCTGAAGTAGCACAAACGAATTAGGAAAATGCCAAGGCCCGCAACACTTTCGGCCGGATGAAGTCGCATGGGGAGTGAAGAGTCGTTAATGGTAGGGGTGAGATGCAATGCAGAGGTTTTTTTCGGGAGCAAGCCAAGTTTGGTGGCTGCAGCTTGCATCCAGGGGCTGGAAGTTCCCTGGGTCGAGAGCACAATCGGTCCAATATTAATCGCATGTGCGGCTCGAATAGTTAGGTTGGCGGGTCCCAGGATTTGGTGGTGACAAATACCTTACTTTAGTTTCGAATTTCCAACCTGCATCAAAAAGGCTCTAGCCTAACCGCCTACTCCACACTACCTCTTGGGTTAGTTTCATACGAATCTTTGGATATTAGTTCGTTCGAACGAACAAGGAATCATAATACGGAGAGTACTTAGTAAAATTGGAACCCGAAAAACTTTGATTAAAATGCCGCAGAATCAATCATATCACACAACTTTAAAGCTTTGTGGACCCTACTAGCTAGTATACTTAGGTTTGTTGGTGGTCAGATGGATATCCAAATACGGCATTGCATTGTGACGCGTTGCAATTGAAATCGAACAAGAATTATAACATTTTAACAACAGCGTGTAGCATCATGATCACGGAAGGTTCGCTGAACACTGTTTGGGTCGCAAAGCTAACTAGGATTCGGAACTCATCGACTACCAATTACAATCAGCGAAAAAATTCGAAAATAGGCAATGCATGATGCTACCCCCCGTAATGCGACGTCCCATACGTGCTACGAGTGAAGAGGCAGACACATGAAAATCGCATATCTCGCCGATGAAAAACTTGCCCCTGAATAATATAAGGCTCTATGGTTGCCTTGATTTTGTAGTTACAATCGGTGCTATTATTTGGTAACCTGGAGAGTCTTCCTGATGAAATATCGGGATCTTACTTGGATTCCTAGCCCTTGTAATATCAAATGTAAATGCGGTTTCAGAAGTATCAGGTGTACACCGCAGCGACATCATAGCTTATAAGGATCTAGATATACACTTAAGCATATGTAGCATCATTATGATAAAGCAAGGGGATTAATTCAGATTTAGCCAAGGCTTTCTAGACAAAGCCTTGGAAATCTCGAGAATTCCAAAACGCCAGGCTACCAGAAGTTCTAGGACTCACTTATATTCGAATAGTCGATCCGTAGCGGGGATTATAGTCCTTGCCAGAAAGCCAGATAGTTCGCTACAGTTACTCAACTAAATAGGTGATTTTGGTCGATGCGCATGGCGCCTGAACTAGGTACCCGGAAAACAGATGCATAGCTAGAAGTTTTGAGAAGAGAAAGGTAGTAGGCCTAAGGCGTAGCTGTGTCCGCGATTTTAGATGCGAAGCAACATATGTAGCATCGCGCTTGCATTTGGAACGGTTTCTATCCCGAAGCTAAGTCAGCTGTATTTGATATCAATTGACGTCCAAGGCATCATCCGCCCGGGACTATCTCATGCCGGTTGTGGCTATCGATAATCAACTCGGGGCCTCGATGGGAATTTCGTAACAATAGTGGGTCGGTCTTGAACTAGTCACTCATGCATTTCCCCAGCCTAAAAAAGTTACTGGCAATAGGTTACTGCTGGTCCGCGTATTCATATATGCATAGTACTTACGGAGTCGCAGGATCACCCCAAAAAACAAAACAGAGTCGAAGTCCGCCTCAAACTTAGGGTCAATGTTGTCCCGATCTCAAGATCGGATATTCAAAAGAGACAAGGATAGAGGAGTCACTCTTCTATCTTCTCTTGTTCCTTTTTTTTTTTTTTTTTTTTTTTTTTTGTAAAATACATTCTCGTAGACGGAACAGCCTTGGGGGACGCGTCAACCAGGAAGACTCATGTCGGAGCCTTCAGGATCGCTTCAATTGTGGTATTTTCTGCGTTGTGTTGTCGATGGCTCTTTCACTGTTGCGGCCAGAGTCGGAATGCATTTGACCTTCTGCATCCTTGGACAGGACAGGACCCTTACTTGACCACGGTGGATGCTTTGTCGAGTAATTCTCACAGGCTTCTGACCTGACTTGATTCGCAACCTCGCCCACTGGTTAATACACGATGGCTTGTTCAAATCGGGTCCGGATCTTCCGACTGAGATAATCGAATCCAAAACCTCTCATCATCATCCAGCGACCGTTGCCCGAAAGTGCTGACCTAAAGTTCTCACGTCTTATCCGGCTGACCATCATACACGATCAAAATGACAGTCGCAGGAACAACATCTGAGCCGGGCAATGAAGACCCGATCGAAGTAGCCTTCCGAGATGTTCCGTGGGCTCTTCTGTGCATTCTCACAAGCTACTTCCTACTCTATCTCGCGAACTACTACTCTCTTGCCCGGAATGGGGCTCAGTACATATTTTGGAGCCTTTTGACGATAGTTGCAGTCATATTCTCGCACTTTTATGCAACGGTGGACTGCAGGCCTTTCTTATCGTTAAGAAATTGTGCTCGTATGTGAAATACCCGATTTACTTTGAATTTATACGGAGGAAGATCCCTATTGAATTTAAATTTGTGGTAGTGAACGATTGATTTCATGCTAACGATTTAATTATATTTTTCTCTTAGTTTTCTGTTGCATCATGAAATGCCTCGACATGTTGTTCCGTCACTTCCAAGGCACATCGTTGGTATGGAGATTGCCCAACACGGAGGCCAAGCCTCCGCCACTCTATCAACAGGCCTTCTGGATGACCCTGGAACTGCGATATGAGGATTTTGTACCAAACCCGATTCGTCTTAAGTTGCCGGCTCCCTTCCACGAACCGACGCAGCTTCTTTATCATACGATATTTTATATTATAATTGCATATGGACCCCTTCCTCAATCTTGGGCGCCTGTGAAGGCAATAAAGTTACTCTTACAGATCTATATTCTTTGGACATCAGCACACCTGCCGTTTCGACTATCAAATACAGCGCCTTTCTTCGCCCCACTATACAAAGCCGACTCGCTTGTGGATTTCTGGAATGGCAACGTCTGGCATGTTGCATTCCAATCACCATGCCAAAGTATGGCTTACTCTCCCGTGCAAACGATACTTAAAAGTATCGGCATACCAAAGCCTTTAGCAAGAGGCTGTGGTGTGATTGCTGCATTCACGCTGATGGGTATCTTTCATGCATACATCGGATGGTCGGTAATGAGAAATGTTGCAGAAGGCTGGACGAAAGTTGTCGGGTTCTTCGTTATGAATGGAGCTGCAACAGTTGTCGAGGATTTGATATGGGGGAAGAGAAAAAACTGGGTAAGAACGCTTCTTGCATGGGTATTTGAGATATCTCTCGCGAGTTGGGCGGTGAGTGGTGTGGAATTCCCTTATGAGCTGTGGCTAGTGCATGATCCGAGATTTTGCCATGTTGTGGTTTTTTAGGGGTGAGTGTCGACCCCTTTGCTTGCCCCTTTTCGAAATATTTGGTTTTCGTCGAAAGAGACATAGAAAAATATACCCAAATGGTGGCATAGATCTATGACGGTTATAGATCCCGGATATCCAAAAGACTTTGAGTTTTAATGCTTGTAGATATTCCCTCTCCTTCTTCAATAGCGGCCACAGAAACAGCCAAACAAACTGCGCCAAAGACTCCTTCTCTGTGGTTTCGCATGTCCCATGCTTTGCATCGTCGGGAACTGTACTGTTCTGGCGGATCCGTTATATGGGACATAAGGTTTCCAGTTATGTCCTCGTCCTTGAACATATTCGTTGAACGTCTTGTATCCAAATTCAGGTTTTGGAGGGGGAGGAGGAGGAGGAGGTCCAACTGGCGGAGGAAATTCGATAGAGCCGTACCTTGGAAGTCGAATGTCTGGTTTATATCCATATTCAGATCGGGGGCATATGTAAGGAATAGAGTTGTCGGATCCAGATGAGTTCGAGTACCTCCTAGGATCTATGAATACACCGCCCCACCAAACTTGCCCCGGATGAGCTTGTATCATCTCTGGCGTCGGTGGCACCAACCGCTCCATCGACATGTTGTCTTAAAACCTTTAAGAAAAGGGCGGAAACCGGAATATTTAAATGTTTGAAATAAATACGATCTCGACCCACCCCTGTAAGGTTTGGTTTATCCTTTTTCTTTTTTTCACCTTTCTAGAAAGAATAGAGTGCAATCACAAGCCTTAAGTATCAATGTATACTATTGTTTGCACTTTGTTAGGCAGCTTGTTGTGAATCGGGAAGGCGGAAGCGCATGTGATGGGTTTTGTGATGTGAAGTGTGATAGAAGAGTGTAAGTGGTTAGCACGGTGGCGTTCCGTAGAGGGACAGAGTACCCCTCTATTTATTAGAATAATCATTTTGTAGAAATTATTGTCTTTCCGAAGTATCATATCTGGCAACCTGTCGACGTTTTTAACAGAGTGATCAACGGCGGTCCCTTTGAGATCACAAAGATCGGATCAGATTAGCCTTGGTTTAGGATCAGATAAGCGGGATAACTCTGCGCGCTGTGTTGCTCTGCGCGGGTTCGGGCTTGTGTAACATAGGTATCTTTGCTGTGGGGCCTGCGCCTCGCCCTGCACCGTGGTCGGGTCAGATATGCGGATACGGACCCGCAGACTAGGGCACGGTGTATTATTGGAGCTTCGGTCTCGAAAGGTTTTTTATTTATTTTTTTTGTTAAAAAAATTCCATTCGAATTCGTTTTTTCCGATTACATAAAATGTTCGAAGGTCTGGGTGTACATGTACATCGCTCGAAACCTACAGAACTTAAAAAGGCAAATGCAGCACACGATATTTTCCGGATACATTCACATGTCTGCATAGCTGACCGGCGTCCCGTAAATTTATGCTTCCGATATCGATATCAATGCATCTTGCAGAGGCTTGATCCCAGTTAGAACACTTTGATATCAAAACCCCGCATTAAGTGGATTTAATATATACTTAGGTATTTAATCCAGCTTCCTGATCGTTAGGTAATCATATTCTATAGCTCGACGTTAACTATTCTTTAGAATCCGATTAACTTGATCAAGTCCGTATTACTGTTGAACAGATATGTTAATACATATTTATCGTTCTTCTAGACCCCGTCCGGAAGGAGAGTATATGGGATGGACCCACTTGGTCAATTAGAGAACAGGGCGAAAATTATGATAGAGACCCTTTTCTTCAAAAAAACAAAAAGAGGTCCAAAAAAAATATTTTCTCACTGCCAGTAACGATATTTCGCAACAACTAAAGATCAGTCTAGACTTAGGTCCAGAAATCCACAATCCAACGAACTTCCGAGGGTTTCGGCTTTTTAAAAGTGTTGCTTCTAGACCTATATATAAGGCGGGATGTCTGTTTCATGGTCAGACAAAAATAATGGATCTACATAGGCAAAACGATCGAGATAAGAGACCTTTAAAAAACAAAGAATCGTCTACTTAAGTATTTAGTTTGGTGCAAATGTCGAATCCGGGTGACCGTTCTTGAATCAGAATGTGGATCCGAGTAACAGAGGTGTTAGCCGAAAACTTGGGCTTTCTCTTTTCGATAAAGCTCGAAATCTACGCCGTCCGTAGAATCTCTTTTAGGAAAACTTGTTTCTTTTTTTTCCCATGGTGTTCGCAGCCTAATAATGGATAAATTCTGCTGATTTATTGTTGGCAGGGTAGCAATTCCTTACCCTGCATCAATGCGATGTATCTGATCACTTAAGGAAATACAACTTGGCTCTGTTGCCATCATGGAAACCTAAGTTATTTTAGATAATCTGCGATCATCAAGGCCTCCAATAGCGCGGCGTTAACTCTGAGCTTAGCTCTGAACTGTCAATATTGCCGCTTTGCTAAGCTGTGGAACAGGTTTATGTGCGAGACAATCATCTTTGCTAGAATATAAATGCGAACTATTGGCCTAACGATCGCGTCAGAGCGCTCCCTGCTGACCACTGGACGTAATACCATGCAATGAACAATTTTGTTGAGTCAATCAATAACCTAATCTATAATTACAAACTTACAAATTTGCGAACGAGGTCGCAGCTGAGATGAAACCAGATCTCTCAACAGACAGACGTAATCCTAAGTGAAAAGATTTTCGAACCCTACGTATATATGAGTGGCTAGCGGCGTATCCGGCCTGCATTCTGCGCGCTCTAAAATATGATACACGATTCTGATGGTTGTAAATCCTTTAACTGCTAAGACGAACGGCGGGAGGCAGACACGTAGGCAGGATTTGGCTCAACGGCACTCTCCAGCACATAGCTGTAGCGGTGAAGTTGAAGTTCTGCAACCTTTTAATCGTCATTGGGCATAAAGTACACATCAGGATGCGCGCTGCTCCTAGGATCTGATTTATAGATTTTATATATGTGATACCAATCAAGCTATACTCTAGCCTGTACTATTAAGCACCTAATTTTGCTATACTATCCTCAAAACTTTGAATTATTTGTTACTACAGGCATCTGTATTGTTATTTTTATTCTCGCTAACTAGTAGTACATGAAGTTCAATGCCTCTCATGACAATACAAGCACGAGCCACATCCAAGATCTTTAGTATAATACTGAGGCTACCAATATCTGGGCGACCGTCAGTCCCTAGTCGCACAAATATTCGGCCTGTTTCAAATGATTTTATCTATAGGTCCTGCCTAGCGCCTCATAGTCGTCCCACACATAATCAACCGCCACGTCAGTTATATTAAACTTTCCCACGATACATCGGCGGCGTCCCTGCATACGGCTATTTGTCTCTGACCCAAGGCTGCTACTTCTAATGCAAATATACCAATGATTCAATAATTTTCCGGGTGTTAGCTGCATGCATGAATGCTATCGAAAATTTTGATGTAAACGCTGACTTGGCTAGTTATATTATAGGAGTGCTATAGCGCCCCAGAGGCTTGAGAGAGGAAACGAAGTGGACCTATATTAATTCAATTTGTCCGCGTGAGGTTAATAAGTTGAAGGGCACGATGTATATAATCAAACCTAGATGATTTTTTTTGCATTGTCCTTGTGATTATCTTCGGGTCAAACGTGTATGTTTTCCAACTCAAGTTCAGCTAGATTGCTTTAATTCCAAGCGTATTGACAGCGGCAGATTGGCGGGCCTTGCAGCGTAGCATAATATTGACAGCAGTAAGTTGTTAAAATAAGATTTTGCGGATACTTAGGAAGCTAGTTCATACCCTGCATGCATGATGTGATGCGTTCAACTTCTTGCTGCTGCTGAAAAAAAATACACGAACATCTAGTCTACGTATAGGATACTGCCTTGGGCTAGGTATGCCACGAATACGTACACGAAGTTCCTTTCGTGGTTCGCAGATGCAACTAGTCGGCACGAACGAATCAGGGCACAGCTCCTACTAAGCGCAAACCACTTTTGTAAGTACATACCGTGCCTAACCTTGTTAGATAGCCCGACCCTTTAAAACCCTCCCTCTTCACCAAGATTTTTGCTGTGTACAAACACCGCTGTCACTATCACAAGCATTCTCCCATCCAGGTATCCCAATACCCTGGTTTTCGGGTGTTCCCACAACCTTATTTCAGAAATTATCCCATTTTGAAGAGCTCTTTACTAGTATACTTTTATTAAGTTCATAAAAGTCCCTCTTAAATTAAAACTCAATATATTAATAACATAATATCCTATTGGCTTCCGCAGCCATAGCGCTAGCATGTCAAGCGGTGCTGCCGTGTTCAACTCTCGGTACTCAAGGGCAGTGTTATCGAAGTCTGACTGGGAGGATCACCGGGAATTTATTCAAAAGCATTACATAGAAAACGACAAAACACTAGAAGACTTGAAAGTTCTACTGAAAGATAATCTAGGTGTAGAAGTTACGTGAGTTTTGCTCGAGTGCTCATGAAGCGCGTCACGATTTCAACTTGACAAGTAAGGACTACTATACTAACGATAAATTTTGCAGGAAACATCAACTAGAATATCGCTGTAGGCGATGGAAGTTCCGAAAAAACTACTCTCAGGCATATCCTCGACAATCCCAAAACCAGAGCGTTCTGAAGTTTCCTCCGGTAGAGGCAAAGAAGGGGCGGATGAAGCAGAAGGCTTCCTGTGAGCCGCAACCAGGTCCAACTGTATGTACAAGGCGTCCAAGTTTCGATAAGTACTTTAAATATATATTTCTTCTTCTTAACTCTGTCGATGTGTAACCACCAGAGGCAAAAAGTCAGGATGCCTCAGGACGACGGTGCCAGCGGCCCTAACTTTGCTACTCATGGTTTCTGCCAGTTCTCGAGTAGCCCCCCTGCATCAAATGATAATGGTCTGTCATCTTACGCAGCATTGCAGGGCTATGATGACAGGCCTTCTGGTGCGCTGAAGCAGGATGGTGAGTTAATAAATTTAATTAATTATGTTAATGGACGTACAGTTCATCCAAAGCTTGTATTTGATCGGATTGTTTAATGGTATTCCGCAGAAATTTATTCCAGTACACAGGGAAACAGTTATAATCCTTTGCTTTCTGTTCGGGGCCAAAATGAATTGCTCGATACTAGACGTGCCCCGCGACACGAACTGGATGAATACAAGTCGACCGGCCTCCACGATTCCCAGCTGTTGTTCAATAGCTCTACTGAGTACAACCCGTCTCAATATGTTGGACACAGCACCTCGCCCCTGGACCAAAGCTTCGAAACATCGATGGAATCGCTACATCTGAGGGACCGGAAAAACGATACATTGCAGAGGCAGTATGCACAGGAGTATCCAAGTTTGAATACCGCCAACTTTCGAAACGACCTTACGCCATATTTAGACACAGGATATAACACCTGGCCTCTGTCAGCTCCACCATTTCCATATTGCGAATCTATGAACATCAACTGGGACGCCGACCGGTCAACCACAGAGATGTTGGCAGACCAGCAGCTAGATCCTAATGTCTGTGCAGCACCGTTATCGCACCAACAGCAGAACAACTTTGAAAGTACGTTTCCGACAAACACGCACTACATGGACTCGGGAAATACTCCTCGGAGATCCGTTTTTCGATACTCGGATACTATGACTAGAGAATGGAACAACTAATAATGGCTGAATAAAATTTCTCAACTCGGATTATACAGAATACACCAAAACGGTTAAAAGGCTCACCGTTTACCCTCTTTGAAACACCCACAAAGCACACCTGCTCTCAAACCCTGTTTTGTGAGCGTTTACCATTCTTCCTGAACCTCGCCGTTCAACCTCCAATGGCAGGGCTTATACATTTCCCTTTATTTTTATTTTTATTATCCTTAAAAGCAATTTGCTGTTTCGCTGAAGATACCAAAAGAACCTTGACCATCATTTTTTTTCGTTTTTGTCTTAGAATACTCGGGCGGATTGTTCAGGCTCATAATAAAAATGTTTAATTAACCTTGGTTTTTGTTCAAAAAAATGTATCCTTATGTTGTACGATATATACATCTTGTTGGTTAGAATGTTACTTTCTTTATGGTTCAGAATTCATACCACGGGCTGGCGCCCTTCTAGAATTCTGTCGAATTGATATATAAATATATACACTTAGTGAGAATGTATTCTGGTACCTGGATATGAGAGGCGTAGTAACATAAAAATATTATTTGTTAGCCAAGTCAGGCCAAGTCAAGTAACATACGTTAATTTGCATGGGCAACCTGTCTAAATGACGTTGTTGAGATCGATTTCATGACGTCGATTTACGGTCAAAACTTCAAGGGTTGAAAACCGGTACTATAGCTAAGCAACACAAGTTGGCCACATTGGCCCTCATATATAATAGCATGAAGGACATCGCTGTGGCTGGTATCTAGCAGGCAGAGATTTAAAAACTTCTCTTAACCTTAAGAAATCAAGAGTTTCCTGACTGTACTATAATATTTTACAATTTTACAACCTCGATACTGCACTCCCCTTGACCTTGTGCAATTGCGCAGCATTCAAAATCGAAATTCGAATATTCGCTACTGTGCCCCAGTCAAAAATGAATCCATTGATTCTGTACTCCATTATCTTTGCTATTTTTGTGGCTGCTGTCGGTGCTGCGTATGCTAGTGGAGTTCTCGATCCTGTTATCGGAGAAATCGCAAAATATATGCTTAAGGCGAAGGCCGAAGCTGAGGTCCAGGGTCTAAAGGCCCAAGGATTACAAGAAGGGCAGGATTTCCTTCGAGGTAAAATTAAGACACTAGCTCTTACTACCCCTAATACTCTCCGGTGGTGGCTAACAAAAATATTATTGGAAAATAGAGGAAGTTCCGGGCAGCCAGCAGGCCGCTGAGATTGGAGACAAATTTGGGCTGTAGGGGGGGGTTGATTCAGAAACCGGGTTATTACGGACAGAACGGTCTTTGTTCGAAATACGCTTGCGCATCTCGGCTATAGTTACATATCCCGATATCAATACCGGCACCTTGCGATGCTAATAGCACAATTCTCCTTCTGAATTTTCATCTTGGGTGTGGCTCTGAGCCGCGAGCTGGAGCTCATATGCTCGGACCGACCGAAGTTTGTGGTATTTTGACCGCAGTTGTGTTGTCTTATTTTCGTGTAACGTGCGATAAAATATAATCCCTTTTGTGTATCGAGACTCGACGTACTACATACTACCCTTTTGGTATTTTGTGTGAGTGACAAAGATGGCCGGTATATCAATTAAACCATAGAAAAAGAATTTTATGTCTTTCTTAATGTAATACAGGGAGGGGTCGATTGAAGTCATCTATGAAAAATACACCAAGCGTTTCATATTCATCCAAAGGTATTCTTTCGTTTTGGCGACTTCTAATTAATTTTACGGTTCCTTTCGAGCTTCGTTAAAGATAAATCTTATAAATACATGCCGCTGTTCTCTTGAAAACCTGCCCCCCTTGCTATGAGCTCGAGTTCCTCGTTATACAGCAAGCTACGGGATGGAATATTTCTGCAAACACACGAAGTGCCTCTCATCGGTATGTTTTTTTTGGTGACGTTCTAATTCTTTTTAAATGCAGATTATAATTATATTTCTAACGAATTATAATTATGCGTATTTGCTCTACTGACATGTAAATTATGTATAGTGAGCTTGGGAAGCCCTCGTACTTGTGATGAATTCGAATCTTTGGGGAACTGTGTCGCAGCCCTAGATAGTTGCCATCTCCCATTGATGATATTTGAAGTCAACTCCTATGATGGCAATTCCGACCACCGCCCCCTTCGTGGTATTTTGAAAAAACCTGCAATACCGCCACGGACATCCAGTCTTCGCGCTCATAATCGATCACGGTCGTCCGAAAATATTAGGCCGGAAATAGTTGTTGAAGAAACATCGTCCCGACGCCGTGCTTCTTCAATCTCGTTACCGCCTGGAGCTTCGAGGTCGCCGTCCATTCCGCCAGCAGTTCCAGAAGATCAATATTCAGTGCCACAGCTACAGCCAGCCCTGGACCAGACCCCCAAGCTTATTACACCCCTTTCGGCACCTTATGTAGCCCCACAGACCTCTCTCCAGCCGGCGATCGCTACACCAGTGTTGATAATACCTGAGAATGAAAACCCGTTCGATTTCGCAACGAACCTCGAGGATGACCGAGCCCGCCGTGTAAGCACTGGTAGTATCGATCCGTTTACTGAAGAGGAGGAATATCAGGCCTCTGCCAAAAATGGCGCTAAGAATTTATTGGGTACTGGTATTAGCAGTCATAACCGACATGAGCACCCTCATGTGGGTTGGAAATCCGACTTTTTAACGCCGACTCCAGAGGAAGGTATCGAGGGCGCTCCAGAAGGCTATAGTAGACGTCGCTCGAGCTCTTTGCCTGATTTACCAGCAGCAGGAGGTGGAAGAGCGCTCAAATCGGTGAAGGGGAGACGCGCCACACCTTGGGTACACAACATCGGTATTGATGGAACTACCGCCGGAAATGGGAAGGGGAAAAGAGTTAAATTGGCGTTTCCAACCTTGAAAAGGTTGAGTGGTGCGAGCGTTAAGAGTATGGAAAGTGGCCACGAGGTTTGGTTTGATGCTCTTGAGGAGCAGCAGGAGGAGAACTGATTGTGCTAAATGGTACTACACGCGCGCAATTCAAAATAGCGATTGAGTTAAACCCTAGATCGGATTCCCTTTGTTAAAATAAAACTATGCGAATGGGTTGTCCATAGATCCAAAGCCAAAGTATCAGCTGCGCTGTAGAGCGCCCCGCAGGCAGAAGTTCCAAGTTCGGAGGAGGAAGAACAGCTAGAGTTTTCATAAGAGTTCCTTATTCATTCTTCATTAGTACTATACTGCTATTAAAAGCACGGGAATCCTTCGGAAATAGACCGTAGTAGTAGGCGAAAGGCGACGCAATCAAGTTTCCACCCCGGTCCTTTCTCGATGCAACCATCATCATCAACAGGGTCCAATCCTCAGCTAGTGCTGAACCTCGTGCGATTCTCCCCGCATATGCATATATGCGTTGCCGGGTTCCGCCGACAGTTTGAGCTTTAAGCCCACAATCTCGTGAAGTGCTGGGGACTGAAAGATTTGTGATATTTCATCTTGCAGCATTGGAATTTAGAAATTCATTTTCGAGAGGTACCGACGATAAAAATACCGGATTGCTCTCATTCTAAAATTGAGGAATCGAGTTTTTACTGAGTTGCCGTACTTTCCGGCGGGTGCTACGGAATATTCCGAGCCAGCCGGGTTTAGTATAAAAAATTAAGCATTTTGTCGAGCCTTGGCACAGCTCCAATCCCAGCCCTGGATGACTTGTTGGGAGCGCTGTCTGTAACACACGCACACGTCAGCTGAACTCCTGGGCCCACAGCTCCCGAAGTCTAAGACAGAGATAAGTATGATGTAGATGGTATGGTTGTTCGTGCGAAAAAGCTAGTGTGGTGCGTCGTAATGGCCAGTCAGGAGGGGAAGTAGGGAAGTTGGAAAGCCACAATGTGACATTCGATATTCGTGCGAATCAGAATTACTTTCATGCATGTATGGCTGTGACACTGCGATTTCCTTTGAATAAGTGATTTTGGCTTTGAGAGAGGATAGTAGAAGTATATAAGGACGTACCGCGCCGACGGGAACTCTAACTAACCATCATCTAGCCTTATAATTACGACCAAAACCCCGAAAATCCTATTGTGCGGCGCAAACGATCTAGTTATCACTCGATCTACAGGCACAAATCGATTACTTTCTGATAAACCAATTCCCACAATCAAAATGCCGAACCAAGAGCAACCAGTTAGTGTGAGCTGAAACCCCGGAACTGGCAGCTGGTGGTACTAGCTGTACAGTTTGTTCGTGCTAGGATATTCCGACTAACTAGAAGTCATTTACCCTATCGCAGATTCCTGCACCTACCTACAGCTCAGCTCCTGCAATGGAGATGACACCCCAATCTCGAACTCAGCAAGATTCCCAACGGGAAGCTGAACCGAAAGTCCAGCTTGGACTCCGTGGCGGCCGTGATCGTGGCTGTCTTGCTGGATGGTAAGCCCATGATCAATTCATTGTTCAATTCGGCATATCAAGTCGCTAGTTCTAACTCTATATGAATTGATACATAGTCTGGCTGCCCTCTGTATTTGTTGCGCTTGTGATGCTTGCATCGATTGCGTCGACGATTGCTGCTGTTGTTAGTGAGCGGAAGGGACGTCGGCTCTTCTTCAACTTTCTGGCTTGCCTCTTTTACTAGAGAGCCATTGGAATACTCGGATATAGTTCAGCAAGGCGTTATGGGTTACTAGCGAGTTGGGTTTTCTTTAAACGTTTTTGTATTGGAATAATTACTATCTTTTGATGATATTGCACATTAATATTACTATCCTGTACCGTTACATACCCGTAATTCCATCGAATCGGGTGTGCATCCTTAATTAATCAAACCCGGATGTGCTACAACGGTATAAAATACAAGTCCCCCACACACGTATACTATGATCGATCGTATAACCAACGAGACCAATCGTATATATCTATACATAGCGCGCCTTGCGCAGCTAGATATTTACAGGGCTAAGCATAATTATAAAAGAAGAGAACAATAGTAGTGCCTTATGCATATGGTGCCAGTCTAGTCCAGCATAATTACAATTAGAACCTTTGAACCTGCAATAAAGTGTTGCGAGAGCTTCTTTCAATAATTAGCTTTAAGGATCTGTAAAACCTCAAAAGGCCCCATAGACATGATGCACCGATATCATCATAAGGATGGCCATTGATGATATATATTTCTCGCGATATTTGCGTTTTATTCAAGATCTGATTAAATTTAAGGGTTGAGCACCGGTGCACTGGCAACAGTTTTAGATCACTCACGATTTTCCCTTTTTCCTAGGATACCGTAAGACCTAAGGCTAAGGCCGCCGCGTTCGAAGTTGAAAATGCAGATTATTGCAAATGCAAAATTAACTATATTAAAAGGGCTAACAATAACTTACTAGAACTTCGCAGCTGTCTACAGCCTTCTTCGTATCCTGAACTGGAAAGTTGGGGCATATCACTCAGATTGATTCAATATATACTTAATTGCAATAGCTAGTTAGCGCTCGAGGGTAGCCTTGGCGACTTGTCGTGGTCAGCTTTTAGATCCCGACTTTAAATTTACCTTGAATTGTCTTTTGTTAATTTTCCTTTTAGAATGACTTTTTGAAACAAAGAAAAGAAACCGGAACAGGACAGTTTAGATCAAATGCCGATACATGTTTTCCAGGTTTAACAAAGCGAGCTTTCACTCTGAGCTGGTTCCCAGCTGCAGTCGACAACCACCTGTCCGCGCATTGGAAGGTGTTGGAATTGAATTAGGATTGTTTAGCCGGCCAACATGACGCACACCATATATGCTTGCCAGGCTTCATCCGCTTTGGGTAACTGTTCTATGTCACATTGGTTTAAAGAAGCTAAGGGAGCCGCAATTTAACCTTTTCTTTATCTTTTCTAAGCTTCTCCGAGACTCTCCTCGCACATGATATTTTGGGCACAAAGCCGATTGTTGCTGCACGTATATTGAGGCAGGGCCGGGGTAGCACCTGTTGGACATAGTGACAGTTTTTTCACATATGCGTGTCCTATAGCTATAGTCCAGTACATATTCCATGCGAACGCCAGGAAGCGATACCCAGATTACGTATTCCATAGGTTTAGTAATTACCAAAGTAGCTAGCCCAGGTCCGATTTGTCAGCGTGCAGTCTTAGTCGGCTACTCGCATACTCGGATTCGAGTTACAACAAGCCAATCGGTATGATTGAGTCTAGAGGCCAGGTTAACTACAAATGGAATTATCCTTGAATTCTCGGTGAATTGCATATCCACACCTCAAAATTGTGCGACATGAGCACCGATTTGCCGAAAATATAATCACAGCTAATATTATAAAAGATTAAAGAATTATTAGAAAGCCTGCTCATGTATATGAACGCATAGTGCAACCGATAGCAAGAGCCCAAAGGGTCAAACTTAGGGACACTGAGTCGGAAAGGATACCGAACGTACAAGGTATCTTAGGTCGGCTCAGGTCACTAGCACTCAAGTTGGGATTTTGCAGTATGGTTTCGGGGTGCATATTGAATCCTTCCTTAAGGCCTTGTGAAAGGAACTATCGACCCCAGGTGCTCGTCGCCCAAGTTTCCCTCTATCAGTCTTATAATGAAGCTGGATCCTTCGGCAATCAAGGCTGGCGAAGTCTGGACCTAAATTAAACCATTCTCCTCGGGATATCACTTTCTGAAAAACCGATTTCGCATGTCTTTACAAAGTTATAGATCCGATGATTCCAGCCTGCTGCTACTAATTTCTGTCAAATTCCAGAAAGTTGACAGGCATTGATGCACAGTGCAGTGTAAGCTTAACTGTGATTATTTGCATATAATTTCAGTTGATTGTGTTACACAGACGCCGAATCTACGAAGCATGATATTTAGTAGGATCCTAGGGGCTGTCCGAAAGGGAATATTCGATACGACTACCTACACACCCGTTAGCCGAGGACACCAACTGTTAACCCAATTGGCCAACACCAGTTGATTATTTAAATTTATTATATTATATTGTATCAGGGCAAAGATTGTTCATTCTCTTGTGATGATTCTTATTCGAATATTGGGGTGAGAATTTCGGAGTTAAGCTAGGTTGAAATGAGCTCTATGGAAAGTTGATGATTAACATCCAGTGACTGCTAAGAATAGGACCGATATAATATACAACACTTGATTGTATCAGTCTTATTACATTAGATCTATAGATCTAGATTTCGTTTTAAATTTGAAGTATAGTAGAATACTTGAGAAGGTATGAATACTTATGTCGTCGCTGTCATGTACAGGCTGTTCTTTCATAGCTATAGGCCCACACACACATATGTAACTGTATGTAGTCGAAATGGGAGCATATACTTTACATGTTAAGTGGGGTACTGTTGTAGCCTCAGATAGCTTCCGCCCCACGGCGGTATTCCTTTTCGGTAATGACTTCTCCAGCCAGTTCGATATTATTAAAAACTTCAATAAATTTATAGCCGACAACACTCGAATAGGTAGTTCGAACAATAAATTGACAAACTCTAAAAGCGAAGCCTGACAGGTGTTTCGCTAAGAGCCTTCACGTCTTTAAAATGATAAGATTGAGGGCAATTGACGTCCAGAGGTTGCTTTCATTCCGTCTATATAAACATGAACTCGTATCTTCTAGATTATCGTTAGCTTCACTACCATCCACCAGCCCTTTCATACAAGGCTATCTTCCCGTTGAGAAAACGGTGCCATTCCTTTGAACAATAGCGAACTTTAGTCTCTCTTTCTTTCTTTCTTTCTTCCTCAGCATCTCCAATTACCCGGTCCCTTGGACCATTTCATTCTTTAGATTTCATCCACAAGACTTGGTGCAGAGTCAAATCTGGAACTGCCAGATCGAAATGTTGATCAGCAAGCTCCTCTGTTCTATCCTGGCTATAGCCCCTACGCTCTCATCTGCCCATAGTATCGTTATTGGTGCCGTTGGAGATGCTGATAAGAGCGTAAAGGGACATGCCATTGGCATGGTTGAGGGTACTTCGCGCAAGGATGCCAATCAGTACTCTGGTCTCAGAGATGCCGCTATCTTTTCTTTCCCGACCATTCCAAATAGATGGTGCAAAAAATGTGTCAAAAGATACAAGCCTAAATGTGGAAGCTGCTTGAGCTCGTGCTGGAAGAAGAAGTACGGGAAAAAGGGCCGTGCGCGGAGGTTGCTCAGGAGGACTAATGCAAAAAAGAAGCAAGCCGCAAAGAAACAGCCTGCCGCAAAGAAGAAAGCAACAGCAAAGAAAGCTAAGACAGTGAAGAAGAAGACAACTACAAAGAAGAAGAAGACAGTTAAGGCCAAGGTTAAAGCTAAGAAAACGGGAAAGTGCTTGAAATATATCAAAAACTGCAAGAAATGCCCCGTGTATGACTTTAACTGCGCCAAATGCCGTACACCACTTGTCAACGGTTGCGGTCGAACCTTTATGGTTCAGCAATCGCCTCTCTACGACATCGATGGCGGTGCTAAGGCGGGGAAGATGTGCTGTGGTGCAAAGAGCCCATATTATGGTCTCGGATCACTCAATATCCAGAATTGGGTCAATAAAATGGCTCAGAAAAACTCGATTCCGAAGGTTCGCTCGGGTGGCTATCTCGAGTTGAAGGTAACTAGACTTCTAATTCCAATATTTTATAATGCGAAGAGAGGCCAAACACACGATGAATTTTAAAACTAACCAACGAATTTAATCCCATAGATTCATCAAGTGAATGCCGACGGTGGTGGCCCCTACCACTGCATTGTCGATAAAATGGGAACTGGAGCACAATTCAATCAAACACGCCTGCAGATTATCGGCAAGAATGTCCCTGGAAAGAACGGGATCAGCAAATACAAATTCAAAAAGTGGAAGTTAATCGTGCAAATGCCAACGAACCTAGGCTGCTCAGGGTCATACAACGGCGCAAATAACGTTTGCATGGTACGTTGCAACAACGGAGCCCCGAATGGGCCATTCGGAGGGTGCATTCCTGTTCAGCAAGTTGGAGGAGATCCTAGCCCACCACCGGAGAATGACTATTCGGACCCGCCAGAGGATGAGGATGTCGCTGGCGAGGAGCACCTTACAGACGATGACAATGCTTACATCCAAGGAAAGCCTGCCGAGCAAGATGACGGCTCAGAGGAGACTTCTGGCTATGGTCCTGTTGGAACAGAATCAGAAGATGATCCAGATGCCGTCGAAGAGGACGATGATGGAGAAGAAGGAGGTGAAGAAGGCGAAGAAGGCGAAGGAGGTGAAGAGGCTGTGGAGGGCGAGGAAGAGGGCGAATCCGAGGAAGAGGCAGATGCTGATAAAGCTGAAGAATAAAAATTATCGATTCAGGCCTATATATTACTACCAGGATAATCGAAATTTGGGGGAAGACGTGTCCTCTAGTTAGCTAGTTTTCCTAGATTATCAAATGGGAATATATTACGATCCTTGCCAAATGATAACTCTATAGTAAGTCCAAAGGTTAAATATACTTAGTAAATACTCTGTATCTCTTACTTCTTATACCTTACCCTTCGATATAAATTTGATATATCAAAATAGTACGTATTGCAATAGCATTCAACATATAAATACGTTGCGATATCTAGATATATCTTCGCTTCGATCAAGGAGACCGGTCTGTCGTTGTTTTTGTTGCATATTGCAAGGGCGATTCCAACGGCTGCAACCTCAGCCTGAATATATCGAATACGGACTAGTCTCGATTCCCGAGAAAGTGACTAGACCGAGAATAAACCGTAGTCCCTCGCAATGTTGCCTAAATCCGTAGAGGTACCGTCGAGATGGCCTGATTTTGGCGGTTCTCCAGGTCGTTGGAACATCATCGTACGAAAGCGGAGGTCGTGTGTGGCCATTCCCAGCCGAAACCTTGCTCCTTCCTTCCTTCCACCTTCCCCACAGCCCCCGCATATCCTCACCTCCGCATTTTTAGCTCCTGACTCCAATTCACTCTCAGTTCTCTTCCCCGCTTTCTTTCTTCTTCTCTTAATCCACCTCTCTTCATCACATCAACATTATCATCACAGACACTTCTTTATCATCTCCTCCACATCTAATTATTCACAATGAGTGCAATTGCTGGCAGCGAAGACCCGATCAAGGTCCTTATCACTCTCCACCCAGGGTTTGACCTTCTCGACTTCGCTGGTCCTCTCGAGGTCCTCAGTTACACCAAGCAAGATATCAATGACCCCGAGTCCAATGCTTTCGATGTCACCATCGCCAGCGTCACCGACGATTTGAAAGTTTACAGTAACCAAGGTGCCGTCATTGAGGCAAACATCTCTAGAAAAGAGGCTCTTGAAACTCTCAATGAGTACGATCTCTTTACTACCACCCGTTCAAATCTAATATTTGCTAACGCGATAAACTTTTGCGATTTAGCTACGAAATCTTGATTGTCCCTGGAGGTAGCTCTCCCAAGGAAATTGACCTCAAAGCCATCCATCTCAACCCTCCACCACAGGTTGCTATCATCAAGGCCTTTGCCGACCTTCAGAAAACTGAAGTCGAGCAAGCCGAAGATGAGCAAACTGACCTTAAGCGTGAACGAACTTTGATGTCCGTTTGCACTGGATCTCTCTTGTATGTCCCATTGTTGTCCTATAGCCTGTAAACGACTGGCATCTCTTCTAACAGCGACTTTTATAGCCTCGCCCAAGCTGGTGTCCTCCAAGGCCTTTATGCCACCACCCACCCCGATCATGACGTTCAATTGGAAATGATCTGCCAGGTACGTCTTTTTCTATTCAAATATTTCTTTCACGACTCACAACCTAATTGGATATATACAGCACGCTTCTGCTCATGACACTCAGAACCGTACCGAAGTCATCACCGGTTGTCGTTATGTTGTCAACAATGCCCGTTTTGATATACCTGATGAGGATGAAGAACCCGAAGCGAACCCCTTCATCCAGTCATATGATCAATTCATCCTTTCCAAGAAGGAAAGAAGAAAGTCCAGCGCTCGCCGTGGAAGTGTTAGCCACAAGCTTGCCATGCTGGCTGAGAGCATCGGTACCAAATCTGAGAAGAGACTTGGAGGATTACGTGTTATCACTGCTGGCGGTGTTATGAGCGGCATCGATGCTACTTTGTACGTTTCTTCTGCTTACGTCTCCGTCGAGGCTGCAGAGGAGGCTGCCAGAATCATTCAACACTTTGATTGGCAAAAGGGAGTTGTCGTTGACTCCGTTGACTTTGAGAAGGTCACTACCAGCGATATGTATTAAGGTACAGATTGTGCTTCAATCTTAAACCTTAGCATTATGGGTCATAGATCTTCTTAACACCCTCTTGATCGATCTCGTCTAAAATCTAGAAAATAAGGGATAATAGGAAAAGATAAAGAGAAGGGTAGATAGACTGCTATCAAAGACAGCGACCAATATTAAGACATCTCCTCTGATACATCAAAAAAAAAACTCGTTCCATCCGATGTAAAATTTCCAACGTGAATAGCTTAGTTATAACGTGAAATCTAGACCCTGAAAGTCGCAAAATCCGATTTGTCATCCAACCCCGCCTATCCCCGAATGTCAGGCTGGGTTGCGAATAACATCCACCAGAGTGGCCAGTTCTAACTATGTGGCCCGTGCGTTATAATTCCTGGCAAATACCGAGCCTGCCAACGGGCTAAATGAATGAATCAGCATCGGCGTATGCACAACCTTTACTCAAGAAAATTACGTAAATGCAACGATGCAAGATCAGTTCGCCACTTCCTCAAATCCCAAATCAATCGATAAAATCGCTTTGAGGAGATAAATGGTCAACTGCGATAGACGATAATATTCTATCGACATGATGCCCTGATCCGGGACGAGATGTAAAATCAAATGTTGGATTTTTACAATTATCAGCTGGGGGAAATCCGACCCCGGCAGGGTATCTACCATGCCAAGCGGCTGCACCAACCCCCACGGTAGATCGTGCCTGCGGGTTAGCGAGACATCGCACAGCTTCACATTCCAACAATGTAACGAGCCTCGACCGAAACCGGCTCCTTGCGCATGCGGTAACCCCGCATTTCCCCAAGGCATTTATTTCCCCAGAACGCCCTACCGTCAGGATAAATGACTTTGTAGATTTTTCTCAAGCTCCTCTTGTAAATCGCAGCTCAAAACTATTTAAACCTGTCGTGCATTCTCTTCATAGAGTTAGAGGTCGCATAGCTCCGAATTTAATGCCGTCATCGATAGAAGATCTTTATACCCTTTTGTGAATGGTCTTTTGAATTATATTATTCGCTTCTATCTTTACACATTCTATTCCGTTTCCGATATTTCTAGCATCTCCATTCTAGAGTTATCTGATAGTATATTAGTAAAACTCAGGACCCAAGCTTCCACCATGTCAACAGTTCTTATACCCCTCCAACCACGAGAAACTCCAGACTCAAACATGGCTACCAAAGCAAAAATTCTCATTGCAGACCCACTGAGCGAGTCTGGACTTAGTCCTCTCTCAGACCCAAAATTCACCATCGATATCAAGACTGGCCTTTCGGAAGCTCAATTGTGTGACATAATTGGCGATTATGCCGCCCTTGTCGTACGATCGGAAACGAAAGTTACAGCAAAGGTGCTGGCATGCGCAAAAAACCTCAAAATTGTCGGTAGAGCCGGCGTGGGAGTCGATAACATCGATGTTAACGCCGCAACGAAGTTGGGGATCATGGTCGTTAATAGTCCCGATGGGAATGTCATTGCTGCAGCTGAGCTTACGCTCGCATTGATTTTGGCTGCGGCTAGGAACATTGGCAGGGCATCTCATGGAATGAAAGAGAGCAAGTGGGAGAGGAAACAACTAGTGGGTGTACAGCTCAAAGGCAAGGTTTTGGGTATCGTGGGATTTGGCAAAGGTATAACACCTCTCTAAGCCACCTCTATATTGATTAATAATTAAGAACTGACTGGTTTTGTTCCTAGTTGGACAACATGTTGCCAGAGGGGCAGTTGGAATGGGCATGAAAGGTGAGCTTGCATGGTTGATATCTTTTTATGATCAAGTGTATAAATGCTAACATAGAACAGTAATCGCTACGGACCCTTATGCATCGGCCTCGATAGCCTCTCGCCTTTCAGTCAAACTTACTACGCTCAAGGAGGTCCTGGAAACCGCAGACTTCCTAACTCTTCATACACCGCTACTCCCATCTACCAAGAATATGATAAATTCTCAGCAACTAGCTGCTATGAAGTCAGGCCATAGTATCATTAATGTCGCTCGGGGAGGCCTAATTGACGAAGATGCTCTTCTAAAGTCACTTCAAGAAGGACATACTCGATCGGCGGCATTGGACGTCTTCCCTCAAGAACCACCATTCAAATCAGCTTCCTCCGTCGCGTTAATGGCCCATAAGAACGTAATTTCAACCCCTCACTTGGGCGCTTCGACTGCAGAAGCTCAACATGCAGTTGCAGTAGATGTCACAGAGCAAATAAGAGATGTTCTGTTAAACCAATTACCTCGTTCGGCTGTGAACGCGCCAACAATTAGCACCTCAGACCTCGAGAAAATAAATCCATACACTCAGTTAATTGAAAAAATGGGACAACTGTACACCGCCCACTTTAAGCACCAGCCTCCATCATATGAGCTCATATTTTCCGGCTCAATCGCTAGTGTTCCAACTGCGCCACTCTTCGCAGCGCTAATAAATGGTTTAACGAAGTCAATTTCCGCTAGAGGAACCACCGTCAATGTTGTCAATGCTAAGTTGGTAGCTAAAGAGCGCGGTATCGTGGTTCAGGAACGGAAGGTCCCTGAGGATACTACCTACAGCAGCCTGGTCACTATCAAAGGTGCTAACGGAGATATTATCCAAGGCTTTTGCAGTGAAGGGAGCGGACCACAGATCGTTCGGATTGGTGACTTCGAAACCAACTTTGTACCACAAGGAACAGTTCTCATTGCTAGGAACTTCGATAGGCCGGGAATGATTGGTGTTGTCGGAAGAATTTTGGGAGGCGAGGGTTTGAACATCAAAAATATGACAGTGGCTGCAAGAAAATATGGGAATGGTGAGAAAGAAGGAGACGCTCTGATGATACTAGGGGTGGATGGGGGCAAAGTTAGAGAAGGAGCACTAAGAGAAATCGAATCCACTAATGGCATGTTGAGCGCACAAGTGGTTTCCTTTGACCCGTCAGAGGAAAAAGTATTGGCAAAGCTTTAAGCTGGGTGTATTGGGCTAGTACTGTGCCCTAGCTCGTATCGGCGTTTGGTATGACGGGTATACATATACAGCGTTCGGCAAGGAGTTGGTCATACATCGGTCGCATCCCGTTTATAAGACCACAGATATCGCTTGAACTATTGCTTTCGTTATGGAACTTCTGACAGGGAACAATATCGCTATTTACAAATATTTGAAGTCATATTTACAAGTTGTCGAGAGAGTGGTATTTACAGAGACACCCAATTCAACTACGGCTTAAGAGTACGAGCAATCGCATAGTACGCTGGCTTTTTCTGGAAATTCTTGTCCCACGGAAGAGCATCTCCTTGACCGGCAAAGACTGATGGGACCCATGAGTTTTTCTACAAAGGAAGGTCCACTTGTTAGTTCATGAGATAATATAATATGCGCGGAATCAATATTGATAAAACTTACGTCTGTGAAGTTCCAAACGGTAATACCGACACATCGGCCAGTGACCTTGCAGGCCTTAGTTACGGTCTCATAGTCCTTAGCCAATTGCGCATCGGCCGCAGTTTGATTTGCTGGCGGGACATTCATACGAATGTCGAGCTCGGTGATGGCGATCTCAGCACCTGCAGCAGCCATCCGGTTGAGATTGGCTTCAATGTCTGTTGGAACCTGGCCACTGATCAAATGACCTTGGAGACCAAGTCCGTGTACTGGAACACCGGCTGCCTTGAGTCTCTTGAAAAGGTTAAGCAAGGCAGTAGACTTGGCATTGACACCTTCAACATTATAGTCATTGATATACAATTTGGCGGCTGGATCAGCGGCGGCGGCGGCGCGGAGTGCAATTTCGATATAAGATTCGCCGAGAATTTGATAGAAAATGGAGTCACGGAAAGTACCATCCTCATTGAAGGCTTCGTTAACAACATCCCAGTGGAACATTTTGCCCTTGAAGTGGGTGGCCACCTGTGTGACGTGGTTTTCTACGACGGCCTTCAAGGTTGTGGCATTCCAGCTTCCGGTAGAAACCCAGCTGGGTAATTGCGAGTGCCACACTATCAATCGTTAGCCAAGTCTACTCCCATGTTTGGGCCGTATTTCGGCCTATGTGGAACGAGTAAGCTGCGAAGCCGTACCTAGAGCGTGTCCGCGAATCTTCTTGCCGTACTTAAGGGCCCATGCGACGATCTGATCAGAATCCGCATAGTTGAACGATCCCTGAGATGATTCGGTGGTGTCCCACTTTTGGCTGTTTCCTGGTGTAATGGATCCAAACTCTGAGGGGTCCGAGGCAATCCTCGCCCAGGTGCAATTCATGACATCGTCGTAGATCCAGTCACCGGCAGTACCGAAGTACTTACCTCTTCGAACGGCAAAGGAGTTCAATCCATCGGTTTGAGAGTTTGGATCAACATAAGGTCCGAATGTTGTACATTCGGTGACTGGTACTCGCTCACAGGAAGACCACCCTAAATGAATTGAAACGAGTTAGTGACAGGTTAAGGGCACGTTTAGAACTATATGGTGTATGGCTTTCGCTGTCTAACATTGGTTCAATACTTTGCAATAAGCTCCCTCGACACACTCCGTCTCGCCCGTCCATCCTTCTCCACCGCCTATAATTTTGATTTCATTAGCATGACGCATAGCTCTAGAGCAATTTTAGTACTAACAGCGAGACCACAATGGGACCAATGCATTGGTGGAAGCGACACACGCCGCCAAAACTCCAACCGACGAAAGTATTCCGTTGCTTCGCATTTTGTTTGAAAAAGGATACTGAATTGTACGCCACCGAGATTCTGGCAACTTGGGTAGATGCTACAGGGAGACGTTGAAAATTTGGGGGTGGGATATAGGTATATATATACTGCCGACGATCTCTTTAGCATACCCGCCCAAACTTGTGAAGCCTTGGAGGGATCAAGGGTCAACGTCAGCTTGTTCCCGATAGTAGATATACTATAGGTATCATACATGTACCTGCAGCGCGATCCGAAACCTGGTATTCACATGAGCATTTTACCAGGTAAGCGGTTCTTCCGAACTGACGCCATTTACGTCGCGCAGACAGAATAACACAGAAGAATTTATCTGCGAACAGTATAAAATCCGCTCATTTTGCTTTGCCACTAACACAGCCATGCATGTCGAATTCTCAATGCATGTGGGGTCGGGACGCCTTCTTGGAGGCTGGATTCCGAGATCAGTGGAGAATCTTTTGCATTAAATCGGGATTCAATCCCGTCCTTCGCGTCCTGTACTATGAATTTACACCAAAAGGAGGAGCGAAACCTACCAACCGCGCATCGAATTAACGTAGCTAATCCTGGGAGCTACCGGGAAGCCTGGTGCCGAATTAATTTGGGCCGAAACGAATAACATTGTCGCTTCGTCTAAACTTCGGATGAAATTCTGGAAGCATAAAAAAGACGATCAAGCCTTCCAAATTTCTGGCAGACCCTCTTTCCTTGATATTTCTAGTAAAAAGTTATTTTCAATTCAGTGACATGAATAGAGCGCCAGTAAATTTTTGGATTACGATACGACGCCCTTTGCATTGCTCCCAGCGAGACCAGATCTGATTGCGTCTTTTTTTGCCAGAGAATCTCATATCAAATATGTGTTGATGACTCCACAATCCCACAAAACCAAGAGAAGAAGGTCATTTCTCACGGGCCTATCAGCCGGGAAATCCCCGTCTATTGTTTCAGATCAGACCACCATGCAGGAACGTGGAGCCATTCCATGGTTTAGCTAGGAAACGGTAGGATCTACGAAGGAAAAGGATGTTTTTGAATCCGAAGCCTAAGAAGCTTCAGTGAGAAAGTAAGATTGATTATATAAAATTAAAAATTTACAAAATGTACAATTAAAGTTAGTTAGCCATGATTAATCCGCCCCGACGTAAACAGAAAAAAGCTGTACTAGACTGTGTATCGCAAGATCATTAAATATTTAGTAATAACAACAACGCTGCGCCCAAGATCCTTGCCCAAAAGTAACCATTCATGAATAGATGCTCAGAAGTTCCCATTAATTACTCCAACAGCTCAAATTAAGCAACTAGTATCTCATCAGGATCAAGAGCTGGCGGCGAGTCCATAGCGTCATATGCTGGAGGAGTCCCCGTTGAGCAAGAAATACCAGTAACACGCTCGAATACCTCTCTTCGAACCTTTTCCAATTCTCCGCGAGCAGCTGCTAACTGCGCTTTGGCATCTTCCATGTTATTTTTCGAGTCAAGTGCTCTTCCTCTTTGCGCCTGGAGTTCGAGCTGGACCTTTTGATGCAACAACCTCATCTGAACATAGGTTTCCTTCACCTTCTTATGGAATTCATAATCGGAGACTGGATTATCGAGAAAAATTTCAGTGGTATGGCCACCTGCGACTTTGACGGTATCGAAAGGTCCAATTGCATCTTGGAGATCGATCGCTTGGCCTAAAAGCATTTGCGCCTGGGACACAGTTGACTTGGCCTTGCTCAGATTATCTCGCTCGATCATATCGGCAACGGTACCGCCGCCCCAGACGTCCCAAGAGGAAGCGGATAGAGCTTCATCGCAGAATTTAACCGCCCTCGCGACTGACTTTTCGGCTTTGAACATGAGCTTTTCGGCTTCTTGGTCGCTGTTGCACCTGGATTGGGCTTCGGCAAAGAAATCCTTGGCGTGCTGAACTGCAACTTCCATTTGATCCTCTTCCGGAAACTCTGGAGTCGGTCCGTCGAATACTTTCTTATAGAGTTGTTCAGACTGCTCCTTAAGGTTCACGTACTGGTTTGTTTGAGTTGTGAGCTCCGCAACTCTGTTTTCTGTCTCGGCGATTGTATCTTCTAAGTATCGTTCTTTCTCCTCGGCAGCCCGTTCGTTGTGCAGTGCGTCAAGATACTCTCGTTCTTCTTTTTCAATTTTGGATACGAATTTTTCAGAGCGGCCAGTCAACTTGTGGGCATATCGACGAGCGAATGAATCCCGAAGATCCTGGTGACCTTTTCGCTCTTTGCTAGTGATTTTTCTGAGCTTTTCAAGCTCCGTCTTGAGGCTTGTAAGTGTCTTTTTCAAGTCGGCGAGGTATTTGGATTGCTGTTCAAGAGTAAAAGGAGCATGTTCTAAGTCCGACATTTGAGAAATTAGAGAAATATGGGCGTCGGCCGCCTCAAGGATTCTAGTTCTGATGTCCGCCATCGCGATTTCCGTGAATGTACATACGTCGGTATTGATATATGTAGTAGGACTCGGGGTCTCGTATGGACGAGTTCGAAAGCGGGGTATCAGGACAGACTCTCCGTATGAAGGTGGAAATAACATAAATGAATATATAATATGGCGCACTATAATACTATAGCACTAGTTAAATAAGTATAGTAGTTGGTTTAGCTTAGTATGTTTTAGCTAATCGCAGTTGGCGATGGACGATTGACGAATGCGGTTTGAGATGCCTTTCGATAAAACTTCCAGATAGCTATGGGTAGCTTTTGGCAAGAGGGAGGGTCTACTTTCTTTATATACCAATCAAGGAAGCACGCTCCTCAGAATCCTTCCCCGGATTAAGTCTGGGCCAGCCTTGTCGCTAAACCTGATTACGTTTCGTAGACATGTCGCGTGAGAGATTTCCTGAAAAGCTTTGACATGTCCATTCATGACATGGATCCAAGGATACACTGCGCTTTCACACTGCATATTCGCTCACCCTCCGCCTCCTTTTTGTCCCTCCGAATCGCTGTAATGGCGCTCATTAGTTGTCTAAGCAATATCTTCACCAATATTATCTCACAAAAAAGAGAATCAAAAACTTATCTGTTAGCTAATAGCCAGCTAGCAGTGCTGCCTGAGAATGACGTCTTGGCCCGCCAAATTTGCAAACAGAGTCTGTGCGCGAGCTTGGGGATTGGCGGGATTAGGCGACAACGCATCTCCAGCTGTTGTGTTTTCAATGACATGAAAATCAGGTTCTGACTCAGCCACGGCAAGTTTTTCTAGAACACGGGCCGAAGAGAAAATATTTTCCAAGAGTGCAGAGCTCAAGGGATGGATAAATTGCCCCAGAGTTCTCCAGCTAGTTATGCATTATCTTGACCCTTTGCATTTGGATTTCGATTGGATATAGCTGTACGATGGACTTTGTGCAGTTTTCCTTATCATATGACCATATCACGTAATTTTAATGTAATCGAGTTCGACCCGGCCGTACAAACAGTCGACACAAAGTTTCGGTTGCATTTACTTCGTCACGATCACCAGCAGGGCATAGTACAGAATAGTCACCAGACTTCGATACGATACAATACTGTCAGAACTGTTTTTTATTCAATTTTTTGCATAGCCTGCGCGAGTGTTTGCACCGCCTTCACCTCTCTTATGATATTTAATATCACCATATCCCTCAAAGGTATCTTGAAACGTTATCTCTCCAGGCGGCCCTTAATTCTTTATTAAACGATTGAATTTTGGTAGCCTTCTTACCTGTGCACAACAGTTTTCGACAAGGTACACCATCCAGACAGTCCCGGAACTCTTCCGACGATTAAGCTTTTCTCCATGTGGCACTGGCAGTGCAAGCTGAAAATGGCTAGCGATCACACGACACCTTGGAACAATGAGCATTTTTTCTGCTTCTTCTTGCTTCAAGATTTTCTTTGCCCAGCTCTTAATATGCACGCCCTGCCGTTTGCTTAGGCAGCAGATCAAGTGGATACGATGATAACTACCCCGGTCACTTGCCCCGATATTAAAAACCCGTTTTTCTTGTCCTTAAAAGTCTCGGGTTCCACCGACAGTTCTGTGTATGGCGGTAAAGGCTAGAACGGCGTTGTACTCTGCCAGCAAATAAATGGCGTCGCGCTAATTCCGCGGGGAGGTGATAAATGGAGATTCTATTGCATTATTTTCGATTTTTTTTTCACTCGCGCCACCAGCACGCTAGTAGCTCTCCCGCGTCAGGCTTCTACCATTGGCACCGGCAGTGGTCGAAATAGATACTTACGTATTATCTGAAACCTTTATCTCAGCCCTCCAGAGACAAAATTCGCGCGGAAGGATGAACAGCGCTTGCTTGCACTGCATGATCGAAAAAACGGTTTGTTTCTGGGCACTATGGGCCCTGAAGATTGTTAAAATCCGGTAACTGGTCTTGCGACCAAGATTTGTGTTGACCTGTCGTCTTGTCTGAGACAGTCGACTGCAGACCGTGTATCGATGCAGATCACAGGGCAGCTGACGACCAATTCAGCCATGCATCGATTAATGAAGATTGGGGAGCTCATGAGCGACTTTAACGACTGTCATCACCGAATTCGGACGAGTTCAGCCGCGGGAGATCCACATATCGAGACCAAGCCTTCAACAGTCGCGAAGTCGAGACCCTATGTCTACGGTATCTACAATGTCATCTTTAGATGCTTCTAGTTCTGTCCGTACGAAAACTGCAAAACCTGACTCCCGCTCTGTCTCAAAGATAGATCGAGATGCGTCACAGGCTTACAAGCTCCATTGCGTCCCAAAATCATCAAAGAAAAACAATCAGGTTAGAAGCCAATCTCAAACATCCAAGCTGTAGCTAGAAGCTTTCCAAAATCATCGCTTCGACGCACTGTACGGCTTTGTCCCTATCTAGAAACAGTTCTGACGGCGTATATAGCCCAAACCTCTTCCTAAACCCGCTTTAGACGAGTATAAGGGTGGTTCGTCGCCTTCCAGAGCACTAGCTCCACAAACCCCTCAGAAGAGTGCGGAGAAACAGTTCAAACAGACCATTGAAGGTTTTGAAAAGCAGCTTAAGATCAGGGAAGCGGCGATCACTGGCTCATTTGAACAAAAGCTGGCCATCGGTGGGAAAGAGAATGTCTCAACATCCATTCACGCAAAGTCGGCTCTCGAAGAATCTGAAGGTCTTCTTGCCCTCTACGAAGAGGCGCCAGCTACAGAAACCCAAATCGAAGATCTAGATTACGACCAGTACGAAACCAATCGTGCCAATTTGCTTCGATTATGCAAAGTCGCTTATGAGAGGGGTAGAAGAGATGGAAGCGCAGAAGATCGTAAGAAGATGAAGGAAGAGTGCTACTGCCGCGGCTTCAAGGAGGGCCATAAAGAAGGGCGCGAGGAAGGGTGGAAGGAAGGATATTGTGAGGGCTATGACGAAGGATACATGAAAGGGCGGGAATATGGTGACAAAAAGATCGAAAAGGAAATCAACGAGGCGATTGCTGAGTTGACAAAGAATCCTAACGCTTTCTTAACTAGCAGTGAGTATCTACCCTGAGGCACTGTGATAAAAACGCTTGATATCTTAACTATTTTTGCTGGTACTTAGCCCCGAAGCTGCCCATGGCGCACCCGGAGATCACAGGAAAGTCTGTCACCAATATGATATGACATTTCACTAGAAGGAGGCCTCCCGACTTTCAACAAGCGGTTGTGACCTCTCTTCTCTCTATTTCTAATATGTTCATTATGGTTTTCGGTTTTCCTTTTTAAAATTGATACCCAGGTCGTTATTTTTTTTTTGTTATAAGGGATGAATGTTCTAAAGGAAAAAAAGTGCGGTATATACGATGATGGTATATCCGGAACTAGGAGATTTTGGACATCAAGCTAACTCTAGTTCATCACTTACTAATACTAATAGTTAGTCTCGTATCCAGACGGTGTGCTTGACTAATAGTCACTCTGGATATGAAATATTCGGTTCTAAAGCTTGAGATTATATTAAAATCGAAAGTTTGGGATGCTTAAGAGGCAAAGTTTGAATATCTGTTTAGTAAATTAGCTAACCTCCAAGAAAATTAATTGATTGTTGGGCTCGAGGGCTGGTTCCAAATGCCACTACTTGAGATAGGGTACCTAACCTCTTTAACGGCTAGTTTCTTCAAAAAGATTGATATTTTTTAAAATATTATTAGGCTTCAATTAGAAATTAATTTGCATAAAATCTATCAAAATTAATGGCAAGGGAAGCCCGTTCCACCATTCGTTGAACCCGTATACGTGATCGTAACCAAATCTGTTGGAGTGGTCTCACCAGACAACACGATCGAAGCTCAGAAACCGCTACCAAATCTAACACATCTACAACGCAAATTTGAGACCCAACATGACAAATAGGACTCCCGCCCCTACCTGATCTCGGGGCTATGTAATACCGTAATCCACGAGCCTAAAATTGAAATTCTAGAACCCGAACTATGAATCGGATCTTGAAGATTTTGAAATCGAGCTGCAAAAATCCGAAGGTGCTATCATTACATCGAATCGCGCGAGTCTAGGATATTAGTGATAGATGGATAGAAGGAGGTACGTATACGTGTCAATGTTACCATGTGATGTTTAACTAATATCAGCCGGGTAAGCTTATAAACGTTACACATGGCACTCGAGATCCCTGAATACTAAATGGTCTCCATAAAAGGAACTATAAATTTAATTAAATTTTGCAGGATTCACTGTCCGTCCGACACGCCACAGCTGTAACGTTATAGCTAGCAGCGGGCCGGCGGCGAGTCCGACGTAGCTATAGCTTAGTTCTAGAATCAATAGTGTCAAAGCGACAATGTAGTACGAAATTTGCTCGTTAAGTGATACTAGGTCATGAAACGAAGTTGTGGAGGGTATTCCCGGCTAAACCGACATATATCTCACTGTCTGTCGTATTGATCATATCTTATTAGCTTCGTCAACAAATAAATAGTAAGCTTACCATCCTGTCTACCGATCCCAATGCGAGGTATAGATGGATATTGAGGGTAAACTTTTATCGGTCGCAACATTGATACACCGAAAATGAAATTTCAAAAGCACAGATAAGCAAACCAGGCGGCTCACGGCTACATCGCATCCGGCTTGCGCGAATGGTGCCTGTAATAGGGAGGTGCCAAAGTCGCGATTGCGCAAGAACTATTCCGAAATACAGAGGTGTAAAATTACCGACTTCAGTGAAAACCTAGCATATATATACCACTAGATAAGGAAATATCAATGGGGTTGAAGATAAACCGCGGCGGTAGATCTATAGAAATGTACGAAGAATTTGATAAAATTCACTAGCTCCCTTGCCAACGCCCTGGAAAGTCCTGCAAGTGCAACGTTGCAGATGCATAACGAGCTATTCATCAGGCCATGCCTACAGATGGATTCTTTATAGTCGATCATTCCAACCCCTCAATCTTAGTTCCCGGTAGCTCTGGGGCGTTGCCATTCGGGAGGCTCCATGGGTTCGGCTGCCCAAGATGGAAATATAATCCCTCAAGTGCATACCCCACAACAAAAGGATTCCAAATACGTTTCTGGTTATAAGAAGCATTATTGAAGCCGTGCGCGTGTGAACTCAAACAGATCATAAACTGAAGAGAGGGCACCGGCTCAGATGCGGCTGCAGACGCATATGCCAGGGGCCACATGTGCACAGCACAATGACTAGGATTAAGTTCTTTCATGCACTGCACAATAGGAAATGTATAAACCCTTAAGCCTTAAGTTCCGAAATTGCTATTTATGAGTCAAATTAAGTCGCCGTTTAGATGCACGTCGGAAGTCGAGTTATGGCTTATCGATAACAGGCTCACAATGATATCTATACGTAGGCGTACAATAAGTCCTATAACTAAACTTATTTATAGAGAACAGAAAAGGTACGAGGTAGAGGAGTAATCAGAAAACAAAATCTGAATTCGCAATGTGTTAATATCCCTATCTTATTTATTCTATTGGACCGTTCTCAAATTCAGATTTGAATCTGACTATCCTCCAATTTTGGATCAATGGTTAAATAAATGCAATGAGTACACGTGTTGATGAGTATTATTCATCCACAAGATAATCCGAGAATTGTGCTTATGAAACAATTTTCCTTTGAAGGTCTTAAGCGGGATTGGAGAAAGCTGATAAGCCGCACGGTGCGAATACGCGAAGGTTGAGAAAACGGAACTATATTCGTTTAGCGGCTGGTTTACACGTACACACATCTAAGTATTTAGTCGAGCTGAACCATCAGCCCATTCAGGTTCTCAAGGCTGAGCATACCGAAGATATGATTGATGTCCCTGCCCTGTCAACATCAGCAATCCTATAGTAGTTAAGGTCCCGGGATTATTGAGGGGTATTGAATCCCTTATTGATATACAGATGTTTGCAAAGCCAGCCAGCCTAAGTCCGTGAGGACAAACATCTTAACATTATAATATCAGCTTATAACGTTCTATTAGTTAACAAGGGTCCATTCCGAAAAGCAATTAAGTAGGCCGCTAGGTCAATTCGTTCGTACTTACCGTGTTCGAATATTCCTGAGCTTTTCCATGAATCACATAAGCTATAACACTAGTGCTATCCGTACTGCCGTGTGTGGTTCGGTTCTTGTTGAATCCGCCTGCTAAGGCACAATCTGGTCTGACCTCACAAGGAAATTGTTCCTACCATGTCATACTTCGCACCATCAGCAATATAGATCATGTTACCGTAATATTTCCCTGGGCCAATAGAATCCTGGAACAATGATCGAGAACCCGCCAGAGCAGAAAATTTAGAATTTTCTCGGTGAGGTTTATCATACGAATATTGAACATGATACGATATGATATTCGAGCAATCCTTTGCAGCAATGCCTAATAGCTCCGTCGTCGCCTATGCATAAGATTATAAATATACGTAAGTATATATATATCATATGAAATCGGGGTTTAGGGGTACCTCTGGATACCGGCCCTGTACGGCTATACAAGTGGCATCAATCTGGGGGACGACTTGGCCAGCATGCATGCAGAAAATCATATTCGAATATTCTATAGTTGGTTATCGAAAGACATACTGACTAAGCGGATCCAGTATGTGGATCCCACCAGAAGACGCAAAGAAGCTAGAAGGGGCGAAGCAGGAGTATAAAATTAGACCCCAACGGGCGGGATGCATACTTGGATGTTGACCTTTAAGCGAATCTGTGATACCAGCCCGCATAGAAGCTGCAGCCGATATAATGTCCGTACGTATACCGACATCCAAGCGTAAATGGAATGGTTATCACAAGCCCCCGAGGTATAGATATCCTCGAATTGGTTTTTAGACGGCAGAGCAGAACTTTGATTGTGTTGATTTTGTATTGCCATGTTGTTGGGGGATATTTCTAGACATTCAATGTTGAGGTCTGGCTCGGGGCTGGGCCAGAGCTGACGAATAAAAGCGTTGAGGGTACCCGGTGGGTCTGAAGTATCGAGAAATACTCACCCAACTGCTTCCATATGTATTATATTCAAGTCATTTCAGCCACAAAACTCCTTTATGAGGTGACTGTTGCTAATGGCGATACCGGTATGTACCGTACCACTGAGGACTTTGATGGGATCTAATGACCTGTTCCATAGCTTAGATCGGCTGCTGTGGCCGAAACGCCTTGAACGAGGCTGAGCAACGCATCTGCATGCGCGCATGAGACGGGATGGTATAGTACTTACATGGTACCTGAATATCGATATCAAGACCAAAAAAACCCCGGATATCAAAGCCCAAATTAGACCGGCGATAATTGGCAAGGATATATCGGACTTCGAAGCCGCCTGGGAGTCAATCCTGCCTGTGTTGTTCGCTTTGGAAGCCTGCATGTCTCAGGAACAATCTTCCCCATAAAATGCTTCGATATGCGCGCGTGGCTCTAGAAACTAGGTTGTTTGGACCTCCAAAGATGCATTACAGCATTATAAATGCCAAGGCGGGATAGCGAATCCAGCGTATGAATCGATAGGGTGATGCCTCACAGCCCCCACAAGAAGCGAAGAGGGGACATGTGGATGGTTGTTTAGCTAATCTAGGGACTCTTTACTCTTTTGGATCAGTTTTGCTCTGTGACGACGAAGCAGCAGGCGTCTTCGCTGGGGTCGTGTGCAACCTAATCTCGCCCTGACTAAGCTTGATCTATGGGAACATTTCCGCAGGTGCAAGGACTGTGCAGCATCAATTTGTCATTCCTCACTGGAATCCGAATCGCGATAGGGCCTAGGACCAGATTGTGGCGGAGCCTAAACTTGGATCTGGACGGCTGAATGTGGACAGGCTAGGGTCGATCTCTCTGGATTTTGACGTGATGCATGGCTGTAGTGGTGGGATAGGTTCGCTTTGCAAACCTCCAAAATGCTCCCACTTTAAGGAGTACTGGCACTGTTCAGTGTATCCTGAGACTAACTAGGCTTCCCATGTGCGTGTTCTAATATTTCCCCTGACAGCGAAAACGCCGACATGTATGAGGCATACCTCAGTGCGCGTCTATGACCTGTGCAGCTAAGGCTGAAATGACATATTATGTCCAAGTTAAGGTCATCTTTGTGTCGTTTTATGAAACGCCCCACTTGCAATTGCATTCGTAGGAGGAGGGAGTGGCCTGGCTGTAGTTACGATGCATTCTCCGAGGTTTTGTTATTTTCTGATAAAGGAAAAAAGTATCGTTCAAGGTTGTTCGAATATACACCCCCCGGCTGCAGCCAATGGAACATGTATGCATATCCACCTCCTCTGTCTTCTCGCACATCGGGAACCGCGTTCGGGAATGGCGAAACCGATGTCCGACTGGCCCCATGGCTGTTAATGGCCGTATGCCTATTATGTGAGCCCCAAGCCCAAGCCCAAGCCAGTGCCAGTCCCATCCATGGCCATGGGCTCGTTCGGTGCTAAGGCCAGTAAGGTAGCATCGTGCCAAGACACATTCCGCCTTTGAATGGCCCGATTCAACAAACAACCGAGAAAATAATATTTAATCCCTTGAACTCCCGTGAACTTTTACAACCTAAAAATTCTGGTTCGACACTTACGAACCGTACCATCGAGGATTCTGCACGAGTTTGGGCCGGCGACGACGAGACAGGTATCAATAGACCGGTTATGATTTCGAGAACAGAACGGGGCGAATCCAGGCACGAAATTGGATAATATCCGACAACTAGACCATATCCATGCCGAGAGGTGTAAAGGACGAGGGGACTTGTTTTTATTGTCGACGGGACAAGAAGAAGGTGCGATGAATCCACGCCTGACAATCCGACGTCCGGGCTAGATCCCGCTGAAACATACGCGGCTCTGGCGGTCCGAGGATCGAGGATCTGGCTCTATCCCAAAGGCGTAAATCATATCATCTAACTCGGCGGTGTTTTGGCAGTGCCTACGGGAGACTCCCAAAGGCGAACCGGAGATTTGCGAGCGCTGTGCCAAATATGGCTACATATGCGCCGCTACCCAACCGTCACAGGCGGAAAGCACTAGACGGGTGCTGAATCGACATCGATGTGACGCCTGCAGGAAGCATCATCAAGTGGTATGTTGGTGTTCGGCTTCCTTCAAAAGACTTCTACGTTTCACAATGCTGACTCTCGATCTCCCATTCCAGTGCTTACCTATTGACCGGCAATGGCCGGATCGGTGTGATCGCTGTGTCAAGCGGAATAGAGCTTGCTCTCCGCCGTTTACGCAGTCAGCAGCTGGTCGTGCACTGGCCAGTTCATTATATTTCCCGAGTCTCAATCCGACCGTAGCTCAAAGTCCAACAGGCCAAGCAAACTACCCTTCACTATCAAGCGTCTCCAACCAAAGTGCCAATAGCCTTGATGCGCCTTCTCGGTCAAGATCACAGATAACCGATATCATGTCCATCGACAATGTCCTCTCCGACGCACCGGAGCAACCACGTTACGACTATAGAGATTGGGTACAAAAGCTTGAGGAACATCAATTTAGGCGGTGATGCATTGGGATCGGCGACGACGGGCGTTAGGCTTTTTGTTTTTTTTTATATATTTTGGTTTGTCGGCTTGATTAGTCTTGATTGATGGTTATATTACGGTGATACTCCTGGAGACGCGATGCTACTTCTTATTTCCCTGTTCTTGTCATGTGCTCTTGATTCTGTAAATAATATTCTGTCGGCGTAGTGTTACAGCGGACAGGCACATACCTTGCCTCTCCCACTCCTGGGATTGGATTTTTTTCTCTTTTTTTTGTTCTTTCTTTTCACGAAGACTTGCGACGACCAAACTCCGTCTATGAGGCGGATTACTGAACAACCCCCGAAGGCAAACTCCGGATCCTCTAATTCACATGAAACATTCATGGTTATTCCCAATATTACTATATTTTTACTGGCATTTTTCCATGTCTTGATCCGAAACCTAGAGGATTAAATCCCACAAGTCCAGCCTTTGACCACAGATCTAAACCAATTTTTGACCAGAGCTCAGAGACAAGGAGTGAACTCGCTCAAGAGTTGAGTCATTTGAGCCTCAACGGTGCAATAAGAATGTGTGCTAATTTTTTAATTTTTTCCCCCTTCCTTCTGAAAATCTAACTAACAGTTACAGGGCTCTTGCTATTCTGCCGTTAAATTCGACTGGTGACTCCACTTCTTCTCGGCCACGAGGCAGCCGAAAAACGAAATCCACGCCACCTAATCCTAAAGTCTAGCATGCAAAATACTAAACCATAAACTTACCTAATATTACATAACGTTATATCCGGCTTTTGGGCTCTTTTGCATGAGACTTTTTGTAGTTTGAAAGAGTTGCCCAATTCTTTTGAATTAAAGTTGACATATGTGCAAGCTTAGCTTACGGATTTGATGTTTCATATCTCACTAATAGGCCTCTCCACAGTAAATTGAATCTAAATATTTATATATACATCTTGATTCTATGGCCCAAGTGCAACATTTGCTTCATCCATTATCGCCAGTTGGATCCAGACCATGTGAGAAAATGAAGATTCTCGCAGTCATTTTGATAACCTTCGAATCTTAAGCGTGGGCTTCGGCATAACATAACGTCATTCCTTGAAGTTGGGATCCAGCTGCCATTTGATGAAGCATACATTGAATGAAACAGGCAGCGGCACATTGCGGACGGAATACCACTTTAACTCTAATAATTAGCCCAACTATCCCGATCGAGGTACGAATGCTAAAATGGCTCTAACGTTAGGTGCTAACCAAACCGCACACGCGGGATTGAGATGAACCGTTTCGAAGTCGCAGCCGCGTAAAGCCCCCTTCTTTATAAAATATAATGTCATCCTCGACCTCCATGGATCCGCTGTTTCCGCCAAAATACTCGACCGAAATAGAACTATCTCCCACTTTTCTGATTTGAAGGGCAGTACATTTGAACTGCTGGGAAACCCGTTTATATAATTATACAACATCAATTTGAACTTTAAATTTGATAGCTGCCTCACTTTATAGGTATAGATGTCTCCTATATCTACAATAATTGCAGGCTAATTAAATACTGGCATTTTCTCTCGGACTCATATAAATTAAGTTTATATACTTGTTATATTCGTGATGCTAATGAAGGCTTAAGACACCCTATGAAAACTAGCGCTGCTCTTGTTTACAGTATCATTAATTGATTGCTAACAACGAGGCATGCAGAGGGAATAGATATTATAAGATTGATCTTGAAACTTTATATTTAAAATCAAAACGATATATGTACTAAGTATTCGAGTACTCTAGCACTTGCCAAGTGGAAGATCGGACATTCGTTAAAAAAACTCCAAGGATATATATCCAGTCCTGTATGTATTATCGATGAATATCAATTGGTATCAATAACCAAATGTACTAACCCAATTAAAGAACCATCTTTTGGAGGAACTGCCTAAACGGGTTAAAGAATTCCTTGTAAATTATTGAAACCTTGTCTGGTAACACAAATTTAAACTGGGGGGTATACATCACTTATTCCGGGCAACCATAAACCATATATACGGCCATGGCCGACGGGTTACGTATATATAACGCCACGTAACTTGACGCTTGCTGCTTCAAATTTGTTTGTTGTGATGCGTCAGGACCATCAATTAGGCGATACTAGTATATATACTTGGACACAGAAAAAGAGGAAATATATCTTAGCTAACAGAAAAACTGTACATGTACTGACGGCATAGCTAGTAACAATGTTGGATCGAGGCCAGCGGATCGGTTTGTTTGACGGCTGCTGGTGGAGTGGGCAAGCTGGCATTGACAGATAATGAGCGTTGCAAAAGTTGGCTCATACACCCACGTTCTTGGGACTGACACCGTTGGTTTCAGATAACCACGTACACGTACGTAGAATAAGCATATGCGCATGTTAACGGCTCGAAATATCCGAGTGGCACTTGTTTGGGTCATATTTCTTTAGTTCTAAAATTCTAGGCCCTTAGCTCTCCGAAACTCGATCCGAACGATACAGGCCACAGGCCAACGATGCAAGCCGTCTGCACTAGTAGTGGTGCCATCTAAATTTATATCTTTCAATCTAATCCTAGGTATGACGCAGATTCCAAGTTCAGCTACTCGCCAACGTATCTTTATTGCGCCTGAGCTCCTCAGTAATAGCGACATAATCTGTTATTAAGACCGGTGATATACCGCGGAAACCATTTATACATTGCCGAGGCTGGGCTAATGCAATGTGTTCATATAGCTAATATAATTATAATACCTAGTCTCGAACCCAGGCAGCTAATATAAAACAGACAACATGCAACACACGAATCTTAGCAGAATTAACTGTACGATATTGTTAAGAGGTAGTATTTAGGTAGTTACTTATATACCAGGGTCTCATTAATTTCGCCTGAGGATGTGAGTATCATACAATACTCCGCTAGTCTCATTTCCGGTGTCTACTCGGTGCCATAAAGAGCTCCTTCTCATTAAATAATTCTGAAGTTAACTAGTTTATCCGCTGGCCATGCAACCATTAAGACTATCGAAGGATAAATTTAGAAAAGGCGAAACTCAAAGTTGGTGCTAGAACTGGACCACTTTCGCTTTGGAGTTGGAGAAGAGAGCTCCTAGAAGATCAAGGTTTCTAGATGATCTAAGCGGTCTAAATAGCTTTCATATACGTTACATACGTACTTGAATGACGGGTTCTGTAAAATGTCAACTGGCCTAAGGCATAATCCAGGCATCGCGATTCACTGTTGACATGTTGGTTATCCTGTCAATCTGGACTTAAGGGCTGAATTGCTTAGGAACTGTCTATATATATATGTATATAGTGGCTCTTTGTCTCAGACCGAAATTCGATATTATAAAGGTACAGTCACCCGAGATTTTAGATGGTATCTCCTCGCTACTAGTTAACGACAGACCCGAACAAGGATCGACTAAACGGATAACGAGGTTCACATCCCCACTTAATCATCTAATAGTAGCTATAATTCAGCCATGGGTTTCTCTGCAGGAACTCCTCCAGTACTGAACCTCATAATCTTAATCCTAGTATCAACGATTTTGCAGGAGGCAGTGGCAAAACCTCTCGGGGCGGCCCATGTCGAGTTATCCCATTCAGGGAATCAGACACAACTATTCATGAACCGGACTACCCCAATGATTCCGCCTGCTGTTCATCTCGATGAGAAAAAACTGCAGAATAAGTCTCGAATAGATGGCTTTCAAGAGAAAAGCCAAACTATTAGTCGTAACGTTAACGATTCCATCACCCTGAAACCCGATAAACGGACTGGAGGTTTCCAAGGGCCTATCAACATTCCAACGGGATACTATCTCGCTGATATGATAGTGGACTGTGCGAGCCCCCAGGAGGTATTGGAAAGGACGCCCGAGGATTTTCGACGACTTGATGCTGGGACTCGATATCTTCAACAAGGATATTTCTCGAGTTATCCAAGATGGCGCTTTCCCTCAATCCAGCGGGCAATAGAATATTTCTGGGAGCGGGCAGGAGAGTGCCAGGAGTGCAGCTGTGCCGCTGGAGATGGGGCTCCAGACGCTCTAGAGGACGAAGACGCCGCAGTATACGCATTGAGGCCCGGAACCCTGGAATCAAAATGTCCTGATTATGGCGTTGCAGCTAGGTGCATGCTTATATTTGGTACGAGATGAAATCATAATGTCTTCCCTCCGTCGGCAGGCGAAAATCACGCTGCTAATATACTCGTACTTCTTCCCCTGGTCTACATTATTAGGTTGCTGGTGTAAAGAATTTTTATTCTATAAAGATGACCCAGTTAAAGGTCAAAAAACAGGCAGGCTGCATTTTGGCTATACAAAAGGTAGATACCTAAGAGGTCCAGCAGGTTCTCGACTATCAGCGCTTGGAAAAGAGACGTACGGAGCCGGGGCAATTTTCCCAATGTCTTATACCGAACCGCGCGAGGAAGGGGAAATCTTCGAAGATTTGCCAGGTGGACAGTCTGAAAAATACTTTGTCCCTGGCACCAAAGAGCCATACTACCTTGAAGGCCCAGAAAGCGACGCGGACAAGCTGGATGCGTTTGGGCGCCCGTCGCTTAACTGGCTACAGAATTTGCAGTTTCGGTCAAGCCAGTTTTCAAAGAGGAAAAGGGCCATTGAGACGGATGGTAGGGCTACTATTGGCAATTCATCCCAAATTCGATAGATACTGCGTCTCTTCATGACGGTAGCAAGATGATAGAGAAAGCTAATCAATTCCCAGAAAACTAGCTAGTGAAGGCGGTCCCATGTGTTTGCCTATGCTACGCTCATAGCACTAGCCTGCAGTTCTTGTTTTCAGGTTATAGTGTTAGCTGAAAGGCTCGAATATCAATATATTTTAATGTGTTAATTAACATCAATACCGGCCCCATTCATATTCAGCTGAAAAACACATTTTGCTTCCAGGTCTGGGTACGAGACAAATATTTTGTGGTTATAAATATTTCTATATAATAGCGTTCGGCCTAGGCAATATATCTTCTGCCAATATTCTCCACTTGTGAGTTTGAACTGTTTATTTTGAATGTTAGTTTTTAGTTTTCACTTTTACTTGTACTTTTCCTCTATTTTTATACGGGATACATACATGCTATTCCGAGAATTATAATCGATTGTAAGCTAAGCCCAGGATTTGAGAGATTGGTAAAATATCAATTGGGAACTTGAACACTATAACAGATTTCCTAAAGTACTAATACTACAAATCTCGGTTGGTTCAGCTATACAGCAGAGTAGAAGCTAGATTGAGCGTATCAATGACACCACTTAGATACTCGAGACCAAGTTCGCAAATATAACCAACTAACGGTTTCAAATCATGTTTTAGAAAGTTTCCCATTGGACACCTAATCTACTCACACACTGCATATTTTTACATCGACCGGCTTCTTATTATATGCACATGCTGCCATCGCGCATGATTAATGCGAGTTAGGCCATGTGTATTGGAGCGTAGCATGCATCCTAACACAAAAAAAACCAACCTTGTTGTCTAACTCGCGATCCGCGTCTTGAGATAGCTAGGTGTCCTAAATCCATTTAACCAACCTTACACGTTTATAATTTTGAAAATTAGCGGCGTTAAAAAGCGGCGCGTATGATTGTATACGAGCCTGGATTTGAGGATGGCTCTGCTGGACAACACTATCGTATAAGCACCTAGCGAGTACGGACCTAAACCCTTAGATGCACATAACCACCTTTCCAACATAGCATGCACAGTTGAACTTGCACCCGTCTTGCCTCCAAACCAATGCGCAGTTAATCCCGATGTTGTTTTTCCTGTCTTGATATCCTCCCATTACAGTGGGAACATTGTTGGAGTTCGAATGCCAATGCCTTTATACCTTGGAAAGTATATTATAAACCAACAAGGTATATATATATTCCTCGATTTCTTTAACCTAACATTATACTAACAACCGAGTCACTAGGTTTAGATTTTTTAAGGCGTTTTTTGGGCACATCTACAACTTATTCTCATTCACTCTGTACTCTCTTGCCTTCCCGTGGCACACCCTCGCCTCACTCGCTTCCGGTTTCTATGGCTTCCATTATTATTTTTTGGATATCAAGGATTTAAATACCAGCAATCGCGACCTAGAGCTGATGACCTCATGTCCGGTAGAATTTAGGACAGCATAATAGCTTTCACAAGCTTGGTTTCATGGTATTTCTGATACATATATTATTTGAATTCAGAGTATGGCAGGCGCTTCAGACAAATACACGCACAAAATGATCCTGATTCTATATACTCTAATCTTTCTCGCTGGATTTTCGGCAAGCACATCGTTGCGAAATGTCTTGAAGGACCCCAGACCTCAAACTCCCAACCGGCTCAGTACAGGAAAACCAAGAACAAGAGGGTTTTCGACCGTGGTTTCGACAAAACCTCAGCCCATCCCTAGTATCCAGAGCCTTGAAACGGTTCCACGGCCCCTCCAAGATGACCTAGAAGATAAGACATCGACTCAAGTCAAAGAGAAAAAGCAGGAACAACGCTTCGGAGACAAGGTTCCTGGCCAGGATTCACAGCCCCCAGTTTCTAACAGCACCGGTATCTCTGTCAATCGCAGAACAGGCCGCGAAGGTTTGTTTTATTGGGCGGATATGAGAGTAGACTGTCATAATCCGTCCGAGACTATCCGAGCTACGGTTTCTAACTACGCTTCTTGGGACAATGTTGGTCTTGGGCCTGACTACTACGTCGACTGGAATTTTTTAGTCAGGGAATTCGGTGAGGCCAGTGTCCTTAACCTTATCGGTGAAAGGTCGCTACATTGCCTGGATTGTGACTGTGAGACCGAGCTTGAGGACGAAGAGGGCCAGTGGGGGCTCAAGCCTAGCGATACAAGCGCTAACTGCGATACTCAGGTGAAGGCTGACATTTGCCAGTTAATATATAGTAAGTCAGCCTTTCTTCAGTACCATTTATAATTTACAGGGAATGATCATGAGTGTGGACTAACTCGGCCCCTCTGTGGGGAAATTAGATTGTGCGTGTCAAGAATTTCTCGCTTTTCAAGACGACCTGATACGTGGGAGAGGCGGTGTTCTTTATAAAAAGGGAGAACAAAACAATGGAAAGTATTTTAAAGGCCCTGTGGGAGATCCTAGCCATAAGAGAATACAATCGGATCCTTACAGCGACCAGATTTGGGGAGGAGGTCATCAAATTCAAGGTTACATGGAGGATATGGAAGATTTAATATCAACAAAACCAAGCTGGCGCCAACTTGTTCCTGATACCAAAGAACCGTATTATCTCGAAGGTCCTGAGGAATTTGAAGACCCCCGTTTTGAATCCCTTGCTAGAATAGGAGCGCTCGCTGCTGGGTATGGAACCTTTTTGGCAAACAAGGCAATGTCAAGGTTTCCTAGAGCTAGAGGTAGTAAAAGCTCTTTGTGGAAACGAGAGAACCCGGATGTTGATAGTTTTGAAGGATTCCAGACTCCAAAGAAATTAGAAAGAACCCCTGCTACCTAATTCTATATATTTTATCAATTGAGATCGTTAAAAGCTTATAAGCACATTATATTTCATATGACAGAGTAATTTTAAACTTTGTCTATGGCTTAAATTCCGCAGACCTCGCTCCTCAGGTTGGCTAAGTTTTGAAGTTAGTCCTAAATTAATTTAAATCTAAAAGCAACACCAACGAGACCAAAAGTAACCATAAATATGTTAGCATTGGCATCAAAGTCGCCTCGATGGGGCTCGAATATATTCGAACAGGCCTTCGTTCTGCAGTGCTACAGACATTTTTGGTGGTACGCATATAGCTCCTAGGAAATACCTAGGTATATTGGAAGCTGGATATCCATTCCGTACCTTCGCCAGAGTTTCTTTAAAGTAAAACAAAACAAATCCTCACCCATTCTACTCTCCAATTTTGAGGAAGGGCGATCAAGACATGTTTATATAACCTTTATACCTTGAGGAATTGGCACTTAGGTTTTCGCGCTAGGATATTCAGTATGTTAGTTTAATTTAATTCTTATACGATGGGCCAGTCGTTAGGCCTGTTACATGCAACTAGTTGCATCCATAGGAAACAGAACCATCCGGATCGGTGGAACTCAAAACCCTCGGGTTAATTCAAAGCCGAAATAAACCTAGGCTTAGTCATTGGTAGTCCATCATGATATCAGTATCATCAAGTTTTCTTCTTCCTTTTTCCTTGATGGTAATGGAGCTAACGCAACTTTGAAGCTAGTTAGCCGACATTACATTCAGTTCGGGGCCAAGACCGCAAGAGTCTTGAGACTTGAGTATCTTTCTGCAAAGGTATAATACTCGACTTCGCCTATGTTCTTAAGATATCGCATGACGCATTCCTAGTTCTTTACAGTATTTATGGCGCATTCACTTAGCCAGGCGGCAACTCTAATCCAACCTAATATTCACAACTGATTCTACCACAGACCTTGCCCGTGAAGAACACTCTGCGTAAATCTTCCTGTTTGTAACAAGCCTTGTTTGCATGCGGGGCATCGGTGCTCGGAGCTTCGAGCCAAGCCCTCAAATTAGCCCCCGTCTATATATATCAGCCAATTTATGATATTTAGCATTGCAATAATCGAGAAATTCTCTTGTATGGACAAGATTAACCAATTATTAATATTTTGTCAGGGCAAAAAGTGCAATTACATAAATAAACCTACTCGGCTAGTCCCGTCTCCGGTGTCGTGAGGTTAATTGGTAATGCTTCCTGGAAGATAATGTAATCAAGAGCATACAAAGTCAATGCGTACATGGATTGACACGGACTGCCGGTAGGAAAATAGCATCCGCAGTCCGTACTCGCAGGTAATTACACATGTAATTGACGAATTCGCGAAGTTGAATGCCTAACTCTAAACCCCACTATGTATTTTACTATCGCCGATTTAGCTTCTCGGCAATAATTATGCCCGGCCCCAAGGTATCCATATCCAGTAATTTTTCGGGTTGATTTCCGTGGCCTATCGAAGCGGTTGCGCAGTTGCCCGGACTTAAACTTCAAAAATCCGCGCGACTCAAAAGTCAAGAGTCTATAAATTACAGAAAACCGAGTCCCAGATACCAAGACATTATTAATATTCGATTAACAAAAGAGATCTACATAGTATAAAATATTTTTATTTCAAAATCATATAAAAGATCTTATTAGCTACGACAAGCCAGACTCGATCTTAAGCTAGCTCACCACAAAACAAGCGCTACAACACATTTCCACTCAAAATCCAACATGTCGTCGTCGAACTATGTGTCCAACATTGCTCTTGTCGGTGTAAGTAACCTATTGCTGTTGTACACCCATGAGGCCTCGAAAATAAATAAGCTAACAAGTCTAAAGGCCGGTGGAAACCAAGGCAAATATATTGCTGAAGAGCTAGTCAAAGGTGGAAAGCATACAGTCACCGCTATTACCCGTGCCGACAGCAAAGCCAAACTCCCCGCCGGAGTTGTCCCAAAGGTTGTCGACTACAACGATGCTTCTTCCTTAGTTGAAGGTCTCCGTGGTCAAGACGTCCTCGTTATTACGGTTTCAGTGGCTGCGCCACCAGATACTCAAACCAAATTGATTGATGCTGCCAAAGAAGCTGGCGTCAAGTTTGTGATTCCCAACGAGTGGGGATACGATTCCGAGCGAAATCCACAACTTCTCCGCGACATGCTAATCGGAGAAAGAGTCATTAAGATCAGAGAATATTGCCAATCTAAGAATATACCGTTCATCGGAGTAAATGGCGGATTCTGGTATGAATTCAGTCTTGGGGGCAGCGACATCCGGTACGGGTTTGAGATTGAAAAGAGGGAATTCACTCGCATCGACAGTGGCGACATCAAAATTAGCACTTCGACCTGGAATCAGGTTGGCCGTGGGACTGCCGGCCTACTTAGTCTCAAACTCTACCCTGAAAGCGCAGAAGACAAGGAAACCATCAGCAGCTTTTTCGGAAAATCCTTCTGTGTTGAGTCTTTCAGAGTCAGCCAGAATGATATGTTTGAAGAGCTCAAGAAGGTCACCGGCACAACTGACGCCGATTGGAAGATTACAAACGAGAATCACAAGGAGAGATACGATCGTGCTATCAAGATGTTCCAGCAAGACGGTGATTGGAGAGGTTTTGGTATGGCTATGTACACCCGAGCTTTCTTCCCCGACCAGGCGGCTGCCATGCCAAATATTCAGAACAAGTTACTCAACCTGCCACAAGAAAACTTCGAAGAATCCACGAAAGGGGCCATAGAGTATGAAAAGACTGCTGCTATCTATGTCTAAACGGAGGGGTGGATTGAGAACAAGATTTGTGTATGTATAAGAGAATATACTACGGCGCGGCCGGGATCGCGACTTTTTTAAATGCAGAATAAAGCCGGAATTAGTGAGAAGGGGCTATAGTAAGGGATATCGATATGATGCATAGAGTATCACAAATTTATGAATTCCCTCCGCGAATGCGACTAGACTAAAGGCATAGGCGTGCCAGCTGAAGTTTAGGACACCCCAAAATGATTAGGCGCTAGGATATCGTTATCGGACAAAACGTTCTAGCCATGAATCTTCGAATTCTACATCCCATAATATTCGCTCATTGATTAGCGTTATTCTTATGTGTGCAACCAGCGCCACCTGACTGATCAGCTTCCTCGTTGTGGAACGGTATTAGCATCTCTGATAATATTTCCATTTCCAGGACTAATTTCAGAATCAAGGCCGTCCCGGACCTGTATTTCCGAATGAGCTACCAATTAAACTTAATTTAAATTTCTTCTGTTGCATGACAAAGCTTAAAGAGGAATCAGAATTCGAAGTCAGGTATACCCGGTAATACCCAAATCAAGAAATACGCATATACGCTAGTCTCAATCAACTTCTAGATGAACCGATCAAGCTTTGGTGTATGCAAGTACATACTCTAGCACCGAGCGTCTCTTTTCCCAAATATTACCTAACATAAGCATATAGCCGTGAGCACGCCCCTCCACCGGGGACAATAGAATAATATGTTTCTGGTAAAACAGGAACACAAAAATCGCACTCGCAAACCTTCCAGAGCGTAAGGTAGTACAATGACTGAATTTAACCTTGTTCCAGGAACACTTTAGCAGGGCTTCGTATTGCATTGGCGGGTGCTGGACGGTGGGACGATTGTGTAATATATTTGGTTAGTCCTAACCACTTTGTCACTCGCACAACGGCAACTCTTCATTTCGAATTCAATATCGTAATAACAACTGACCATACTCAGGGAGTTAAGTGGAAGAATCAGCGATTTCATCCTTACGTAGAATTTGGGCCATAAGAAAATGTTTTTGACAATGTTTCATTTGGGAGTAGGTAAATTCCGCATTAGAGTCTTAACGACATCAGATACGTGACTAGAAGACCGAATAAAGTCAAAGAGGAAGCTGGTCACACCAATTCAGGTCTTATCAAGAGTTTGTATTACGAACTGTGAATATTCAAATTTGAATCAAAAATACTTTCAATTGTCAAGTACTTGGCTAGTCCCTAGCTACGAACACCATATCATTTTCTTAGCTACACGAATCTCTAACCCTCCCAACCCACTTTTACCCCACTTAGTCTTCGTACATCCATTAGATACATCATCAAAATGAGATACAGTCCCTTTTCTCTTAGACTTTGTCGTTTAAGTCTCGAATCCCCATTCTGGGAATTTAGGTGCGGTGTATCCATCACAGGAGTGCTGGACGATGTAGTCGTTCGACTCACTGTCTTCAGCAAGAAGAACTGACCCATCTGGGGACATGATTCTAAGCTTGAAGTTGGCAGCACCGCCACGGTTGGCCCAGGCGATACGAATGGGAGTGTATGTTCCCTTCTTGAGATCAGTTCTGAATACGACTGGGGTACCACCTGAGGAGACGAATTGTTGGATGATATCGGCGTTTTGACGGTTCCATCCAGAGTAGGCCTTTTGACCGACCCAAAGGAGTGTAATGTCATCGCTGGATGGGAGGCTGAAAGTGTATGTGCCGTCTTCTGGTGCAAAGATATAAGCACGATGGTTGATAGCGACGAGATCAGCATATTGACCGAAATCATGTGGAGTGCCGTAAATGTCAACAGGATTGACGGAGCCCGCGTTGAAGCCAACTCTAACATTAGTTCCGTGGCGGTAGTAAGATGGATTGTCTGAGGTCTGACCAGCAGTATTCGGATTACGTCGCTTGAGGACAGTAGGATCAAAGTTGGCAATATCAGTAACCTTATTGCCATTTAGGTCAGTATTTGGAGAGGCGTAATGTTGCATTCCAAGATTTCCACAAGATGTATCAGGCTTGAGAGGACCCTTTTGAACTGGAATTTGTGGAGGTGTACCAGGAGTACCAGAACCGCAGCCGCAGCCTCCACCGCAAGCGTTGGCACATCCAACGTTCCAGGCGCTGCTGTATCCGGTTGCTTCGACTGGTGGGTAACCCTTGTGATTGGAGTAGTAGCAAGTCTTGCTTCGCTCGTGGTAGTCAACACTGTCACATCCATTAATCCCGGCACAAGCGTTCATGCAGTCCTTGAAAGAGGCTTGTCCTTCGGACAAAATATGAGGAGTTGCGTGACGACGGTTGCAGACAATGCGGAAAGCAGAACCAAAGATAGTATTGTAGGTGTTATGATTGGCGTATGGGCATTCAGTAGAGCACATAACGGTCATATCATTAGCTGCAGGCTGAGTGGGTGGATCAACGAGGAAGGCATAGTGGTGGTTCGGGCAATCAACAGCTTTATTGGTGAGTCCACCTTCGCCCATGAGGTAGCATCCTTTGCCATTGGGGGCATCGAAGTTTACGGCCTTGCAGCCATCCTTTGCAGCACACTTATCAATGCATTCTTGGAGGGTATCAGCCTTGACCGATTCCAAAGTCTTGGACCAATGGTGAGTGTTGCATTTTAGCATGAAGTGGCTTCCATCTGGGGCGGAATAAGTCTGAAGGTTGTTCTGTCCACAGATTGCAGTATTCTGGACATTTCCACTGGGATTGTAAGTTCCAGGAAGCGTGACAGCGCCGCCTTGAGTAGGTGGCTGTTGCTGCTGAACCGGTGGCTGCTGCTGCTGGACAGGGGGCTGTTGTTGTTGTGGAGGGGGTTGTTGCTGTTGCACTGGTGGTTGTTGCTGCTGAACAGGAGGCTGTTGCTGCTGTGGAGGGGGTTGTTGCTGTTGTGGGGGGGGCTGTTGTTGTTGCACAGGTGGTTGCTGCTGCTGCACTGGAGGCTGCTGCTGCTGTGGAGGAGGCTGTTGCTGCTGGCCTGGTTGCCAGCCAACTGCACCACCAGTAGCGCCTTGTTGCTGGCCTGGTTGCCAACCGCCGCCACCGCCGACTGGTTGCTGTTGCTGACCTGGTTGCCAGCCACCGGCAGCTCCTTGGTTTGCCGGACGACCGGGCTGCCAACCCGGCTGCGACAACGTAGCAGTTACGAAGGATAGCAGTAACAGTGCCCTGGCAGGCGACAGAGTACTAAACTTTGCCATAGTGATGAATACAACAAGACCGTAGAGAGTACAAGATCAAGTGGAGGTGAGCTGAGGACTTGTATGGTGAATGAAGAAAAAGATTTTATAGAACGGCTGAGGCATCAGACTTATATACATTACTGTCCATGAAGAAGATGTTGGTTGCACATTGTACACTTTCACTACCGGCTTACTTGGTCGATTCTAATTGATCGATTGACCGATCTCGAAGGGTTGGTTAGATCGAAGCCTGTGCAGCTGTGTGCATTCCTTTCCATGCCTAACATTTGCAATTGACTCGGAACCATGGGCATTTGCAGCGATCAATTGCAGAGCTTCAGAAGACTCGGACCCCTCGACTAGAATTGCAGGTTTCAAAAGAAGGGGCATTCAGCCATCCTAACTCTGAAGATCCGATTCGAAGACAGGCGCATGCATGCCTGCCCTGATTCGCTCACAGGCCGAACATAGAGGTATACTGGATATTTCCGTAGTTTTTCATATTTCAAGAAACATATACATGCGTATCTGTAAGATATCGCGCAGATTCAATGTTCTGGATCGTTGATAGCAGTGTCTTGGGCATATCTTTGCTCCAGTTGGACACCCTTCCCCGCACTCTTTCGAATGTTGCAGTTGTACTTGGGACGCAGCATAACATTTACAAACTTGAGGTTGCCGAAATGCATTTGTCGCGCCGCATATGCATACATACTATTGGACCCTTTGCGGAATTTGATAACCATCCAACCGTCTGATACCCAATAGAAGTAAAATGCCAAGTGTGTGACATCCTGGACGGCTACACAAAGTCACCACATTCCTCGGGTTATTCCCAGTAGGCTCCTGTTTCGTGGCAGGAAACGATAAGCGAGGGCGGGACGGCACGAAATAAGAGCGAACTAGTTCCGATTTAATATTTCCGAAGTCGGTTGCAGCCAATGGAATGGACAATCCCCAGATCGAGAGATCTCGCATCCTAATAGTTGCAAAAGTAAAACACAGGGGGGCTTCCAAGTTTTCCAAACTTGTGTAACTGGTGCGTCTTTTCCGCCATGCTTGTTCGACGTTCCTTGCTTCAGGTCGACTCTTCTGGACCTATTATCCTGCAGATAAATTTTGTTTTGGCGCAGATTTTCAGTGAGGGCGAAGCAATGCATCCGGCAATGTTGGACTCTTTGAGCTGTTGCATATGCGCATGTTGGTTGTGATATTGCAGATTGATTCAATCCTCGTCATCGGGCAGATGCAAGCTGTTCGATTTAGTTGGATCCTAGAACTGCAACCAATTGATTGTATATTCGCGTCGCAGTCGCATCTGCAAGCTCCCTGCAACTGCACTTACTTTCGAAGATCGCGCGGCAAGCGTCGGTAGACAGGCATATCGGCACGTATGTGTACAAGGGATGCATCCTTTGGTTACATTCCATTAAACTAAGAGGTTGGGTTCGGAATTTTCGAAACTTGTGAGGCATATTCTATGCCGAAGAAATGATAGTCTTTGTGACGTATCACAATCTGGGGTTGGAGATAGCACGGGCTTAGTTCCAAACTATGCACTTCGTCCTCCTTGAGAAGCAGTTATCGAGATCCGGCCTTCTCTAGGCATGCAGTGATTGAAGCGAAAGAGCTTTCAAGGGCTATTTTAGACGGATTTGCCATGTAGCTCGACACGGGAGCTGGTTGGGCAGTACTGTGCAGCACATCTATTAGCTATAGTACATAGTAGTCTGGCACCCAAGTTTATTTAACTGGTGACCTCCCTCGGCAAAATTTCGATTAAACAATTTTTTATTCAGCTCACTCGTACTCGGCCAATCCCCAAGATAAAAAATATCTTATCGAGCCCTATCTTAGTCGCTCTCGAGTCCGTTAAGAGTATGTCAATCTTAATTTCCTTTTCGAGTCTTACACAAAATATTACTTTAAACGATATCCTAACCTGATTAGAATCATACAGATATCAAAATAGCCAGTCATGCAGCTTAAATCCCTCCTCGCCGTCGTTGCGGTCGCAGCACTCAGCGGAGAGGCCGAGGCGTGGCTCAGATTCAGGCCTCTCGGCGGAGTTCTCGCTGGACTTCCAAGATCTAATCAAGACGGTTATACCACTCTCGCCTATTTCCCAGTTATCATCCGCCAACCAACTGCCGTCCCACCACCACCCGGCCCAAACCTGCAAACCGCTATGCAGAATGGAGATGCTACGTGTCGGGCAAACGCCGGTGTCGGCAGCCGCGCTTGCATTGACAATGCCGGTACTCTAATGGCTTGTATCCCATTCCGGCCAGGCTGCCCGTAGTTCGATTCATGTATTCGCAAGATGTTGATAGTGCGTCAGGGAAACTCTCTATGGGTGCACGGGGTGTGGCTCAGGCTTCGTTCCTCCTTTCAATTTCTTTTCTATCAACAATGTATTTTTCTTGGCTTGTGCATAAGGGAGTCGAGTGGAATTTTGTAACTTTTGTCGAACGGAGATATAGCCATGTGAATGAAACTAAGCCTCTGTGCAGAATCATGTATACTCGAGATCAATTGAGCTATACAGTCATCTTCTCCTTGGGCTGAATATCCGAGAATCTACTCTATGATCTAAATTATATAAACAAAGACTCCATGTTGCGAGCTTCGTATCGATATGTACCTATCTTGCGCCTATCATATCTAACTGCTGACTTTCGAGGCTTTACAAATCTAATAATTGAAGACGCAAAAAGTATAATTGTATCATGGGGTAATAACTTCGTGTACTTAGGTACTTGGTGTTGATGCGAATATTAACCGTGATCCGTACGCATACGTGTTACATAGCACGGAGAATCAAAAGCTCCTTTCCCCCATAGAAAATATCTTCTTCTTCCATCTAAGTGGCCACCATATTAATTGCCCTCTAGCTAGTAAAAGAAAGTAGTTTACCCGTAGGCAAAGGAACAAACCGCCAGTGGAGTCCGCGGCAGGCCAGCCAGCGGGATCGGATCCTTTAGAACCCACTTACGTGGCACCTCTGAACTCTACGGCGGACCCTTGACGACGAGGAGGAGTGAACGCAAGGGCGTCTAATATGAGAACGCCGGAACGGCCCCAAATAAACTGGCCTTAATCATCCTAACCTAGTAAGCGGTAGATGCCCACGCCGGTCTCCTGCCACTCTCCGACTCGGGAGGCAGGTCAATAAGTTAAGACAGATATGGTCGATGGTTATGATGTCTTGAGGCTAGGACTGTATATAGTTGTATGGCGCATATGGGTGTGACCCATAATTTCTAGAGTTAGAGTCATTCATGTGAAGGAGAGTAATCTCGAGCACATGTTATCACTTAAGACGACAACATTGCCTCTTTTTTCGTTGCTTTCTTCTTTTGTGAGGTGCGGGTATTTTAACGTATGTAGACGAATGTACTGATATAGCCAGTTCATCAATTCCCATGTGATCCAGGAATTCTGTAACCTTTATAGACCTAGCTTTAATGTAGGTTTCTCATGAGCTCATATCCAATCAGGTCTTACGCGTCAACTACACAGCTTTGCGCGGCCCTCGCTAGAGATAGCATCAACAGAGATGCCTGCGGGGCCGGGGACCCGTCATGTCGCCGCTACACGTGGGTTTCGATGATCCGGAATCTCAGTCCACCTTGGCCGGTGATTCTTGTCCCTATCATATTCGAGCCCTGATTTGGCTTAGAGGGGATGGACTCAAGTTTTTTAATGGGCTTTGCAAATCCCGTTTCCGCAAGTTATAATGAAGAGGTTCCGCCAGGCGCCTCCTCCTTAGTCCGTCTAGCCTTCGGTCCGGAAGATGTAGGAGTTTGCTTTCGCCCACCTAGAGATACCTCTGGCTACCTTTGCCGTACCCCTTTCCCCGTGGTTTAGCGTCTTGCTGGGGATTTTACCTTAGCAACATAACCAATTTCGTTGATACTTTTGTGGAAGAAGCCAAGATGAGACGATATTTTAACGGCAAAAAAACCTTAAGGCGAATGTAGGAGCTGTAAAGGATGAAATTAAAACAAGGGAATAGAACTAGTGGCACCAACTAGAATATAATAACTCTGAGGGAAACAAGATGGTCTTGAATTACTGTTACCTAGGTGACACAAGATAGCCGAAGTCAAAGGCAAGTTCGGGGTGCGTCAATGTAGATTACAGCGGAATGGTACGAGGCTAGGAAGGGAGGATATATATAGTGATGTCCGAGGCTTGAAAGGGCATACCTTTGTCTAGTTTTGTATTAAAACGCTTTGGCAAGCTGAACCTTTATGAAGAGGGCGTTGATAGCTGTGAAGTTTGTTATAGAGGTTGTTAAAACGGTGCCGTGGAGAAATTTATAAGTAGAGGAGTAGGAGTAGGAGTAGGAGACCTGGCGAAGTCTAGAGGTTGAGGCCTCGAGGAAGAAAGCTTTGATAAAATTTGACTGTAAAATGAGAATCGATGCTTGTGTTGCGGAAATTCGTGTTGCTGTTGCATTCCGGAAATCGTCGTCGAATACTTCCCAAAGCGGCAAAAGCTGTGGAATTTGTCTAAATTACCCAATAAGGTTTAGCGCAAATACGACAAGCTGGCAGGAGACGCGCGAAAAGTTTCCAGTCACAAACCAGCTAAGCATCGTCACCATCAACCTCCCTCTCTTCCTGGATAGGCGCCGGAAACCCCCCATCTACAACCTCCAATAACCTCCACTATCACTTCACAAGACCCATTGGTTACTTTCTTTATAATATTACACGCATCGGACGTCTCCGATCGTCATATTTGTCACAATGAAGTTGGTCAGGTGAGCTATCTCCTACACCATCATCCCGATCACGAGTCTACGGCCGATCCATCAACCACCGCTCATCACACGTCTTTCCCAGTGATATATGCTAACCCGTGGATATCTAGGTTTCTCATGAAGTGCGCGAACGAGACAGTTACCGTTGAACTGAAGAATGGTACTGCTTCCCCAGCCACACGACACCAGGTCTCAAGAACAGTATCAGGCTAATGATGGATATGAATTACATAGGTACCATCATTCACGGCACAATAACTACTGTCACTCCAACAATGAACACCTCTCTCCGTACGGTGCGCATGACGGTGCGAAATCGCGAGCCGCAGACGCTGGATACCATCAATATCCGAGGAAGCACAATCCGTTACTTCATTCTGCCAGATTCGCTACCGTTGGATACTCTGTTGATTGACGACAGTGTCAAGGCAAAGAATAAGGCGAGAAAGGAAGGCGATAAGGGTGGAGATCGTGGTGGTCCTGGTGGTGGTGGTCCTGGTGGAAGGGGAAGAGGAAGAGGACGAGGCAGAGGAGACCGAGGTGGCCGTGGTCGAGGTGGAAGACGTTAAACATTATTTTGTTTAAAAAAAGTGGTCGATGCGATTTTGGCGGTCGAGCTAAGGGTGCGAAGTTTCTTTGAGGTATCCATAAAAGCTCGTGGGGTGGAGGGCAATCATATATGAAGCTAGTGGGATTTAGAGCACTCGAGGCGGTGTTCATACAACCACCATGACACAGTACCAAAAGTGGGATAGATATTCCTTTTTTTTCATTTTTTATATCACCATTGTATAACAAAGTGCAAATCATCAGCCTATTCCCCACATGCTCAATCGCTTTTCTAAACATTTTTGTTTTACCATAAACGCCGATGCAATGCTCGCGATCTAATGATACATCTGTACTCTCCCCGTGTTTACGACGACGAGTCGTCATCCTCGTTCCTCGCCTTCTTCATCAATTCGTACAACTGGCCGATTTGGTCGTCTGCCGTGTTCAGTTAGCACAAGACGGTACATCGATGTCGTCCCAATTCCCAGCGAGAACAACGGGCGAGGCCATATATGCATTACCACTCATCTTGTCCAATTTAGACATATCCAGTTTCGCATCCCTCCAAGTCTCCCCTTCAAGATGCTGAGCGTATAGTTGCCATTCAGTCAAAAATGCAATCTGTCCTCATCGATATTTCAATAGTTTGGATATGACTCTGACATTAGCGTCCTTGCGTATTTAAAGATTCCGAATCTGAAAAGAAAGCCACCAGTGGTACGTACGATATGCACCGGATTTTCGACATCTTTGTGCTTTCTCCACTCATCCCTCACGTAATGGTCACCGAGTGCCCGCTGCTCGGCAGGTAAATGTCTGTGAGCACGTAGAATGCGACGGTAGAGCGGAATCGGGGGTAGCAATGCCAATGTGTTCTTCGACAGCAGATTTTGAGGGGTGACCGGAGTCGAGAAGAGTCGAGCTGTCAACCGCATGGTTCAAGATCGATATACTAAAGCTGGCCGCTTTGATATTATATTTTTACCCGAGACTTAAGTCCTCGTCGTTAATTTTTTTTTCTTTTAGAATTCGCGAGGTACTGAAGAATAGCAGTCCTATCAGGACAGCCGAATTAATCGAGGTGACATGGATGCGGTGGTTTCCATGTGCTAAAATCCCGCCCAGCCGAAATCTCCACTCGGCCATGCATAGCATGCAGCAGTGTGTCCAATTAGCTAAGTAGGTACTTAAGCTTAGCTATCCGATTCGGATTCATGATATGATACGATACGATATGATATAAAACCGGTGCATCTGGCCGAAACGTGAGCAGACGTAATCCCAAGCATGACTGTGCGAATGTGCCGGACGTAATATCAGATCTGAGGCCGCACGTGGCCATATCCTCCATTTTGTATATAAAGATCCCATCGGCAAAGTCGCAGGTGACTATATATCTTCAAGTACTTCTTAAACCTGTACTTCTTAAACCTGTCTGGTCCTGTCAAAGCTCCAAAGCGGGGCACTCAAGTCAAGAAAAGGGTGCACTGCAGCAGCCTGCAGTCCTGACTTCATACATATACGGACAGGGGCCTTCATTAGGTAAACAACTCAACCCAACGTCACAGAGACAGCACACACTAGCTTCGCCTCCACTTTACTCTTTGCTCTTTCCTCTCTTTCAGCTCCCTTTTTAACTCACCGCGACCTCCTGATCGCTGGACTAGCTGCTTATGTTATGAGCTGAACGGCATCTCCATCCATTTCATCGGCACCGTCCTGCCATCTACAGATTATACCTCCCATCCATCCTATCTTCTATCTTCCTTCGTTCGCACGTTCCTCACACGTTTATCGCACATACACAGACCGACAACCCCGCCACCAAAAACTAAATCCACTCAAGAAACTCTAATATCACAAAGTTATTGAGTTTTTCTCCCCTTTTATACCTAACCACCGACTGAAATAAAACAATAACCTCGTGGGGGAAAACCAGACACAAATCTTTCAAAACGGAGAACATGTCCTACCCGTCAGACTTATTCCGTGCTATATTCACGCCTGGCGCCCCGCCGGCCCTCCTCCTCGCTACAAACGTCTCCTTCGCCTGTCTACAACTCACACTCCTCGCCATGCTCTTTCTCACCGGATCATTCCATTTCTTCTTCTTATCGATCATGTGTGTTGGAGTATGGGGTGGTATCAACTGGTTCGTTCGCGAGGTGGAATCTCTGAGACAGGTCGAAGAGCAGGCTGAGGGTATTAGACGGGTTCAGGGGATCTTGGAACAAGAAGAGGAGGAAATGAGGCAGCAAGACGAGAGTGAAGACGCTGGTAGGAGCACCGGTATCGAAATTTCGGCTGATGAGCACGTTGGGAGGAGGAAAGCAGATGATGATGAGGAAGATGATGGGTTTGAGAAGGTCGAGAAGGAAGATGGTTACGAAACCGAGGGTAGGAAGTCAAAGTAAATACGCATCATTATCATTGTGCATGCAAGCTTTGATTGGGAGGGATCCTCAAGACCCCCTCATTCCGGCCTTAATTCCGGGTTTGGTCTGGCAAGGGAGATTTGGAAGGCAGGGGCGCGAGGGGAATAGAAGCTGTGTATTGAAGGTGTTTTCTTTCGGTTTATTTTAGCCAGCTTGGTGGATACTACTTTTTATTCTTCCTACTCTTATTCTTGGGTGTTCTTGGTTCTTTTTCTCTTTCTTTTGATTACAAGATTTCGGGGACGGTCATTCAACAGTGAGCTAACAATGGGTTTTAACCAAATCTTATGAAGCTTACACTCTCTGTAAATTTTCTCTTAGAATTGGGGTTTCATATTTCCTAAATCTAGACATAGAGGAACTGGTATCTTAGAAAGGCCATTTGTTTAGAGACCCGTTATTTTGCTATATACCGAAGCACTTAATATCATACACCAGATCTTTATGGCAATACGCACGACTACAAAAAGAGTGAAGAGTTGGTTACTGTTGGTAATGATATGTTATATATAGATGCCCCTATGGAAGTGCATTTGATAAATATACAAAGAGAATACTGCAGTGAATGTCGCAGCTTCGTCCCAAGACTCGGGCCTATAGAATGTTTGTTTGCAGTGATGTCGCATCGAAATGATACTGAGCCGGTTCCATGCCCGGATCGTGAAAGAGAAAAGGAAACAAAATGGTATCAAAACATAAGATAAGGGGGGGAAATATTCCTCCAGTCCAATAACGCCGAAAAGGTATATCAAAGTAAATCATAACGAAGGATCGTGAGAAACAGGTGGGTTCTTCTTCTTCTTTTGCGCATTGAGTCGGGCCTTTTATTTTTTTTATTTTTTTACTTAGGAGGGGAGATAATTAGTTATATCCCACAGCCTTTGCATCTGTTGTCCTTGGGTGGATTAATTCAAACTCCTCGGTCCCAACGTGCTTATGTTGGAACCCTGCCATCCTGCTAACTCTGCTACTCAAAAACGCCATGATTCTAGCGGCAGGTTCATCTGTTGTTATCGTCTCGAGGATGTCTTGCTCAGAAAGTTCGTAGATATCCAACAAATCTCCCATCACTAACGAGTTCTCATCTGTTGGGTGGGGTTGGGTGTATGAAACGGTAAGCTGTGGGAGTTTTGTATGACCCTTTGCATCCTTAAGTGTCTTTACGGCGAGGTCGACACGGAGTCTGAATTGCCAGATGCCATTCGGTTGGTCATGTAAACCAAGGCCGACGATCGAGAGACTATAAAAATAGGACGGTTGGTTTTGGTTCGAAGCAAGGAATTTGTCGAGGTTGTCTTGGGTGGTTTGGGAGAGTCCACCACGGGTGTAAAGGCCGCTATAGAATTATAATATCTCTCGTTAGTACCTGTATGCTTATCGATGTCGACCAAGTTGGACCTAGTTTTGTAGATCCCCCTTGGCAAGAGAAAAATATATATTTTGACATACCTCAGTGGCAACAAAGCAGGCTCAGATCGCTCAATTCCAAAGATTGCCTGTTGTAGCTGGGCTGGTGGGTGTGTGATGATGCCAGCATGTGTCGGTCCTGCCGTTCTGACTTGGAAATGGGAGACCTTTGGGCCGGAAGAATGGGCTTTGATTTCGTGGTATATTTGGGCGAGGGGGAAGGATTGGACTGGCAGGGATAAGTAAAGGAGTGTGTTGACGAGCACAAAGAGCATAGGGCTGAATGAATACATCTTCGAGATAAAAAAGGAAAGAAATAAAAATAAAAATAAAAATAAAACTTCAAGGAACGAATGAAGGTGAAGAAGAAGAAGTGAAGATTCAAGATTGGAATATCCTCAGGGAAAAGAAATAGTGTCTGGTTGTGAGGGTTGAAAAGGAATGTTCGACAATCTGTTCCTGAGGTGAGGGCGAGGTGGCACTGGTTTTATGGGATATTCGAACCCGCCCTTCCACTGTACACTTTTGGCCAACACCCCGCGGGCACTAACCAATGTCACGATGCACCCGAACTCTTTCTGATTTTTTGGAGCTAGGCCTTGACGGGCTTTTCTTGGTGGGGCTCGAGGGTTGCCGAAGGCCGGACTTTTGACGAGAAAGACGGTTGCTCTTCTCGACCAAAACGCACCAAGTTTAGCCAATGGGTGTTATCTTTTAAAATCGCAGGGGCTGCCGCAGTACTATTCTGAAGTCAAAGTCGGCCACCTTCGTCACCGCAAACTCAAAGTTCCTTGACCCCGGTCTTGAGGGCTGCCGGACGCTGGGGCTGAGAGGTTTCGGGCAGGATGTAAGGCTGCAACCTCGCTTTTTACTCAATGGTAAGTTGTATTTGTACGTGGTAAATTGCAAAAGGGACAACCGAAGCCGCGAGAATCGAATGACTCTATGTTTTGAGACTGGAAGGTTGACCGTTAGGTATCCTAGCCCAAGTCATGAACAGGAGGGCATCGCGGACTTATAACGTTTTCTTTGCATTGCATTGGAATTCATATGAATATCTAGCCACTAGAGCGAATTTTTTTTTTTTAGGACATGGAATTTCTAATCTTTCCAATCCATTTTCTCATTCACCTGATCCGGGTGGGTGCGGGAGCTGATAATTCCGTCTCCTTTGTCGTCGAGGGCATTCTTTCTTTATTGGGAACTCTCGTTCGAGCATTCAGCCAGAGAAGTATCATGCCATTCAATCTCCTTTGTACGATCGAGACGGCAGGTTAGTTCGATAGCATGGTGATACTAGGCGTCGATTCAAGCTTTTCTCACTTAATGCCTTATTTTTTGATATTCCTTCTGTCTCATTAATCGGAGAGATATGACGATGGGCCCCGGACACTATCCCGCAGTATTGGGACTGTTTTGCTGGTGCTTCTGACGAGACTCCTGCCATTAGCGTGATAGTTAGTCCAACTAAAAATACCAAGCTTTTCTAGCTCAATGCGACCTTATACCATGCATTCTCGATGCATTCTGTCACATAATCCCAGTCTTTGCCGCCCCGTCGGCCGTCGACCATGAGCGAAAGCTTTTGGATTTTGGGTGTCCTGTTGCGTCGGATCAATTGAAACATATCAACTGTCGGAAGGAGTCGGTCGGAGAACTCCATCATCAGATGCCCATGCACTGTTGTAAGTGTAACACCGTTTCGCTAAAACGGCTAGAGCTCGCCCAATTGCCCAAGCCCTCCAATTCAGAATCATCCCTCAGAATTACTGCCTGCCCCATTGATGTCCAACCGCAGCGGCAGAAGGTTCCATTCAAGTCGAAAAAGAACGAACCCTGAACCTCAACATCCCTGGGAGGCTTTGAACACGAGTGAGAGCCCCAAAAATAAGCCCAGAGTAACTTCAAAAGGCAAAACGGGTTCTATGCTATTGTTGTTGTTGTTGTTTTATTTTTTATTTTTTAAATAAATTTTTAAATCTTTGGGTGGGATGAAGGCCCCGGCCAGGCTGACTTGTGATTACGAGATTTTGGTAGCATCGCGTATGCGACCCGAAATTTTGAAATTGGACCTGCTCCTTCGCTTGGCTTCTCGGCGTCCACAAGATGCATTTGGTTTGTTTGTTTCGGCATTTCCTTCCCAATGCAAATAAAACATATGGATGGTGGGCGAGTGAGTCCGGTGAGGCCTTGTCAGTATCTAGTGTTGTATCGCAGGATGGAGCGGCAGGCCCAAAGTTGTCTTTCCCTCAAGACATTCCATACCCCCCAACTTTGTTGGAAGTTGCGGTAGCCAACACAAAAATAGGGGATGGCAGGTGGGGCCTTTCCGGAGCCAACTCCAAAAACCTCTTAGACCCGTTCCTCGACACCAATTGGTCACATGCGTAATTGGGCAACCAACAAACCATTGGCAGAAACCACAGGTAATCAGGCCTTCTAGGGGCGCTTATACATATAAGAAGCTTAATCTTCGGATTGTAACCTGGATTTCACAGACTTTCGGATTTCACACATGTTCTGAACTTGAATAGGGTTTCGTAGATTCGCTTCAGTGGCTTGCTGGTATGTTACATTCACATATGCACATGTGCTAAACTCCGGACCGGTTATTTACAGGGTATAAATGGTGCCGTAGAAAATTATAAGATAGTCCCACAGCCAACTTGCATTCACGGGACCAGCTGTTACGCTGGTCAGTTTATAAAGGTTTTAGTAATCTGGCAGATCGTTCCAGTAGGTGGTGTGAGAGTAAACCTCCTTTCCGGTGTTTCCAAGTTCCCAGTTGAACTTAAGTTTGATAAATTGCATTAGATGAGCAGCAACCTGCGAGACGTTAGTTTTTTTTGGATAACTTATATTTCGTTGCATTAATCAATTATAAATACCTTGATATGTCCAGTGTCGGTTGGGTGCCAAAGCGGGTTGATATCGTTGTGCTGCAATATACCGGTAGTGTTGAAGTAGTGGACAAAGTTGCCTCCGTCCTTCTTCTTGAAAGAGTCGACGGCAGCGAGAATGCCGGCTTGGTATCCGTCAAGATTTTGAAGGTGGGTGTTTCCTGAGATTTACAAAGATATTAGCACGACTGCGCACTTATCGGTGTTGAGCATACTGCTATCCAGACACAATGGTCTCTTACCGTAGCTGTAGAATCCTTGCCAGATTTGCATAGCGATAACCTGCGCACGTGGGTATTTCTCATGGATCGAAGCGATAAGTTTGATGTAGTTGGCCTGGAATTCTGCATCTGGTACGCGGCCAGTCTCGGTTCCCTGGTTCGAGTCATTGGTTCCAAGGTTGATAACCTGTGGTAAAAGATTAAGTTTTTAGAGCTAATCGGACAACTATCACACTTCTCGACGAGGTATCAAATGTAACCTACAACAATATCAGCCTTTTGGTGCTTATTAAACGGCCAAGGCTCCGGGTTTGTTCCATAGATCTGCTGAGCTCTGAAGCCGGTATCACTGGTCTGCAGCCATTGATACAATTGGCCTCGGGGATTTCCCCAACAGAGCTTGTCGGTCAAACAAATTCCAGAATCTACAGAAGTGTCAGTAGAAGCTCCACGTAGTATTTTAGGCATATCACTGGATACGGCTCCCACGTACATGCAGTAAATGTGAATTCGACATTTCCCAACCCTTCGCATAAGCCCCAAGCAAAACTGCTAATTCCCTCGTAGGTCGCGGTGTAACCAGCAGTCAAAGAATCGCCAATCATTTCAATCTTACGGTGGAACTCGGGGATACCATAGATGCGTGTACCCTTGGTGACGTGGACTCTCTTCAGTTGCACTCCAAGAGCCCAGTTTGTAACACTATTGAATGCATAATAAATCCACGTATTAGAAAATTCCAGTAAGTTCTGATATGGAGGTTAATTGATTGGTTCGGGTTAATGTTTACCGGAATTCGAAGGTATTTTGCTGGCCATCGACGGCGGTTTTCTGTCCAGGGGTATCCTTGTTGATAAACTGATACGTATCGCCGGCAGTTACATTAGCAAAATTCCATGGCTGGCCGGAAATCCCTATTAGAAAGCTATTGTATTAGACTCTGGCTATAGAATATATATCATTGCAGTACTCTGTTGCATCTGGGGTGCATGTCGCTAACTAGCGGGTATCGCTACTTACTCCAAGCGAGTAAAACGCCATTCGACGTATGTTCTCCAAAGGTAATTGCAACATCATCACCCGCATATCTAAAATTGATACCAGGTGACGACCACCACGATATATACTTGCTACACCATCTTCCCTTGTAACTAATTTGGTGGGCGTCAGGCGGATATGTCTTCCAAGTCGGGTCGTTATCCGCGATATTGGGAATCTTGACGGCTTGTCCGGGGTAAGGGTTTAATCGGGCTTGGCCGTTTTCAAGAATAGTTGCAGTAGCCAGCGAGAGGCAGGCGAGAAAAGCCGGGATGAACCTCATTGTAAAATTCGCCTTACAAGAATCTGCAGACACGATCGAATTGACAAAATTGAGATCTAGAAGGGCTTGATGCAGCACAGATAGATGAAGCTTTAACAAAGCTCAGACCAAGTGGGAAACCCTTCCCTCTTATAAGTCAACGATAGCACTAGGATGAGCTTGTTGCAAATGGAAATATGTTCCATGGATTCATAAAACTTTCGGAAGGATTGCTCCGTTACCGACCACCTTTAAACTAACAGTACGAGGGCAAGCATATAAGAGTATCTGGCTAAGCAGAGTGTTCATGGGTCACAAATTATAGCTAGGGGATCTATATAATATATATCGAAGCTATATGCGTGCCAGACTCCGAGCATATGTTAAGGGAGCGATATAATACCTTAATGAAATATTGTACAAAACTAATCATCGCCTCCAATTGATTTTATCGGACACAACGTACCAACGAGACCAAACACGACTGGTTCGGGTATCCGGTTCTGCACTATCGATAACTATAACGAAGCAGAATGAGTCCGCGCGGGGAGACTCCGTCCGTTTATCCACATTTGTACGTAAATTCCTTACTCAGCTCCCAACCATCCCATATTCGATTGATCGACAAGGTTACGAGCAGGATCCTATGCTTAGAAGTCGAGGATGAGGGATGTTGCGTCGGAATTTCTTAAAACCGGCACCCACATTTGAAAGACATATCTGCCTTGCCAACCACAGGACGGGAAGGCGTTGACATACGAAGCCGGGTTCTTCATGCGGGTTTTAGGCATAAAATGGCGACTTCTAAGGCTAAATAAAATATACCCTGCTAGGAACCAGTTTATATATCCACAAAACCAAGATAATCTAAAAGGTTATTTGGCTTGCAACAAGTGAATGTGTTGGCTTGCAATGAGCATTCGAATTCGTAAGCTCAAAATTTAACCCAGCGAGTTCTCATGATCAGGGCTCCCCGGCTGCAGCTCCTACAGAATTTGCTCATGTAAGGAGAAGATCCGGGCCACCGGATGTATATATTGAGGCATGAGTACCTTGCATCGCACATTGCATGTCCATCGTCGAACTTCGCCGCACCGCGCTGCACGTCCAGGCCTGGTATGCTTCCTTGGCTCTGGAATCGTCAACAAATATGCAACAATAACAACACACAGTACTCGGTAAATTAAAAGGCAAGACAGCTGATTAATCAACAGATATATCAATGCCGGTTATCTCGGTTTGCTCATGATAGTTATCAAGCGATTGAAACTTGGGTTTACTAAAATAGGTTATATGAGGGCTGAGATCTCTTAGGGAATGGTAGAAATTACGCTATTCATGCAAGCGCCAAGTTCATTAGAAATATGACAACCAATTATATACTACACACTGATCACTACCAGAATTAAGCTTACATTGTGACTCGAGTATTCGACATCACATTCCTAACTAACTACGTGACATCCAACCGGGTCTCTACGTGGAATTCACATATGCATATGGAAATGCCCATGGTGGTGACCTTTATGGCCGAGCTCAATGCTCCTCCTCCGGTGGTCACAGTGCTTGCAATGCTCATGCTCTGTCTCAGGAGTTGATTTTTTGCAAGCCATGTATCCATCGTTTCCGGGTAAATACCCACACCCAGCACGTTCCCTTCTATGCACGCTCTCATGGAATACCGCGTCGTCAGGAATGTCTCGGGTGAACCCTAGATTTGGAGGCCAGTGTCGCGGCACCCAGCGGCCGAATTCAAGCTCCAAACGGGTAAACAGGGGAAGAACCTCTGTAGATTACATATTTGAGTTAGCACTTTGCTTAAGAATCTCTTGATCTCCAGGGAGAGTGCCGACTTACCGAGAACCCACCAGCTCAGAACACCGACATGTGACCACCCTCCATTGAACTTGAGAGCGTCGTGGATGGTTGCAACACCAACTTGATTTTGAGCCGCATGGAACACTTTTTCTACTTCATCCATTTTCCAAGGAAGTCTGTCTGGGCTCGTTCTACCGACGCACTTGTCCTCGATCGCTAAAACTTCTTCCAACATCCACGCCAGAGCGATATCACTGATCATGGGAACGCCTTCCTCTGGTGTCCAACCACCGCCGATATCCGCATGGTTACCAGGGAACCAGACCTCCTTGACATCGTGATCTTCTCGTCTCCATCCTTGCATCTGCGCGAATAAACTAGGCTTAAACTTCAGCCGTCGTTCATCAATCGCAACAGCGTGTCTCACGTGGTCTGCAGCCGGTTGCTGTGATTCTGGGAAACTCTTTCTCAGTAGCGGTAGTTCGAATCTACCCACCGAGTTGACTGTATCGTAAAGGCCGAGGATGTGGACTTTGACACCAGTTCTGCAGAATGTTTCCTTAAAATGGGTCATATGTTTCCGGATGACGTTTGCTCTCTTGGTTTTTAGACGCCTGAGACGCTCGAATTTTGCGAAGGACTTGTAGGCAAAGGGGACCATTTCCTCGTTTCCGCGGGATAATAGGCCAACGTACATGACCATTTGGGTAAGGAATCTGGCAGTGTATGCGCCGCGGGAGAAGCCTATGATCGGTTAGTTAATTGTGGTCTACACAGATTTGGTATTGCGCGATGTGTACCGAAAATATAGATTTTGTCGCCAGGGCTATAGTATCGCATGATAAATTGATAGCCCTGGATAACATGGTGATCGAAGCTGGTACCGACAGCTTGATCTATTGATTGATCGATGAATCGCTTCATTTTTGAGAATGGCCCTGGCGCGAAGTCGTGTTCGCCAGCGACGTATGTTCCAATACCAGCTAGACAAGAGCCGCATTAGATCATTATATTCCCTATAAATTAATTGGGTACAAGATAGGTATAGAACTTACGTTGATAATACAAGTAGACTTGGGGATCGTGCTTGTCGAGCATCTGATACCTGAATGTACGCTTCAAGTTTAGTCCATGCACCTTCTAATTAGTTGCTCGGAACTTGCCGAACGATTTGAGGGCTGAAAATGAACACATGCAAATTACGAGGAAGCCTACATTTTAATAATATTCGTATCCTATTTTTGAAGTTAGTCCATGAGAGTCTCAAATCAATACTGCCGGCTGAAGCCAACATCAACGATGCAGCGGGGTAATTTCAACGGATATGCGCCGAGGAATCAACTTACAGACATGTTTCCCTGGAACTTGTTTCCTGTGCCGTCGAAGAATAAAACTAGTTTCTTCGGTCGCACTTGTATTTCTGTGATGCCGGCGTCTTTGTAAGGCAGAGGGTCAAGCTCTAAATCGAAACTATCCTTTGTCATGGCAGACATGATGGTGGAAGACTTTCGCATACGGCCTGGCCCTGGTGGAGTCTCGATATCACCATTCTTCTCGTTCCATTCTGTCCCATTGCTTATATTGGTATCAACGTGAGGCCGTGGCGGCGCTTGTCGGGCCTCTGGGATAGGTGGTAAAGCAGTTCCGTTTCCTGGTGACATTGGTGGTGAATCTTTCCCAACAGATGGGTCTCTAGATGCAGTTGGATAGGCGTCTGGATCGTTAGACCAAAGGCCTGGTTTGCTTTCGGTCGCCATCTTGCCTTTTAATTAGAGTCGCAAATCCTTTGGGTCGTGTTTGTGTATCCCAAGTAGCACCTGAAAAAAAACTGGGGTTCGAATGCGATTTCGAAAATCGGGCAGGTCTTTGAGATCTTTAAAGGCCTGGTAAAACTCCCCTGCCTAGATAAGTATGTTCCACGATTTCTTTCTACTGTATCGCTTGGCCAAGTGGCAAGAGGGAATGCAAATCGGCCGGTTGAATAAATGCCAAAGAGAATACCTTTTGAACTACAAGCCGCATAGCACCTACGCAAAGGAGAATATGTCTTTATATCAAGTTCTCTGATCTGGACTATCAATCTCCTCACTTCACACCAATGCGCAGACGCGCCAATCTTGAATAGGTATAGACGGAATGTATTCCACCTCGCGCGACTGCAACGAACAAGCTTCATTCTTTGGTCCAAGTGTATCTTGCAGACGATCCTTGCTTCCGCTTGAGAAAAAGTGGGTCCCTTCTGTTGATTTTCTGACGAATAGTTTTTTCGGACTTCATGGTGGTGTGAATTTGATTTCAACCATGCACTTCCGTTTTTTACAAATCAAGTATGGACGAACGGGTTCTCAAGACATACGGAAACTACCAAGGGAGCTCGATTGAACAAGTGGAGATGTCAATCATGGTGCCACCAATACACATTTCTGCATGGCTGGTACATACAGCTGCAGAGAGACATTTTACCGTCAACTTCCCATGTGTGGGGACAGTTTTCATGCATAAAATCGCACCCGTGCAAAAGGTCTAGGCAATTGTGGGCTCGGGATTTTCATGGCCGACCAGGGTTTCGGGCAAGGTATAACTCGGCTTTTCGTCAAGATGGTGTGAGCTTGCTTTCTCTTGCCGGGTTAGTCTCAAACCCTTTGTATTGTTTAGGGAGCGCTGGATAACGTCACATTCCAGTGGGACGTTAGACAATACATACTCTGCGACACCAATACCCTCCTGTTTCTTAACGGCCTCAAGAATGATGCCGACGTAGCTGACCGTTTACTCTTGCCAGACAACCAGTATGTCCATGAGCCCAGATGCAGCTTGGATCACATCGACACTCTTTGAGAGTCAATTCGAACTTCGCGACGGAAATTTAAAATCGGGAGCGGGAAGGGATTTTCGGTAATCTCAGATGAGATCGAGAGGAGGATATCAAGGAGGACATGGGTGAAAAACAGGGAACACCCTTCTCAACTTCACCAGAACGGAAGGCATTCCGGCGCGGTCCATGCCTCTTCGAGCCGTCTGTATCAGATCGAGTAAAGTTTGGATCGATCTCGCTTGGAGCTTTGTAGCTATTGGTTCGACGGAATCCTTCAGAACCAACCGCTCTGATTAACGTCGTCAGTGCATGTGCATATGGCAGCAATTGACTGGGCTCATGGTTTCTCAAATCTTTGTTGCGGGGACTGGATGAATCGAGGCCTGTATTGTTCAGCCACTCTTGGTTTTTGCGACCAATCCACAATGCAAGACTTTATTCTGTATTGATGCATAATATGCGGCGTCGAAGTGGATATACGACCCTTGACGCTCGAGACTAAATTAAGCTCGGTTACAGCTATTGGGGAAGCCGGCTCTAATAAAATCCGCTGTAGCCTCCTAAAATTTTTTCGGGAATTAGAAAAACCTGAGGTCTTTTTTCCTATGTAGTCTGGAGGACGCTCATCTTTGCCTTGGTTTTTACCATGTCGAGGATTGGTAAGAGACTAGGTCGATATATGCACAAGGATCGGAGCGCAAGCAATTCGGGCTGGGCCGGGGTGGTCGTTCATTCGAAGACAACACAAAATTCAGGCTCTGGTGGCTCAAAACGGTAACTTGAGGCTTCCTTCGGTCGCACTTAAACCCGACTGAAATAACAAACGTTGGTTTTTCACAAAGTTTATCATAAACATCAAATAACCAGATTGTCAAAAAAAAACCCAATATCAATACAGAGTTTAGAGATGTCCAAAAAAAATTAAATCGCATTACCCAGATTAAACTTGTTCAAATTTCAGCAAATGTTATTTTTTGGCGCAGTCTCGTTTCCAAACCCGTTAACCAAGATAACAAGCGCCGAGAGCGCCGATGTTGCCGAGAAAAAACAACACATTTTTTTGTATGGGATTTTGGACCTCCCACCCAGCAAATTTTGCTGGGAAGGGCGGCGGGGCACGGATACAGGGAGGACTATAGAGACCCTTCCTTTCAGTCGGGCATAAGGCTTGGCATCGTTTTACAACATCTACAACACCTTTCCAAACGTTCTAAACCTCACTTCGTTATTCAAACTTTCTCCAATATTCAAACAACCGCTCTCGTAAAAACATCATAACAGACATCCGCTGCCCCACCCGCCTCCTTCAATACCGCGTCCAATGGCTTTTGGGCCAGGAGTATACGCCCCACATATTCTGAAATCCAGACAGCGTGTCTTTTGGTGTTTAGAACATGGTCCGACGCGATTGTCCTGCCCCACCCATTGATATGGGTTGGGGCTCTATTGATGTCGCCCCGGCGACCCTTGGGCCAGCGCACCTGCGTACGTGCGGGCCCTCTCATTTTCTTGCTCGAGGGAGAGGAGAGGTTGGTGTTGATGTGTTTGTTCAAGCAATACAACCATCATCACCAACCATCCTCAGTTTTCATCACACACACGGAACTTCAACCAACGGCCTCAAGTCAGCAGCACCCACGAGCAAGGCCATGGATCAGAATAGAAGCAGGTTCGTAGATGCCGAAGACGAGAAGGCATCAAGGGGCCCTAGAGGGAACAAGGGGCCCGGGGCCATAGGTGACGAGCAAGGACAAGGCGGAGGGGCAACGAAACCAAACCAACTGGAGTCCAGTGATTTCGTAGGGAAAGCTGGAACCCACGAGCCAGGTTTCCCTAAAATTGGCCATTACGAGGTCTGCGAAAAGCGTGTCCGTGCCTGGCATCTTGGAGCTCTTCTCTTCGATACCGGGCGAGCTATTTACGTTTGGGAGAACAGTTATTTCCCGACACTTTACATTCACAAGTCTTCCGTATTCGACCGAGAGGACGAGGGATTCCCTTTAAAGAAGTACGGTGGTAGTAAGAAGGACGAGAAACTTCTTGACCTTCTATCAGCAAGTGGGTTAGCTGATCTCGTCGAAAGCGATCTTGCTCTGTTTGTTCACAAAAAGTATGTCAGCAACGTCATACTTGTTGCTCAGGGCCGCCTCAAAGACCATATTCGCATCCCTTTCAAGGCTCTCGGTATGTTGAAATGCCAACTCACTCCCCTTCACCTCCAAAGGCGACATCTTCCATCAAATACCTCAATGCTGACCCAGATGCCGGTCTAGACGAATGGCGAGAGCACGAGGATGTTATAATTGGTTTCCCACGTGACCCATACAAGGGTATAAGCCTGAACCACTGCCTTCGCTCCGTTGAAATCCACATTGACACGGATAAATTCGAGTCGAACCAAGCTATCGTATTGTCTCAGAAGGGCTACCCACCACGGTTTTACTTCACACGGGACATCTTCAAATCCAAGCTGTCCTCAGGCCACAAGCTGTCAGCGAGAGATCCTCGCAAGAATGGGAGGTCGTTTTCTTGTCCCTACAAGGGCCACGCTGAGTATATATCCCTCCTAGTTGAGTAAACTTGTTAGACAAGAGGCTAACTTTCCGTGCAAGATATTTCAACATGACTATCAATGGCAGTGAATACGAAAACATATGCTGGCGCTTCACTCAACCCCCCCCTGATCTCTATGAGATCAAGGGTAGATTCTGCTTTCGCACTTGTATGGTATGTAATTTCCCAGCTTTCCTTGAAGAGAACCGTCACTGCTAATGATGTATGTGCTAACCCATCTCCACGTTTTAACAATGTATAGCTTACATCAATGAGCGTTGATGGAGCTCCTCTCACCCTAGAAAGCTTACCTGAGAACAACGGCCTGTCAGAGGAAGACCTGGCAATGTTTTTCTATGATGTTTAACTTTCCGAACGACGTTTGCTCTTTGGTGGACATTGATATTGATGGTAGTGTCGATGTGACACATGCACATGATTCTGGTATTCATACATGTATACATTGTTTAATATCTAATAGATATCGATACGAGGTGTTCATAGCGCGACGTAATAGCATTAAATATACTGAACATAGATTCGAGGCTAGATGCATTAATCAATTCGATCCCACCGTTTATCATTTATCATATGCATGCTTAGGATCTATATCTACTAATGTAATCTGTAGTATATTGCCTTCGAACTCTTCTTCGGATAGTTGATAAAGGAAGCAATGCTCCGAATCAAAATTTAAGACAATCAACCTCCGCTCATTTGGATGATCGACGGGCGATCGCACCGTGGCAATGGTGTTGGATTTGCATCAACGTTCCACAAAGTTCAACGCAAAAGTGTTAAACATGTTTGCGGCATCGTTTGTAGACGTTTCCGAACTGCATATAACTTGCAGGCTTTGTACCAGTACTTGCATCCATCCCTCAAGCTCAAGAGATATGATATATGCAGCTGCGCTCTTGAGATGCCTTCCTCTGCGCAGCACCCTGCATGTCCACCCCATCATATCGGTCAAGTCCTGCCATCGCTCGTATACACTGCGTCGAGCAGCACGAAGTGCTGCCATCTCCCGCAGAATGTCGCATATGCTAGTTTGTCGCAATCAGCCGTGTAATACTGTTGACACCGTGGTTATAATGCAAAATCGGTACTGATCAAAATGAAGGCGTCGCTGTCAGAATTGTCCTAGATTTAATTCTGGTTACTATTACTAGTCTATTGCTCCTGGTGAGCTGTCTATCGCAAACTACTTCCGGTTGATATAAACTTTTAGCTCGTCTGGATCTTGTGATGTTTCACCGTGCCAAATCAGAGTTGCTGCCTCGGTGAGAAGTCCTCCAGCTATTACCCCACGAGAGCTCAGCTTTTTTTCGACATTCCGTTTTGAAGAAGCAGTGACCATGTCGCCCCATTTTCAACCTCAACATGCCATTCTTCGGATGACCACCCAATCGCTTGGGATTGTGCTCCACAAAAGCCCCATCCAAGCTGCCCAAATTCGATGGAATTGGATCAACGATCATGCAAGCCAAGCCGGACAACTCAGAACAGTCGCACCTTTCCTGTCAAGGGACGACCTTTCAAGCAGGAATCCATTACCCAGTTGCTTTTTTAAGCTGCGCTACCATAGGACCAGCTCGAATTAGAGTCGAGGGAAAAATTTTTTCGAGGGTTGAAAGATGTACAAGTACCGAGCCAAAAATGAAAGGCTAGTATGGAGTACTTGAGAAGGACTCTGGATGAAAGGAACGATAACAAACCGTTAATTGTCTTGAGTCACTTAAAACTTGAGTTTGAGTTTTCGATATTCTTCTTTCCATTTAGTTTTTCCTCTTATCGTCGTGTTTTTTTTATATCATTTTCACAATCATTCCTTTCTCTTTTATTTAGTCGTTTTTTATTTTGAGGGGATCAAATCCTGGCGAGCGGCTTCGGAGAAAAAAAAAGTCTCCTCGTCATAGCCGCCGAGTGCCTGTTTGCTCTCTCGTGTTCCTCTTTTCGAGTCTTCGTCTCGAATACCTAGCTCAAGGATTCGACTTGATAATTGCTGCTGCAATTACCAAAGCCGCTATCACATCGACAGGGAGAAAGTTCGCTGATTAGAAAGTGCACACAAACTGTGAAGAGATTGGATATCAAAGTTCGATTTCCGAGTATTTTGGGGGTTCTTCCTCGGCGCATCTTGCTTGAACTATAAACGTGATACTTGTCCAGGAACGGTTTCTGAAGAGAAAGGTTCCCTTATTCGTATCTTCGTAGTTCGCTGTCTATCCCATTACGCTTTTGCGTGAGCGGTTTCTGCTATTCGTCGAGACAAGCATATTTACGACGATTAGGAACGGAACCGTTCTTTTGGGTGGCGCGCTATACCAGGCTTTGCTAGACGTAACGCATCTTGCAGAAATCCCTTGTTGATATCTTCATATATCCTAGGCCAGCAAACTGTATCTACAGCGGCCAGCGACGGGTTACCATCTTCCATTCCAGACCGAAGCTCGAGCCAGTTCCTGATCGGGTTATAGGGGGGAATTTGGAGGGGCTTCTCGTAGGACGTGGATGCAAAAAGTTCTTCAAGTTCCTCGGTACACGGCGTATGCAAGTTGAAACACAGCCCTTTACTCCATTTGGCTGGACCATCTGTGGACAGGCAAGGGAGACTTCGATCGAGACTGCGGGAAGAGAAAAGGAATTTTCGCCGGCAAGTCATCGATAGGTATTTGCAGGGCAAGAGCGAAAAGACAGCTCATTCTTGCCTCACCAAAAGGAAGGAAGATACCCAAGACATCAATTGAACGCGGGAAGACAGATAGGCTGTAGCCGGGCCGAGTTATTCGCCATACCTAACCAAACCGACTAAGCGCACACCATTATCATTATCGAAGGTGTTTGTTCCTTGACCATTCTCACAGAGGGTTAGCCCGGATGGAGCCAAATTGCCACTATCCTCACGTGTGGAACTGGGGTGGGACTGGTGTCAGAGACAAATTTGCTACTGACCAGGTACCCGCACTATCAATCAACCCTGCAAAGATATCGGCCCTTTTGGCAGTTGATTGTGGTGGTAGTACTGTCGGTACTGTCGGTACTGTCGATGTAGATGCTGATGCTGATGCTGATGCTCATGCTCATGCAGTGTCGGTGCTACCAGCTTACCAGGATTTGGCTGCTGATGATGGTCAGGCCCTGCCTTTGATTTTTCCTGACCGGTTTTGTTCGCCGGCTCAAGCCCCAATTACAATCCTCAGTCTGGCTAGCGTCCTGTTCCGTTTGCCATCCCCGTTGCCAATACCATTAGGTGAGGTCCAAACGAACCGTCCCAACCAACCTTTTCCACATCATCATCATCACCCTCAGCCCTGCCCTCGACCTTACATGAGCGATTGCATTGCATTGGACCATATCCACACCCTTCCGACCCAGAAATCACATCATTCGTCGGTTCTGCACGCACAGCGGATCACTGAATTCGTGGCAACATCCTTTTCGGCGCCGTCGGCGGGTGGTGGGCGGACTGGTTGGTCCTGCCGCACCAGCTCCATCAAAAGGGGCAGGTTTGAGTCTGCAGCCAACGTAGACGTTCTTGCATCGGACGCACGACATCTCACTGAAGCCGACATTATCTCATCGCTCACAACAGGGTACGACGCTACCCCTCCTCCGTCATATCAAGAAGCAGTCGACATGTCCTTTTGGGGTGGCCTGGGGAAGAAGTGGGAGGAGGTGGCCAAGTCTGCAAAGGAAGGCCTGTCGAAGGTTCAGAAGGAGTTTGAGGTTAGTATATTCTGTTCTATCCTATTCTATCCTGTATCTTATATCGTTTGTGATATACGTGTCTATATTCCTTTTCTTCGCCTTCGTATTGGTTGTTTCGATCTTTCTGTTCGTTGGATGTTGACAATTAGGTATATAGCAACCTCCAACTACTCAACCGTCGCAGCCGTCGCGCAGACCTGCTCCATCAAATCAACCATCCCGACCGAGTGATTTGCCTTCATCTGGTCGCAACGTCGGTTCTTTAAGAAATGTCTTCGAGAATAATTCAGGATCTCCTGCTATAGCTGATCCTTACGCTCCGCCGCGACCGACTCCTTCCGACCCTTATCCAAAGCAATCGCCTTATGGTGGATACTCTGGTTCCACCACATATAGAGACCCTGTACCAATACCCGAACCTACTAGTCCTTCGAAACAGTACAACTACCTTAACGACCCTAGTTATACATCGTCATCGTATGGCAGTGCGCCACCACCACCTTATAGTCCTCTGCCAGCAACAACAACAACTGGCTCCTCTATTCGACGAAACCCTGAAGATGCATTGACCGAATTCTTAAAGAATGAAAGGAACCCTTTAACTCAAATAGGAATTAGGATCGACCCTAAAAACGAGTATGTGTTTTTTATCCCTTTCTTTTCTTTCTTTTTTCTGTCATCACCGTCAGTGACTAATGCAAAGTTATAGCAACATGTCTGAACCTATGGATGCTCCAAAGAAGGGTAAGAAGGGTAAGGGTGGTGCCAGTGGAAACGCTGGAAAGAAGAAAGAGTCCAATGGAGAGCCTCCTACACCTATTGAGCCACCAACCCCTAGTGACGACAAATCTGGTGGCTCTGGGTCTGGATCCGGTAATGGTGGTGATGATAAGAAAGATGACGACAAAGATAAGGGAAATAAGAAAAGTGATGATAAGAAGGACGACAAGAAGGACGACAAGAAGGACGAAAAGAAAGAAGAGGAGGTAGAAAAAAAGGAAGACAAGAAAGAAGAGGTATATCTTCCCGACAACTCCGTTATTTTGAGCATGCATTAACGCGGTCTGGAATAGGAACCCGAGACAGTACCACCCACACCATCCGAAAGTGTCCCTCCGACACCATCCGTGGAAAAAGGCGACGGGTTTGAAGCTGTACCGGGCAAGACATCCAAAAAGAAGAAGAAGAGTAAAGGCAAGGTATGTTGTCATCATCCTAGTGCTCCACATATATTATATATAGTATGAAAAACTTTATGCTGACGATGGGAAAATATAGGATGACATTGTTCCACAAACTCCAGCTGAGGATAAGCCTGAACCTAGCACCATGTCTCCTGCAGACACAAGTGCCGCAGATGCCGAGCCAAAAGATAGGGAAGCACCGACCCTTGAGATCAATACCGAAGTCACAGAGGGTAAACCAGCAGAAGAAGTATCAAAAGATGCCGACGCAGGTTCTGAGGCTCCCGAGGTCACGGTTACCAATGCCAACGACATCGTGTCTCCGACAACAGCCCAGATGATTGAAGATGCGAGCAGTGAATTCCAAGCTTTAGTCGCTGAAAACAACACTTTAAAGACACAAATTCATGATGTGGCATCTGAAGCTGGCCGTTCTCTCTCAAGACTTGAGAATAGAGTCTCTGAGCTTGGGGATGAGAAATCCGAGCTCCAGGGACGCATCCAAAGCCTTGAAGTTGAAGTTGAAGAATCTCGACAAATGCAGGAAACAATGAACCAACTTCAGATCGAGCGAGGGAGACTTCAACAACTCACTGAAGAACAAGACTCTCAAATCAAAGAAGTATTAGAACTATTGGAAAAGCTCAATTCTGAAAAGTCAAAGTTCGATGAAGCCGACTCGGGTAAGGTTGCAGCCGCGGAAGCCGAAGCCGCTAAGCTGCGGCAGGACTTGACAAAGGCGACAGCCGACTTCGAGGAACTCTTGTCTGAGAAAAATAAAATCAGCGAGGAGAAAACCGGATTCCAAGAAACTGCTAAGACTCTCAGAATCGAGGTTCGAGACCTTAAGAGAGAAGTTTCGAAGACGACAGATGCCCTTGCAGAAAAGGAGAAGGAACTGCTCGCAGCTAAGGCGGCAAAGTCTGTCGGCAACGTCAGGGCAAGGGTTAGGGGTCTCGAAGAACAGCTTGAACAAAGATTGCTCGACGAACTCGCCGCGAAAGAGGAAAGAGAACGGCTCAACGTTAGGGTCTTTGAGCTCCAAAAGAAAGTCGATGAAGGTCCTAGTGAGGAGGAGTTCAACGAACTTCGTGAAACAATTACCGAAAGGGACGCTGAAATCGCCGGGCTGAAAAATGAACTTTCAGAGGCCAAGATCAAGATCTTGGAGCTCGAGGCTACAATTATTGAACAAAGAGCTGCCCTCAGAGATGTTGACCAACTCAATGACGACATTATGCTGAAAGATGGAGAGATTGAGCTGCAGGCCACTGAAATCACAGAGCTCAAAGCGAAGGTTGAGAAGCTTGAGGCTGATACTACGGAGGTCGATGAACTCAAAGCAGCTGCCGCTGAGCAAGAGGAGTTGATCAAAACTGTTCAAGAACTTCATGAAGACGCCAACAAAGAGCTTGAAGACCTAAGGATGCTATATGAAGACGCTGAAGACAAGCTGAAAGAGATGGATGAGCTTAAGATTCAGTTAGAAGAAGCAGAAAAGAGTGCATCTAGCTCCCGAGAACTTCTCGCTACCCTCGGATCAGATAAAGGCTCCATCCAAGGCAAGCTTACGGAGCTTGAGGCAGAGAAAATTCAAATGGAGAGCAGGCTCTCTGCCCTTGAGGCCGAAAAAACTGAAATCGAAGGCAAAGCAACTGCTCTTGAAACTGAGAAGGCAGAGATCGAAAACAAAGTGTCTGCTCTCGAAACAGAAAAGGGAGAGATTGAAGGAAAGTTCTCCGCTCTTGAAACCGAGAAGGCAGAAATTGAAGACAAATTCTCTGCTCTCGAGGCTGAGAAGTTTGAGCTTCGTGAAAAAGTGCAATCCGTTGAAGACGAAAAGTCATCACTAGAAGAACAAGTTGCTACTCTGACAGAAGGAAATACTACCCTGGACGAGAAGATCTCTGCACTCGAAGAAGAAAATATAGCACTTAGCGATTCATTGCAAACCACAAAAGATGTCGAGGTCGCTGCCCTAAATGATAAGGTTGCCGAACTCACGAGTGTAAGAGACGCTCACGAGACAGACCTTACGGCGACTCGCGAAGAAAAGGATGGTTTGGTAGTGAGCTTCGCAGCTCTCAAGATTGAGAAAGATGAGCTAGAGGCGGCACTTCAAGCGTCTCGCGATGCGCTTGCTACACTCGAGACCCAACTTTCCGCCCAAAGCCAAGGTACCACAGTCTTCGTCACCGAGATCAATAGTCTCAAAGATTCCCTCACTACTACAAAGGCAGACCTCGCCGCCGCGAAGGAGGAACTTGAGGCATCTCGAGGCGTCCATGACGAAGCTAAATCAGGGCTCGAAAATGCAAATGCTGACCTAGCCGCTGCGAATGACAAGCTAGCTGGTTTGGAAAGCGACATCGGTGCTAAGATCGCCGAGATTACTGGTCTTACAGGAAATGTTGCAAACCTCATTAGCGATATTGAAGCTAAGGGGGCGGAATTGAATGAAGCGAGAGCTAGGGCTGACCATCTCGAAGCTCAGCTTGCCTCAAAGACGAAAGAGCTGGAAGAGATTGGTGACAAGACTTTCAACGAACGACTCGAGGAAGAGATTGCGAAGAGTACAGGTTTGGCTGCTGAGATCGAAGTTTTGAAGGCCAATGAGCCGGTTTCTCGGGAGGCGCCTGAGGTACTCGCAGAAGTTGGTGCCCTACGAGATCAGCTCAACGACGCAAACGCCAAAGTTGAGGCGCTCGAGGCAGAGCTTTCCGGCCTTCGAGATGTTCCTGAACAGGCTGAAGGACAAGCTGATTGTAGGGAGCATGCCAATCAGATCTACGACCTTACTCATCGGATCGAAGATGATAGGATTCGGTTGGATGTTACTCGCGACGAGCTTACGCGAACACAAGATGAACTTGCAGCATACCAAGGCAGGTTTGATGACGTCGAGAAGCAGAAGATTGCCGCCCAGACCCGTGCCGCAGAGACCCTCGAGGAATCGGTTGCTTTGCGAGCAAGCCTCGAAGAAATGGAGCAGCGGGCTTTGGAAGCCGAATCCCGCATCACCGTGCTACTATCTGGAAAGGGTGACTATCAGCGACCACGACAGACGCCAACACCACCTGCCGAAACCGTTGATTTCGAGGAGAAACTCCGCGGCTCCAGGCAGGCGTTCGATGCCCAAGCTACTGTAGATGCTGATGATCCTGGGTTTTTACCGATTCCTGATGTAACAGCCGCTGCTACAACAGAGGCGTCCCGAAGGGAACGACGTCGGCGACATCGTACTGAAGAGGAGAGACGTGAGAAAGATAGGGATAGACACGGTCGCACTGATGATGAGAGAGAGGATCGTAGGAGACGCAAGGAAGAACGGAAGGAGCGGAAGGCACTGGGTCGCGAGGTCCCTGATATCGCTGTTTCGCGAGAAATGGCAGCTGCCACGGAAGACGAGTCTCGGGACAGAGAAAGAGAAAAGCGAAGGCATCGGAGAACAGAGGAACGCGAGAAGGGCGAAAAAGAAGAGAAGGAGCGGTACCGTCGTGCTCGAGGGCTTTCTGGAAGCGAACCACGATCTCCCGAGGTTGCACCACCAGCTGATGAGGATGAGGAACGCCGCAAGCGTCGCGACAAGACACGGAAGAGTCTCCTTACTGCTGCCGCTGCTGTCACCGCCGCCACTGCAATTCAATCGATGGGTAGTGGCAGCCGCCGTGAAGCCCCTGTCAAGGAAGAGAGGGAGAGCAGTCACCGTGACAGGGAGCATAGGGAACACAGACACCGCTCTCACCATCGTTCGACCCGAGGAGAAGAAAGACGCTCCAGAACCATCGCTGATACTCCTACGCTGTCACAAGGAGTCACTAGTGATGACGCCCCTTCGTCGCCAATTGATGAATTCAATACCGATCCGAACAGCCTTGACCCTCGACGTCCCGATGGGCGATCTCTACGAACCCAATCACAGCGACACTCACGATTGATGATCGGCGGATACGAGTATGAAAGCCCACGAATTGCCAATGTCACAACATATGTTGTCAGTGAGAATAAATCCGGTGCAAGCGAGTCCGGAGACGAAGGTTACCAGGACAGAGATGCTAAAGGTTGGGGGAAAGTCCGCGGCCTTTTGAAACGGAACCAAACTGTTGTGTAATGATACATCGCGGTTGATGATTGGCATTCTATTCCTTTTTTTATTCTTTTTTTTATGACGACTGATACGATACGACCTTAACGACACTATGATACACCCTGAATTGCCTGCTTGATTGTTGTTTGTTCTGAATCTCTGCTCACTTATTTAATCGAGCATCTTCTACGTTAGCTCCATCTTCTTCCTTTAAGCCACTGCTCCATTGTTTATTTATTGTCTGCAATATCTGATTTTGAGAAAAGCTTGATAATGGTTGATCACGTTGAAGTCTTTCCTTTTTTTTTTTTTTTTTAATTTAGCGCGCGTCTTTTCGGTTTCTAGCCATTCGTTTATCCCATTCTCCCTTTTACTGCTTTTGAAACTTTGCTTCTCGTTACATATTTCACTTTTACTCGTACTATAAGATCATAGCGGAGCTTTTGTTTGTGGATGTTTCTCGCCTTAATGATTTGGGGGGTTTGGTTTGGCTTTGTTTCCCATGCTTATAATGTTCTAGTAGTTTGTATAACGGCCTCTGAAATGATCAAACTAATGACTCCGCTCTCTTAATCTACGTTTCCCTCCGTCCGACCTCGTATCTGAGCAATCCACGTATCGTCTGCTGTTTTGGCGGTGGCCCCAGAGGCCATTCCTAGAGTATAGCCTGGTATTCCCGTACAGCATACATCATTAGACGCATTTGACTCGTACACTGAAACTCACCTCCTTAGAAAGTGTTCTATGGTGCTTTCCCCAGTTTCCTGAGTCTTTGTTTACTGCGGTGGCGCTTTGAGTCCCGCCGTATGGTCTACACTTCAAAGGCTGCCTGTTGCCGCATTACATTTCATCACCTCTTATCCTTACTTTGACGATTATTTTTCTTCTTCTTCTCAAATTTCATACATCTCCAGATAGCGTCAAAGGCATAGTCACCTTTATTATTTTACATCGTATCTTACTCGAAGTCTTTTGTCCATCCATCTGCATCTCCTTTGAGCGCCTACCTCTCCCCATCTTGCAGCTCGGATCCTCAAAGTAAAGCCTCGCTTGGGTGGGACCACAGCTTGAACCCGATCCAATCATGTCATCCGGCTCTCCCCCAACAGCAACAACTAACGACGCAGCTACTCCACCTTTCCCCATCCCAACTCTCATTCTCACCAAGCTCTCAGTTCCGTCAGAATCCTATCATTCAGAGCCATCAAACGCTATCATCATCAATCTCTCCCTCCAACCCAGCGTTCTTGTCACCTGTTTCACCCTTTCCGGTCACGAGCTCGGCTACTTCGGCTGGGATTCCGGTGCCGTTGATATCATTTTTGAAAGCGATAGCGATGTAGTTATTAACTACTCTGCCACGCCCACAATCTGGTCTTCGGGACAAAGAATCCCAGAGACAAAGCAATATCTGGCTGAAAGGAGCTGGTTTCATACCTTTGCGAATGTTGTTTCAAGAAGCTGTAGCGATGGAAGCGGGACGATGAAACTCAGTGTCAAAAGCCTGGCTGAACATGGACACGGAGAAGGAGGGGTAATGGAAGGTGGGACAGAGGGGGGCTTAGTCTCTCAACATGTTCTCGAAGGCGTTTCTGGCAGTCCCCCTGCTAGGATCCCCAAGATGACACCCAGAAGCGGGAAACGGGTCATTAGAGGTAGAGTTAGCAAAATCGGGAAGGTCAAGCGCAGCAGCATGGATAGTGCCGAAGCCCTGAAGAAGCTTCTGAACCCGTTGGAGAAACTTAAGATTTAGAACCCGAACGAGAGATGGGGGGAAAGCATATTACATACCTCTGAGATGATGATGAAGATAATGATTGTTTCTTTTGCTCTCTCTTCCAAACCTTTTTATGATCAAAGGACTTATGACTTGGGTGGCCTTATGACTAGGTAGAGTCCTAACAAATTGGCATTTCTCGTGAGTATTACCCGATATATCGATTGTTCCGGCTCCTTCCATGTTCCTTTCTTGGGAATAGTGGCACTAATGCATAGTTGACGTCTAGATTGCACAATTTCGCGGATGTGAGGGATGCCATATTCCCCGAATGACAGGATTGTATTGTTTTTTGCTCTAGGCTTTATGGATTGTCTTTATTTGATACATTTCTTTTGTTTATTTTGTTTATTTGTTCATTTTATTTGACTTGATTGGTCAAGCGATACATACATACTAGTTTTCCACCGCAAATACAAGTATAGCTATCCCCCCCTTTTTTTTGACAACGATTCACATTGCAAGTGCTCTGTATAAGCAAGCAAATTATATGTTCGGTAGTATTAATCCCTCCAATTTAACTTTGGACCAAGATTGGACAAAGGAAATAGGTTCAGAAGAGCTGAGTTCGAGAAGGTACTATAGAAAGAAAGAATTCGAGACGCCAGGACTTCCCTTATAAAAGAATCAAGCAAGTATAAACCAGGCCAGTCCCATTGAAACAAAAGCAAACCAAGACGCCGGGTATCATTAAAAACCTATAGTAAAAAGGGAATTCGTACAGTTTGAAAGAAAGAAAGTGTGAAATAAACATGAAAGGAAACTTGCAAGATGAAGACGTGAAAGGTTGCATCACCTTGCAGCAGAGCGGACGGTCAATGGCCGAACAGTGGTTATTGGTGAGCATGATTTAGAATGAGAAAGTCCAGTTTCGCTATACACAGGGCGTAATTGGAACATGCTAGTCTCGCCGTCAAGGCATCCTTCAAGACAGAGTTCTATTGTGAGTGGGGAAGATTTATCGTCAATGAGGTCCCGGATCTTGGGCTGTGGAGCAGCTCTGAACTCGGAAAAGCTTCCAGCTGTGGTGGGACGTGAGAAGTTGTCAGAGACGAGCATGTCGGCAGGGGGTGTTATTGGGGTTGGAGGGAGGGGTTTCCAGTGGTTTGGCTGTCGCGGGCGAGGGGTTAAGGATGTAACAGTAGTGGGAGTATCATGGTCTGGGTCTTCATAGTCACTTTCGTCGATGTTGAGGAAAGTTGATTTGTCCGATTGAGCAACGAAGCTGGTCTCTTCAAGATTGTCGCAACGGATTCTAAGATTTGGCTTGTGACTGGCAGGTGGTCTTGAAGATACAAGCGAGATTTCAGAGTCGCCTAGGAACATCGATCTTAGACCCAAGGGAGCCAAGGCTGAATCCCTAATCTTCAGAGACGATGTCCTCTTAGGGATCACTGGTAGGCCAGGCATAGACTTCGCATGCTTTAGGATCTTCGAGGATGTGTCCTTCGTAAAGGATGATTTTCTCGAGCGGGAGTTGGCTTTGCCTGCCCTTTTGACCCGCTTATCGACTTGTCCCATAACATTTTTTAGCTTCTCGAGGCTTAGTGCGAGATTGACTCCGGATTTTCTCAAGCTTTCAAAGCAGCGTCCCCATACTTCAACATTGCTAACCATGACGCCGTAAGTACGAACGAGACCGGTATTCTTCCAGCCTTTTCGTATTACGTTCATGTATTTTATAAGTTCTCCGAGAGCGCGGGTTCCTTCACACACGTCTCGGAGATTCTTTTCCATTATGGATGTAGTTCGCTTGACAACATATTCAACTTTCTTGTTGCCATCCGCAATCTGTTGTCTGAACACAGGCTCGGTAGCTAGCATTTTCTCGAAGACTGTCGAGTTATCCACGGCCGTTTTCAGATTCCTATGTCTCTCGTCGATATCCGAGAGTGCTGAATCAAACTTTGTAGTTGCCTTGTTCAAGAATCTGTTGATATCGTCAACATGTCGTTGTAGAATCTTGACCACTTCGGTCTCCGACTTTGCAAGCTTCTTGTGGAGTAGGTGCATGCCGAAAGCGATCTGGGCAATGACCTTGACAAGAGGATGGTATCTTAGGTCCACCCCTTTCGGGTTTGTGGCGTTTTCGACGTCAACATCTGGACATCTCATCGATTCGACAAATGGCCCTTGCATTGAGGGTATTGGATGTTGATGTGACTGATTAACAGACGGTCGCTTTGACTTGGAATTCGAACTTGACATCGAATAGTCGGACTCTGACATCGAGTTTGTACTGTCTGAAGCCGAGGAGTACGATCTCTCGTTCGACTTGTATCCGCCTCCATAAGAAAAACCGAAGTCAGGGCTTTCGCTCCGAGTACGGAAAATCTTCCTTTTGAAAAATCTACTGGGCATCTTGATCGAATACATTTTGGGGATGTCGGAATCCGAACTATCGCATTTGCCGGTTTCGAATCGAAGCCTATCCATCATGATCATTTGTGGTTAGCAAATGTGTTGGCCGTTGGGTTGGATGTGCGCCGGCTGGGGTTCCTTGTCAGCCACAGGGAACGTCGAAGACAAAACATACTTGTACCGTACTCCCCAAGGAGAATGTTTGGGCTTTATATCTCTACCTCTTTCTTTCGAATCCGCGAAGACCAGACGAAGAAAAAATAAAAGAAAAGAAAATAAGAGAATATTCAGCAGTCGCCCTTTGCTTGGTAAGAAATCCTTTAATATAACTGGCGAGGCCTGTACTGTCGGAACTAATATTGTAAAGGATCGATCGAGAGTATATGAGAAGTGACTCTGCAGATTAATATCTCTTCTCGAAGGATACCCAGGCTGACTCGACTTTTGATATTAAGATTTATGCTGCCCAGGAATCCGCAGGAACTTGCGTCCGTATTATATCTGATAGAGCCACAGACACAAAGAAACCCAGACGGATATTCAGAAAGGGAACGCCTTTGAAACGGACGAGTGCGTCCCCTCTGAATTTATCATAATTTTTAGCAACTTGAACAATAGCTGGGTAGTGCGCCCCTTCGGATCTCACAAATGCACATTTGCAGGAACCGGGAGGAGAAAAAGGTTCATGGTCGGTGCCCCACCTGAACCTGGCTACCGGTGATGATGGCTGCACAGTAGTTCCATTTTTCCCAGGTGATTTTCTTACACATATCCTCGCCCCTGGCATTCCTTTTTCTACCAAACTGTCCGGCCATCACTATTTCTAATTAGGTGATTTACGGCTCTACTAGGTAAGAAAAAAGAATCGATAGCGCTTTATGCGAGATCATCCGTCACTCCTTATGCAAGAGCGGTTCGGTATCTACACCTTAGTCTTTTTTATTTTTCTATTATTCTTTTCTTTTCTTTTATTTTTTTGTTTCTCGTATTGACCATGTCGCGAATGCACTGAGAGAAAAAGGCGAGGCGGAATGCACTGCTGGTATGCATACCGCCGCGCCGTCTACAAACCTCGATTTCTGTGCGTGCGCAGGGAGCCCGTTACGTAGTCGGTTCTTTGGCGCCTCCTGTTTAGAAACCTGCTGACATCAATTGAGATGTTTCTTGCCTAGAAAGAAACATTCAGTAGCCATTAATGGCTACCGGGCATCGTGATCGCGAGAAACGAACATACATGTACATGCGTACTTACATACATACTTACTTACTTAGCTGTTGGGATAATGTGTTCCCCTCTGATGCCGCAGACCAGGGAACGAGCTGCTGTAGGTAAATGCAAGGATTACTTACTAGGCACTAGAGGGAAAGGTAAAAAAAGGTATCCTGTTGGCTTGCATGCGTCTAATTAAAAGCTCCTAACGTTTACGGGTGGCAGAGATGCGGCCACAGCACAGCTCTCATGTACTGCCCTGGGTACGAGACAAATGTACTGCACAGTACCGACATATTGCCATTGTTTCTCGAGGGTTCTCATCAATAGAAGCAACATGTGGTTGGAGAACTCGAGTTGCACTATTTGCAGGGCATTCCCCGAAATATCCAAGGCCGGGCCCTTGGCGAGATATCCTTTTTAGACCAGGTATCGCACCTGGAGCAATCTGATCAGTTCCCGCTTTAGTAGGTTAATTGAAGATTCCAACATCTTTCGAGGAACAGAATACCAAAAGAATTGATCACGCAGACAAACCATTCGACATGACATGATATGGAATTTTCCGATGAGAGAGCTTTGGTCGGTATATGTAATACTGCACACCAGATCTACGATAGCCTAGAAGCCTAGCTGGAAGTTCAGCCGTGGCCTCAAGCTTCGGAATGTTGATTCTACCCAAGTACCAAGTTTCTATTTAGATTATTCAGATCACTTCACCCTTGGCGTCGGTCGAGCCCAGTCGATCCAAGGGGCAGAGATGATACTTCCTGCTTACCTCAGGCCTGTGTTGCAATACTATGTATAGTTTCCTTTGCAGCAGATAGATTAACCCCGATTACTTGCGCCAGTCCTGAATACTCTGTTAACGGTATCTGATGCTGCAGCGGCACTGCACCACGAGCATACCCGAGTTTCTCTTACTGCGTCATGACCATGTTGGTGCGACCTTGGTTAGGGAGATATTAAGTGGAATCCCTATAATTCTTACGCCACTTTGTCGCGATCCAGCTTCCTAGTTTGCTTACCTGCATTAACGATTCACCAGCTGCCTGTCACATCGCATCGAGCCTACGGATTGCAGGCCTTGGACCGGTGAGACAAAACGGTCTATCAATGTATACTTACTTACTTACACTTTAGACCGCCGCCGTCTAGGGGGTGCCTTTTACCGGTATGGTATGTCGGTCGCGATATCAATGTTTACAAGTCAATATCTGTAGACTCCTGGATTAATCGATTGAGATCCCGTGGGACCTGATCTGATTGCATCTAGTCTGCCGTTTGTCTCCCTCCGGCCATCAGCTGCAGCAACTTCTCACCTAATTTTGAACGACAGGCATCCTGGAAAACTTTCCTCCCATATCGCCGTTAGTTTTCGAAAATGAAGATCTAAAATTTTTCCCACTAAGATTGTTATTTTTCTTTGTGATTCGCAATAATATCTTCCTTAAAAAATCGGTAATACATCTGGTAACCGTAATTTAGCTACTAACGTAATTAACGCCCCGACGCCATCGAGCGATTAAATCTCAGTGGGAAAAATCAGCTGATTGGAGAAGCCACTATTGGTACAGCGTAGCACTGCGTGGTTGATTTTCAGACCTTACCTGACACGACAAAGACTAATATCAAGCCTGCGATATCACACGGGTCTTTATTTAGGCTGGCCCTCCTCGCTTCCCTCAAAACTATAGATATTATTCCGCGCATTTATAGTTAATAACTGGCTAGCGACCTCTTCTGGGTCTTATTGAGATTCACTATGGGAAAATCCGGATAGCTTACCAAACCAAATCCGAATCACCGATATGCTTTTTTCGCTAATATTGTGGATGTCTGTGGGAAAACGGCTTGCCGGCATGCAGTAGAGGCATGGCAGCTATGGAAATTGTGACTGTTCGTGCCTAAGTCTCCGCGTTGTTATGATTGTTCCACTAATCCTTCTCACCGCACCGGTGGCTTATGCGCAGGTACCTAGGTGTGCTCACCATTTTTTTCCATTGGCCTCACTCACTAATCTTTGGGAGCCTCGGCCTCGAAAATCAAGAAATTCATCTTCGTTGAAAAAAATGAAAAAGAAAGAAAAAATATAGAGGTATAAAAAGGAAAGAAAGAACAAGAAAAAGAAAAAGAAAAAGAAAGAAAGAAAGAAATGGAGAGTAAGAGACGTGGAAACCTGGTCCCACCAGAAGAATCGGGTAGCTAATGGGATTACCATTCTGAGCATATGGTTGCGAACCGTCTTTCTGCCCATACACAGTTGGCCAGGCAGATGTATCAGTATAGTACTGGAGCACTGCGCTGCCTGTCCGTAAATCAAGCCCTTGTCTTTGGATTGGGTGTCTTTGCCTCAACACAACCTTATGCATAAGGATCCTCTGGTCAACTTGGTTTCTGGGTTGTGATGCACGAAGTACTCGTGTGCGAGTGGTTTGAAGTGTGTACGTGTGGAGACGCCTTTCCAGCCTACGTAACATCTACGGCCTCCAATGATCATGCCCGTGATCAGCTGGTTGTGTCGAATCCTCGCCTACTCAAATCCCTGTCGATCTTTTTTGATTCAAGTAAGACATTCCAAAAGGTCAAATGTTTGGGAAGGCTGCCTCTTAAAAGCTAAGAACTTGGAGGTAGTATTCTTGAAATATTTCGTACAGTGAGCTGCGCTTCGAATTCACAGATGTCATGCGTGGTGTGCATTTGTGTTGTAGAAGCGCTGTCGGTGGCTATTGGGTAGACGCATAGGTGGGGTTTAACGTACTCGTAGAGGGGTCCTCTTTACCAGCGGTCTTTCGAAACTGGTAAATATATTGAAAATAGTGGAGAAATTTGTATATTTCTTCTCTTTTGCACTTTTCTTGTTTTTGGTTTTCGTCGCCAACGGTTTATACATATGCAGGTGCAGGTGCACCTGTGTACTGAGACATGTCTTAACTGTTACCGAGCTTCGGTGCTAACTATGCAGTTATCAGGTCCAAAAGGCGATCCTGGGAATTATTATCATGATCATACGAGAATAGCTTTGCTTTATCAAGTGTTTCGACCGGGTTTCGTTTGAGAACTACAGTTTTGGAATTAAATCGAAGGATTGGTTACCCATAATCCGGAACATATGTATGCCAGAATTCCAGCGGGGATGCTACTCACCTAAATTTGGCTAACGCCTTGTAAAGAGAATATAGACGTCTACTGATGATCGGTTGTTCTCCATGGAGGTTCTATAAAAGGTAAAATAAATGAAGAATATATATCAATTTGAGCTTTTCTAAGTGGATCCGGCTTTCAGTTGAAGGTTTGGGTTGAGAGGGAATCTTCGTATGAATATGCGAGAACTACGGCCCGGCAGGGTAGATAACCGTCAAGGTCTATTCAAAATCCAAGCTAGCCTACCAAATATATAAACGGCCTTTACTCATGATATAATAATATTACAGTCGGTATGGTGTAAATCAACGATAGATCTGACTCGAGGAAAGTTTAATAGCGCTGTATATATAGGTATAGTTTTGTGGAGGGTGTAAAATGGAATTTTGGAGGGTCCCGCTCTCGATGCTAACGCTTTATACTGTATCGTGAATCATAGTTAAGGAAATATAATTTAAACATGTTATATGAAAACCTTATACTTGCACTATCTTAAGGCACGTCAACATGTTCGAATGTTCGAGGACAGCGCTTTGCTATGCCACGCATATGACGAATTCAGGATTGGTGTTCAGCCGAGTGATGTTGGGACTTTCCCGTGGAGGACGAAAGAGCCTCTCTGGTGTGAGTTCCTTGTCTAGCCATTACCGCAATCGATCAAAATGAGTGTGGTTATCGAGATTGTTCGAAGTTTACAGCTCGGAAAGAAACATAAGAGCGATTGGTGTCTAACGATACTCCCCCTTCGAACTAGTACACGCCGAAATTCCTGTTGGACATGATGGAAATCCTGAATACGGGAAATCTAGTGTTAGCATTCAACCATGGGTCGATACGCTTGGATTCTCTAAAGTAGCGGGCGTATGGGCCTTAATCGTCCCAGATGAAGACCCTGGCATGCTTGAATACATTCGTTACGTTAAGGTATATTCGCGGGGGAAATATCCTGTTGACTTCGTTAAAAAGATTTCCCCGCTGATATCCGGAATAAAAAGTTAGCTGTGAAAACAACCGGTCAGGAGTTTGATGCGGCCATTAGAATTGATACCGCTTCGGCAGTCGATAAGCCTAGCGACGCGCCTCATAGTATGTTTCGACTAGCTGAATTAAATGATGAATTTGTTGAAGTGTAAGTTATTCCTATCGATCGTTCGCAATATCTTGACGCATGATAGACACAGAGAGTAGAGCACGTGGCAGGTCTTGGGTATAAGGCGAATATTTGGTTGAGATTGACTCAGACAAAATACAAATCTAGGTTCTCACTTCTCCAAAACAACTGCGGATTCTTAAGTTTTAATGTCCACATTGATAAACCCGATATGCGGTTTGATGTATTGTTTGAAATCAAGACCATCGACAAAACTTGGCAGCAAGCGCCCTTAGGAGAAAAAGAGTTTTTTGGTAAACTGTAACCTTTCCAGCCAAGTTTATACCACATACTGTTGATATATACTTGGTACTTGTGCTAACAGATGACGACTTCGAATCGGAACAGCGTGCTGGCCCATAGCTCTAGGGGACCCAACACAAATTCAAGCTTCGAAATCTGTTGCAGATACGAATACCTTTCCCCATCTTTTCGGTAGAGGTGATGTACCTGGACTTGAATGCCACCAGGTCTGGCTGTATTTGATCTACTACGGTTATAATTACAATTTTAAAAAGGACGGCTCCGGATCGGACAATGGCGATAGTGATATCTGCGATAATCGCGACAATAAGAGTGAATTTGACTTCATCGAGGAAGCGCTATATCATTTAGAAGATTCGGGTTCCCAGACAAGTGGGACCGATCAAGTGTTAACACCGCAAGAACTAGGAGGAAACAATTTGTCACAACTAGGAGAAGATATTGATCTATATGCGGATACACCGCTGATTGATCATCCCAAAGGTCAAGATGATATTGGGATTACCGATTTACAAGGTCCTTCAATTATTGAGGAAGATGAACAAAGTGGTGTAGAAAAAGGGTCATTCCTTAAGAAAGCCTTCGTGTATGAAAGATGAGGATTGCTAGGCAGGCTTGTCAATGTGCATAACAGCCAAATTTTATCTACTCTAAGCGCGGATATAAATTTATCTATTTTTGATTCATGATACGGGACTATGAGAGTAATACCAGCAAATTTCTGATTACATATCAAGCCGATTTAAATCATAGGGGTCTTTATTGCAGCTGTCTGGGGCCAAAATTCCAATGAAAATCCTCGAGTTCGCACCATGGTCTACCCAAATGCAACACCATTCGGCCTTTCTATTGTACAATTGTCCAGCCCTTTAATTGTCCAACTGTGGCGTGTTTCTCTGCAGCTCTGCCTAGACCTCTGGCAACCATGCATGTATGATCTAAGAGGTACTTTTTCGAGCTCGCTGTCTACGCTGCTCTGGTTCTAGAATTCAAAGAGTCGGCCTTCGGCAAGCAAGTATAGCCGAGGATGTGCTATTTATAGTTTTAGCCATAGTTTACATGCATAGTAGCCGGACTGTTGACCAGGTGCAAGACTAGGAGTTGTTACTTTATTCATCCAAAAACTGCCTGCGGAAATATTCACTTGTGGAGCTTCCGAATCTATGATACAAAGTCAAGTGGACCTACCTGCGGACTCGCCGAGCGACCCGTGCTAAGACAAACGCCACCCGTTCAGGTAGGAGAACTGCAACCTGTGCAACGCTATAACTGCAAATGGAATTCGTTCAAACTAATTCAATTGCGATCGCCAACTATAGCCAAAAGCAAAAGACGTTGTAACGTAACCTCACTTGACTTCCCTGATTTTATTTTTCTCAATCGAAGGTCCTGGAAAGCCCCAGGAACTTCAATTCTCGTGGGTTCCAAAAATAAATAGGACTGTCCTGCTTCGTACGACTCTGGGAAGAAATCGCGATAATCTAGTCTCGGGATCTGGACCGGGTATTGCGCATGCGGTAGTCTTTTTCCTGGTTGTCTCGCATTCGCCCGATGAGCTCAATTTAAAGCCGAGGAGAAACCATCTGCCTGCCTGTACGGTTTTACCATGTAACCTCGAGCTTCTTCCTTCGCGCTGGCGCATCCGAGTAATTTTGACATCTGCCAAGACATCGGTCGTTGGCCATCACTTTAGCTGTGCTGGAAAAAAAAGGAGCTGAGGAAGAACATGTCATTTTTGGAACTATAGTTACAGGCGAAGTATGTATATCTGCTCTATTATGGTGCAGTATTCGGGTAAAAGAGTTCCGCGGTGGTCTGGGGCGCACCCTGCAACTGAACAATGTCTTTACACTGAAAAGGCTTAACTTCATGTATACGCCTCCAATAAAGACTCTACCCCCAAGTTAGGGTTGCATTGTGGATAATAACCGAGAGCGGATGATGTCAAGGTTAAGGACGAGCCAATGCTTGATCCATGTCTTATATCCAGCGTTATGAAAATCACCTTCACATATCGAATATAAAAGGGTGGTTCAATCCAGAACGAGATATTCTCATATCATCTCATCAAGCAGCAGCTCTTCAGCTTATATATATACAGTTCTCCTATAGTATTACCTTCGTTCTCACTCTACAACATTGGGATTTATTTCTTAATCAAAACCTACTCGTCTATCAAAATGAAGTTCACTCTCGCTACCCTCCTTGCTACCGCCGTTGCCGCGGCCCCGGCACCATCAAATCTCAGCTTCACCATGATGTCGCTCCGATCTGCCTCCCCAGTTCACTTCGGCTCGGTTAATGCTTCCGGTCAGAAGTTTTACATTGGCCTCGAGAAGCCATCTTCATACTGCCCAACTCCACCAGTTCCAGCCAGCTCCTGTCCATCTGGCAAATACACTTCGGTCACTTTTGGAAGCGGCTACTCCTCCTTAAACGTTGCTGTTCCCGGAGGCCAAAGAATCTACATTGCCCCAGATGGCTCTTTGAGCTACACCCAGGCCCACAGCGCCTATATTCCACCAGGATCCACCCAGGACGGGTTTATCCTCGGACCCAAGAACAAGGACAATGGCTTGAGGCCAATCACCCACAAGAAGGGTGGCTTCGTCGCTTGCCCGGCTAAGAAGAATGTTGGACCATGGAAGGTGTATGTTGGACAACCAGCTAGCAAGGACGTCCCAAGCGGCTGCGCTACTGACTGCTTGGGATTCAGCAACCAGGCTGTCGAGTTCACTAGCGAGCAATTCGGTGCTTGGCAATACTAGAGGCCTAGACCGATGCTAGATATAAAGATATGCTGTGTAGCGGCATGTGAAGTTACATATTAAAGGCGTACTGCTCTTTGATACTTAACTTGTTATTTAATTTTAATCATAATTGTTTTAAACTTAGCTCAATCTAGAATAAAACCTTCAATATAATTACAAAATATTATGATCAAATTCAAGAGCGGGTATTGTAAATGTACATTGCGAGCCATGCAAGATAACCCTTAATTAAGACATCGCTCTATAAGGGAAAAAAAAGATTTATAGATAGCGTCGGTGGTTATCAATGTTGATAACTTTGAGCACTGAGACTTTCTAGTTGAGGAATTAAGTTTTGGGAACTTCATAAGAAATACTATTTTTTTCATAATGAAGATTCCCTAGTCTTGGGCCATGGGGCTGGGCGCTCACACATGTGCACACCGATTAATCTCCCCAAAATAAACTATAGCGGGTTCGCAACTTCGAATGTTTCGATAGGCATATATGGCGTCTAGAATACCCCCAGCAGCTGATTAACCTATCAGTCGAAAATGTGGTTGTTCTGTCATGGTCAGATACTTAGCACGATCGACACATGGATCCGGCTGAGTAGTGCCAAGAACGTGGCGAGTTTAAGCCTACCAACGCAAGAGATGCAACAACTTGTGAACGTTACACAAAAGGATCCGATCTTCACCCGTGCACCCTGAGCTCATCAAAAAGCGAGAAGGGACATCGATTCGGACAACAATATATTTGGAGTTATGTTGGACTCAAGATTAACATTTTCGAGCGGCCACCAGCTTAATATTCAGCTGGCGTTAGCGTTGCAATGAAAGAGCAGCCAAGTTACATTTTAGTGTGGTATCTCGTGGCAGTGTTGGTGGTTGACGGTTGTGCAGTGCTCATTTCGTAGTATTCAGAGAGTTGCAGGATACGAGATGGAATTGGTGTTACACTTGTCCTACATGTATTTGGTTTCATAGCTGCATAAAATAATCATTGTATGTACGGTTAACTCCGTTGTTAAAGAAATCTTTTCTTAGACAAGGAGTTTGCAAGTTTGGTAAAATTTTAAAACTTTCATAATGTATTGATAGCTAAACGTCCCTAGGCTTTCTACTAGAGGCATGTATACATATATATATCAAAGGGTTTACATCGCTCTTTTAAATTTTACATTTTGGGCATACCAAATATTAGTTAAGATGCATGAAATTGTGCTATTTCAGTGTTAGCTAACGTTAGGTAGCCGGTAGGACTCTGGTCTCGATCGAGGCTATATAGGTAGGACCTAGGAATTTGTGAAATGATGATATCGATATTTGAACTGAACTGATACCTGTCTACTGACTGATGATAACTGCCTTAGGATACCTCGCTGTTCACCTAGGATAAACTTGTCCATATCTTTCACTTGGGTCCATTCCATCAACTACTATCGCATCTTCCTCCTTGCCACATTTTTCCTCTTCGAGTACACTAGCCGCCATTTCAGCGGGCCTATGCCTTGTTCCATATTCCCCGTGTTGCCAAACTCGATTTGCGCCTCTTCTGCCAAGGAAGTGTGCTCCGTTGAATATTGAATTTCCATGCGAGCTTCCTGAGTTGGAAGATCGGTGTAGTTGAGTGTGTGTTCCGGTTGTTGACACGGGACTTGCACCACCGCTGCTCATGCTACTTTGTGTACCGTGAACCCCTTCGAAATACGGCCGGTCATCGTCCCGAACAGGGATCATAGTTGTATCATGGCTTTGTACTCTCCCAGCTCTATTTGAACCGGGTATATATCCCGAATAGCGATTAGGTTGTATAGTGGGGCTCCTGGGAGCTAATTCTGGTGTGTATGGAAAAGAGCTGTTCGCGTGAAAGTATGGATTTCCAGGTGAGTTGAAGCTTGGTGCAAGACCCATTCGTGGCTGTAAGTGACTATTGTGCTGCGGAGGATTCGACGCTGTCGAATCGGAGCGATTCACTCGGTATCGAAAAACAAGTGCGATAATAAGTCCTATAATTGCCATTGCGCCGATTCCGCCAACCACGATACCAGCAATAGCGGCTAAATCCTTATTTTGTGAGTTTGATTCAAGTGAACCCGGTGGGTTAGTTGGAGGCGGAACTGATAGAGACGATGTGGTTGTTGATCTTTCACCATAGTTTTCGTCGGGTGGGAATGCTTGGCCTGGCGTTAGTGCGAATGGAGCCGCTAGGGCAGCTTGACGGTATATCTCAAATGGAATGGACCCATTTCTATAAGGTGGTAGTTAGGTAAGGTGTAAGTTTTCGTTGAAAATTGCAGTGTATACTATGTGTGTCTTGAATAGGGCTACGAACGGGTTGATCATCATCACCATCCCGGCTTTATTGCAAGAACCTGGAGCCCCACAATATAGGAATAATTGATCGGCTGTGCGTACTGTCCAAGTAAACGATGGCATTTCATCCTAATTGATTTTCGTAAATATTGTAATACTGGTACTGAAAAAAGGATCTAAGGTATGGATGGAAACCACAAGATGCTGGGGCGTCGACTCTTGTCAAATCGTCTCTGAGGGCTAATGAGGGCCGTACCTCTAATTTTATCATGGGAACAGGGGCCCAGCCGGACCATATCGCCCCATTTTTATCTACTCTTGGGTTCTGCATCTCGTAAGGTATGCATGGATGTTCAAAAGTTCCCCGTACTATCGAGTGGTTGGTGGGGTAGAATCGGAAGACTAAATTTTGGGTGAATTATGTTCTAACAAATATAGAAGCTGGAGAAAAGGGAATATCGTGTAAAATAGTTCTAGGTCGGGTAGCTAGAGCTTACAGATTTTATCACCGGGATTTGCCATAATTATCTCAGGGTCGAATCGATCTGCCTTCTACATGTACAGTACTTCGTTAAAAGGATTCTACTCGCTGTTAAAAGTATACAATGCGCGAGCCATACCTTGCCAACGCTTACGACATGTGTCATTGTCGTAGCTAGACCGGTAGGGGTCTCTTCCGGACGTCCCAATATTACTGAAGATGCTGGGGGTGGTGTTGGGGATGGGTTGGATGCCATATTGTGATTGATCCGGATCCGATTCTTTGAGACCAAGATATCTATATTTACTTGATTTGTAAGGCTATATTAAAAAATAGCCAAATTTTAAACTAGTTTAAAGTCCTGGGAACGAGTCTATTTAAAGTCCATCCAACCTTTAGGAAATCGGAATTTGAAGTGGTTTTGGTCGTCCTTTGACCGTATCTGATAAAGAAGCAAAAGCTTAAGGTGTGATAGATTTGCAGAGAATCAAGAGTGGTTTGGTATCCTTAAGAAAGTAATTGCTTCCGCCGTTAAGATGTTTCCTGGCAGGCTATAAGTGACTTGGTACTATAGCTATGGACGAGTTCTTATGAGAGGAGTGTGGAAGCAGCCAGCCACTACATTATAGAACGAAGAAACTCCTCAACTTATAACATGCTGACAGTGCCACTGTGAACCAAAGCGAGAGAATAAGGTGTTAGTACACGCACAATAGTGCGGGTATTTCCTACTAGATACTGTGCTGTGGGTCTCTATATTTTGAAGCTGATGTGAAAGCGCTCTATAGGTACCTCCTAGGTGTAATTTGGACTCTTTGTAACCATGCGACTAGACTATCAATTAATCAATGATCCCCCCGGAAGCTACAAGCTGTTAGGATCCCTGACATTACACCCCTAGCCAAACGCAAGTTTCTTTGTACAAGGTAGTATTCCTTTTAGGTTCCACAATAAAAATTCTTTCACACGTGTGGAAATGTTCTTGACAGCTTCGTGGTTGGTCAGTTGGCATGGTTGGCCATGTCCCTTGAACCGTGGTTTGAAGATATTGGATTTTATGAACTTGGATACTAGAGGAATCGGCCCTGCTCGGGTAGCATACTACTTTAATTGTCTTGAAGGATCCTATTATGAGGATATTAATTGTGATTCTGGGATGCCCTTAAAAATTAAAAATCCGAATCTTTTAGTCAAGTAGCTAGCTAGCGGCGGTGGAAGCATAATCCCGTTCTTGAGATCTCCGTCTTTGGTTCGACCGTATAATGTCAACATGTGACACCATATTTGCAGGTGAAAGTCTGTATTTTAAAATAATACCAGCATACCCACGATACTCAGCTTTATGAGTTCGAGGCCATCGATTTTTACGATATAGATACTTTATACCCCATATGGCCATATAGCAAGTGTTGGATTGGGTTGACTGTGTTGGATTGACGGAGAAGGTGTGTTGATGTGTTGCGTGGTAACTGGATCCTCACCATCGTTGTTGCGTCGCTTTGCTTTTTTATCTTGAAATCCAGCGCGTCAAACTCGACATCACTTGAACACCAAGAAGCAATCCCCATCCCCATCTCTTTCTCCGCCACCGGCATCTACTTCATCATTCTCGCTATACTATCTTGCTTTGAACTGAACATCGTCTCTTTGCGCGTAGTAGCGCTCGCTTCCGCTAACAAGTATTTCGAGTGCCATCTTCGGCCAATTGAAGCTGGTACAGCGCTTCTTGATATCTAACCCGCCCGACAAACTACGCTCATCTACACTAGATTAGAGCCACACCGCAGAAATACCTGATTCATCCAGCTCCTAGAATCTGGTCTTCTCCCTTCGATTCGTCCCCTTCGCTTTTGGCAGGCCATTTATAATTCCGCCGGATAACCGGCGACGTCGTCAAGATGTCGTTCGGCCAGCCTAGTGCCTTTGGGGTACTCAATAACTCCCAAAGTGCTCCTAATAATGCTTTCTCACGGTCGAACAGCCTCGCCCAGGGTGCTCCTAGTACCGCATTCTCTCGCTCGAGCAGCATCGCTGCTCCCCAAGGCCCAGCTGAAGTAGTAGTGGGCGATGAGGTCCAAGAGAGTGAATCTGATGTCAGTCTTAGCTCTGAGCCCTTGTTATGATTGTTGTTAACCCTTTGTTTAGTTGATCGGCTACGTAGCCCTTGCTGGAGAGTTGAGAGTCAAGGTTTTTGATGGACAGTATCCTGAAGGCGACTTGCCTATACACTCCTCGCAGCTATTATCGATATCTCAGAAAAGACAACTTTTTGCGGCAGGCGGACCCCAAGGTTCGTCATCAGAGTTTCCTCCTCGAAGCCCTTTCCAAAGTTGCTAATATCTGTTTTTAGGTGTCGTTGTTGCTCGAACCTCTACCTTGAGGGCAGCTTTCAAAAATACAGCCACCGTCAATGGAAACACATTACCTTTCCAACCAGAATGCATCATCCCGATGTCTCTGCGACTTTCACACATTGCCTTTACTTCTGATGGCACTTATCTTTTGCTTGCGGCCCAACTAGGAGGAATAGCAGTTTACCTAGTTGATGATATTCTAAGCAAAGGAAATAGCGTGCAGCCTCAATCACAGATAAATACCGGCCCGTTGCTTGAAATGAAGCCGATTCCAACAGTAGCCGACGCTGAGAAAGTGTGTATTGTTGTCGGATCCGGCTGGGGTCAAGGTGGCAGTGTCGGCATTGTTGATCTCAAAACAACCAAAGTCCATGAAAACCTCAAAACTGGCGTTACGACGGTATCTTGGAGCCCAAAGGGCAAACAGATCATTTGCGGAGGCTCACTCGGTGGCCTCGCTTGGATTAGACCCGACGGAGGAGAAGCTGACGCTGTGGAAGGGGTACCTAACTATCCGAACCATTTCGTGTCGTCAATATTTTGGGTCGAGTCCACAATAATCTTCGTCATCCTTACTCCTAAACCTCAGCCGGGCCAGGCGCACGATAACGAGTCTATCCACTTTGTTCTAATGCGTGAGCCCAATACTCGCAAACACACTTTCTATAGAGTAAACGATATGACCCCTCCGTTTGGAATGGTCTCTCGCCCAACGTACCACTCCTTCATTCACTTAAAGGGCTGGGGTCCAAATATGAAGGATTGTCTGGTCTTATCAAACACTTGTTCTACCGATATCGGGACAGTTATGAGACTGAATAATACGCCGTTTACGCCAACATCGATCCTGAGTGATGGTCGTCGTGCAAACTTGCCGTTGACCGCAGATGGCGGAGATGCAACTCCTATCGGATTCTCGCTAGATCTTACCGCTCCTGATGCAGAGCGTGTTAGCAATCCTTTCCCTAATGTTGAGCAATCGGCCACCTCGCTTCCTTGCATGTGGATTCTTACAAATGAAGGCGTGATATCTGCCTATTGGGTGGTATATTCGGACGCTGTCAAGATTGATAATTCATCCGCTGCATACCCAGAGTTATTGGCATACGAAAGTCAACAGCCACCACAAACACCACAAAGGACTACCGGACCTACATTTGGCCAAAGTGGATTTGGTCAGTCGCAGTCGTCTGCGTTTGGCGCGGCAAAGCCAGCCTTTGGCCAGCCTTCTACCCCTACCTCTGCATTCGGGCAACCTTCCAAGCCTTTAGCTTTCGGCCAGACTTCCGCTCCTACTTCGGTATTTGGACAGACGTCGCAGCCAGCCAGTGCCTTTGGCCAACCTTCGACGAGTACATCCGCATTTGGCCAGTCACCCCAGCCACCGTCAGCTTTCGGTCAACCTCAGTCGGCTTTCGGCCAGCCATCCCAGCCGTCGTCAGCGTTTGGCCAATCATCCGCGCCTCAGCCGGCCTTTGGTCAGCCTTCTGCACCGCAATCTGCATTTGGACAAACAACTGCCCCCTTCGGGCAATCCACCGTAAAGCCAGCGTTTGGGCAGCCCGCCTTTGGGTCGGCATCTACGCTTGGGCGGCCGGGAATGTCTGCTGGGGCTTTTGGTTCATCCACAGGATCAACATTCGGAAGTGGGTCTGCGTTTGGGGCACAGTCAGGAGCGTCAGCATTTGGCCAGAAGCCCGCGGCGCCTGCTTTCGGATCAACAACAGCTCTTGGGTCCACCGCTCCTGCTTTCGGATCCTCAACTCCCTTGGGCAGCACGGCACCTGCATTTGGATCTGCGACAGCATTAGGACAAACCCGCCCGGCATTCGGTCAGCCAGCGTTTGGGTCTTCCGGGGGTGGGACAGGATTTGGCCAAACTTCGCAATTAGGCTCAAAGCTGTCGGCATTTGGTTCGTCGACGACAGCCGGCACTGGCGGATTTGCTAAATTCTCAGGAGGGGGTGGGTTTGGAGCTGGAAATGCTAATACAGGTGCATCGCCAGCGTTCCTCCAACAGAGTGGGTCTAGCAATCCTTTTGCTTCTAAGACGCCCGATACTTTTGGTAGTTTGAAAGGCAATGCACCAGTCTCCGCCTTTGGATCTGGAGCTCAAGGTGGGTTTACAGTACCTAGTGCGTTTGGGTCTACTGCAACACCAGATGCCAGCAAACCTTCAGGTTCTAGCACGGGGGCCGGAGCCTTTGGTGCTTTTGGAAATTCTCTCGGATCCGCTCTTTCTCAACCAGCTGTCCCCACTAATGTTAAGGATGATGAGATGGCAGACAGTGATGATGAGGTGGAGCAACCAAAAGCAGGTATTCGTGGTGGTAATATGTTTAGCTTGTCGACAGCTGTTAACAATCCTTCTACAACGACGGCAAAGGAGCCCCCCAAAACCCTTGCACCCGCTTTCGGACAAAGCTCGCAGCCATCTACAGAAACCAGCAAGCCATCTGCATTTGGAAGTGGACTTTTTGGGTCTACATTGAATAAGGAGCAGCCAAAAGGAGCTTTTGGCTCACCCAGTAAACCTCCGACACTTGCTCCTGCTTTCGGAGCTCCAGAATCCAGGCCGAGTGCTCCAGGAAGCGCGTTCGGCCCTACCTCGCCTGTAAAATCCTCCGATCAGGTTGGAACTGGATTATTTGGAAGTGCTCTTCAAAGGAGTACATCCGGGGCCCAGCCCGTATCAGCGTTTGGCTCGATCGCTGGTTCATCCCTATCCAAACCGGAACCGGCATTTGGGGCTACACCCACATCTCCCCCGGTCAAAACAGCGCCGGCATTTGGCACAACCGCAACGCCTGCGCCTTCGGCGTTTAGCAAGCCGACAGCCCCAAGCTCTGCATTTACTACAGGTTCTAGTTCGCCAACTAAGCCAGCCGTATCGGCTTTCGGACAAAAGTCGACGCCTCCTCAGAAAACAGATCTAGAAAATGTAGTTGGAGCAGCAGCAAGCAAAGGCTTACCAAGTGAGGATTCTGACGATGATACTGACCATTCTCCACAAGAACCCGAGGCAGCTCCTCTTCCTCCTGATTTTGGTCCAGTATCGAAGAAGTCTGAACTAGTTGTTCCCGAAGATGCACCACTACCCCCTGATTTTTCATCAACAAAATTGGCACCCGCTGCCTCGAGTCCCTCTAAGACCTCACTCCCAGAGTCTGCACCTCGTACACCAGCATTGTCTTCCACCCCCTCGACACCAGCAGAATCCGCAGTAAAACCTGTCAAGTCAGCACCTGTAGAAAAGGGCAAGCCCCCGCTAAAGAGTGATATTTTCGGTTCAGCTTCTCCAACTCACTCTTTGGCATCGACCTCTAAACCAGTGAAGGCAGCAAACCCCATGGCCAATCGACGGGGTTCAAAACTAACATCTACTATCTCAACAAAGCCAACGCTATCTGGCCGCACGCCATCACAGAAAGCTGGCACAGCCGCTAAAAGCGTAAAACCTGTTGTGAAAGATCACGATGAAGAGGATGCGGGGAATGAAAACCTTAGTAGTTTTTTCCCTGGTGGTGGAGCCAAGGCTGTCGGGCCACAAAAGGATGGGGAAAGTGTACTTACACTCGGAACGTCCTCAAAATCCATCGGCGCTGGTTTCTCGTTCGGTGATTCTAAGTTGGATCATGTATCAGATGACAGTGAAGAAGAAGAAGAAGATGAAGTTAGTGACGCCGGAAGCGATGAAAATATAGACCCTGAGGAACATGAGTCCGGTGAAAACTCTGGCCAATCTAGTGAATTGGAAGATGGAAGTTGGGTTGAAACTGGTGATACAGAGGATGAAGGCTCTCCGGTTCAATCACCAGTACTTGTGAAAGATGTGAAGGCGGTACCTCGTCGGGACATACTCAACCGCGTTACCTCTCCTGCCGCGGCCAAAGCCTCAGCCGAGGGGACCAAACACACACTAGCAACGGCTAGTAAGGCTTTTGCCGTCTTAAGTCCTGTGAATAAGGCCCCGACTAGGCCCGCATTATCTTCGAAGGCAACAGGCTCTTCAGCTTCAGCTTTGTCTCCTATTTCGGCTAAACTACAACAGCAAGAAGCAGCTGATCGGGAACAACTTGCGAATAAGCAAAATCAAATGGACCTGGAAAGAGATCAACGAAAGCATGATACACTGGAACACCGTAGGATTGCGCTTATGGAATATATGGAGCTTCAATCTTTGCGAAAATTACAAGTCTCAGAGTCTCAGAAGCAGAACGACGCAGAGGAAGTTATGAAGGCCCGTGAGGATGCATTCAGGGAAAAAATCCAGCTGCCATATGATCCCAGCCCTGTTCTAAGCCAGTTTAATCCGTACCGCGAGTCAGATAATTTTACCAACTTTAAGGTATTATCCCGCTCCTTTCTTCACTCTATTATTTCAGCAGATTATTTCTAATGTATTTTCGGTGTTTAGGGCCAGGACGCCGTGCTGGAACAATTGGTTATTGCACTAGGGCGCCGGACTGATAATTTCGGGTTGAATATGAGAAACCTGGAAGCCTTCGTTGTCTACCACCGGGAATCCGATCATTTCACTCTCGACGATCCCCGCCCCGTCGAAGAGATTCGAATAACGGCGGCACCAGATGTGTCACTGATGGCGAGAGATCTTATCGAAAAGGCACACGATTTAGGGAAAAACTTTGATCTGGTCACGTTAAAGGCAGACGTAACATCGCTTATTCACGATGTTGACTATCGTAAGTCGCTCTACTCGACAGCTAGATTGGCTTGCACTATGCTAATGTGTATATTCGGGTATAGTTGTTGCACGTGCTAGTGATATTCCGAATATTCTTCTCCTCCACACCCATCCAGAACTTCGCGCGCACATTCGTAGGCGTCCACTTTCTGCACAGCAGCGAATGCAGCAGGCCAATCTAAGAAGGAAAGTACCAATTTTGCGCCGAAAGTTTAAAAGGGTGGAGGATGCGTTCCGTATCCTCCAAGCCCATGTCGCAACAGTCAATAAACACCAGAGGGCAAACTATGGAGATCTGAGACCGCCGACGATTGAGCAGGTCCACGAAACAGTTGCAAGGCTTACTGAGGTTGCAAAGGAGAAGGCCGAGAGGGTTGACAAGCTCGAGGATTCAGTTAGAAAAATGCGTCTATCGAGTGCCAGCCCTGCTATGAGCCGCGGGACAACTCCAAATTTCAGAGCTAGTAGCATCAGCTTCTCCATGAGTGGTCGAGATTTTGAACGTGGTGGTACACCTGGATGGTCGAAATCTACGAGGAAAGGCAAGGAATCGGTTTTAGCAACCCCGCCAAGAAATATGCCGGGCCCAGACAAACTAGACTACTACGAAAATACTATTGACAGTCCAATATCCCGATTTACATATGGCAGACAAACGCATCAAAAGCCTATCAAGAGCATTTCGGGAACATTCGGGTTGATCGAAGAAGAGTTGGGTGATAACGAATACTTTAACGATCAAAATCCATCATCTTCGATGGGAGTTCCTATTGCTACGAGTTACGACAGAGGTATGGCGGAATTAAGAAAGGAAATTTTGACCACACCGAAGAAAGGTGATGTTATCGGGGAATTGCCAAATACACCCGCTAGCAGGCAGGTCAACAGACTCCTAAAAGATGAGGTCGAGGAAATGACAGGTGGAAGAGGTAGGAAAGCGTGGATTGATGCAGATGACTACTTGGAAGACAAAAGGCTGAAGAGAGAGGTTGGAAAACGTATGACAAAGGTTATCAGGAAGATCGGAGTCAGAACAACCAAAGTGGAACTGGCTTAGATTTATATTGTATATTACTTTCAGGTTCGAATCTAAGCACTTTTTTTTTTCCATTCCTGCCTTATGGGCCAATTTCTGTAAAACAGGTCAAAAACAGCAGGACTTTATGACATATTGCCATCACGGAATGAAACTACTTCAAGATGCCTAAGAACAGAGTGTTGATAAGACTGGCAGGGATCTAGAAATGACTGTCTCGATACGGACACGGTATCTCGATCTGGCGAAGTTAAAAGCGTGTTGTGTTGTGTGGTATTATGACCCCTGTTTATGGGCCTTGAAAGCAGCCTCGCTTCGAGCCGGTGCCCGCAATTTCCCCTTTCAAGAGATTGAAACGCTTGAGACTCTCAAGGTGAGGCTCTGGACAGTCCTTGTCAGCCCAGCAGTTTTTCTTGCAGTAGCGCTTGAAGGCTACGGTGGTTAGTCTAACAATGACTCAAAGGATAACCCGCGTACGCCTACGCATTGACGATTGGCAGCAATGCCTTGCATGAATTTTGGCAAGCTCCAGATGCTAGTTACTTGGCAATGTTCCGTATCTTCGCGGGATGGATTGAGCGAGACAGCCAAATTGGCATTTCGTGTCACCATACCAGGATCCAAAAACCAAGATATAAAGCCAGCCATAGTCCTCGTTTATGCATGAGCCTGGTCACTGGAGTCCATTAGCAGCAGTTAGAGTCACATCCTACCTGCCCCACAGCCTATTCAAACAATCCTCATCCCTTATAACATTATACATTCGTTTGTGTACCAAAGCCCGCATACCGACTTCCAAGACCCATATGTCCAAAATGTTCAAATCGATTAATCGAGCCGTCAAGAAGCTCACGGAGGAGGCTCCACAGGGCAATGACCAAATGATTATTAAGGTAAAGCGCTTGGACTCTCGCTTTAACCGTCGGGGACATCAGGTGGTTGTAGACTCTGGGACAGTTCCAACGATTGAGGCCGACAACTATGATGCCAACGGCGCATACGTCCTTGTTCACTGCAAATACTTCAACCAGCTTGGTCTACTACATCGTCAAACACTTGATATCAAGAGTTTGATGGTTAAGAAAGTATTAAAGGAAGTCATTGGAGATAGCTACCCGGGAATCAGTTTCAACACTGCGAACATCGTCTTGGAGTACCCACTGAGGTGCTTATGGCATTATCGAGATGAGATCCGGTTCGTGGCGAAAGAAGACAAAAAGTCAGAGAAAGGGCGGCATTTGAAACTGTTGCTTGATTTCCTAGATGCCGAGTTTGCAAAACTCGATGCGGATTATAACAATTATATGGAACAAGGACTGACTTCGTTCGATATGTGAGTATCATTTCCCTTAGGGTACCCTTAGCAATCTTTTATTAATCCTTGGTTCTTTTTTGTAGCATGTGGACTCTTTTCAAACCAGGCGAGCTTATCTACACAAGCTTTGACGGCCATGCCCGAGTCTTCGAGACAAAGGGATATAAAGAGCAGTCAATCAGCTGTACTATTTATGGTGTCATTGACGGCACTTACATTGACTACAATGGGGATGAATTCGGATACGCACAGAGATATGTCTTGAATCCTGAGTTCGATGGAACTCGAAAAATTACCGATCTCGATGCATTCCCTCTCAAATTCCATCCTCGGGAAAAAGAAGTCCGACATGATTTGATTTCACGTGGACGAAAATTCGAAAGTTTGGCCGGTATTCATTGTATGGACTATAATGGCCCAACTATTTCCGGGGCTGGGCATTGGGGGTCTAAGTTATTCGTAAGTGATCTTGGCGGTGCCCCAAAGATATTATTTATTTCCTATTTCCTTTTATTATCAGGAGAGATACTAACAGATAGTTTCTGATTAATCACTTAGGTAAATGGGCGAGTAATGGTTGATGTCAAGACGCATGTCCACTACCACCCGGAAAAAGTCGTCGCCGTCAGCTCTTTACAAGGGGATAAAGATAAGGTCAAAGAGCTTACTGACAGTCAAAACAAACCCCGGTACACCACTGCAGGTTATCACAATGGTGTCTATTATGAAGAGGTGGCATCCCAGGGCGCAAATAATGTTACCATGAACGTAACTTTACCCACTGATGGTAGCGGACAAGATCTCAAGAATAAGGGGAAGCAAAACCAGAAGAGCAAGGCCGTTACTGTTTTAACTGAAGAACACCTTTTGCTTTGTTCCAGTCTTATATACGGCTTTGCTTTAAATGAGAAGCAATGGGGTATGTGTCACCGATGCGACCTTAAATTCTATAATGATGTAGAACCTAAGCACTAATTTCGCTATAGTCCAACTCTTCGTGGACCTTTTGCAACCGGTCAGGTGGAATACTGTATCATTCGATCAGCTAGTGCTTCCCAAGTCGCAAAAACAACTTGTTAAAGCATTGGTTGAATCGCACCAAACTTCCACTTCCAACTTTGACGATTTCATCGCTGGAAAGGGTAAAGGCCTAATCTGTTGTTTGCACGGCTCACCAGGTTGTGGTAAAACAATGACTGCTGTCAGTACACATTCTATTAGAACTTCCTTGAATCCTTTTTCAGCAATACTGACAGGATCTTGACGTTTAGGAATCTGTTGCGGAATTTACAAAATCGCCGTTATATACAATTTCAGCTGGTGATCTAGGAGCCGACCCCGCTGAGATGGAGAAAGCGCTTTCGAAAATCCTCCGTCTCTGCACGATCTGGAATGCTGTGCTATTACTTGACGAAGCCGATGTGTTCCTTGAGGAACGGTCTCTCCACGACCTCGGCCGTAACGCCCTAGTTTCTATCTTCCTAAGAATGCTTGAATATTGTAAGCCGCTTCACTCTTCCATAGAATGCTTCAGAAGGAAACTTTTCTAATTTTAGATACCAGATTCGGGAATCCTCTTCCTGACCACAAATCGTGTCAAGACATTCGACGAAGCCTTCCAATCCCGTATTCATGTTGCTCTTCGCTACCGTGATCTCGACAAGTCCGCTCGCGAACAAGTCTGGCGTAATTTCATCGAGAAGATTGAATCCTCTGGAACTACGACTGCAATCAAGGAGGCTGACTACGATTTCTTGGGTTCTGTTCTGCTGAATGGCCGACAGATCAAGAATGCTGCCAGAACCGCATTGAGTCTGGCGGATAATATGGGCGAAAAGCTCAGTTTGGAGAGTGTAAAGAGTGTATTGGGAATCGTCGAGGCATTTGAAAGGGATTTTAAAGAAATGAAAAAGCTGGAGGATATTCATTCTTAAACATTCGAGTACAACTATGGGCGTTTTTCATAATTGAAAGGGAATGGTTATAGTTATAGCACGGTCTCGATTTACCCTTGAAGTTAATTATGGCGCACTAGGGGTAGCTTTTCTGTAGATTCGAAATCTGGATATGTCTATTTGCTTTTGTAGCTTCTTAGTTCAGAGTGTATTAAATATAAAAGAAACTTTTTGATATTAGAGTATCCAGAAACCAGCACCACATATTTGCGTATACGTGTGCATAAAATCCATCAAGGTACATATTATAAACTAGTATGGTTCAGCGTATGGGTTTAAATCAAGTCATAGCAATAATTTTGAAAACAATTCAAATGAAATCCGAAGAGAAGATATGGTGATGTCGATTAAAGAGTGACTACAGCATCCGAAGGACTGACGTAGAAAGGCTCGTCATCCGACGGAGTAACCCACCAATCTCCGATTACGAAGCCATTAATGTTATGGTACTCCTCAATATGCAAAAGCATATCGAGCCTTCTACATTTTTGGGGGGGATTAACTGTATTCCTATCGCCGGAGGTGTACCGTCTTCCATGGGGGTCAAAGTTTTTTCCAGAATTTATCAAGAACTGGTTACCCCAATTTGAGGTTCCGTTGTGATGCAAAATAACGACGCAGCCAGCAATCCATTCAGGTCGGAGAAGGTCTTGGGTATTCTCAGCAACCATCTGAGGATATGTCTTCCAGCTAGGGATAATATCGGCATATCCAGCTTCGGAGACATTGCGGTCCCACATGAGAGTAGCTTGCCAGTACTGCCCAGCAATGCTCTCATTGTCTATGTGAATGTAGTAATTGATGCCCCGGGCGCACAAATTCTGATGATAGTCACCACCCCATCCATCAACAATCCCAAACGGGCGCAACGGGTTGCGGGGCTCGTTCTTTGAATTGATATGCTTGATGACGCTGCAGTAACCAATCCACTCGGACCAGACTTTATATTTTTCGGGACCATTAGGGAAGAATGGAACTGGGTAGTGCATATCGATTTCTTGTTTTAAAATTTGTGAAGGTCTCGGTGAAGCGGTTGACTCATCCGTTGGGGTTGGGAATGTCGTAGTCCGACCGTTAGGAAGTGCCGGTAGGTCAGTTCCCTTTGGAGCCGTCGGAGTTGATGTATGTGCTTCAACACTGGAGCTTTCGGATGATGGGCCTACCCAGTTTGGGCCCGGTCCAAAGGTGAAGCTAGGATTCGTTATCGGATCGTATTCTGGCTGGCCTGGTGACGTTGGGACTGCTGGGACCGGAGTCTTGGGAGGTGCAGGATATTGTGTAGTGATCGAAACATAAACATCGATCCAGTCATCCCAGGTACCCTCGACAGTCTTATTCCAGGTAGTGTTCGTGCGATGATCCCAAACAATATCATAACGGGTGGGCATAGATGGATACTTCCCACCATTGGCCCTCCAGCTAGACGCAAGGGAAATATGATCCGCTCTCGTAGGAGCCCCAGTTGCAATCGGGTTCCAGTAGACAGAGAAAGGAGATTCTGGATCATCGGCCTCCATAGGAATAAGTTCAAAGGTTACATTTATGGCCGGCTCGAACATGGTTTCGATGGGACCAACGACACGATTGGTAGGTACTGGTGGCGCCGGTGGCCTTGGGGTGGTGACCTGCCTCCAGGTGGGACCAGAGACATGTGTAACAGTCCTATTAATATTGAAAAAAGCATCGGCAATAATTGATTCAGTGACCTGAGGCAAGCGAGGGGCCCTTGTGATAGTGCGGGCAGCTGTGGTAGTATTGAGGCCTGGCATGTCTCCATCTCCATCGTCATGGCCTACCGAAAGATGAGTATGGTTGTGTGTGTAGCTAGAATCTCCGTGACTCGCATTGTACGCACTATTACCTGGAAGGCGGATATGATTGGGATTATTAGAGTCTATGACAATTGGCGCAACCTTCGATATCCGGTGTGAGGTCGGTGTAACTATATTGGTCTCCTGTTGTTGAACTGCGCTGCTGATTTGGGCCGGGGAAGCAGTTGGAGATGCTATATTGTCCAAATCCTCAAGGCTTGGAAAACTTGTCTCTAGTCCGACCGAACTAGTGGGCCTATATCCTAGTGCTTGCAAGTCGTCCCCTTCGCCAGGACTAGTATTTATTTCAGGAGCAAATGGTGTATTTCCATTGGAGTGAGTGTGATATAACTCGATCGTAGAAACCTGAAAGTCTATTCGTAAATGCAATAAGTATGAATGCCCTGAAAAGCTTTGAAGGCATGAAAATGTGGTTAGAGTGAACTAACGTGTCCCAGATGAGTCCGTTAAATATGCAACAGTACGAGTCGTGAGATCAGTGTGGACTATATCTAACCCCCCACTGCGTTCTAAGAGAATGAAGCAATTAGTCAGGATAGTGCTTAACTCTAGCATATATACGTGTGCGAGAGTAAATAAAATCCTGTCAGTTACCTTTCGATTTTTCGACGTCAAAAAGGATATCTTCGAGATCTGCAGCATTGTGAATAACGGGACCGGGGGGGTGAGGGGTATGAGAAGCGGACGTAACAGAGCTTTCCTCGGGCTCAACATCACGGGGAACTCTGTGTGGCACATGATTCGGATGAGTATGGCTCGCACGAAGGGTAATAGTCTTTCCGTTCTCTACTAACTCGACGAGTGGGGCAACTTGATCCGGCTTTGGTGGCTTCCCATCTACCAATCCTGTTAGCATCTATCCATATATTTGGTACCTTTATCGACAATTATCATTGTAGAGGTAGAATCAGGACAGCTTTAGAATTTCATAATTATAACTCGAACTATTGTTGCATTCCGTAGCTGAATGAGGTTTGGGAGAGGTCCAATACAATATCTTACTTTTAGAATGACGAATAGATTGGTATGCGTATCTCCCAACGATATCGGCGGCTTCTCTCAAGTCCCTTGCGATGAGGTCAGCTCCACCGTCGCCATGCTGGTGGGGTAGGCTCGGAGGCTCTTCGTGCACCAATTCGTGGTGTCCTGCATTTGAACCGGAAGACTCCAAGGCACCAATGAGAATGAGAGCGAGGGCCAACAAACAGAGGATTAAAAGTATACTGGTGAAAGCTTTAACAAAGAGCATCCGAAAATCAATATTTCGACGTCGAAGATTTTCCGATGGAATTGTATTTCCAAGCACCGAAGCACTCTTTTCCGGCTCGGAATCGAGCCTTATCTCTGGTGTGGACATATTGGCGGCGGTTTTCACAGAGATTGGTTGAGATATAGTATCGATATATTATATATATGATGTGAGGAGAAAGAAGCAGCAGTTTGTAACGCCAGAGAATTTCGGTCAAACAGATGTGGCTGCGCCGGTGTTTAAAACATGTATGTAGCCGATGCGATCTATAAATATATAATTTTGTGCGTGTGAATGACTCTCAAAAAAAAAAAAAGAATCTAGGGATCTCGAGGGATCTAGAGTGAGAACCCCGCCTGAAACTCTTTATATACATATTTAGGGACAGATCGGTCGCTAGCCTATAGCTGGGATCTAGACCTAGATCTTAAAAGACCATAAATAGACATCTTGACGACAAGGACAAGATGTTGATAGTTAGTTATTATATTTCAACCCTGTTTCTTCTTCCTTTGAAGCCCCCCCGTTTAAGTATGTATCAAGCTGTCTTCATCCATCATGGCAATTCTTTGTGAGTCTCCCATAATCATCACAGATCCATCTGGCATAAGACTATGTCGGCTGACTGTCCCAGTGGTATTTAGTTGGGTTTGTAAACTGTTTTGTGAACAATCTTTGAAACCGTCATATGATCCGTTATCTCCTAGTTCGTTTTGACACTCAATAACATATTGAGCAATGTTCTTGAGAGTTGAGAAATTTCCGTCTTTGTAACAGCTTTGCAAGGCATTGTAATAGTCCTTCACACATTCTCCATTACTGCTGATAATACATGGAGCAGTAACCGGAGGGGGCATGCTGCAAGTTCCTAGAGGCAGCCCCGGTGATTGGTCAATCATCGTTTTACTTTATTCTATGCTATATCCAAAGTTCAGGATCAGAAGCAATGGTACTAGTACCTGTTGGAGTCATAATACTAGCTGCAGTACTAGTCGAGGAGACTGCTAATGACGACCCCGCGTCACCCGGCCCGGAATAGAAGCTAGTGATCGTCGTCGGAGAGGCGGTAACAGTTTCCATAACTGTTAGATAAGAAGTGTATTTAGGTGTACTCAAGGCCTTTTCGGCAGTTTGGCGACCATCAATGTCAATCCCCACTGTCTCATCCTGCGCGATCGTAGTTGCTGTTTCATTCGCCTGATGTAGTTCGATCACAGCACCAGCATTAAGATTGGCAGCATGGGCTTCAAGCCCTAGCCATAATAGTATCAACCATGGAAGCCGCTTTCTCATCGTTATCGTGTGTCCAACTATCGCTCGCAAACGTGGTCGGATGTCCCTTTGGAAATTTGGCGAGGGTAACGTTGATCTTAGATGATCTTCGGTTAGGCTGTTTAAGCCCATGAGCGGCAGCACAGCGCATTTTGAAGCATTTTCGAGGGCGACGTGGTCTGAGCCAGTTTTAGAGGATATTTGAGATATACGAGCTCTGAATGTTATTGACATTGTTGGGCGGAATGATACTGAGACCAAGCTTACAATTGAGCAAATTAATGAACTGAAGTGTCTCCTAACTAATTTAGAAATGCTTGCTTGCTGACTAGCTGCTCAAGGCTTAAAATTAATTGTCATTTCTAAATAGCAGTTATACCCAGACACACACACACGCAGCCCATTATATATATCAATCTAAGTTAAATGCGTTCTAATTAATGTACAATTGTTCTCGGTGTCTCTTGACTCAATAGCTTGGCTCGGCAGCAGTGCACAATATTAACCTATTCATGGCAAAACCGGCACGTTGACTCAATAATGCGGTACCCTTCATGCGAAAAACCCTTACCATCACAAATATATAAATCAATAGATTTAGAATTTAGCCTGATAGAACTCAAACGATGGTGATATATACCTAACTACTAAGTACTTTTTGCATTTTGCGCACGCATATGCATGTAGAATATCGAACCATGGCCAACGCTAGCCTTGGCCCCCAAAATACACCAAAATATGCAACATTTTCAACACAAGCCAGTTAGGTGTTTGTTCAGTAGCTCTCGATTCAACATGTACGCTTGGTTCGTAGTAGTATAGCGGAGGTAAATTGGATAAAGAATAATAATAAACCTTTGTAAACAAGGTTCGATAGTCTTGTGGCCAACTTAGTGATAGTAATACTGAGACTATTCTAGAGGTCAGACGAAACAGAAGCCCGGCCGTTAACGATAGTCCAAGTGCGGGGATTAAAAACATTTCATGAATGCTATGCTGGTTCATCGATACTCATCCCCTGGGACTCGGCTCTAGACTTCCTAAAATGGCAATATGCTTCTTTTTGTGGAATATGTCTTTAAAGGCTTGATACAGGTGCTCTTATAGATATGAATTTTGAGGTCCCGTGACTTGCCCTAACTTCGCGTCCGCCAAGTATTAAAACCGAGCCCCCCTCCACAACCTCCAATACTTTGCTCCCCCTCGACAAAATCACCCTTGGGTAGGATATTTAAAGGTCACGTCAGTTAATTCATGACTTCCTTCATTTGATAAGCCTTCCTCAAAGCGCACCTCACGCCTAGTTCTCATCGATCTAACCTCCTTCCTCAGCCAATACACAGTCTCCTCCCGAACTAGAGTATCAACCAGAACCTAACAAAGTAAGTTAACGATTCTATTTTAATTCTGTCAGTAACTTTCATCTTCGTTACGATTTGATGGAGGTGGGAGGGGAGGAAGTTCTTGAGGGTCTTCACAACTATTCTCGGCTTCCTTTTCACTTATCCTCCCCCATTACAAGACGACTCCTTATCTCTACCCTTCCCCCTTCCCCTTTTCTCCTCCCTCATCTCCCCTCCTATACCCCTCTTCTCTTCTCTTCTCTTTGTATCTCTCCTGTTAAAGCCTCCCCCCTCCATCTCTCACCTATTCTGCTATCTCGCCGCTAACATAGCCCTTTGACAGAATCTTCGAAATGGTTTACTCGAAGCTACATTACGAACATGAATGTCTTCCATGTGAATGGCTGTGAGTATTCCATCACGGACGGTCTAACCCACAGTTTCCTCGGTTCCACCTATCTCTTCAGTTCCCATCAACCTTCTGCGTAACTCGCTAACCAACAAAACTCCCTAGGTTCTCGTCGGCAATTGAACTTCAAAATCACATTGTAATGCACCATGCCTCGCTCATTTGCCTGACATGCAACGGTAAAACCTTCAATGGGACAGACGCTTTCAAGAGCCATTATCCATTTAGGTTGCATAAGTTCAAATGTGGCAAATGTGGCGTCGGCCTTAATGGAACAGACCCTCAAAGCCTTGGTAAAGCCATCAGCCATCTCAAAAGCTGCCAATCAATCCTCGATCGTCATTGTGTCAAAGTGTATGAAGACCAAGAGGTCTACTATGAGCATTGTCGTACTGACAGAGAGCATATCAAAATCGCTGATGCTTGGGAGTAAGTCTTCAGTTCTTAATCCTTTTGGGATATCTAAATAGAGAGGAGAAAATGATCAGCTAACATTGAAGCCATGCATTAGACGCGAAGATAATATCAAGAGACGACAAGAGTGGGAAGAACAAAAAGCTCTTAGAGAGAAGTCCAACTCCGAGAGGCACTCAGGGTGGCAATCGTATCAAGTCCAAATAGCTAGGGACCGTTCCGAGTATGAACTCCTTCAGAAGAAGGAATATCCTCCATTCGAGTCCGAACAAACCGCTACGGAAATCACCACTGAAGAAACCAATACTCCAAGCCCCATTGGAGATGAATCGCCTGATCAGCAATACTTTGAATCCCAAGGGAATCAGGTAGAAATCTATGACTCCGATCAAAGTAATGAAAGCTTTGAATACCCAACTGATTGGACGGATCACGCGACCTTATCAGAGGAAGAGATGATGTCTCTTAAGGAGCGAATGGTCAGAAAGAACCGACGAGAGAAGAGGGCGATCAAAGCAGCAGCAAAGATTGCAGAAGAAGAACGCCTTAAGGCGGACAAAAAATTGGCTCGTGAAAAGGCTGCTGAGGCCGCCCGTCTGGAGGCTCGGATGAAGCTCACTCCCGAGGAGCTTAAGGCCTTAGAAGAGAAGGAGCGTCAAGATGAGGAGAAAATGGAGGCGAATAAAGAGAAGATCAGAGCCTGGGTCCGCGAAAGAGCTGAGGCTCGACGCGAATATCAACGTCTGAAGCACCAAAGCTACAGGATGGATGATTAACAAAGCATTACATCTCAGATAAACCCCCCCAAAACAGATACCGAGCTCAAGTAGGTACTCTATCGGGGTTGGTTCGTCATTCACTCTGAATATTGATAATGAATGAACGTCCTCCAATAAAGGAGGGGACGTCGACGCGACGACGGCTTTTTACCATCCATATTCTATAAACAATCAAGAGCGTCCTCATAGTGAGGGACGCAATATTTCTCTGTTCACTTATTCCTGGCCATTATATGCATGCATGCCTAGGTGCGACCAATAAAACTACCGCTCAACGAAGCTCTGGAATGGAATACGGTAGGTATCAGGTATTAGCTCCTAGTGGCCATGTTAGGGCTAAAATACAGTAGTCCGTATGCATTGTGTGACCTTGAGCGGTAATCCACTCCAGAATTCCACATAATTAACACCACCATCTTCCTTCCCACACTCTATTTCCTTCACAGACTCCCACCTTTCTTCCCTCTAACCATACTAAGGCTATCCTATCTTCCTCTATCTCATTCCACACCAAGTCCTGCTACATAAGGAGCCAACTTGATCTTTAAGGATGGATGCTGCTTCAAAAATAGACGTCCTCGTTGCTGCTGGGTTTATTCCTCCCGATAGCTCAGGCTCTGGTTCCTCTAAGGTATTTCTTAGCTCTAATCCCGGCATCCAGAACTTTCCCTGAAGAATTCACCCATTTCCATATCTTTTACTCCCAGATCTTTTACTAATATTCTCTCCTAACTTTCCTTCAGAGGCGGAACTTGACCGTACCTTCGCATGATCGAACTCACACATTGCCAACAGCTTCGGACCTTCCTCTAGGAGCACAGTCCCCTCTTCTAATCGAATTCTCTGATAGCGAGCTTTCTAAGTTTGCTTCCAAAATGTCACTTGCAGACGATATTTCTAGTCTTCCAGGTCCGCCCAGCAAAGGCGATGGTGTAAGTTTGGGCTATGCTGCCATAGCATACTTATCAGTCACTACTATTACCATGGCATTAAGCTAGTGCTAATTGTCGGTTTATAATAGGCCCTTCCTCCATTTTCCACTATCATTCCTCGTATCAACGAGGAGCTTCTTCGCCTTCAGAATGAAGTTCAACAGGCCTCCACTGCGCGAGACAAGAAAGCAATGGCTTCTCTCGCAGCCAAAGAAAAGGAAATCGCTGAACTTCGTACCAAAATTGATGCTCAAAAGTCCGTGCATATAGAAGAAGTTCAAGCTTTGAAAAAGGAAATCGAGATCCGGAAGCGGGAGCTTTCCAGCAAGACTAACATCAATGATACCAGCGATGCCAATAAAAAGATACTTCAGGAGACATTTGAGGCTTTCAAAAAGACTGATGAAGCTAGAGAACAATTTATCGATTATCTGAATGGGGAACTGCAAGAATACCGACGAGGACCACGACATCAGACCTATCAAACTGGACCTCATGGTGGCCCACGGGAGAACAAAATGGCCAAAGATATGAACGCTTTAGAGCAGCGACACAAAATCACACGAGATGCCTTCTTTGAACATATGACTAAAACAGTTATTTTCCAAAATTCAAAGGACGCTACCGTCCTGGATCTCGAACTAAAGCTCAGAACCTCCCAAAATCATATCGAGAATCTGAAACGACAATCTTCTCTCGCCCAGAAGTTGGGGGGTGAGATCGATTCCCTCAAGAAAACAAACGCCACCGTTGAGGGCAACCTTGACGATGCTATTGCTGTGAACTTACACCTAACCCATGAGCTCGAAACCTTTCAAGCGGAGAATGCCGACCTCAAGAGCAAGCTCGCTGTCTTCGAGACGGAGAATGCAAAGCTCAAAGACAAACTACAAGACAACACGGAAAAATTGCAAAGGAGCTTGGAAAAGATAATCAAGTTGGAGAAAGAGCGAAAAACTTCCAGTAATGTTCTTCACCGCCGTGGTTTACATGCAGAAGTCATGCAAAATACGATCGAGAATCTCGAAGCCGATAAGCACCGATTAGAGCGTGCTGCTGCTGCTCGCGCCAAGTTCGATAATCAGCAGAATACTAACGAAAATAATGCTCCTGGGCTCCGTCCTAGTGCCACGCCGCTCTCGCCTTCCAAAATTCAAAATACAGATCCTAGCGAAGGGAAGGACTGTGCAGTGAAAATTTGAAAGCAGTTGTTTTGTTTCGCTCAAGCGATTTGCTTTGCGGTAGTCGAGGGCCTTCTGACACGAACTTAGCGTCTTGGTTTCTTACATTTATCGCTGCTTATAATTATAATTATTCAAACACCGTTCCTTGACGCGTTGATGTATCTGTAAAATTTGATGCAACCCGCTATTCTCTCCTCTTCCTCAAGGAAGTTTATAAATAAAATACTACCCAGGTTACCATTATTGATCCTATAGACTGTATAGCTAAAGGGGGCAATCGATATAAGCTTAGGGCTAGAGCTTAATACAAGACTAGGCCAGAGCTATCCACTACTCCCACCTAATCTCCGAGAACTTAAAGCTCATCAGGTTCTGCGTGGTATTTTTTGACCTTTGGCTTCACATTTGGATCGCTATGTATATGATCTTATTATTAGTGGTTTCGCAAGACATAAAATGCGGGCTATCTTACCCGGCAAATGCTAGTTTCCCCACGAAAATACCATGGCGCTTAACTTTGACCTTAAGTTTGTGCTTTACAACTCCTAAATCCTCCTTTGTCCACAGGTCTGTCACTTGGTACCCCACCTTTCTTCTATCCCATTCATCCAGAAAGATATCTTCGAAATGAATGCTAAAATCGTCGTCTTTATCCCCGTTGTTTATGAGAGCAACGACAATATTCCCACTCTTGTCTTTTGAGTCCTGAAGCCACAGCTGTGAATGTTCCTTTTTGTAGGATCGATACGCCACGCCCCAGTTTCCTTGGCTTAGGTCAATGATATCTTTGTTCGTGAGGATCTCTAGTGTCTGCTTTGAAGTATGCATGATGTCATGCCCCATGATGAGAGGGCTTTTAACCATAGCCCAGATTGAGAAGTGCAACTTCTGTTCTTCGTAGTCTAGGTTATCGTTCCCGATTTCCAACATATCCAAATCATTCCATGCTCCAGTATGTGCTTTTTGGCCCAGTGGTGCTGCTTTATTGATGATGTTCATGATAGAGCAGTGATGGCCCGGTAGTCTGCAGATGTAGTCATCACAAGGGCAACGATCATCATATCTATCGAAGACATTGACAATATCTCCACTCATACGCCAGCTGTTCGCGATCGTGGGCGCCCAATCCCATGGCGAATCTTCACCCCAATTGCACATGCTGTATAATATCGGCCTTCCGGTTTTATTCAACGCCCTACTCATGACTTCATATCTGTTGTAGCTTATCAATGGTGTACCGCTTTGCCCCTCATTATGGCAATTATCATATTTCAGATAATCGACCTCCCATTCAGCGAACAAATCCGCGTCTTTCTCTTCGAAGTTAAGACTACCGGGGTATCGGCCGCAAGTGTATCTTCCAGCGGAAGAGTACATCCCGAATCCAAGTCCCAACGCGTGAATTTCGTCTGCCAAGTGTTTGATTCCTTTTGGAAACTTGACAGGGTCGTATTGGAGATATCCTGTAGCATTTCGCTGATGTAATGACCAACAATCATCCATTACAACATAATGATAACCGTATTCATCGAGTTTGAGTTTCTTGAGAGCCTTTGCGGCTCCGAGGATCGTGTCCTCGTTTATGTTGCAGGCGAAGGTGTTCCATGTGTTCCAGCCTAGAGATTAAAAAGGTTAAGTGTTGAGTACGTGTCATTTTAGAAACCAGCTTCTGTGCCGAATTGCAGGGATTCGACATACCCATTTGAGGCGTGAGAGCGAGGCCATTGTCTGATGCTAGTGCAGTCTCTAGTAGTGTCGCTAACGCGAGTATGAAGCTGGTAGTTTGGGGTATCGATATCATGTTGGACCGGTCGCGGGGTTGGAGTATAGCGCTTCTTTCTGCCTTCACAACTGGCACCACAGATGGCTTTTGAGTATTCTAAGAGGCATTGGGAGAGGAAGAATGGGCTTTGTGGGGTAGCTGGTAGCTTAAGCTTCATGCCTCCTGGCCAAGTCACAGGGGGCTTCTGGCCGCTGCCGGGGCCTTTGTCTCCGCGAATAGATCTTGAGGACACCCGAGATATAGTCTGGGCATGGTTCTTCAAAACTCATAGGATTGGTAAGTATGCAAATCTGAGAATCAAAATCTCGGATACTTGTTCTCAAGGCCATTTTGATTTTAATCTGGCGGTTCGAAAAGGGCATACCACCGATTAATAGCATTTGTTTAGCATTATAGAGATGACCAGCTCTCTTACTTAGTTTCGGTGGTCGGTGGCCCCCGAATTCGTAGGCATCACATCACCTAACTATAACTAGGCTCAACGCAGAAAATACCACAACCTTCAGAAGTTCAATCCCGTGAAGCAGGGGTCAAGCTTGTGCGTGAACTTGTTGACGTTCGATAGTATGTACGAATCAGCCCGTCTGGATAAAATAGCACCACCGCCTAGCGGGATCCTACAGATGGGAGATATAAAGAATATGCATTTGCCACACCAGTTTTTTTTGACATGGAATGGAAAACACAACTGAGTATGGTGAAGCAACTCCTGGCCTCTCTGCCAACATACACAACGCTGATCGGATTATTACCTGTTTCGGTAAAGTTTTCCCTCAACAAGGCGCATTGTAGACGCATGATTCGTCGGCTTGGTGCAAGGATGTGAAGCTTAAATCTCAGCCTCTTCTGGCACAGATACTACGTATATCACGACGGTGTTAATTGCTTTGTCATCTTCAAAATCTGTGAAAACTAATTAATATATATATGATTTCTTGTGTTCTATATGCTTCAAAATTGGTCTTTCAAGTTATTAAATTTTGAATCTAACAGCATAGTTGTTACTTCCCCATCAGCTTCTAGGGTAATAAGAATACACACGGGTATAAACCTAACAAATCTGTACTCTCTATCACGTCAGAAATTTCGAAAGCCTAGGCGCCTAGGGACAAAATGGATCGCAAATCAAGCTTTCATTCAATGAAAGGCCACAACCCAACCGACATCCTAGCAATGCAAACTCTTGAAAATAAAGCACGAACGCAGACTATGAAATCAATACCTCGACCGCCTACACTTACAAATATTCAAACCGGTTTATCCTTTAGCACAATACCAAATATACTTGGCCAGAAAGGATCACCGATAACCCAGTCCCCAGTTGGCATGCAGAACCTAAGGATGAACTTTGTGGCACCGGAGACACAACCAGCTCCTGAAAATGCTAATCGCGAGGGTCCTTGGAATGCATTGAGTGATGTGAAAATACTCGACTTGAGCGACATGAGTTATACGGAGCATACAGAGGCAACTTATATAGAGATATATCACTATCCAGTAAGACAAGATTTCGCTTTTTTCGATCACATTACAGGCGTGCCTTACTAATGATACGTTTACGGCAGACTGCAGAGAGTCGAGTTTTTCAAGGATCTTTAGACGATTCTAATTACGAAGACTGGCTGGAACAGGGTCCACATGTAAACAAAGGAGAACAACCAACATCTGGTTGTCGCTTGATGTGAGTATAACCTTTTCAAATTCTGACTTCAAATAATGTAATATCTATTGAATTCAAGTCTCGGGGCTAACGAGATGGCGCGTCCCGACAGTCTGACCCGGCGCCCACAGTTCGGGCTCGCTGCTTTGGTACCCATGTTAATACGTAAAGATCATGTTGCTAAAACAGCGGATAAATGGGGTTTTGACGACGATTTCCTTGAACAGATGATTTTATGGTCATCTCTAACTAAAAGAAAAAATATACCAAAAAAGCAGTTTCGTAAGTGGTGAAAGCCGTGTTGCATCGAAATGAAATCTATAAATCCTCTACCTGGCTTCGAGCCTAATCCTCTACTAACATCTGAAAATTTGAATAGAATTCATATCTCGACTGGTTAATGGTACAGACCAGGGCTCCTCCTGCAGCATCATATCCTTCAACCCAGACATCAATATCACACACGGAATAGTTATGGGACTATATTCAGATGAACAAATCCAAACTCACGGTACAAACCTCGTCATGTGGGAAAACCATATGTTTCACGAACGAACACTACATTCCATAAATTGGACATGGCATCCGGTCGCCCACGCTATTATCCAAATCGATGAAACCCTTCGATTCTTCCAAATCATTGCTCGACTTGCGTCAATTCGTGTTGTCGAGATGAGCCATTCCGCTGGTATCATGCAGATGACAACATCGGGTGAGATGGTTCCGTTGGCCGAAGCTTTGGCAAGAGATTATACCACGGATACGGCGTCTTTGGCAATGCAGTCGGCGCAAATGGCGATGTGTCAGACAGCTTTGGAGTCCAATATGGCTATATTGGAAGATTTAATAGAGACGATCGCCGAAATCGAATCGATAGCGCCTTCTACGAAAGAGATTCGACCATATCTTATGGCGGAGATCAATAATTTAAAGAGTAGGTGTAACAGTAGCACTTTGTATGCACAAGGCATTCAGAGAAATATTTCATTTACTCAAACGGCGGTAAGTTTCAACCCTATCAAGCTTTTCTGTATATCATCACCACCTTACGTCCAGAACGACGGCCTAATATTCTAACCTAAAATGTTATCAGATCTACAATTTAATTGCCCAGCGGGATTCGAAGGTTAACATAGAACTCGCCAAAGACTCTCGTATGCTAGCAATTGCAAGTAAACGAGACAGTTCTTCTATGAAAACTATAGCCGTCTTAACAATTGTATTTCTGCCAGGAACATTTGTATCGGTACGGCATTTGAAACATTCCAACAACGCGTAAATTGGTCTAACATTCCATACAACTAGGCACTTTTTGCAATGCCTGTATTGAACTGGGAAGCCAAGTCATACTCAGAAGTCACGACGGACAAATTTTGGGTGTACTGGGCAGTTACGCTGCCCATGACACTCCTCGTGATTCTGACTTGGGTTGTATGGACAAAGAGGCAGTCTTGGCTCAACAGGAAGGATCATGAGGAGGGTATGAAAACATACGATGAAGTGGATGTAGAGAAAGCAATGATGGAATCGAAGGATCCGGAGAAAATTCCTTTGAAAGTAGATTTTGAAGGAGGGAATACGGCTGGTGGCGTGGATTCGCGTAGGCACAGGTGGTTCCCAACGAGGTCGAAAAGAGAAGGAAGGAAGCGCCATCATGGGGACTAGGAGAATAATCAGACCTATATATATGGAAAGATCCCTCGGGCCTAGCATAGGGTCTCATTCAGTATCAATAGATACCTAGGTATATAATTATGTACATACAATTGTAAATATCCTCCTATATTAACCTTTATAAAATGTAAATACAGTCATCATAGTTTCGCTGGGGCCTCGAAAGCCAAGATATTGCGGTCGACACTCTTTATATCTTTGATACCAGCAAGGGCCATGTTGATCTCTAAATCGGCCCGCAAACACTTAAAAATGTGCTCGACTCCAAGCTCGCCTCCCATTGCAAGGCCCCACATCATTGGCCTAAAGTCGAATTGTATTAGTTAGATGGTATAGAATTACAGGATGCTAGGTTTTTGCTTACCGTCCGATTAAGACACCCTGAGCCCCAAGGGCCATTGCTTTTAGTACGTCGCTGCCAGTCCTTATTCCACTATCGAAAAGAATAGTTAAGTGACTATTCTTAACTGTTTCGTCGGATGCAATCCTCTCTAAAGCGTCGAGACTCGCTATAGCGCCGTCCACCTGCCGCCCACCATGGTTGCTAACAATGATACCATCGATGGTACCCCTCATGCCAGCAGCGATCTTTGCATCGTCGACACTTTGGATACCCTTTAACAGTATTTTCCCTGGCCAGTGTTCTTTCAAAAATGCAAGATCTTTCCAGGTTTTATAATTGGCGCCTGATATTTCCGATATCCAGGCTAGAGATTTTTTGATGGTAAGAGCATTGTAAAGAAGTTTGCAGGCCTGGAAAGGATTTGCTGCCCTTCCGAGCAGATCAAAAACGGAACTTGGTTTGTTTGGGTCATTGTACTTTCCAGCGTCATAAAGTCGTTGAAATACTGGGTCGGAGAACCCGATTTGGCACCCTTCTCCCCAGATAAAAGGCAGATAGCCTATGGGCAAACATTCGGGTTAATACTAAATTTACGCTATTTGATAGTACGGTCCAAACTGGGCAATGCTTACAATTATCTAAATCTCCTGGCCTATATCCAAGTTGAAATGTGTCCAGTGTCACAACCAGAACATTATACCCACTATTCCAAGCCCTATCCAATAAACTTATTGTGATTTCGTCTGTTTTTGGCCAATACAATTGATACCATCTATCACCGTCACCCGACGCCTCCGCTGCTTGTTCAATAGATCTTGTGGACGCAGTGCTTAGAATATACGGAATTCCCAGATTTGCACAAGCCTTGGCAGTCGCTTCTTCCCCTTCCGGGTTCATAATATTCTGTACACCAACAGGTGCACAAATTAATGGCGACGAATATTCTTTCCCCAGGATTTCGACCCTAGTCGATTTTTCCTTTGCATCTACAAGCATCCGGGGTACAATCTTGCGCGACTCGAAGGCTTGGAGATTTGCGCGACACGTCTGCCCGGTTGTCGCAGAACCGTAGACATACATAAAATTTGGGGACGGTACAGAGCGCCTTGCTAGGGGTTCCCATTGTGTAGGATCGGTTGGGAATCGAGGTGGGTTGAATTGCCCATAGATATCGATTTGAAAGGCGCCATGTTCTGTTGTTTTGGAAGTATCCGAAGCCATGACAGGTATTGATAACAAGATAAGCTTACAATTAAGGGATGAGGCGTCGCTCTCAACACTCAAGCATTTAAACTCGAGCGGGGTTAAGGATAAAAAAACTAAGTTCAGATACCATTAACCGGTATCGCGATGGAGGGGAGAATGGGCAGGGCGGCGATGCATTCTATTCTCCAGATCAGATTCCAAGTTCTATTAAATGCCATTCGTGCTTTCGGCTAGCCCGCGATATTCTGGTTCTTAATTCGTGATACCTCGGCTGAAAGCGTGGTGAAAAAATACCACATCCAACACATTATGGGTCTGGGCACTGACATGTCAAGTCGAGATATATATGGAAAAGATTCGAAGACATCAATGTTTCAATCTTCTCTTTAGGCACTGTCGTATGGTAATACAATAACTTAAATTAGACTTCTAGCATCTAATACGCTTTTGATCCACAGAGCGTACACTTGGGATTTAAAACGCGGCTGAATTCTGGACAGTGCTTCTAGATACACAAACTAGACTAGTATTAGTCAACATCGATTGATAAGTACCTAGCCGAACACTACTATAATAGGGAAGCCTAAGTTAGGATGATCGAAGGAGAATAATTAATTTATATACTGAGGATGGCATATACTATTACTTGGGGTAAAATAGTGCAGGAGAAAGAGGGGTATATCTACCAGCACTCCTGAGTTTTATTCATTTATTCATGTACTCATAAACACTCCTCTATGTCAACCCCTAGTGGGCTAGAAAAGCCATTTAAAATTATTTAGCTGATGTCTAGACTAGAAAGCACGTTCCCGGGATCCTACTGCATTAATATTAATGAGTCCTCGATACGATCTCGAAGTTGGATGAGTTGATATGTCTAAGTCATCTGGATTCCACACAAACCATGCATAGTCACCATGGTACCACCAGAATAAAAGCTGAGTATGGCACAACTGTAATCATAAATTAGTGCTAGAAAATTTTATAATGCAGTGGATTTTAAGTGATACCGAGTATTATAGTTGAAGTTTCGATTCGCCTCACAATTGAAATTGAGGTTCCTTTGATACTACGACCCAAGTTGGCATCTCATATCATATATAGGGTCGGTATGATATATACGTGAAATTCTAAAGAAAGAAAGTTCTCTAGCGTACTAATATAGTATAGAGCGTTAAATAACGGTGCCTCTATTATTTAACATTATTTTAACTCTGACGATGCTCTGTATGAATATCAAATCCCATGGGCCCCACATAGGGCTGATGTGGCATGCTGCACCTGGCCTGAAGAGCTTGGGCCATGTCACTTTGTAGCATCCAACAACACGGCATCTCGAGCCAACCACCGCACCGCCAACACGCGTCCCGTACATAGATTCTGAGCAATTAAACCTGACACGCGATTTCCTCTCTCAATTTGACAATTCTCGTCGACCCACCTCAAATCCCGCGGTCGACCGGCTAAAGAACTCTGTAGGACTCAAAGTCGTTAAAACGGCTTGATATACCTGCAGTTTCCAGATTACTCACCCAGCCGGCGCTTGCAATGAGTACCAAATATCACGCCAGCGAGATGAATTGTCAAGCGGGAAGCAACATTGGCGAGAATCGAAGCAGTCGAGATGTTGTCTTGATTGATGGATAGCTTCTTGGTAACACCAAATGCAAGGACCACCTAGCTTTGGGCCTGGATCAGTAATCATCAAATTTGCGGGCTCCCTCGTCATCCCGAACCCCGGCCCGGTTAAAGCTCCAAGCCACTTGTTTCTGAGAACAATGCAGCTCCGAGCTCTGAGAGCTCATAACAATTCAAACTCCAACACCTTGATTGTTGCGTCTTGGTGCAGGACCGGGAAGATCTAAGGTTTTATTCAGTTTTCAATATAAGCAGGAAAGCGATAAAGTCCAGCAGCTTTGATTTTTGATTCACCTTAGATTTCAGCTTCCTACGAGGCGCTCGAGGCGCTCGAGGCGAGAGACATGCTGGAAACCAATTCATTCCAAGAGTTCTGTTCCTGGCCAAAAATCCATTCCATCCTCATTCCAGTTACCGGACCCACAATATCTGCAATCTGCAACATGCAACATGTAACACCCTTGGTTGACGAGCCATTCAAATCGGCAAATCGATCGAGTTCCACCAACACTTTGGCTCCACTTCGCAAAGAATATCATAGGTTTTTGTGCATGGACCTATCCAATTGCGATTTGAATACACGTCCGCATATGTGGATACTGATTAATTCTGACATGGGTTACACATATAAGAATACACCTTGCGAGCACGAGCTCGAGGATTGGCGTGGTTCTGCGGGTATTTAAACAACGATAAAACCCGGATCAAATTTTCTCCATTCCTGTCAAGAAGCCTTTGTTTTCATAAGTTTAGAGGATAGAGCTCAATTCCTAAGATAAGCTTGTCCAAAATGCATGTCTCAAGTCTTTTGACCACCTCGTGGGTAGCATTCGCTGTCTGCGTTGCCTCACAGGCGACATCCTTCGATTATATGTAAGGATCCGATCATTCTTCAATTTTATTAATTATATTCATTAACGATTTCATAGTATTGCTGGAGGTGGTACCGCTGGTTTGGTCCTCGCCGCGCGGTTAACCGAAAATCCGGATATCACTGTGGCAGTCATCGAAGCCGGTGAAAACAGACTTGGTGACCTCACCATTCTCGCACCGGGTCTTCTGACTGCCTTGTACACTGACCCGAATTACGACTGGGACTTCCACACTGTTCCACAGACCAACGTTAACAATAAAGTATATGCTCAACCTCGAGGCAAGGTCCTTGGTGGTTCCAGTGCTATCAACTTCCTCTTTTGGACACATCCGTCTCAGAAAGATATCAACAACTGGGGGACACTGGGGAACGCAAATTGGACATGGAATGCACTAAAACCATATTTCAAAAAATCGGAACAATATGTGGCACCATCTCCACAGGTGGAGTCTGACCTCCAGACTCAATATATCGTCCCAGGCTCCCATGGAAATTCTGGACCAGTAAAGACTGGGTTCCCGGACTGGTATAGTGAGCTCACGGAGGCGTGGCCTCGAACATTTGCCAACCGTGGCCTAGCAGTTAATGGAGACCCCAAGGATGGACTAGCCCTTGGAGGTTATACCAATCTTTTGAACCTAGATCTTTCGTCCCACACGAGAAGCTATGCTGCCACAGCCTACTATGCTCCAAATGCCGCTAGGCCAAACCTTAGCCTTTTCACGGGGTCATTAGTAAAGAAGGTGGTAACCACAAGTGTTGGCAGTCAAATCATTGCTACTGGTATCCAATTTATCAAGGATGGAACTACAACTACCCTCACTGCTACCAAAGAAGTTATTGTATCAGCAGGCGCATATGGATCACCTCAAATCCTTGAACTATCTGGCATCGGAAAGCCCAGCCTTCTTAACCAACATGGAATTCCCGTTGTCGTAAACAATCCGAATGTTGGCGAGAACTTGCAAGATCACGTTTACGTTCCTCTTGGGTTTGAGGTGAATCCAGGAATCTTTACCCTCGATAGCTTTAGGGATCAGCCTGTTTTCGACGCTGCTTTCCAAGAATACCTAGTCAATCAAACCGGTCCTATTTCTGTCAGTGGGGCAAGTTCGGCATTGTTGTCTCTTCGTCAAATTGCAGGAAATAACTATAACCCCTCCACATCTACAGCTGCAAGCACTGCATCCTCTCTCATTGGTCTGGGGTTACAGCATGCTCTCCAATACCAGGACCTGTCCACAGAAGCCGTAGCACAAGAGCTTACACTTGGGGCTGGTATCACACCGATTTGGCAAAACAATACTAAGAAATTATTCGGGAATGAACTTGAAGGAAACTATTTATCTCTCCTCGGTGTCCTCGAGCATCCCTTCTCTCGGGGCTCCAGCCACATCAAATCTTCAGACCCAGCAGTCTATCCAGCTATCAATCCCAATTACCTTTCCCACCCCCTCGACATTGAAATCCTCTCAAAAATTGTACTCCATCTCCAAACAATTGCTACAACCGCCCCGCTCAGCGACCTGCTGAAGGGGAACGGAACAGTTTATCAAGAGGGGTACCATAAGATCACACCAGCTAATGTAAAGGCGTGGGTCAAAACCGCGCTCCAGAGCGAATTTCATCCTTCGGGAACTTGTTCGATGTTGCCAAAGGCTCTCGGGGGAGTTGTAGACGAGAGATTTAAGGTTCACGGAGTTAAGAAGTTGAGAGTTGTGGATGCTAGCGTCTTCCCATTGCTTGTGAGGGCAAATATTCAGAGTTTGGTGTATGCTGTCGCTGAGAGGGCAGCGGATTTTATCAAGGAGGATCAGTAAAGCAAGGCCGCAGTTATTTAAGTCTTTTCACCAGAGCGCTTAGATGGAAATATCTGGATTTAGACTATCTGACAGTTATGTTACCTAATAATTTATATATATATACGTATACTTGGTCTAATGAAGGACCATATCAATGAAACTAAAAGCTCAACACCAAAGTCGTTGTTGCATTTTTCTTCTGCATGGCAAGCCAGACTGTCTATTGTGTTAGCATGTTATATGAGGGTTGCATGGTGCGTGGAAATGCGAGTATTTGGCGACATGCTTTCGACAAGGTAGAGCCTTTCAAGGATATCCGGTGCGAGTCCATTCAGGCTTATAAAATGCTTCAAATCTCTCATCTTACAAAGTATCGTTTACGATGTTTACCCTTTTCGGCGCGAATTTCGTGAGGCAACCACATATGCACATACGGAAATACCGGGTCGTCGCATGTCAACCCATGCCAAACTAGAGACTCTATCATGTCAAGCAACATCGAGTAAAACATTAAAACTATACGGAATAGATTCGGTAGTCATGGTGTTCTTTATCTAAAAATGTCGGATCAAAGATATATCGTAAGTATTTCTAAAACATAGGCGGTGAGCTTGTTTGGGTCTCTCTAACTTCGTTAATCGATCACACACATCTTAGATTGCCTCACTTCAAGCTTGTATAATCCTATCTTTTATCGTCACGGCGGCCCTAGCTCAAGCTCCCACCGAGTTCACGTCGAATTATGCCCCTCCCGAGCAAGTTACCCTCAAAAAACGGGACTGTCAAAGTCTTCTCCAACACAACAGAACACTTTATCACGAAATCGCATACAAGGGTCATATAACAAACTACTACGGCAGCCCCGAGGCCGATGCTGAACTTGTAGCCATAACTTACAAAGGTTGTGTAAAAGTCTGTGGAAGCTTTTGGAAGAATGATACACAGACTACACTGGACCTTTTACTAGACTGGATCTTACCTGCCTTAGGTTTGGTTACGCAGATGCCATGGGAATCGAATCGTAATTCGGTAACAGTTATTTGGCTGGCTAGGTGGATTGGGTCTCCAATTGCTGCGCTAACCTACTGTCTCTGGGACGTAAAGATTGCGGCGAGGTGTGCCAAGCTAATTAACTTAACAGTAAAGTACCGTTACAAGAGATACCATTCAGATGTTCTTCGGGTGGAATCCGATGCAGAGGACGAACTTGAGACATTTTCACATGCTCGGGATCAATTCTATATTCTTCTTGTCATGAATCAGTTTCAACTCAAGAAGTCAGCTGAACGACACTTATCACCCGAAGAACTAGTCACTGCAGTTGAAAGAGCGATATTCAGTAGGGATGTTGTGGATGGCCTCGATTTAGTGAAGGAGAGAACGAGGCTCGCAAGAGCCTTGAGGGATGCTAGAAAGAGAGGGATCGTTCCGATACTACTCGGGTTAGGTGGCTTCTTCTTCGCCATGTCTGTGGCCATTCGCAAGGCGTTCAGTGGAGGGGAAGGTGGAGGAGCTACGGCCTTCAATGTAGGATTAGGGCTGCTGGTTGGCTGGTTACCGGTTCTATATCTTGCCGCCGTAGTGGACAATGATCATGATAATAAACCTGAATTTGCGAGGGACTTCAATGCTATGGTCTCTGCGTGTCATGAGGGCGGGGAGGTTATTGATATTTTCGGTGAAGGCAGAGGCCAGGGTCGAGGAAGATGGCATTTTGGTATCGGGCAAACTATCATGACTCGAATCGAAGAGCGATTTCTTGCTAAGTGGACAAAAGGTACCATTGTTGATTGGGTTCAGCTGAGTGAGGCTTCTCCAGAAACTGAACGCAAGATCGAACTTGGGCATTGGAGAATTATCGAACCTATGATTACTGCGTTCGTAATCGTCGGAGGTACCAGTTCTGGATCGTTCCTTCTCGCCTACTTTACACCCCCTGTTGGGTTCGCCTGGAGATCTGCATCATATTTGACCTGTCTCTGTCTTTCCGTTCTGATCTTCTTCATCGATATCATCCTTTTTGGGATCGTACGCCATTCTTTTATGACACCTTCAAAAAGCTTGAAACATGGTCGGATGTACTACTTCTTCAAGAGCATTAAGTTTCGACGAACGGCGCATTACGTGCTCATTTTCTTGGAGATGCTTAATACCTTAACACTTTGCCTGCTCGTTATAGCCATGTCAGTAGGGCTGTTTAACTTTTGTGCGGGCTCGGCTGTCGACAGAGATGGACCGGGTGGCGGACTTATAATTTTGAATAGCGCCGAGTTTTTCACCAAGTATTTTGATGTTCAAGGTTACTATATGATCGGGATTATGCCTGCTATGATTTTGATGGGTGGTGGTACACTTTATTTGATAGAGCAGTGGTTTACACAAAGCTTTTTGTGGGCTAAGAGTGATGTCAGTGGTTTGATCGGGTTTAAGAGAACGAGGAGGTGGAAATGGTTCTACAGCCTGGGCGGGATTCTGGAAACTGGCGAAACTCTCCGGTGGACTATGTAGGTTAATGAGAGATCAATATGGGTGGGTTAATTATATTGGTTCGAATATTTTTTAAGGTAATGGTTCGACTGAATTAGATAAGTACATTAATAGAATAGTTAATGATAAGTCATTCATTCGTGAGAATAAAACCCATGAAATCTATAAGATATAAAAGAAAAGAAACTCCTTCCCGGGTATCATGCCATTTTAAGAAAAAGAAAAACGATAATCCGCATGCTAATGGAACTTCCGATCCGTCGTCCGTGCAATTTTCTCATGCATGACGATTACAAGCAAAAAAAAAAGAGGAGGGGTTAAGAGAAGAAATGAAAGAAAAAGAGAAGGAAGAAGAGAAGGGCGGAAGGATGGAAGGATGAAAGGAAAAAGGTGATCACGGCCGATTAAGACAAGCTCTTCCAATATCCCAACTAAATAAGATCGTAGAACCCAAGGCCATTTGTGTCGACGACTCTTGTCTGTCTTTGGAATTGAGAGGGTTGAACGGATTGACGACTTCGTTGACGATTGGTAAAAGATGTATGGCCTCTTAGTTTTGTCCAAACTCTTGATCTAAATCCTCGATAGCTCTCTGTAAGAGTACCTGAGAGCCGATTACTTGACTGGGTAGACTCAGGATCTCTGTATTTTCGGCTTTTGAATTTCGAAATGTCGACTCGGTGCATACTTGGAACAGCTGACATTCTTGCGATTCTGGCATGGCAATCCGAGCACATGCTGAAAAGGGTTGCAACTTCTATTGTAGGCCGTTTACATGGCGGATTTTTCTGGCAGAATACTGTGGCTCCTTGGTTTGGAGATGTCGGTTCAAGGAGAGATAGGTGGCCGCACGAAGCTCGGTACATGTGAACTTGACACATTTTTGCTCCTGAATATATTGTAGAAACGAACCATGGGCAATATATAATCTTTAGTCGATAGCGAACAGCTCTGGTCCAACCAACGAATAGACGGTCGGAAGCACAGAATAATATATGATATGAAGCCTTTGGGGGAATGTGAAAAGATTTGGGAGTCAAAATAAAGGTCCAGGATTGTTTTTCTGGAGACACCCGCCCCGCTATATACCGAGGCGAGTCTACTGACCTTGAGTCAGATCCTCGAGCTCAGCAAGCTTGTACAGAAAATATGGGCAGTGACGTTGGTGCAGTGCTAGCCAAAGCTGCACCATCGCTTGCAAGGATCAGGGACCCGCAAACCCAAGTAGTCCGAAATTCGCGCTACTTGCAGAATGTACATTGCAGACAGCCTCGTCGAAGTATCTTGCGCCATCTGATACCTTTCCGTTGGCTCGTTTGCTGGCAAACGGTGCATACCGTTACCACCCATGCACATCACCTGGCTCCACCAACCAAGCCTGGTCCCAGTGCTCTGGATTTGATGGAATGCTAAAAATACCAAGCTTATCAGCCTCCTAGGGAATCGTTCTTGCAAATCTCTGTGTCGAGGGAGCAGTTCCGATCCACGGCTTCAGCCTCTTTGGCCGGGCATTGTTTATAATTCTTATCGAGCCTGAGAGGCTGAGGCGATATCGATAAATACTTGCGAGCAGGTATGTCAGATCAAGGGTTAGTTATGTCAGCCATCGAGCAGAATATTTTGCAGTCCGCGAAAGATATCCCGAATGGGAACTCACGAGTTCCTCAAAGCTGGGATCATCAAGACTAGGAAGGTCGCCCAGACCGGCTTGTCATCTTTTAGGCGATGGGTATCCGGTTAGTTTATGTGGTCCCCAGAATATTAGCTTCGTTCGCAATACGGAATACAACTTTATTCACCTTTGTGGGCAATTCTGGGTTAGCGTTCGTTGTTCGTTGGGATGAGTTTAGCGGGGCTGGTGACTGGCCGCCGTTGTGGTTGGCGAACCGTCTGTGGGGAGAATTGCGTGTTGTTTTGGTGACTTAGTTTGCCTGACTGAGAGTCAACACCACGAACAAATGCAACTACGATTCTTGTCAGAGCCCATCAGCCAGCCACCTCACATCGGTTCATCGACCATACCGTTACCTCTGCTAGATGACTCGATAACGAGAATGACAAAACAGAAAGATCCCTCGCCATGTTGATTTCCAGCTTTCACCATCCTCAGGAGCCTCATAGGCAGGTCAAGAAGCGTCGTATCTTCCATGGCATATTTCCACCAGCCGCCTCTGCCTCGCTACCCACCCCAATAGCGACCCCAGCGGGATCCTTCAATGAGAATACTCCCATAGCGCCGGCTGTTCAAGCCTCGCCGTTCGCCCAGGGCCCGGCCTTCTCGAGTCCAGGGGGTGAAGCATTCGTTACTCACAGTCGTGCATGGCATCTCGCAACGACTTTCCTATCGTTTCCAGATTCGCCATTTGACGTGTCTGAGGAAGAGGGTACTGCTCTGGGAGTCCAGAAGGATGGTGTTTATTTGCGAAGGAAAGCAGACTTATTCGGACAAGATACACGGGAGGCAATTACATATCTTATGACATCCGGGGTCACCGCTGAACCTGGTGAGAACCTGGTCGAGTGGTATACTTGCGAAGTGCGACGGCATTTTCTCGAACATGTCAGACCTATCTTAGAGGAAGTTGAGGTGTGCCGTTCCTCCTGCTCATTAAGGTAGCCGTTACACTTTGAATCTTAATTCACTAACCCGGTAGTTCGCCAGAGAGAACCAGTAACCAAAACGCGGCCGGAATATCAACTCAATGACATTATTTCGCAGCTTCGAGTCACTTGCAGAATCTACTATTCAGTTTATTCTGCCTACATATTACCCTACCTTGCGAAAATAGACCCGATTGCTTCTGTTGAGCCCTTCCACCGATCTCTTGCCTCGATTATAGCTTACTCCCTCCCGTCAAAATTCCCATCTCTCCTACGAAAGACATTTTATGCTTATTTTACCGTCATACTGTCCCTTCCGAGTTCTGGAACGGCTGTAACGGATGTTGGTCTCTTTACGTCACCGCACATTCCTGGAGCCGACGAAACAGTCCATAGCACTGATGTAGATCTTGAGCTAGAAGAAGATGAGAAAGCGGCTGTTAATCAAGAAGAGGCTAACAGACGGTGCGAAGAGGCTAGGCATGCTGTTTTCAAGCTTGTTGAAAGTTTGAACGCTATTGGGCTAATGGCAAATGGTGTTGGCGAACGTGAATTTGCTTTGGTTATCGACCGGGTTGCAGGAGAATGGGTTACGTATAGGTTTAGTGGGAGATACACAGATTCCGACCTTGAAACCGAAGACGCAGAGGGCGATACAAGCATGGCGAAGCTTCCCACTTCGGTTGCTTCCGCGGAAATTATGAGAGAGTGGCTGTTTGATTCACTGATGCCATTGGTCGTTCCGATTATGAAAATCATACGGCCGGGAGATGTAGACGAGGAGTTGCCCCCTGTTTTAAATCGTCTCGCACAAAGGCTATCTAGGGTTCGAATGAAGGAGATGTTCGATATAATTGTTGACTTCCCCCAATCCATGCCTGGTATCATGGATTTGATACCGACACTCAACACCCCGATTGCTCGTTTGGTTCTCACGAGTACATTTGCGTACACACTTAATCGGCGGCTGCTGCATCAGGGTGCTAGTACCGTTGATGTCCTTCGTGCTTACATCAACATGATAAAGTGTTTCCAAATCATTGATGCGAAGGGCGTTTTACTCGATAAAGTTGGTGCGAGAGTTCGTCGATATCTAAGCACACGTGAAGATACGGTTGTGGAGATTGTCAAGGGAATACTATGCTATGAGTATGACGAAGAAGATGAGAACAGCGACTCTATGATAAAATCGGCGGACCAATCCATATCGATTGAGGGTGCTGAAGCCTTCAAGGAGAGCTTGAGACGCCGGAAAGCTATCCCAGGCGATGCAGAGGATCTCGACGACGAGGATGTCCTTCAGGAAATCAGCACTGAATTGCAAGCTTGTGCACAAATGGGAGCAGACAAGAAAAATGAGGTTCTCGGAGCTGCTGCCGCCGCGAGTTTGGAGGATCTAGATTATGATGATATGGATTGGCAGCCCGATCCAGCAGATGCGGGGCCGGAATTCAGGAGGGACAAGGGGACTGATATTATCTCCCACCTTTTCACCATGCTGGAAAGCACAAAATTCATTAACGAGTTTCAGAATCAACTCGGGAAGAGGCTACTTCTTCAGCCTACATCGGAGTTTCTGAGAGAAAAGGCCACAATTGAACTTCTAAAAGTCAGGTTCGGCGAGAACGAGATGCAAAACGCAGCTATAATGCTAAAGGACCTTAGCGAGTCCCGGAAAATTGATACACACTTGCGAGACACGATCCTCACTAAGCACCTTTCTCGGAATACTGCCATGGCTGGAGGGCCCCAGAGAATGGAAACAGAGGTACACGTGAAAGTCATAAGTCGCTTGTTCTGGCCGCAACATATGATATCTGAAGGAGATTTCAATCCGCCGAACAGAATAGCAAACACGCTCGATCTTTTCAATCACGAATTTGAACTTTTGAAGAAGTCTCGGAAGCTGAACTGGTTGAAGGAAGAAGGCTTTGCCGTGATTGAACTCGAGCTAAATGACAGAACACTCGGTTTCAAACAAGTTCCAACATACGCTGCAACTGTCATCGACACGTTTGCCAAAGGGCCATCCCCTCCGAACCCTGATATTCCGCGAGAGCTTAATGGTGGAGAGGTTGGGAATGCCTGGTCGATAGATCAACTGAAAGAGAAACTTTCTATGGAAATTGAACTCCTGCAAAAGTCCCTAGAGTATTGGGTAGACCGTACCGTTCTTGCAGAATACCCTCTAAACAGGAAAATATACTATGTGATGGAAACATTGCCTCGCAGCGATATTCCTGCTTCGAGACGAACCACACCTCACACATCGCCACAGAAGAGGGATGATTCGCACATAACACCGCGTAGACGGCGGGCACTAAGCTTTATTTCCGAAGACTCAAATGACTCTGGGAACGAAGAAGGAGGCACAAGGAAGGAAGAACCTACACCAGCTAAAGCAGATGCAGAAGACGACGACCCTCTCAAGAATCCTCGTTTCACCATGGCTTGGAACTACATCGCTGGCATGTTAACAAATCAAGGCCCACTGACAACCGACAGGGTATTTGCGACACTTAGTTTGTTCCTAATCCCCATGGGCGGGCTTAAGTTTGATGCCGCAGAGCTGGATCATTTCATGATGAAAATGGAAGAGAACGGCAGGGTTGATAAAACTCCCAGTGGTTGGAAGATGCGCAAATGAGGTTGCAAAGCAGCTTTTGGCTCTATGGTATCAGTCGCTCCAAGACTCTTTATGCCAAAGGTTTGAGGGCTGTAGTACGCTCTTTTTCATGGCGTGTTTATATTGCTTGTTAGTCAGCACTAGCATTCATAGATCTGTGGGGCTCGATATAGAGTTTCTTGAAATAACCGGCCGAGTAGAACCGGATTCAAGGGTTGCAAATGATAACATTATAATCATCAAGTCCTAGGCATGGAACTAGACTATAGACTAGAACTATGGGCTGCATTGCTAACCAACTAGTTTGATATGGGAAGTTAAGTATGCGTATACAAACGTTTTAGGATAATCTATTTAACCCATACATGAGTGTGCGAGGATGTAAAATCATCAGAAGGCAAAGTTAACTCCACATGCAAAAACTTTCTTTCTTTCAAATAAAATATCTGCAAATGAATATCAATTCTAGCTTGACAAATGAAGCCTCGGGTGCCGTTTTAGATATTATGCAGCGACTTCTGGCACCGGTGCAACATTGGCAGTCTCGAGCTGGATACTCGCCCCTTCACCGATCTTGCTCAAGATATCACCTGGGGTTTTGGCATCCAAAATATCCGCAGTGGCGAATCCTTGGGGCTGGCTAATCTGAAATTTCGTTCCCCCCTTTTCCAATATCACAGTATCGAGCCCATTTTGTTTGTCAGTATCTTGAGCCTGTACACCCCATCCGTTCTGCATTTTCAAGAATACCTTCTCTGCGTCATCGCCCCCCTCAGTATTCACAAGAACGGTGGTATCATCGATCTGCGATGCGGAAAGAATGTCCGGGTTTTCAGCAACCACTTCACTTAAGAAGGGTGTTAAAGGGGTGTTAGGATCCGTGGTTTGGTCCATGAAGGACGATTGAGTCGTAATAGGCATTTGCATACCACCGACATTAAATGCACTTAGGATCTGGGGTGGGATATCTGAAGCGGCATGTCGTTCTCCATTTGCGTCAATGTATATTGGGACACAATTGAAGCTGATCGTTCCACCATTGGGAAGGAATACATTGGTGGGTATTGCTCCAAACGTGCCATGGAATATATCTGAAACTGGCCCCGGAGGTTGGTTTATCGTCCCGTCGAAACCTTGCTGAGGAAGGGGAACTGGCCCTCCGAATGGCCCTACAGGGCTCATTTCAAAACCATTTGGTGTAAATAACATTGAACCGGTGTCGGTGTGGACGGTTGGTGGTGGTAGAATGTCGGTTCTGAAGCCGCTGACAGGGAATTGGGTTGGAGCACTAAGGTTATCTACTGTATTCATCATCTTTGCAAGCTCTTCAGGATCTGTTCGTGCTAGAAGAGCAACATCATGTCCTTCGTTTACCAAGTTCAACTTATCGGTGAGAGGGACAGTATCTAGTAAAATTAGGAATTGGGTAATACTTTCTGGTGTCGGGTTGTTCAAACTTGGAAAGAGGGTATTTGCAAGACCAGGGTTTTGTTCTAGTTGATTGACGGTGCTAGGGTCGAGTAGCGGCTGTAGACCTTCCGGAGTATTGTCTTGCAGGAATTTCTGGATATTGGGGTCATCGAGGACCTGACGCCAAAGACCGAGATTGCTAGTAATCGCTGAGACGACACTAGGATCAGAATTCTGGAGGGTCTCGCCGGGAATAGCCTGGCCCATATCGTTGAGAATTTGGTTGCCCTCAGCTAGGTTGCCGTTACCATCTAACACTTGGAACGCTTGTCCGCCAGGTGCGGCGGCAGCTACCGCGGCTGCAGATGCCAGCGGGTCCCACGTAGTCGCTACATTTGTCGGCCAGGGATAGTTGCTAGGAATGGCGGATGGCCATACGTAAGAATTGTCTTGGCTTCCATGAAAAATTGGATTATCGACTCCATCCCTTTGCTCATTAGCAGCGTTCCGAACTGCGGAGTTAGCTACTTCCTCCATGTGGTTAACGGCTTCATCGGCCGCTTGTTTGATTCTTTCCGCGGCAGCACCGATTGCATTTTGTTCGTCATTTGTATTTGGGGAGTTTGGTGGTCTGCTCAAAATTGCTGGAGCTGATACGCTCATTTGCTGGAACTGGCGTTTTCCCAAGCGCTTGGGAGGGGGGTTTGGTATCCCATCTTTAGTATTTATGGTATCAAAGGGTATCTCCGCTCTTCTATAGAGCGATTGCGCATTGCTCGGAGCTAAGTTCGGAACAGGTTTCGGAGCACTACTGACAGAGGTTCCTACATCTGCCGTAGGTGCTGAAACAGACGGCCTGGTCGCGGAAAGGATGGCGACAAGAAGGAGAGCCGTCTTAGACGGCGACAGCAATTTTGGAAACATTATATTCAATCTTTTGGGCGTGGCCTTTAACTGCCGCTAATATCCAATAACACGTTTCTGAGAGACTTGAACGAGAGTGAATGCAAAGTGTGGTCAAGACGTGGAAGAAGCGTGATCTCTGGTTCATTTTAAGCTCTCCACACTTGACATATATAATATCACGAATTTGCCATTATTACGCCTGACGATTTAAGACCTCGCAAGAGCTCAAAGTACGTAACACGTGTAGTATTATTGTTTATATGTTGTCCTCATCCTCGTCCGCGTTCGAGGCCATTTGTGCAGATTGTGGGCGGGATGGGAGAAATGTGTTGGGTGTGGTATTGTGGAACACAGGGGATTTGCTGTAGAATGCGTGATATCGGAGTTTAATGCGATAGTTTCAGGAACCAGGGAGGCAGCGGCCTAAATTAGAGAATTTCGGAGTGCGGATTTAACTAAGACTTCTTATTTTGTAACTTGAAGCTAGATCTTAATGTCTCTTGTATAGAGGTATATGTATCCGCAGTTGAACTTTGATTCTTAGTTCCATTGTTTTTCTTCTACCAGCTGCAACTATGCGTCAACTTGCATAACATCTGTTTGAATAGTTGTCTCTCCCTTAGCATCAACCTCTGTCACTGTGATATATCTCCTCAGTTCGTCCTTCTTGATAACCTTCTCTTGTAATACTCCCGTGGTGCCCTTCGCGAATTTGTAATTCAATTCCTTCGGAACACGAACATTCGGTGTGATGTAGTTCCTCATCAAAGTAGCTTTCTCTGGGGTAATAACACAAACGTCGACATTTGAACCAGATCCTAAATCGTTGAAAATACCAGCCAAGATTGCTTCAGAGCAAAGCTTGACAGCACCTTCTCGGTCGAGACCTTTCTGCCAAGTTGTTTCGAAGACAGACATAGCTGCCAAACTTCCAGATCCCATAGTGACGTATGGTAGTCTATCAGTGGATCCGTGGGCGTGAACTGTGTAAAGGTGGGAGCCGGTAGGATCACAACCGGCAACAACTAGGTAGGCCCCAATGTGCCCTTGGTATTTAAAGAGGTGCTGCTTCAACATTGTCATGCATGTTACCACGCGAGGTTTCCTGCCAGTAGAAAGAGAGTGTAGTTCCAAATTTGATGAGGTGATGGCGGTCGTAAATTCAGTATCAGCAGCGGTACCTGCACCAGCACACCAGATTTGCGGGGAGATATAGTGGAGCTTCTCGCAGTTCTTGTCGGCAACAATGGGACCGGATGTGGCACGGGTATCGGCTGCAATCTAGCATAGATGAAAGTGCACCATTAGTTATGTTTCTCAATACGAAAAGTTCAAGATGAAGGGTTGATGAACTTACGACGACACCTCCGTCATATAGACATCCAACAATGGTGGTACCTGTGCTTGTTGCCTTGATTCAAGCTGTCAGACGCTTCCTTAGTGTATTAAATGTTTGAAGCTGACGGTATATACCTTAGGAGCTGGCATACCAGCAGCCATTAAAGCTGCATTACGCGTGTGATTGGAGAAATCGAAGCCACCCATCTTGGAGAGGAGCTCTAGCTACGCCGACGATGTGGAGCTTCAAGAGGTATGGAGAAGGTAACTATGTGGACGTAGCGTCGTGATCTACGTTGTAGAACGGTCCTTAGAGCTTCGAAGGGTCGTAATATGCGATGTTGATGATGGTGGATGTCGAATTCGAGGGGTTGAAGATGGTGGGTAGTGGGTGGAACCAAAGCTGGTCGTCGTCAGCGCGTTTGCTGGGTGTTGGCGAGCTGGTGTTGTTGGAGGTTGTGCATCAGCCACAGATACAGGGGTTTAGATGAGGCTGTGCATACGAGCGCCACAGAAGGTGGGGCTACCACATCAACACATCAACACACCAACACAAACTAACCCCGGTCTCACAAACTCGGTGGCGCGGCACGTGACCAGCCATGGCTGCATCCGGCGGCATGCCGAAAGCTCTGATGTTCGATTCAGAGGCCCGAAGAGCTCACAATGCAACTTCCCCTCGTATTTAGACCCAATCGCCAGTCGATTCCCAATTGATTCCAACTTCTGCCGAATCAAACCTACGAAATCCACCGGCAGTCAACGGACATGCTTTTGGCCTCCCGGGCATTGTTCGGCTTTTGATAAAATTTATTTCCACGCTAACAGCAGCAAGTTTTGGGCCTTTTCCTTTTCAATGCCCGCCCAGAATATAAGCGGGCTAATGAATCGAGTCGCCAAATTTATATTACACATCGACCTCGCCCCTCCACATCAACCTTTTTCCCGATTCTTTCTCTCGTACGAAACTTGTCAGCCATCAACTCCGTACGAGAGGGGCATGCACGTCGATTTACCCCAGCTCACGAGATTATGGTAAATTCCGTTTCCAGGTCTATGCATAGTATCGGATATTATAGCTTTATTGTTTAAATCCCTACCTCTTACGTCGTCCATGTCCTCGGCAGGCTCTTACGTTTCAGACCATGGCCATGCGACTCGTGGAGAGTCTGAATCGGACTCTCCAGGCACACCCCATCACAGCTCCCATTCTCATGCCACCACTCCGTCATCCGCGTCGACAAAGGCAAGGCCTATCACTGCGTGCTTGACTTGTCGCAATAGGAAAGTCAAATGTGACAAGGTTTACCCCCTCTGCGGGCCATGCAACAAATCGGGAAGGGAATGTAAATACGACAAGTCCGCGCCAGGTGCGGTGGCTGCTCACGTTGGCCATAGTAGCAATAGCAGTTCTGCCGCCAATAGCGCCACCAGCGGCCACCCACATCCTAGGTCCACTACTGGTGCCGGTGTAACAAAGCATGGGCATGCTCATGTCGCACACACGACGCATTCACCGGCGAGCGGGAGCAATGGACACCACGGACACGGCCATGGGGGAAACAAGACGAAAGTAGACCTGCAGCAGAGAATTACGCGGCTCGAAGGGTTGTTAGCCGCTAGTGTAGAACAGCTCAAGTCTGGGAACGTGGCGATAAGCCTGCCGAATACCGATTTTTCACAGGGTCCCGGGTATCCCGGAACCCAAGGGCCCTTAGGATCCCAAGGAACTCAGGATGTTCTCCCAGTAGCAGATTCGCATTTGAAAGTTAGGGACGGAGGAAAGACAAGATACATTGGGCCATTGTCATGGATTTCGGCCGTTGAGAATGAGGTTCGTCCAGGTCACCGAGCCGCACATGTGGTTTCAACTCACTGATGAGGACTGATACCGTAGATCGATGATATAAAACAAGCAATCTCAGCTACAGAGGATGATGGCACACCTCGACCTGCCACCGAGGTGGGGACAGCTTGGGCATCAAATATGATGTTCCCATCCGCACTTTCGTTGATGGATACCACCAATCTGTCGTCCTATATTCCAACAAAATCGCATTCCGATTTTCTTTGGCAAGTCTATGTTGAAAGAGTACACCCTATGGTGCATATTTTGCATAGACCATCCTTCGAAGTTAGCTATAACGATTTCTGGCAGGGTCGGATGCCAGCGGAGAATATCAAATCCTTCGTTGCTCTCCTATTCTCGATATATTACGCGGGTGTTGTCTCTATGGACCCACCCATGGCCCGAAGGGCTTGTGGGATGGAACGTGACGAGCAACTTCGAATTTACAGGGAAGCGACACAACATGCTCTTGTAAATGCCCGGTTTATGGAAGCGGAAGAGCTGTGGTCACTACAAGCGCTGACATTGTTAATCGTGAGTATGACCTGATATTTCCTGCTTTTCAAACATCTAACCATGTCATTTCGTAGTCGATGCTACTTCAACATTCCGGCCAAGCGCAAGGAAATGCAACGTGGACTCTTGTAGCTGTTGCTTTTCGACTTGGTAGATCAATGGGGCTCCACCGTGATCCATCGATATTTCCGAATATTGGTGTTGTCGAGGGTGAGCTGCGACGGAGATTATGGTACTACTTATTTCAATTAGAATTGTATGCCATCGGACCTGCCACTGCAATCCCTGCCATTACTGAGGAAAGCTACGATACTCGCCTTCCGCATAATCTTGATGACCACGAGATAGTTGATGGCCAACCGTTACCAGAAGACCAGACAGGATATACAGAAATGTCGCATTATCTTTTCCGTTGTCTCGCCGGAAAATATTATCTATCAAGTTTGAAGGTTACTAGTAGCCTTCGAAAAGTAAGAAAAGATGATTTCCACAATCTTATCAGGGAAATGCAAGCTTGGGGTAAAAAGTTAGAAATGGAATGGCTACCAAAGTTCAATAGCGAATCAGCCAAGGAAAGGTTGGCTAAGAAAACTGCAATATTGCTTGTCCACAAAGCCATTCTCGTTTTATATTACCCCCTTAGCAAACCAAAGCACCGGACATTACTACCATCTTCAGTAAGAGATAAGTATGTTTCTCGCTCTCCAATCACAGATTGCTTACCCGCTTTAGAACCCTTACTAAATCCAAGATAGTGCGATCCATGCGGCCCTCGTCGTCGTTGAAATGTCCAATTCGATGGAAACAGACCCAGGGGTGGGCCCGTTTGTATGGTTTTACAGTTCGTACACACAATACCATGGAGCAGCAATCATACTGGGAGAGCTCCTAGCGAACCCCGAAAGCAAGTTCAAAGACCGCGCATGGAAATGTTTAGATGAAATGTTTGCCCTTAGCAGCTTACCGGACCTAGCTTGGGCGAAGGGGGTAAAGGAAACATCTGATTGGAAACTTTGCAGAGGGCTCTACGATAAAGCGTGCAGCACCAGAAGATGGACAAACGCCCCTGGGGTTGTGACAATGACTAGCAGTGATGGATATAGCGTTCCACTTCCAACTTCAGGGCGGCCCGTCAACGTTCAAGAAGGGTGGGCTCCAGATGTCGACTGGGTGAGTACTCTATTTTTCTTTGGGATTTCGTATTGCATGATAACTAACAAACAACTGCTCCATAGTCGAGTTGGGATCAAATGATGACGAACGCTCTATTTGACGATTATCTGCTTGGAAACCCAGATTTCCAGGAGATCGGAAATGCATACTTTGGCGGCCAGTCATTACCTACAAGTTAAGTATTTGGATTCATACGGACGGGCGTAATTATCTTTGTTTTTCTGTATCTTTTTATGATTTCATGGGCGTGTGGATCGGTGTTCTTGCGCAATAATATCTATTTGATATGGAATAGTAATATTTGAGATACTTAATGCATCTTAGTTTCATAGTATTATGTTATACGAGGCAACGTACTACACTCTTTAATTCATTTTCAACCACTTAAAAAGTTCCCTTTGTCGAATTTTCCACTAGGCGACAAGCCAAGCTCCTAAATGCCAAGGGATATGTGTGCCACCTATTAAAGTGGGCTTCAAACGTTAGTGAATTCGAAGGCTAGTCTCGTATTACAGACGCGGTCCACACTTTCCTTTAATATATCCGCGCGTACATGCGTACATTCATTTACGGTATTTCAAAGCAGTGATTCAGATCAATCTCAGTAGAGAGCTAGTTTAGGCTATAGTACTAGTAGAGAATGCACCCGAATAATAACTAAGCTTATGGTTCACAAACCATACTTTTTGTAGATCGCCTGCCTCGTCCCGGCCGAATTGGACGAGGGTAGCGTATGTGTAGCCAATTCGTAACTAAAATTGAAACGACTAATGTCTTTTTCTGTATGTACTATACCGAATTTGGCGCGATCAACTTTCCTGATGCCATATAACGCGAATCGAATCCTTTAAAATTAAAGTTCAGGAATTCGAATTCGTATTTCCTGGATCGCGATCAACTACAACAGTGTACAGGATTACATGGTTGTATTCGACGAAGCTAGATTTCCCCTCGCACCCCATATATGTAGAATGGAGCTCGGCCAATTGCAATTTGGTTCAATTTAAATTTGGGTAGTTCATGAGATTCTAGGATGAATCCCCCTTATAGGGTTGGCTAGCCATAACTACTCTAATTCCGACTGATTATAATTAATTACGTTAAGTTAAGTTATAGAAATATAGATTGATGGATTTACAAGGCATTGGGAGGGATGATACATTCCTGGAACCTGGCGGAACATGCATATGCATGATAGCGATGCATCAATGATATCATCATAATTAGCAACACCTAAGTATACTTAGCACTAATTTCTTAACCGTTAGTTAACCGGGTATAAAGTTCCAAAACGGTAAAAAATCCATGCATATACAATACTAGTATTATCAGCTGTAACACATATATTTGGTTGTATGCATATACAGATGTTGCAAATGTAAGTGCAAGTGCAAATGCAAATGCAAATGCAAATATAAACTTTCAAAAAAAAAAAAAAAAAAAAAAAAAAAACCTACCCTATTCTATTCTATTCTATTCTATTATATTATATTCTATGGGCTACTTCAAAACGATATAAGTAGATAGATTGTGTGCCAGCAGACTATTGTTTAAATTGTTCCGGTTGGAAGTTAGCTTATAGGCTAGCCAGTGGTCAGGCTAGTAGCTAGCTAGCTAGGCGTCTGGCCGGCTAGAATTTTAATAAGTTTAAACCTAGAAGTTATTAGGTTTTGTTTATATGTGAAGGTATTTGTATATGCATGATCGAGTTGTGCATTTGCATCCAATTTTTACCGATTTGGCCCGCCATACCGGGCCTGAGAGAAAATGGATACGATCGTACGATACACGTATACCCGTACTTGCCTATGTATAGACATGCAAATAGCATTCCTAAGCAAAGAAAATTTGGGCTCAGGTCGGCCACAACTAGAGAATAATTATTAAAGCTTTCACAGCCGTGATGTATTGCTAAGCAGTTATGTCAGGTAAAAAGTTCGCAATATTGTTCGATTTTTCTAGCTTCTAGACTTCTGCGCAGCTATAGCTAGCCACGTGCACGGGCATGGAAAACACCAAAATACGAACTTGCACATATATTATATGCATAGCCTAGGAGCAAAGCTGACGATTTAGAGATGTTAAGCTAACTTAGAGGTAAGATTTACTCGAAGCCGAGTATATGCGGATGAGAAAATTAGGTAATCACGGAACATTATGGCTGTACATATAATCCCTTTCCTTTTTGAGATATCCTTATAGTTACTAGCTTCAAAAGCTCTATAAGACCTGACCCACTAACATCGTGATATGACGGGAATCAGAAACAATTTTTTATATAAGAACGTAGGGTTCCGTTGCGACCGTTGTTCTTATTTAAGATTCGCATTAATTCTCACCCATAGGAAATTTGGAAAGTTCTCAATTAATATGGCACATGCAATGGTCAAAAAACTAGTCACCAGTACCGATGATCAAACTTGGACAAACAAAGATGGACTGATCCTTCTACTGGGTCGGCCGGAGCTTGAAGGCGAAGAAAAAGTGATAGTAAAGCTCCCAAACTTTTACAAATCGATCCTAGCCACCCCAAGGAAAGTCAATCCATTGTTGGAGAATGTAAAGGATACGGACCTCTGGGTATCTGAAAAACTAGGCCTCGGAAAGGCTTTCCAGAAGTTTGCGGAGATCGAGATCCCACTATTATGTTCCGCTATGCTCCCAAACGCGCCAGAACAGCCGTTAAGGGCTCTTCTGGAATGGATGTCTTGGGTCATTTTCTTTGATGATCGTGCGTCCCTCAATCTGTTAAGACATTTAAGAGTTCCCGAATACATTCTAAACTGAGTTCAATTATATTTAGGCTATGATAGAGGCGATTTCGAAGGCAAACCCATTGAAGCTGCTCAAGATATTCTTGAGACGTTAGCGATCCTAGATGACGACCACCCACCAATTCCAGTCGAGGAGAATGCTTTAAGACACATTTACCAATGCGTCTGGAAAAGAATAAGTGCAGTACGTAGATAAATTTATAAAGTCCCGTATTGGGGTTGAAATATGAGAATAAATATATAGAACTACCATAAGCCTAATGCTTAAGCTCCTTTCATGGGATGAGCATTGCAACTAAACTCGTTTATCCACTTTAAATAGAATGCGCCTCCGGGTATGACCCCGAGAATACCATTCCCGGCAATGGTGCCGCTTGTCAAGAAGAGTAAAATATAGAACAGGCTAACATACGGTATAGACGAAAGAGCTCGATTCAAACTAGCTAACCGAGATTATATGATCGGGCTCTTGTACCAGGACAAGTTGATGGGGAAAAGAAACACGATCCTAACCCCTGAGGAATATATGTCGTTTCGGCGGAAAACTAGCGGGGTTAGGACGGTAGCACTTTTTTCGGAGTATTTTACGGTAACCAACCCTATAACGAGGAGTGGAATCGCTAACTGCGCTGTAGATGGGCTGTTAATTTAAACGCTAAAATTCCACTTTACGTTATGGAACATCCATCCGTGAAGGATTTTAAGGAACTATCCGATGAAATTATAGCCTTGTACGATTTAGCCTATATGAGAATAACAACAAAGTCCTGATAGCTAATCTATAAATGTTAATATAGGTGTAACGATATTATATCTTCGGCAAAAGAAATAGTACGTACATATACCTACAGGCTCACTGGTTTGGTGATCAGTTTGTTTTCATAGTGGTTCTAAACACATCTAACTCCTCCCATACGGTGAAGGCTCCAATATTGTTGTTTTGCTCTTAAAGCAAGGTTTTACTCTACAAGAGGCAATGGACAAAGCTGGGGAAATGGTTTTCCAAACATACGAAAAATGGGAGGAAGCGTTACGCGAGCTACCTACATGGGACGAGGAGATCGATGCGAACGTAGCGAGGTTGATTCAAGGGTATGCTGATGCATGCTGGGGAAACCTTGACTGGAGGTATGTTAATTGGGATATTTTTCTTAAGATCTTGCTCACCGGTACCCTGGCATTAAATTTCGAATTATCTAGATGGGCTGACTAGAACACTAAATTTCCACTATAGCTATCATACTGCTAGATATTTAGGGAATGACCGAGAAATGGCTCGTGCTACAGGGTTCGTATCTTTTTATGTCAAAGATGTTCGGAAAATCCAGGAACTGGCAGGGATCAAAAAATAAAGTTTATAACACCATCTGTGGTAGATGTACGCTCTTGCATTGCGCAATTGCGTAGGCTTTAGCCAATGCAATGCAAGATTCTGTTTAAATATTTGTAGTAGATTACAGGCTTCAATTCCCAACTGCAAGCCGAGAACTAGATTGATGTCTCAAAAATACGAACTTATGCAAATACTTAAAAATGTCTAAAATTACCGAAGAAATAACGGAAAATCATTAAATTGCAGTTCTAGGTTCGAGGCAAGTCATTTGGATATCGCTGGACAAGATCTTAAGACCCCAAGTTTCCCCCCGCTCTATAGATCTACCAACTGTGATATATATATCGTATCAACGCCAATGGTACCAACAACTCCAGGTCGTGTTGGAATTTAGCTGACCAATTAATTAATTCCGGGATTCTGCTTCTTTTGAGCAGAATTGCTCCCCAGCCCGCATTCGTATCGTAGGAGATTTGTACGAAAACAGAACGGGTATAGTTTCCAATTTTATCTTAAGATTAAAACTTCGGACGGGGTTGAAGCTATATATATAAAGTAATGGTACCGTATATATCCCACAATGCAATGTCCATCCGAGTCTATCTATCGATCAGCTAATTAAAGATTTCAAAATATCATTCCCATAGCGCTATAGTTTTTTATATAATACAAACACCAGTAAGTGCATCAAATCAATGTAAAAAAGAACTGTGGGGTGGGCCACCATAGTTCACTGTCGTATGGATTTCTTTGTTACAATTGCAACGCTAAAAAAAATCATATAGGTAAAGTCGACCAAATTACTCTTCAAGATGCAAGCTACTCTTCGAGCCCCAAACCTCTTTATCACTTTCTTTCTTATTCTTCTTGCTGTCGTGCAGCCTCTCCTTGCTGCCCCGGTTGAGATTACTAAAGACACTCAATGCAGTGGAGGCAAGGAGTGCATTAAGGAAGCCGACAGTATCAAGCTTCATGCTGCGAATACGGTCAGGTCTAAGTACATACCACGAAGTGTCCCGACGACCAATGCCAGGAAATTGAAGAAGCGCTCTCAATTGGCTGCTCAGTTGAAAAAGAGAGCAGTTCTAGCTCGTGCTCGGAAATAGATACAAGTCCCCACCTTCTTTGGGGATAATCAATTGTATTCTTCTTTAATTAAATCTTGTTTTATATAAGTCGACACATCTTTTTCTTTGCAAAGTCTGGTTTGAGACGAGAAGAATACTAAAAAATAAAATGTATCTGCTTTTTCTTTGTATATAAAATTGAATCAACTTCGAAAACCATCTAATGATAATTTGCTCTATAAACTCAGTAGTAAACCAATGCAATTGCAATCAATTGATACGACCTTCAATGTATTATGCATATTAGTTACCTGCCGCATGTTTCTGATCAAATGAATTCATGCATGAAATGGACTAAATTTTACATTATTGGCCTCATTCAATCTGTTTTCGTCTAGTTCTCGGAGAGCGGGGAGTATCGCGGGAATTCTAGACTCCAAGCCAAAAACACTTTCGATACTAGTATACTCTAGATCCTAGGTTGAGCGATATAATACCTCAAAGAACCTCCTCAAAATAAATCCGAAAAGCCGAAGGCTGATTTTGGCCGGGAGAGTTCCTCGTCGGTTCCAAATCGCCTCCATGTTAGCAGTAACAAGATTGCCATAGCCACCATGGTGATGCTAAAAACCCTGGCCATTTTATCGGCATCGACCCTTGTGGTCGCCCCTCCCCCTGGGCTTTATAGTAGATACAAACCTCAAAGTCAAAATCAAAATCAAAACCAACCGGACTCAAATAGCTCAGGTGGTACCAATACATTCAGAAGTCCTGTAATCATTCCTGCGACGCCAGTGCTTTCCGAAAACCCGAACCCCATAAGCGCAAACATACAGCTTAACAGTGACTATTCAATGTCACAATATTCACCTTCAGAAGGCTCGAGAGATATCAACCTCGAACTGGCTACAGTACAATTCCCATCCGGTGGGCAAAATTCCGGATTCAGCCTAAGTCCCATGGGCACACCAAGGAGCGCCAGACGAATAGATTCCAGGTTCCCAACTCCGAAACAAAAGAAAGCCGGTATTAAATACGGAACAGTCAGGAAAAAGCATATTCATTGGGACGGTGATGAAAACTTTGACATGAAAGATGCTCCGGAGGATGAACTAGGCTATATCCCAACGACTATCCAGATGCTTGGCATGCCTTACTCGGCTCGAGGACCGAAGCCGACATACAGGGATCCAGTGGTGATGACGACAAATTGGGGGTCGTTATCCCAAGGCCGGGGGGATTCAGAAGATGTAGATGATGATGACTCGTCGATTGATGCTAATTTTCTAGAAAACCTGGACGAAGAACCTGTAACTGATCAAGTGTTAAGTTATCGGCCTGGACTAACACCAAGGGTACAGATAGCAATGGCATCCCGAGGAGGGCAGTATTAAACACAAGCCTAGGGAAAAAATATTAATTGAGCTTTGATATTAATATATTAATTCATCCTTTTGCACTCAAATTTAATTACAATTATATCCTATAGAATAATATATATCTCGTGCATCGATCGCGATCGTGGTGCTCCGTATATTCACGACCTCGGCCTTCAATCGAACCTAAATCCATATTTGCGATAAACTAAATGGCCAAGACATACTTCTAATATTCTAGCGTTATAACGAGGTATAGACATGGAATTAACTATATAAAATCTCGAAAATTTAAAGCAAACTTACACTCCATGGCCAAACCTTTTCGGGGTGGTTCTTCTGTGAATCCCAAAGAAGGTCCGGCTGGAGGCCCCAACACACCAAGTGATCAAAATACCGCGCGCTTCTCGCAATTTGTATCATTCTACCGCAACCCTGCCAAACTTCAGACGAATTCGGATTCCTTCGTATGGGAAGCATACCGTTCTCAGATTACCAACGGGGAGAGAGGCAAGAAGAAAATTGAGATTAATATCGTTCGATAGTAGGTACCCTGGGAGTTAACTTCATATGGTACCCTCCCAATCGAATCGTCGACGTCACAATGGTCTTCGTGACCTACATAAGTACTTCACTGTTCTTAGGTATCCATATCGCCTATTCATTACCTGTCCCCCCCAATGATCCCCCCAAATCATTCGTCAGCCGGCCGGGGACTAAAATACAGTCGACTTCAAAACCGACAATATTTCCTCTACCGGAACCATCTGCACTAGATGTGCAAGATACCACAAACATGTATGGAACTGCGGAAACCATATCCATCCCAAGTGTGAATGAAGAAAAGAACGGACGTGGATGGATGAACAATATTGCAGGGCCGCCTCTAGATACTTTCACCACTCTTCGACAAGCTGCTTCTCAGGATACCACACAGCTTTACCCGCAGTATTTATCTTTGAACAAACAACCATTCAAGGGAGCTAAGTTCCAGCAAGATTCAAATCTGGCCCGACTCAAAACAGCACTCGATGATGGTGTCGAGGACAGCGATTCAGAGGACCTGGCCTACACACAAAATATAGATTATAATTTCTCAGACGGTGAAGAGCTGACTGCAAGATTTAAGCTTGCAACTCAGGACCGCCGTGTGACACTGGACTTTTCAGATGCCGACGATCGAGGGATAGATATAGACCTCGAAGACAACGAAAGCTACGAAGAAGAAGAAGAAAAACAGCCAGATTACGATCCAGTCAGAGATCCCTTTTACGGTGACTACCCAAGACGCTCACCACTCCGCCATAAACTTAGAGAGTTACTTGAAAGACCTTTATATAAACCCCTCCCATCATGGCAAGGAAAACCCGAAAATTTATTAATAAACCCAAACGACTCTTCCTTCACAGCGAGAGAGAAAATGCAATATAACCTCCAACCAATTCCTGAGGGTCCCAGTCTGTTAGAAATGCCAAGCACGATTAGGGGTGGTGATGCTCTACCCCATTTGCGCAAAAAAATGGGCGCCCTAAAACCGAAGTTTTTACCGCAAGGGAGGGAATCTCTGCAGTTACCGTCGCCAGGTCTGAATCATAGTTCTCAGGTAGCTTCTATCAACAATGAATCTAGTAATATGGAGGACCAACGCGACCCACAAATTAGTGCCTTGACATTACCGGAGATAACGAGCTCATTTCGACCTCCGAAGGAGAATAATGTGCCGAAGTTAACACTTAGACCAAATGAACAGATACCAGGATTATAGAATCTTATTCGAATTCATTCTCATGCCACGAGTTTCTGGACTATGGTACTAGGCGCTAGCTTAGAATTTTGACCCGCTATCTATTCATATACATAGTCTGCAATACGAGACTATCATATATATGTAAAATGAGATTTATTGCATGAAAATAGACAGGAATATGAAGAACACTTTAGCATGCACGTATATCCAAATATTAGATATTTAGCTTCCAGGTCTAGGTACGAGACAGAATATTTAGTTCCATTCACATCAATCAACTAGCTTATAAACTCCATACTCAAATACCCTCTACAATAAATCAAACTCAGTCCTCAAGAGTTATCCTCGGACCCTTCATACTAGGATACCCTTGGATTCCTCCCGGTGACCCTCCATTGCCACCTGGAGTAGAAGGCACAGCTCTGTTAGTACCCGCTCCACCTCTCCCTGTAAGCCCTGCAACCCTTCCAGGATTCCTGACTTCAAAATTACCATTCGCTCTTGTCACCTGAGCCGCCAATGGTAAACTCTCCCTTCCGCCGATACCATCAGTGCAGTCTCCCTCCGTAACATCACAACTAGCTTTTGTTCCTGCCCCGCCATTCCCACCGACGCCATTATTGTTCTGATTGTTGTTATTATCATTGTTGTCATCATCCTCCGTATCAGCGTATGTATACTGCGCAAGTATATTCTCCAAATCCACAGGTAACAAATCCGATTCCATTCTATCCGCCACATTATTGTAATTATTATTACTGTTCGCGCCTCTTCCCGCTCCTGCGCCTGCTTTTCCTCTATCCGCACCAGCTCCAAATTTTCCAAAATCAACCAGAGGAGGGGTCACTATCCTCGGCGTGGGATTCGTAGTCGTAAATTTAAACTCCTCCAAGATCTTCTTCTCAGGTGAATAATTCTTATCCCCATCAGTAACAAACTCAATCGTCTCCGCAAACTCTGGGTACTGCGATCTAAACGATTCCACGAACCCTTGTCTTACTTCCTCCTGATCTCCTTCTTCACTACCACCATTATTCCGTGAACTTTGATGCGGAGACAACGTCCCCCGTCCCGTATTCCCCGGTGTATTCTTCGTTTTATTAGGTGAATTGTTAACATACTTACTACTCCCCAACGGTGTAGTAGGTTGCGGAACCAGCTTCCGTTCTCGAGAGAAAGTACTCCCGAGTTGTCCGCTGTTTCTATATATCCCTTCTTGCATACCGCTGAACCGTACTGAAGGCGGGTTACTACCATACGGTGAAGAAAGTCTCGTTTGATCTTGAGGACCGTAAAGATACTGTGGTGACTTTACGATACCGCCGGCGATGCCGCTGAATCCTAGACTGTTCTCTAGTGGTGGTGACGGTAGACGTTCAATATACTCCCATGGCCAACCTGATTGACTTCCTTCCGGCGGCCGGGAGAACATTCCTGGTGCCAGGTGGTTGTTAAAAGTCGAAGGGGTTGGACTGTTGAGGTTGTTGCTATTATAATTATTCGAACCTCCTCGTATACGTCCGGAGTTTGGGGGGCTGCCACCAACTCCTCCTGGGAAATTCTTTCTTAGACTGGTATCGAGGCCTCCGCTTCTTCCGCCTACAGATCCAGAGTTTGGAACCCCTCCTGTACCTCCTCGAGATCCAATGGTACCACCGATACCAATAGTACCAGCACCACCATTACCATGCTTAAGCATATACTCAGCGCTACCAGGCCCCACATACACCATAGGAGAACCGTAAACACCACCACCGGCACTACTCAGCGCCTGTCGATAATTATTATTATAATAATCATTATTATTCATACTACTAGGCATTTGTCTCGTTTGCGCCGTCGACCTAAGATACCCCCTCGTACCCAGTTCTTCCCCTCCCCCCTCCTCCTTCTCCTCTTCTTCTCCCTGCCGTACTTGACCCCTAGAGAATAAATCGGGTTGTTCGGGAACCGAGACTATTGAATCGGACAATTCTGAACTAGTATACGAATAATCGCTGATTTCCCCTCTTCCTCGTGGAATACGACCACGACCGTCAGCACCACCGCCACCTTGGCCACCTCCGTTCCCTCCGATGCCTTGACCTTGACCTTGACCTTGGCCGTTGGTGGTATCCCCTCCTCCTCCGTCTTGAGGTACTGGGATTGCTACCACGAGGCTCAGCCACGCTGAGATTAACAATCCACGTGCTAGCATCGTTGTCATCCGATCGGTATATATCTCAAAGCCTTAACAAAAGGATCCCACGCGGGACATGCAAGCCCAATTTAAAAAGAAAATTGAAGATTTAAAAAAGTAAATAAGAATAAAGACCTCGGTCGTGGAATAATATGCTAAACATTAATCATTGCCATGCGGAGCAGGCCCTCACGCATGCAAGAAGAAGAAAAAAGGAAAATATTATCTCAAAGTGAGTCTATGATCCGTAGTTATGGGTAATATAAAAAAGAATAAGAAAAAAACGCCTCAAAAATTAAAAGAAATAATATGGAAAGGAATGCTTTTTTGGTTTCCTGCTCAAATTTACTTCAAAAACGCCCTCTTATCCCCCCTCATAATAGCCCGGCCATATGTTAATCCGGCTCGTCTTTAGTATATGGCCATTGCAATTGCCCTCGAGGTGGAACACTAGGGCCTCCATAAACCGGCCCCGCATACCCATCAGGGCCTGTCAACTGTTTCTGCGCATCCAGATTTCCCCTCCATTGTTTCAAATAAGCAATCTGCCTTTGATGTTCCTTATCAGTAGCATCTTCAATCTCCTGTTGTCTCTTCCTATCAGCCGCAACCTTAAACTCAATCATCTTCAACTCTTCCTGGTTCATATGAGATTTATGTTGTTGCTCCTCTTCATGCATAAGTTGCAGATGCGATAACTGCTTTGCTTTATCCGCATCCTCCATTATCTGTCTTTGTTCATTCATTGCTTTGATGTGTGACAACTCCGCTGCACGTTGTTGTGATATTCGTGCATCTTCACGAGCCTTTCGATCCGCTTGGCGTACTAATTCAGCTTGATATTCGTGATTTCGTATCCTTTCTCTTTCCGTTGCTTCTTCCTTTTCCATTCGTAAACGGGCTTGTTGTAACATTCTCTCGTGATCGATTTTGCGTTGGACGACTTGTCGTTCCTCTTCGATTCTTGATAAATAATCGGGGATTCCAATATAACCAATCGGCTGAGGCATTTTTGGGTCGTCGACGTAGTATCTATCATCTCCACGGAAGGCCTTTAATAGTCGATAAAGTTCTTCTTGTACTTCTGGTGACTTATTCTGACATAGTCCCTTCCGAACATACATCGTCAATGAGTAAACAACATTCTTCTCATCCCTGTAAAGGTTGAAATCGCTGTTGATGGTCTTATAAAGGCCAGAGTTGAGTAGAAGTCGAGTCATCTCCACTGGATTCTTATTATCCAGCCCAAATGACAATGGGGAACGATTGTTAGTTCGTAGTCTTAAATCTGCCCCGCCATCAAGCAACGCTTCCACGGTTTCTTTGACTCGTTCTTTATTCGCCGTCGCGTCACCCTCGAGTGCTAACTCCGATAATGCACTTCGGCCACTATGTCTCGATGATGGGAAGTCTGGGTCGTGATGTCCTTCTCTGATGAGTAACCTAACGACATCCGGGTGACAGAATGCGGCGGCTTCGTGTAAGCTTCCGTCGTTTCGAGACGTGTTCCTTGCCATTAGCAACTCGACAATATCGTATTGACCTTCCTGACACGCTTTGAATAGTGCTGTTTGCCCCTTTTGATCTTCCGTAGTTACGGAAGCGCCGGCTTTGATCAGTTCAAAGACTACATCCCGTCGCTGTCGTTGGACCGCAACCATAAGGGGTGTTGTAAGGGAATATTCGGACTTGAAGTTGACATTCGCTATTACACATTAGCTCATACTACCCAAAGGTAGTTTGGTTGTCTTAGGACAACTTACCACCAGAGTCGATAAAAGTCTTGATCACAGCACTTTCAACTTCAGTAGCTGGCTGCAGGAGAGCCCAAAGTAGGGGTGTAACACCCTCGCCAATACTGTGGAAGTTGACTTTAACCTCAGCCTCCAAACTCGCTCCAGCATCGACCATCAACTTATAAAACTCCACAAAATTGGGGTATTTTGTCAAAACCCCAAAAAACACTGGACCAAATGATGGATGCTGGAAGTTCAAATCAGTCTCTAATCCATCAGCGAGGAAAAGACGACCAAGGGCTAGCAAGTTCTCTTCTTCAGTTCCGGATGAGATTACATGCGGGAATGCCATTGACAAAGTCCGTTTCGAAGGGTTTCCTTGCAAGAGTAGTTCGACAAGTTCGATGTTTGCATTCTGGGCCGCGATTTTAAAACATCGCCCGTCCTCACGGTTAACATTGGCATTGGGGGTTTGCAAAAGTGCCTCGACGAATCGTTTTGCTGTCGGGTACTTCTCGTATTCATCAGCAGTAGTGACAAAGGCTTTATCCACGCACATCCCACTTGCACCATGCTTCAAGAGGATCTTCATCGTCTCAAGCCCATCCTCTGTTTTCCAAACTCCAGAAGTCATTGCTTCATCAAAAATCATCGTCGTTATTGTAGCAATTTGAGCAACGGCGTTCTGTGTCTTCTCTAGGAGGATTTGTAAGACTTCGTGGTGTCCGCCAAGGGCAGCGAGTTTGATAGGCTTCCCTTCTTCATGGAGGGCAGACCCCTCATTATCAAGAAGCAAAGTAACGAGTTCCTTGCTGGGCGATTCATCCTCAAGAGCTCGGACTAAAGCATCGTTAATATCTTCAAACTCCGGCTGCTTTTGGAGAATTGCCTCAACCATCCCGTACTTCGAAGTTGCATCTTTTTGCTCCATAGCCATCTGTAAAGCGTCATGTATAACTGTGGGAGCAGGGTCTTGTTGAAGCAGAAGCTTTAATCGATCAACGAACCCTTGGCGAATGCAATACATTATGGCAGCTCCAGAAGCATGGTTTACAGATGCGCCGTGTTTTAATAGCAATGTGAAAACCCTGGTGTCACTTCCATCTTGTTGTGCTAGTTTAATAAGGGCATCATCGACAATCGGTCCTTTTAGTTTTGCTCCAAGGATAACTTCCATCACTCGATACTGCCACTCGGCATCTTTATAGTCCCATGCCATTTGGAAGACTGTCGATAGGTTGGCTTGGCTGGCTCCACGATATGCAAGTTTCTTGAGAACTCCAAGTTGCTTCGACGTAAACGCGGCTCGGATCACCTCGCCAGCCCCGAAATTGACATCAGCACCATTATTCAAGAGTACGTCGATTTGTCCAATAGCTTCCGGATGTTGTCGAATTGTCTTCACAAGGGCCATAGAGACTTCATCTCCTTCCGCGCCCGAAGTAAGTAACATTTCCAAGACATCGAATCTTGTCGAAGGACTCGGGATATCCATTGCCAAGGGTATTGCAGAAGATACAAGTGAATTTTCGGGGCCCGCCTCTAGGAGTATCCTCACTAACCGAATATCACCACGACTAGCAGCTGTTTTGAGGGCCATACCACCGCTCGCACTAAGGTCAGCGTCACCCTCTTTCACCAGTATCTCAACTGCAGCATAGTTTGTCGGTGTTTTATTAATCTCTTGAATAAGGGTATCGGACACAGTACTACCCCGAAGCCCGGATCTTAGGAATACCGGCATTATAGCAGCTCTCGCACTGTCTGACAGCCTATCAATAAGTAAGAATGCAGCTGCCATTGCCGCCATTCCGTCGCTACATTTCGTACACTTCGGAAGAACCATCTTAACCAACTGATCATCGCCGGTCTGGACAGCTTTCTTTAACGAAGCACCACCATCGTACACGACAGAAGCTCCGTTTGCTAACAAAAGCTGAACAATTGTGTAGTTCTTCCTCTCCACGGCGGATACAAGCAACTTTGATAACGGATTTCCCTTTGCGCCGGCTGCAATAAGTTTCTGCGCCATTGGATAGAGATCCTTTGTATCCATTCTCAGCGTGTCAAACACGACGTTGGCTGTTTCTGTCGATATCGGGTTTCGCAATAGTGTATCTAGCATCGCTTCATCTGCCTCGGAAACTGCATGGATTAAACTCGCACCATTTGCGTATCCAACATCGGCATTGTTCGAGAGTAGCAGGCTAATGATGGTCCACTGTTTTTGCCGGACAGCATTCAACAAAGCTTGGTTGACAGGATCGCCCTGGGCTCCCTTCGCGAGCAGGAGACCCATAAGTTCGTGTAGCTGTGTCTCGTCCAGGAACATATCAATAGCACCAAAAGCTATCGATGCAGAATCTGGTCCTATGCTTGCTTTGAGGAGTGTTTTGACCTTCCGGGTATCTACGGCTGTGATGGCGTGAACCAATGCCTCTGCATTATTGTACTCTATCGATACCCTTCCATCAATTAGTAGGTGAAGAAGGTCATTATAACCCGCCCGAACGGCTTGAACTAGCAACTTCGCTGCATTGTCCCCAAGGCCCCCTGCTGACAACAGAAGTGAAGACAGTTGTTTAATGTTTTCTTCCGTTTGCGAAGCAAATGGTACTTCCCCAAATGCTAGGTTAAGGTACTCGGGTATCGGTGGTCGAACCAACAATATGGATACAAGGTCTAGCTGACACTCGGATACAACATATCGTAGCGCAGCCGCTTGATCATAGTTCACGTCAACGCCAAACTCTAGAAGTAGGTTAATTAGGTTCTTATCCCTTTCACCGACAGCTTGTCCCAATGCTCGAGCAAGGTCTTCCCCCCGTGCACCAGCACAGAGTAAAATTTCAATAAGGATTAGGCGCAAGGAAGGTTCAAAGTCGGCGAACATTACAGTGTTGACTGCTGACAGAAGGTAAACTTGCGAAAGCTCGTGTGGGGGTGTAATTTGATTCAGGACCATTTTCAAGAGAATGTCCCATCTTCCCAGCTTTACAGCCGCCATAATCGCCTCCGCGTTGTTGTATTCCAAATCTGCACCATGAGCCACCAAGAGTTCCACCATATCAACATACCCCATCTCAATAATCCCTTTCAACGGGCGTGTCAGGCATTCCTTCGCTATAGGAATACCAGAACGAAGGATTAATCTGGCGATGTCATGATATCCCGCCGAAACCAGATGCTCGAACGCAGTCGAAGAAGAGTTCGGATCGGCACCATACTCTAGTAAGACTCTTATGGTATCTATATTGGCATTTCTTATGGCAATTTGGTATGCTTCGTTTAAGCTAGTCTGTTTGACACCCCGCGAAGCCAAGACCTGGATTACGTTGATTTTGCCTCGTTCGGTCGCATCTTGGAGATATCTTGCAGGGATTTCGACGTTCGCATCGCTCTTCCCGATATGCATCTTCGCGACTAAACTATCTTTTGCCTGCTTATAGATATTGACATCGGCTCCCATGTTCAAAAGCGCTTCGACGATAGCCGCACATTCTGTATCCAAATCAGGCCCTGTCATTGGCTGCTGCACTTCTTGCCCGAGCAAGTAACTAAGTTCTTTGAACTTGAACGTAGCCATCTGTGCTTCATTATTGCTTGTGACTTTTACTGTCTTCTTTCTTAAGAAGCCGGTACCGGAAGCAGATGGCGGTTTATAGTCAGGTTGGGAGCGCCGTACAGTAATTAACTTTTCACGAACAATCGCTGCAGTTCCCTGATCACTGAATGTAGGACGAGGGGGGGCTTGTAACGGAGGCTCTAAAGAAATTTTGGCGACACCACTCCGGGATGCAAGGCTCGATAATCGGCTTTGAAGGTTTGGACTGAGCGGCTGGAGCAACGGTGCCTGGATTGGTGGCGCATAGGCTGGAGAGGAATGGGTCGGAGAGGCCTGTACTGGGGATGCCGTCGACGTTGGGATAGAGGAATAATCATTTTGGGAGGTATTGAAGGAGCCCGTCGGACTCGTAGGGCTAGTATGCGAAGGTGATCGGTCCATGGGATATTGGTGACCTGCCGGGCCTGTTTTTTATATAACACCAACAACAGAAAAAGGTAAGTTAGTTTGAAGACTTCCAAAGCCAAAACATACTCTAGGAAAAGGCCGTCGGCCTGGGATTTCGTTGGACTCTTATAGTAAAGGAAGAGGACATGCCTGGTAATGAAAAGTTCCGGAGATGTGGGTTGTTCTGTTGAGGCTGTGCACCGGAAGCCGCGTTGACGGGACGCCTTTGGGTCCAATTGAATGTGGAATGACGACGGTCACCATTTGCGAGAGTTGGAGGAGCGGACGAGGAACCGGCGCCTGCCAATACAATCGCAGTGTCTCATTAGCCTTGTATTTACTTCGGGACGGTCGTAAGTATATACCGATCTTAGTGACCGGGATTGCTTTAAATAGAGCATAGTGGCCAGGGGTGGTTGCATACCCTCGAAGGAGAACTGGCGGTGTGGAAGGGATCCAGACATATTCCAAATGGCCCGATGTCCGACCCGTAGCGTACTTCGTATACCCTAGATACCCAATGTACGTACCCCCAGGCAAGCCGCGATCTATTAAACCCTGTAAATGATTTGATTTAATTAAATAATCAAACGTCGTCTGGTGGCGGCCGGACTAAGCGGACTTCCATATCTGACTAGTACTAGCCGCGCGAAGGTCCCCTGCTTCTGTTGCGGGGTGTTAAAACGGTTTTTGGGGTGGATTGAATCAGACGAAGATGCGAAATGCAGGAACCCTTTTTTTCTTTTCCAAAGCGAGATTTCGGTTCCGACGGACGAATAGCTAAGTAGTTAATAGTGGATAGGGAAGAATCGAAACCCAAACGGACGGTAAGTTATCTCTAGCCTGGCGAGAGTGTAGTGGATGGATGAATGAATGGATGAAAGAACGAGTGCTGCTGGCATGGAGAGGGATAATCTAGGGAAGGGTAAGATGAAGCTGAAAGAAAGAAAGAAGGGAAGGGAAACACGGAGAGAAAACGACAGTGATATGATAACGAACGACCAAGACAAGGGACGAACGAACGAACGAACGAACGAACGAATCAACGAAAGGAGGAATCCAATGAACGAATGAAGGGTGAGGGGTTCTTTGAGCCAGAAAAGCTGCAGCAGTGGTAGTTCAAAGCTCCAAGTGGTTTGGAAAGCTGTTGATGGAGGGTTTGAAGGAAAAGATGCATATGAGGTTTGACCGTATCTGGGTTGGCGGGAAACTCAATCCTTGTCATGTCCGCCGTGCATCTATTTCGAGATGCCTTAAGCTTCCTCGCAGTCCCGATAATCTTACTTAAGCTAATTAAAGTAGGTTACTCAGCACCGGTTGACGATATCGATAAAGGATATAGTAGGTACTATGCAAATACATACCTGTTATATCGAAACGTCGATATGGTGTATATTTGAGATTCGGCGGAAGTTCATGGCCACCGACCGGACATGCATGTAGGCCGTATATGGGGGTTTCAAGCTTCTAATACTGTAGAATTCATGGATCCACATGAGAGATGGAGCCGCATGATCACGCATTAAACGGATTTAATTGGATTCTAAGTAATTGAGGGACATTGTATAGAGGCAAGTCACTTGTGGGTCGACTTGCATATGACATCGTATAAATGAGGTACTCGGATATACCTGAGCCTTGCTTATGCTGGGGTGAGCCTTGCTAGCTGTACATACATGTCGGAATCGGACAACCACGCACTTCGGGGGTCTATATAATTAATATATAATCATACTAAGAATGTAGATAAGCAAGTACTTACTTATGTATCGACATCCATCTGTCATCTATGAATTCGTGATCTTACTTACTTAGGCACTTCTTACTTACATCTTACTTGTAAGTTAAGTAGTAGGTAAGTACTTACTTGTTACTATGCCAAGAGGTACTCGGAGTAGGTAAGAGGCAGTCACTATGTAACTAACTAAGTGGTTGGAGACAGAGGTATGGTGCGTATAACTGTGGTCCTGTACCTAGTTACCTAACTGGAACCACATCGGAGCCGGGGCTGGGCTGTTCTGCGTAACAACAAACCACACCTCCTGTTTCCCACCGCCACCACACCTATACACCCACCCACACATTACACACCGCACACCGCACGCTACTACTACACTAACTACGCTACGCACGCACGCACGCAGGTTAAACGTTCATCAGATTCATCACCATCACTATCACCATCACCATCACCATCATCACCACCGCTACTACCGCATTTCCCTCCAGCTCGGACTTATGCTCCCAATCATATCCTTCCTCTTCTAATTAAGAATCTTCTAGCCTTCGTCCATACCGGCAGCTGCAGCTAGGCTCTAGATCCATTCGGTTCTCTCTCCCCCCTCGGCTGCCGACCGACAATCCTGGACTCGGGACGGGTGCTTGCTCCTACATCACCGGCAGCTGCACCTGCAGCTTCCCGACTCAACTCGACTCCGACTCCCATCCTCTTGGTTATATTAGGAATTACTTACTTAGGTAAGTAGGCGTTTAAGGAATTGCTTCAGTTAGGTATTATACGGCCAAAGAGATAGCAATATCTTGATACTGACTTTCGAGCTAGTTCCTTAAGTAACAGGTATCAATAATTAAAAAAAGGATCGGTTGTCCTCGCACCCTGGTTCGAATTGGAACTCTCCTCGCAAAGATTCAGGGTGCCTTCTTTTGAATTCCTCCAGCAGAACAGCACAGCATAGAACACCCCAGAACAGCACAGCACTGCACCACACTGCTCCGAGATACCCTTCAAAGGCGCGTCACCAATTCTACAAGGCAAAGAACCCGTATCCAGGTTTTGGTTGAAATTGATTCCAAAAGAGAAACAAAAAAAAGAAAAAGAATAGATAGAAAAATCTAACTTGACTTGGTCTTTTCTCCTTCTCCTTCTTCTTCCTCTTCTTTTGTTTCTGCTTTCTGCTTTCTACTTTCAACCACGCCCGCCATGGCGGAATTCCAAGCTGATGACCACCAGCCAGGAGGCTCATCGACAGTCGTCACTGCTCCACCTCCACCTCCACCCCCTCCTGCCTCCTCTTCCTCCTCGTCCACTTTCTCAACTTCTAAACTTCCGACTCCTACTCAGACACAGACGCAGACGCAGACGCAGGCACATACATCCCAACTAGCCACCAATGGAACTCCCGGAGAATCTTCTTCCACGACTACCGGTGCTACCACTACTACAACCGCTGCTACTACTACAACAACAACTACACACCGAGATGATGTAACCTCTCCGACGCTCCCCAGCACCCTTCTCAATGGTCTTCCCAAGACCGTGCCAAATGGTACCCTCAATGGTTTACCCAATGGCTCGTCTAATAGCCCGCCAAACACCAGTTCCAATGATCATCCACCCAAAACAATTGTTGAATCCGACAAGGCCACCTCGACAGACCCACCAAAAGAAGCAGAAAGATCCAAGACCACGACTACGGCAACATCTATCAATGGAATCGATGGTCCGTCTGGCGAGGCTACTTTGATTTCCCCTGAAGAACAGCTAAAGCTAGCAGAAGAAGAAGGAGAAGAAGGAGAAGAAGCTAGCGTCGGTAAGACCTCCTTGATCACAACCCTACTCGTCTACCTGTAAAACCCATCTTCTAATATCCATTTTTTCTCTTAGCAGGAGAAGCAAAAGAGCCCGAAACGAAACCAACCAGGAAGAAACCTGGTCCGTCATCTGATATTACAGCTGCTGAATGGGATGGTGGGATGGCTAAAGAGGACGTGCAGGACAACTTGGACGACCTCGAAAACGCCGATTCCGAATCAGAAGCAGCCGATGAAAAGGTTTCCGAGAGGTCCAAGCTCGAGAAAGGAAAGGCTCCTATCATTCACCTGATAGTGAGGAACAACCCAAAATCGACAAACTCTGAAAAGAAAAAACAAAAACACAAGCCACTCAAACTGATTGACCTGCCGTTAGATGTTCTGAAAGAGATAGTCCGAGAGGTATGTTTCCCCCTAGTTTGCTCCGAAAATCACACCCTCACTTTTTTTATACAGTTGATATAAATATCTAACTAGAGCGATATTTTGACAAATAGGTAACTAATACGACCGATCTCTGCTCACTTTGTCTCGCACATTCATCTCTACACGCTCTCGCCATTCCCCTCATATACTCGCGGTTCGATATAGTGTGGCCGGATCAAAATGTGACCTCGGATAGGACTGGTGTCGATGCATTGACATATGGCCTGGCAACCCTCGTCTCCAACGAGAATGAGTACGCTCAATATGTCCGGAAGTTTTCGCTTGGCAATGGCCCCAAAGAGTGGGTCGGAGAGTACGCAACAAACAAAGAAGGCGGCAAAATGCTAGGAACCCTCGTCGGATTAGCTGTCTGGAAAATGGGTATGTTGGAGACGTTCAGCTGGGACATGCCCACCGGTATACTTAGGGATGTCTGGAGAGCCTTGCACCGGCTGAACTCACTGCAAAATATTCATGTCAGGTGGCACGACAATTCACTCATAGACCCTGCTGGATCCCCCGACAGTTCGCGTAAGATCGAACGACCGACATTTAGCGGTCTCAAGGGCCTCAAATCTCTTAGCGTGTTGGACGTGGATGAATTAGTATATCTAAGGGAAATGGCTCTTGCAGTTGAAAAGAGTTATACAACGCTGCGAGAACTGCGCCTTGGAATTGCAATCCACGCCGGAACAAAACGCTGGGCGCATGACGATATGGAAACCATAACCCCGGACACCAATGATGGGTTTGGAGAAGGCGGTGCTATTGGTATCATCGTAGGGAAGATTTGTGACTTCAATAAGCGCGCCCCAACGACTGCTCTCTCGACCTCCCAAACTGTGACCGCGGACAATGCGTTGACACAGGAGCAGCTAGCCCAAATCCTTCAGGGCCAGCAGCAAGCCCAGCAGACTGCCCAAGGCGATGCAGATAATGCCGCTTCTACGTCTGGGGCTAGTACCATCAACACAGCCATGGCAACCGTCGCTACCTCTGTTCAGCCCGCTGCTAAGACTTCATCCAAGTCCAAAAAGGAAGGCTCCGGACCAAGCAAGCAGCTAAAGCTTCAAACACTCGAGCTTGAGAGAGTGCCCATATCCACTAGGGTCCTTACCAAAGCAATTGATTTCAGCTATCTCGTCAATTTAACTTTGCTTAATTGCAGTAATCAGTCGAAACTATACAAGACGCTGAGACGGAAATTCTCTCCCTACCCCCCAAGCGTCTTGGTCAAACTCAACAAGCTGGCCGTAAACCCAGGTTCTACCAACAAGCCTCCCCTGCACATCCCACCACCTAGTTATCGGCTGCGCCTAAAGAAAATTCACACCGATATGGTATCCGTGTCCCTCATAGAATTCTTACACTCCACCCTCGCTCCGAATTCCCTTGAGACCCTCTTCCTTCAGGAAATAGCAGGAGATAGTTATGTATCCACGGTGGAACTAGTTCAAATCCTCCATGAGGTTCTCCGCCGTCACCGCCTCTCCCTCCAACGTCTCCTCATCGATTCCTATGTGCAACACCCTGATGTTCCCGGGGATAACCCGATAAACGTCCAGTCCATCCTCGCCCACAAATCCAAATGGTGTTTTAACCAAGAAACAATCTCATTTATGACTGAGATGCCGAGGTTGCGAGAGCTGGCGTTCGGAGTCGAGTATTCTGACTGGCACTACATGATCACCCGACTCCCGGAAATGAAGAGCCTGAAAAGTCTCTATATCCCACACGTCATTGGCGGTGAATTCCATAAGCTAGAAAAGCAAAGCGAAGAGCTCGCCAAAACGATTGTGGATGTGGTTACGCTGCGCCCCGAGTGCGGCCTTTGTTATGTCGGCATCGTGAATAAGTGCTTCGAATTACTAGAGGGTGAAGAAGGCAACGAAGATGGCTCGGGTCACGACAATGCAGTAATGACGGATGAAGATGAGGATGACGCTAGTGATGACGATGATGGAACAGACGACGGCAATGACGACGACGGTAGCGATGATGGTGACGAAACCGAGGACGCTGACGAAACAAGTGATACTGAGGGTTCTCCACTCGCTACTAGCGGCATGTACCCGTCGGCATCATTTGACTCCTTTGACGAATACGACGATGATGTGCTACCGAAGAGGAAGCGGGTCAGTATACGGGAGCGAGAAATTTTGTTTTACGATGACAAAGTTGCCGTGTTCAAAGCTAGGTTTGGGAAGCTATGAGCCGGATTCCCCTCTTAAACAATCTTTCATACCTTTTAATCCATTATGGAGCCTTCCGCCCAGTTCTTAGGCATTCAAACTCCTCCAGAACTCATGTTCTCCTTTTTCTTTGTTTCCAAATTCCCGTTTCGCGTTTTATTCCCCTTCTAGTTTTAGGCAAGTCTTTCGTTATTCTTTGGTTTTCCGATTATTCTATCCTAGTTTGCTGGTTTATCGCGATTACTCACTGCGTTCATTTTTACCTTCTTTCCCTTACTTGTTGACGGGACAGGTCTCACATTCTCAGCGGTTCCTGGCGTGTTTACTGCTTTTCTTTTTTATTATGGCTAAATTTTTAACTACGACTATAATGCTTAACGTCATAACATCTGTATACAGCTGTACTCTTCTCTCTCTCTTCCTCTCTTTGGCCCTCAGTAGGACTCAGACAAATGCTAAAGGCCGTCGATATCCTGTCTATTATAGCGGCAAAATTTACACAAGGAATGTACTGATGAGGATGGTTCCCTTTCAACGGTGGAGAAACAAAGATGTTTGAGTTCTCATTACCTATAATTAAGAAGACTACTATCTTCGTGGTCAAATATAACGACCACCACTGATCCTCCCCTTCTTCGTTTTACGGTTTTTTTCTCCTTTTTTTTTACTTATTCCGATTCCCTAAATTTGTCATTGTGGGTATATCTGCATTTCTAGCGGCGAGGGTCTCTGTAGATATTGTTTTTTTCTCTTTGTTGTAACTTTTATTTCCGTGGTTGGATCATGAAGGATCCGTTCTTTATCATTAGATGAACGTTTTATATTATCAGGGTGATGATATGAATTAAGTTGAAGAATGGAATTTTCTTTTTAAATTTTGTGCTTCTCCTCCCCTCCAAAACATCCCGTTGATAGAGATCTATAGAAGGAGTTTAGACGCCCGGGTGTTGGGATTATTTTATATATAGGAGGCCCGAACTCAAAAGATGTATACTTGATGTCCGCGCTTGAATTTTAATTGATAACGAATAAGAGGTCATCACTAGTCAAGATATTAATGGCGTAGTCGACTCTAGACTGGGGGCTTTTGAATCCTTTTCGGGGGCTGGGGGGCTTTCGTGGTAGGCCTAGATGGAGAGTGGGGAATAGATTTGTCCTAATATATATCTTTGTATTTGATAACCATCATCACCATTGATCAGCTGGAGTTTAGGGTTTTCTAAGTAATCTGCGCGGTATACATGTAAGTACATACGAAATTGCACAATTACATAAATAAAATGAGGTAGGGGGTTGTAGAAGGGCAAAAACATACATACTTCGAATTCGAATATTAGAAGATGCGTACATATATAATAGATTAACTGTTTTATACCAATATTGGAGGATTGATAGATAGGTAGATAGATAGGGAGGTAGTAGTCTAGTTATTACCTAAAATACTCGGTTATACATCCCGTCCCTGCATATATATCAAATATCTCGGCTCGTACTTAGACACCCAGTCGAAAAAAAAAAAAATTCTACGAGGAATGACTGGTTTGATTTGTATCCTGGTTTTTTTTTTTGGTTTTTTAAGAAGGATTTAGTTCGGGTTGGAGCCGGGTTCGCCATGATCTGTCGCCGTGCGCCACCATACTGAATTAGGGTTTCTCCAGGCCCGAAAAGTGGAAAGTGTTTTAACGGTGTTAATGCCGCAGTTGCAGTCGGTTGATTATTGGATGAATCCAAAATTTTGACAAGCTGTGAGGCGTTGGGGAAAGTTTCTATAGTGGGGCTTTAGGCTTCAGGAAGCTCATTAATTAAGCGGCTCCTAAAATCTAGGATCAGAGTTATTCCTAAAACCCAACTTATGCAAGCAGATGTGGATCAATCACATCTTGGAAGCAAAGGAAGGAAAAATTAGAACAGAAGAACGGGATACTAGCTGAAAGTGGGATTATGCGTGAGTATTATATACCCAAGGCAGAAGTGAGTGTCCCCCAGAATAATTATATATGTACGAAAAGTTCATTCATATGTAAGGTGAGATAAGTATCTTAGAAAGAGGGCATTTAACTCGTTCTCGAACTTCCCGGTAGCTCCAAGCTTTGGGGGGTACCTGGGGCTCCGCAAGGCTATGCACTCTTAAATTTCGCTTCAACGTTGCAACTCGGTACCTAGTGAGCCTATCTTCAGCGGTCTCGTACTCAAACCCCAAACGCAAGCCCGGGCCCTACGCAAGGAATTTATTCCATGACACCCTTGAACTCTTGATCAATTGAGGTTACCGGGGTCTTAGAGATTCTGAAGCTTCGGGTTCGACTGTACAACTTGCTAATTATAATGATACGTCGCCGCCTTTCATTCGCCCAGATTCCAAAAACTGGTTCACTTTAACCGGTTGTATCTGAGCAAATTTCTGTTGGATGTCACCTTACCGGACTTGAGAAAGAGGAAAAGGAGGCTGAAACAATATATGCAATAGAAATGGTTGGGATTTTCTCTCTCTCTCTTGTTGGCAGATATGCGTGCAGGCTGCACCGGTTGTTCATTAACCTCAGCCTTGCAACTCGACTGCGGTATATTCCGGGCTCTTGGTTACACAGCGACGTGGTTCGGGTGTTGTTTTTGTTGCAGTTTTTCCCGAGCGCTAGTCCCGTTTCGAACATCGCTGTTTGGTAATCCGAAACCTGTTCGCTAGACCTTGCCTGAAGCTCGGTGAATTTTATAATTTATAAAATTTTGGGGAAGAATACACAGCCTATCGTTTGGGCTTCGACTACGCCTTGGTGTTCTAGCTTAGAGAACGTTAGTGCAGAACATTCTAACCGAATTGTCCTCGAGGGTGGGTGTGAGCTAGTGACGTGACCTGGCGTCAAGCCTCACTAGCGGTCAACCTTCGCCGACGGTATTCCCTTCTTTTTTCTTTCTTTTTCTCGCGCAGATACATAAATCATGATATCAATTGTGGATGCGGTTCGGTTGGTTGCCCGCAAAGGCGCCAAATCAGGATCCGAACAAGCAACAGAAGAAAAAAGAAAAAAAGCAGAACGCACAAACCACCATGGTCTACTACGTGGGTTCTTAAAACCGATAATCACTATAGGCCTGGCTTCTTTCCCCTCCTCCTCTCTATGGTCTTGAGTTAGCGGGGGGGAGTGCGGCTTTAGTACGTATAAAAAAAAACCAAAAAAATACTACCCATCGTCATTGATCCGAATTTTCTAGATCTCGCAATTGCGCAAACAAGGTTCCAACTTCCAGAGACTACTTATTATACATACCGCTGCTTACTACATTATTGTATTGCATCAGCTATCATGATACAAACTAGGATTAGGCAGGAGAGCTTCAGTTAGATCGAGGTTCTGTGTGGAAACGGAAATTGCTAACCCGGTCGGATACTATTGCCCACAGCTAAAATGATAGCTAGCAGCCCAAGTATCCGGCAGAGGATAGATCTATCGAGCTAAGCATGCGCATGCAATGCACGAAAGCTCTCCAGGGCATTTGGGGTGTGGTAGACCCTGCTGTCGGAGCTCGATTGAAAGGCCCATCAACTGAGCTGTACATACTGTGACCCTGGTGAGTGTTCAAGTCTTCAGACTACTTTTTTTTTTTTTTTTCTCTTTGGATCGGCGCAGCATTTGGTTAACGGATTCAGTCAGCCAGCTAGCCTAGTACTATAGAATAATATCGAGCTCGTTCTCAATGTCCACCAGCAAAAGTACGGCCAGTCTTGATGTTAAAAAAAACCAAGTGGCCCTCCAAGGCAGAAATAGGTATCGAGAAATTTTGGCTAGAGAGGGGCCGCTCTTGTAGACTTGTCGAGGCATGATGCTGTTAAGATCGAAAAGCAAGCCGACAAGCAACGTCAGCCATGCCCTGGTGGGTCCTTCAGCTAGGTCGCGCACTTTCTAACCGTACGGCGCCGCATACGCAGGCCAGTTGTACAAAACCAATGCGCGTGGAACGCCGCTTTTCTTTGGTGTGGAGGGAGTTATCCGGAGTCACAGCAGCCTCGTTTTTAATTAAGCTTGCCCGGCCACCGAAAAAAATTTATTCGAATTATCACATTTTACTCAACATCACCAAAAATCCCCCCGACCTTTCCAATTCCATCTTACCTACTAGGCAATTTTGATTCATAGTAGCTTTTTACTTTTACCTTTTTCCATTATTATTTCCATTGTTGTGGCGCTTTAGTAATTCGACTCAAAGGCCTCATCTCGCCACGGCTCGCGGGTATCAAAGTGCAACGACGGGGATAGAACAGTTCGAGATCCCACACGCGCGCAAAAGTCCAACACCATAGCTAAGCTAGTTCAGACAGCAGCAAGTTAAATAATTTAAGAAGGCCCTCTGCGTCTCGGAGCATTTAGCTCCCTCGGCTTTAGGCCTTTTTCCAGGTAAGGTCTCAATCACATATGAATTTAGCTATGAACAGGAATTTAGGGACATCCCATGCAAAAGTTGTGTCAGGTGCCTTAGAAATTCGCCCTCGGGTTCTAGTTCAAGAATATACTGACCAAGCGCGGTTGATTGCTTCGACAGGCCGTCAATTATTCCACTCGATACCGAAAGGAATACGATACTTTCTTGCCGTTTCCACCGTCTGGCTTTACCCAATAACCCAGCTCTCAATGGGTCTCTAGTATATAACGTATATATATCCGTCAGATTTAGCGGTGTTATCAGTTCCCCAATATCTAAAAGAGCCGCCGCGCCTGATCATCCTCTCGAATACAACCGTCATATTCTACGGACTGGACCACAACCACCCCCTTAGTCTGACCGGGATATCCTTCCCTATGCACGTGGACTGCAGGTCTCTTCTTTTCGAGTCTTTCTACGTAATTCCTGAGCAACAATCCCGAAAGGAAAAGAAATAAGAAAACACAAGGAACGTTACCCGATTATCACTTGTTTCTCATCGACTACAAGCGCAAGCTTCCCATTATATTAGGATACTTTTCACGCTATCAAAAGCGTAAATTCGGGAACTTCTAGTGCTCTTTAGGATATAAAGCAATTTCTTTCTATCCAAAATTTGCAAGATTGGTTCAAACAGAGGTTAGTGCTTTGACAACTGAAACTTTTCTTCTCCATCGCTTCCTACCTTCAACTCCCACTACCCCCTTCACAATTTCCTATCTGCCCTTCGTAAGATATATATTGCCTAGGTTATATATGAGCCTTTTGTGAGCTTTAATACCCTACCGAGACCGGGACCGTGGGTCTGTGGCTTGCGTGGTCCCAAAAGCGAAGGCATGGCAGGATATGCCCGCCTCTCGCTAGATACATGCGACATCCTTTAATTTGACAGCTATTGATATCAGAGAAGAAGATCGGACGTCTCCCTAAGTCTATGTTTCGTTCCAGATGCAATCTTCGTCTGCACCCAATCTATGTGCCGGGTGCCCGACGCGGACAGATGTTTATAAAACCGAACAATTCTCTTCTGCAGATCTGGAATTCTCCAAGATCGATATCATCTAGTCTTCTTCCCTCAGCATCAAAAATTCCTATATATGCATACACAATAGTTTAGTCTAAGACTACAACTGCCACTCCTTTGTTGACCTAGACTTCTTCTTTCCTTCTCTTTCCTTTCTTCTCTCAAGCCTCCCTCCCTTCCCTCATTTCTTCCTTTTCTTTGTTGCATCTTGACGTCCCCTATCGGATCGTGGTTTCGTTGAATAGTATTACCTATTGGTCCCATATATCTTTCTTTCTTCCCCCCAAAGCTGGGAGGAACAGATTCGAAACAAAGTACGATCTCCAATCATAGTATCACAGTTCCTCTGCCCTTTTCTTTTTACAACTTTGATTTTTCCTGCTTAAAATCAATTTTAACTTACTACTTCTCTTGATTTATTTTTATTCGTTGCGCTATCCTGCAAAATAACTTATATTTCCAGATTATAATATTACTTTTTACTGACGCTGGAATAGTATACACAAATAACCTTGTTCTTTGGGGGTTTACTTCATATTGGAATCTTTAAACAATAACGCCGAAACTATCTTGTCGAATCCTCCCATAAAGATTAGCACGATGTCTAGCAGAGACTCACCCTCCAACCTTCCACCCTATGCACCAGGGCCACGACCAGGCCAGAGAACTGTGGTGCGACCTCTCAACCCAAGATACGCTGCATCCGTTTCAGACACCGAATCGATTACCAGGTTTGTACTCTACGATTATTTTGTAGTCTATAACCCCCCTTTCTAACGCGGTTCTTTTCTTCGCTAGCGATGACTCTTTACGAGATTCTGGCTCTTCCCGTGCTTCAATTTCCTCGGCATCGAGTATAAGCGGGGATGACGAACAAGAACTCACACAGGGTCTCAATAATCTGACTCTTGTCAACACTGGTACCCCTGCTTTGCAATGCAAGCCACATGGGTCTAAGAAGGAGGCTGAAGAGAAACCAGCCGCTAACGGGGATGCTTCCAAATCTCCCAACCCTTCCGCCTTGCCAAAAAATAAACCAGATACAACATCCAAAGCAGACCCGAATAACGATCAAGCCTCTGAGATCTTGGGGGGGTTGCTTGGTAAAAGGTCGTATGATTCCGAAGTGGCTAGAACCGCTGGAAATGAGACACTTGCTTGCTTCCCGATAATGTCAGGGCTTAAACCATCGACGAAATTCACAGCACCATCACAAGTGACCATCGATGTTTCTGCCTGGCAGGCGGGAGTTCAGGTCAAGACGCACGGCCATAACCACGGAAAGCAGGCAAGTTCCTTCAATGGGCCGAGCGGTAATGATGGTGCCAGAGTCCCACCTATCTATCCTAATCACGTCAAACCACCTGGTGAATGGGGTAACAGAAATCGACAAGGCGATGATGGTCCTGACGAGAGTAGCTGGGGCCGCGAAAACCGTGCCCTCCGGACGAAAAAGAGAATTGCTTGTCCGGCTGCCAAGGGAGACCCATTCAATAATCGAGCTTGTTTAGGCGTCTCTTTCCCCAATCTTGCCAAAACAAGGTAGGAAAAGTTTTCCGTGCTGCCTGTAGTAAATAACGTCAACTAACCCGTAGATCATGATGTTTATAGACAACATCTGAGTTGCGCTGCCCACTTTGCTGTCGAGAAAACTCCACTACTTCCAGATGAAATCCGTGATCCCAACGGTTGGGACGAGATCATGGCTTATATCTATCCTGAGAAAGTTACCCCCTCGAGTGGTATGTAGCCAATTATATCTACTCGATGACATAGCACTTTAGGAATTCTAACAACTATATCATTATTTTCTAGATGAGGATTTCCACCCAACAATGGATATAATCGAAAAATGGGGAACGGGCCCAGGAAGGCCAGACTTCAGGTCCACAATCATACGTCTTCTCAAGCGTGCCGTCTATGAGCCAGGCTACGGAGCGAATGTCATTAATGAACTCGAAGCTATTGACCCTAGTACAAAAGAAGATCATGACACAAACCAACCTTTGTCTTCTTTCTATTCTTCTCTATCGGACATCTCGAGCTTTCAATCTGGAGTCGGCACAGCCAATTCTTCGCTATTTGTCCCACACACAGGATATCACCTCAACAGCCCCGTCAACTCGGAACCATCTCAGACTTTCGCATCGACCTCTATGAACACACCAATCAGCGGTAGTAGCGGCTCCGCTTCTGCTGTTCTCCCTAGCTATAATTCCGGAGCCCTCCCAGGCACTACGAGTTTTGGCAACCATAATTTCTCGGGCTTTGCTGGCCAATCAAACCTTATGGATACAAATAGATGCTCTCCTGATGTTCCAGATCTCCACAATCAGGTTGACAATGAGATGCGAATGAGTCCTATGGGTGGCCCTTCTCCAGACAAACAACTACAAATGTATTTTCGGGGTTCAAGCCTTAACCCTCCTCAGCTCCAAAACGACCTCCTTCTCGGATCCGATGTCACTTACGTTGAATACTATCTGAAATCCGCGGACCCCAACTTCTCCTTTGAAACCTATCCTCTAAACATCGTCAACAACCCAACAAGACCGATTCCTATCGGCTCCCTCGACCACCTCCGGGCAATTTACCACGAATTCAACAAGCTTTTTCCTCGACAAAACATGGTATTTCAGCTTCTCTACTAGAAGAAGAAAACCACTGATTCTTGCTATTTTGCTCCTACACGGACTACCAAACTTGTAAAGCTTTTGGCAACTTCTGGTTGGCATTCACTCCCAGTTTCCGTTCTTTCTTTTTTGTTCAATCTTCCCATTGGCTCTCTACCTTATGTATATTTCTTAATACTTTCTTTTCGTCTTTTCTTATGCGTAACTTTCGTTTTCAATTACTTCTTGTTTTATTACCCTGATTTTTTTTTTTTAAACAGCAGCTTTCTCTTCTTCTTTTGCTTTGTATTACGCAGTTTCACGTTTGGGATGTGTATACGAAAATTAAGATATAGCCACGACAACATTACAAGAGGTTCTTAAATATACTCAGGCACAAGTATTGGATTTCACAAACCCTGCGTTCTCAATATCCCAAAAGAACAAAAAAAAAGGTTCTTGTTTGTGTATATTTAATCTCTTCCTCTCATATTTGTGTATTCGTTTTTTGCATATGTTTTATTCTCTTTGTTTTGCGAATTTGTGAGGGTGGGCTCAGCTACATGCCGGCTTTGCTAGTCTGGGATTCGATCATAGCATCTTTGGGAAACTTTTTTTTATTGGGTATTCGGAGACATGGGCTTTGCCTAAGGTGTTCAGTTTTTTTTTTCTCTCTCTCTTTCTCTCCTCCACATTCTCTCTTTTGCAGATTTGGTTACAACGACTGATTCTGATGATATTTTTTTGTCACGGGGCTAGTTAACGTGTATGTTTTTCTTGTAAACTAACGATCAGCCTTACCAAAAAAAAAAAACATAAGCTTCTTAATTCCCTTCGTTATACCACATCCAGCTTTGCAAAGCATTTCTTGGCTATAATCTTATTTCTTAAGGTCTTGCCAGAAGAAATAAGACAATCTCGAGCTTAGGAACTTCATGAATACCCGTATTTCCGTCCAATTAGTTCCGTTGAATCGTTGTCATCTAGATTATGACGTTGGATTGAGAAAGCCCTTTAAAAAAAAAACCGCATCGACGTAGGGACAGAAATAGAAACCCTGAAGCCGTTGGACCTCTCGGTGGCGTTCCGACGAGAACACACGACCCGCCTGCCCTGTTGGGAGTCAGCACTAATGTGGCTAACATCACCATCCCCTATTCAGGAACACCTAAAGTTCCAAATTGCGGCAGTGCCGACCCTTGTTCGAAACTAGAGTACTAGGATATGTTACCTGTATCGCTAATTTTGCCAGAAGGGCAGAAAAGAAGGTTTGCCCTGTGGGTTAGCTGAACTGGCTGGGCTGAACATAAGTGGAACCATTGCATTGTTCATGCTCGTGCACTGCATACAGCACGCGCGCTGGAGTGATACGGCCATGTATAAAATGGCACCGTAAGCTGTTTGGCAAAATTTTTTAGAAGTATTTGTACCCGAAGACTTTCGAATTCTCACGCAATCTCGACGATTGATTCCTGGAAGTATCGACATTGATTGTCAAAGGACTTCTACAAACCGCGGTCAAGCCATAGCCCTATCGGCACTCCTTGCACCCCTATTATTCTGTGCAACCTCAAAACGACAATCCTTCAAAATGTCACACCCAACACATTCCTACTCGCCGTTAGACCCTTCAACCCCTTATAATAGAGATACCTCAATAGCAGAGCCTCAATACCCTCCTTCCACTCCACCACCACTCTACTCTGGCCATGGATATAACTCAAACCCGGACTCACCTTCCAAAGGTGGCTACCGTCCCGAGAGCATGATATATTCAAAACAGGAATCCACTTCACCATACCTTTCCACAGAAGCATCCTCAACGGCGGCCCTCCTCCCACAATCCGAAAACGAACAAGCCCGCGAAAAGGATACAATCCCGAGATCTAGTTACGAGAGCTACAATGACATCGACACTTCATACCCTCCAGCAGGCAATAGTGACGTCCGCTCCCGTTCTCTTTCCCCTTCACTCAAGGGTCACCATTACAAAGGAAAACGATATCTAGGCATCATCCGTTGTCTATTCGCCTGTTTCAACATGTTCATCTCCACCGCCTCATTTATATTAATTGCAATAGTAATCTGGGGGATATATTCCCAAAATAAGGAGAAAACACGATTGGCGATATCGGACCCTACTAAACCACCAAAGGATATTATACGCGCTTTCCCGAAGGATATAGAACCTCTACCGAACAATCTTATAATCGCCGCAAGCGTCTTCACCATGGTTGCCAGCATCGTAGCAGCATTAGCTCCATGCTGGCGATCGAACAAAAAATTCCACAAGAAAAGATTCGCAAAATCAGAAATCTTTGAAATAATCTTAAACGTCATTATTGTCGCTACCGGCGCTGCAGCCGCTTACTTCGCCTTGACTACAAAATCAGATACAGCGCATAGTCTGTGGGGCTACACCTGCGAAATTGCTAAAAACACCTCAACGGAACCACAACGTCTGGTTTTTACAGATATAAATTTCAGAAATGCTTGTAGCAACTACAACGCTGCAGTTTATACACTTATGGGGTTTACGGGTATCGCAGCGCTAATGTTGGGGACTTTCTTGGTCAATTTTTGCCTGAAAAAGAAGAAAGGAGAGTACAGACGTGACGATTCGGAAGCATACACGGGTGTATGCGAATGTTGTGGCGCATGTGCAGGTCCTTTGGTCGATTGCCTGGTAATCTGTCAATGCTTCCTTGCCTGTTTTCAATTGTGTGAACTTTGTAAATAAACCGGCGTTTTGTAGGCTACGAGGGTGGTGATCAAAATAGAGTTCAATGTTTTATAGATAGGGACATGTCGACACATCATCAATCTCAACCAACAGTAATTATTCAATTTTTATTTACTACTTATATCAGATCCTCGTGCTCCGTTTTGAGTGTTGGAAGAAACGAAACGATTGAAAATATAGTACACGTGAAAGAGTTGAAGCAGAAGATAAAACCGAAAAGAATAAACCCCGGAGTCCTTAATAAAAACGAATGTGGACTATGATGTAATTAAAAGACCAATACCGAAGAGAACGAAGACAGCCAATGGAAAAGAAGGATAGAACGAAGGCAGAACGTTTTTTAAAACCCGAATACACATGATAACAACAATTTACATCTGGAGCTATCTCAGGAGAAGAAAAAAAGCCCTTTGAATTTGTTCACGATGTCTTCTTCATAGTGGTGGTGGGTGCGTAATCCTAGCTGAGAACACACCTTTTGGGGAATCGAGCATAGAAAAGCCTCTACCCACAGGCTCTTAAATTCTGTGTTTTTCGCTCTCTGCAATTTTGTGTTAGTATACAAACTCTGGAACGGTTGGAATTAGACAAATTCTACTTACCCAGCCTTGAATAAAGCATGTACAATGCCATCTGGTTACATTCCTGAGTACCAGTGATTGTGACTAGCCTCTCATTACTGTTGTCTTGGGGTTCGTTGATCTTGATAACACTTCCGCTAAGTTGCCTGATCTCGTTAATCTTCGCACCACCTTTTCCGATGATAGCGCCAACCATGTCATTGGGAATATAGATTTGCTGGGTCAAGGGTGCTCCAGGAATCATGGCCGCCATATTGCCGTGGCCTTGTGCGGCGGGACCGGTATGGGCACCATGGTGAGGAACGGTGGGTTGGTGAGGTCCAGCACCGCTGTATGCGGGTTGTGCTGAAGGGTCAGCATAGTGAATGGGCGCGGCTGGTTGTTGCACAGGTGGTTGACCGTGCAAGTAGGGGATTCCGTAAGGATTTGCTGGAGTTCGCTGCGCCTGGTTGTTATGACGTCGGTAATTATCGGGGTGACCATAATTACCAAAGGCAGGTTGGGGTGTGTATGGCACAACCTGCATTCCGCCAGGGACGGCTCCGGCAGGTCCTCCAGATCGCGAAGCGTAAGCAGATGCAGCAGGGCCACCAAATCTTTCCGTCAGCTGCTCGACTAAGGTCGTGGCAACGTAGTATGTCGCAATGTGAACGGCATCTGCAACACCAACAACCATTAATGATCTCTCAGTGGAAAGCGGAAGACAGGAATCCGAAGCATTGAGTCGAGCCCCAGAAGCATCTTGAATTTCCCTGATGCGCATTCCACCTTTCCCAATGATGGAACCAATAAGAATATGCGGAATCAATAGACGAAGAGGGAAAGTCTTCGAGTTCTGGGTGGAAGCCGAGCTGAGAGGTTCGCTGTTGATGGTTCGTATGATTAACCCGAAAGCCTGTATGTTCGATATATCAGTATATTACTACGGACGTTGGTTTCTCTAGGATTCTAACCTTTGCAACAGCGTCAACACCACCGCTGACTGTTAGTATCCTTTCTACTGCTCCTCTGGTGTATTCGGAAACAGTGCACTTCGCTTCAGATAATCTCCTGATCTGTGTTACGTTCTCACCACCCTTACCAATCACGGTAGCAGCCTCAGCACTAGTGATCAAAGCCCTCACGTGGATCCAGTTCGATTCATCTACGGGCTGAATGCTAGAGGTTAGAGCCTGTGGGGCATCGGGGACTTTGGTGTCTCCATCGGCTTCCGACTTGGCTTCTGCGATGAACTCGTTTGGTTCACCCTTGACCGGGCCACCTTTGTCTAAAGCCGGACGTTTTGCATCTGGTTCGTTAGGCGCAGTCGGCGACGATGGATCCTCGAGAGGTCGCTTTGTGGTCGTTGTAGTTGTGATTGTAGTTGGTTCAGGGGCAGAAGCTGTCAAAGTGACGCTTGACTGCGACGATTCCGGCTTTACATCGGCGGAACTCATTTTGTTGGATTGTAGATTGAAACCCGCGAAATGTTTGAAGCGTCTGGTCGCTATCTTTCAGTCTTTCTCACACTTCACGTGATACTACTTCTGAAGTCTTGAAGCCAAAACCTGTACTGTAAATTCTTTTTGATCAAAAAGATTGCAAGAACTAATCGCTTGCGTGTTTATATTGAATTGCTCTACTCGATATACACCTTTGACGGGCAATGGGTGCTGGAGAAAGAGTGGTGAAAGGTGGTGTTGGTAGATAGGTGAGTGGATGGGAGTTGAAGGTGTCGGAGGAACGGACGACGAGGTAAACCGGGGAGGAAGGGTGAGAGGTGGCTAGCGTGCAGGAGAAGGCTCGTGAGATATCTCCGAATGCAAGCAAGAGAGATACGTGAGGAAACGGGTGAAGATGGTAGTGATCGGAAGTGATGGTGAGGATGATGAATGCAAGCAAGGACAACAGTTCTTTTGGATTTCAACGGAACGAGGGAGCCCTAAGACGTATTAGGGGCGAACTGCAGGTTTGTAATGAAGTGATGAGTGGATATGATGGTGAATATGGTGATGGTGATGGTGATGGTGATGGTGATGAGGATGTGGATGAGGATGTGGATGCAGCAGAGGGATGAATAATACGAGGAAGAAAGGTGGAGATGGAGAGTTGATAATTTTATATGGGGTGACGCGACAGCAAGCCCAAATAACCTGCGACGGACACAGCCTCTAAAAGAGCAGGCAGGTCACGACGAGAACCTCCGATGAGACAAGCCGAGACAAGAACACTCCGAAGAGGGCAACTGCTAGCGGACGATGTTGACGATGCCGCTGTTCTAATGCCGTTTCTTTCGACGGACGATGGTTGGTATGGGTGCAGGTTGGTGATGGTGTGGATGTTGGTGGATGGTGGATTGATACAGATTGATTGATAGATGTGGAGAATTTAAGGAGAGGGAAAAAAAAGAATTTTTAAATTTGGTTCTGCGGGCAGCAAGAGACAGAAACCACAGTTAAGATTGACGACGACAAACACAAACCAACTACCGTATACTTAATATGCCAGGAGTGCATCTACTAGATTTCAATTTAACGGCATAGAAGATATCTACAAAAGTAAGTCGAAGCCTTTTAAACTCGATAATAGATATCTAATTCTTGGTCACTGACGAGCTGACGGTGTTCTACGTTATTATGCATGCAGGCTTCGACGGCAAGTGCCTAGCCGGTAGATATACTATACCGCCCGACCACCAGTTATACTGTCCCCTGCCTCTGAGAGCTTCATACCATTGGACAAGGAAAAGAGAAATCCTGCTTTAGGAATATCGACCCCCAGAGTATGTCTCGCCTGGCATCGTTTGCTGTCGCAGCCGATATTCCTGGAACATCTCAGGCAGCTCTCCACCTTTCGACCATGTTCAGCAGGTAATGCACAGTTCCGGATTCATTGAAACCACCGCTGCTGCGAGAGGCCGTATCCTCCCGGTTGTACGACGACAAATCAAGCATATCCGGATCTCGGAGTTCTTGGTCAGAAATGTCTTCCGTACATTTACGTCGGGTCAGGCGAGATATCCTCGAGGATTAAATTTGCGAGCGATAAAATCGCTGAAATCTGATAAGTATCCACAATACGGTCGTGGGTTCCACAAAAATAAATGCGATCATACTGCCCATAAGTCAAATTTCGCTGGTGGAGGGGCTTCTAACCATGGGTCAGACGGCCTGTTTAGCTGGGGTTCACGGCTTGAAGACCCTCCTCGTTTCGACTATTCTAGGCCGTCGAATGTGTCGCAGGAGGTTCGAACCCAGCGTGGAGATGGGATATTTAGGATTCTTGGTACTGCAAAAACCAAGATAGACGACGAAAACGGGTCACCGTGGTTGTTCGGTCCGCAAAATGAAATACTTTGGAAATATTCGTCCAGCACCAAGCAAGAGGTTTTAGTCGGGTTTCCTCCTCGGGTACCTTACTCAACGGCCAGATCGCCTTCAGAACCCTGGTTACCAGCTCCACGAGATCGTCTTAGCGAACTCATTGAACACGACAATCTACCACCGGCAAGAACCTTACGGCCCTCGGTTCGGCGAGCGGCACTTGTTGACCTACAAGTCCAAAAAATTCTCCGCGATGTCTTACATCCGTCAATAATTTTTGATTCGCAACCGGAGTTAGAACCTAGCAAACCTAACCTTGACACCAATTCATTGCCGGAGGGAAATATTGGACAGTCATCGCGCGGTAGCCTTGGGTTGATACCATATTCCCTTAAACAGCTTGCTCTTGTTATCACCCAGACGAATCCCGATTTGCAACATGCGGAGATAATCATCAGCACCAACCAGCCCTCGCAATCTGATGAGCACGCGGATGTGAGGGCGGAAACGCTCGCGGGCTCTGAAAAGGACGGGCTCCGAATTCCAACAACGGCTCTCAATATGACGTCGGCTGTTTCGGCCCCTCGCACCACGGAACCGATCCAATTCGAAGATGTTGAAGTACCAGTGTCGACGAACATAGCGCAAACCCCAGAAGAGCCATATTCAGCCACAGCAGAGGTCGACGCCCTGGCGGATGTTTCAGAGGATGAGTCAGTTGAATATACGGAACAGCCCCCGGCCGCAGAGCTAAGCCCCGCCTTGACAATCGAAGATTCTCCGGTCGTTAACATATCCTTCGATTTCCTTGAAACAATACACTGGGAAGGGGTGAGGCTCCCATTCCAGCCACCAAAGATATTACTTCCAAAGGAACAAAGATTGGACGTCTCGAGCGTACCCAAATTAGAGGATATCCAATATGAGTTGCTTAAACTAGCAGCGGACAAGTCAACATCTTTGGAAAGCCGCATACTCATTTATTCTCAGATCGATACGATATATGGGATCGAAAATCTTCCTGACCCTAAATCATTTTTCGATGCCTTTTTACCAGGGCTCAGTTCTAGGAGCGGCACTATCAGTCAAGATGTGATGACTTGGATTTCCGCACACAAAAGTATCTCAAGACTGCAAGGAAAGAGATTGTTGCCAGATGGATTTCTAGAGAACCAGGGAATCGTGAAACTCCCCAACAAGGCTAAAAGGGCATACAGCGCGATTATTGATGATCCGTTTAGAAACCCTGATATCTCAATCCATAGATCCTGGGCCTTGGCGAAGGCTCATATACAAAGAGCAGAGAAGACCTCGACTCCAAACCACCATTTCTTACCCTTCACGACTGTTAGAATATTTCTTGAGAAAATCATAAAACTCTTGCATAGTGGAGCCTGGAATAGCGTCAAAGGCCAAGCAGTAATGTCAGGTCTGGAAATCCTTAAATACTGCTTTGAAGTTCAACAGCGCTATCCTTTTCTTCTCTTCTTGGAGCTGGCCCGGTTTTTGATGGCTTGGAAAAGACATTGGACTACGCGGGAATTTCTCGATGATATTGGCAAGGGTGGACAGAATGTGGCAGATGACAGTAGCAGTGTAGCGGAACCATCGAGCCCAGACAATTCCTCGCTTCCGGATATCCCAGGACTAGATGAGTTCTTTCGAGTTCTCCCCCGGGAGTACATCGATCGATTAGTGTGTACCCTGATGCTCCACGCCATTGTTCATTCAAGCGAGCCACTTTCGGAAGCCCACTATCTCAGGAAGATAATGCCTTTTTCTCGGAAGTACCCGATGGCAGATCTCATGAAAACCATGTATAGAGATGGAGGCTATTTACCTTTTTTGAAAGATCCCAGTCTTTATGATAAGCGGATTGCCTTAGAAGGGCCCTTTTCAACAGCTAGGTTTCTTCAAGGACGCCAAGATATTGACATTATCTCCTTTCACCTGAGAACTTGGCCAGCACTTCATGGAGTTCGATATATCGATGATAAAGAACTTTTCGATCGAGTCCAAGAAGCTATGGAAGATATCGTCAGCCGTGTCCAGGCACGGATCCTCAAAGATTCAATGGACAGTCGCCCTCGCGCCCCGGGCCTTCCTTTCGCCCAAGCCATCTTGTCTCTCTTCTATCTTAATCTTCCGACGGAGGGAATAATTGTCGGCATCTTTCTCGCCCTCGCCCATTCCAAGAAAACCCATGAACTGAAGTCTTGTCTCAACATTTTAAGTCACTTCGAAGGAAAATACAACGGTCAAGTTAAGTTCAAAATTCCAAAACAATGTACTTCCATCGCATTAAAATGTTTTCGCGAACACCACCTCCCCTGGGCTCTGGACCTCCTCATGAACTACCACAACCGACATAATAAAACCTTCGCAAATGTTATCCTTGAAGCCGCGGATAAATACCCAAAGCAGGCTGCCATTGTATTCGAACATTTTCTTAAACCTCTGCACGTCACGTCGCTCTGGAACCCCCAAATCAGTTTTCGAAAGCCCGCCGGTTGGCCCTCGAAGTGGTTTCTGAGGGAGCTGGCTCTCAAATATGCACTCTCTAACCACCATTACCCCACTACAGCAACAAGAAGAATCATACATCTCCGCTATCTCTACCGAAGATACGGGTATGGTGTTAGCATGCACATCACGAGAGCGTTAGTTGCAACCGCCATGATCCGAACTGCCACGCATAGATTATGGGCGGGGCGCGATTTAAAAGCCACCGAGGATTTGTTCAAGCATGAAAGGCTCAAATACGCCATCTCAGTGTTTATGAAAGATGCGGACCAAAGTCCGACGTACCTAGCAGGATTGACAAATGAACAGGCTGCAGCAAAGAAAAGAGGATTCGTCGAGAAGTGCATTAAAGAAGTTTGGGAAGAAATTTTCAAGTGGAAGAAGTACCAATTTGCTCTTGCAACAGAAAAGAGGAACCGGACTAAAGGTATTATATAGTATTACCAACTTAGTTTCTTTCTTTTTTTTGTGCTTTTTTCTTAAGACCTTCTCAAATTTCTGGGTCCGGACTCATCGAGTATAAACCGCACCAGCTGTCAAAGCTAGCATGTATGAACAATTTATTAGAATAAATACAAAAGAAAACAGAATAAATTCACTCCTCTTAGACAGGCCTCCAAACCCACTATACATGAATGAAGCTTATATCTCCTCCTCCTCATACAAATAAACATACATACATACAGATATATAATTGTAACATAGGCTCGGGTTTTCTTCTAAGCACCACATTATTGTAACCAAAAAAAATAGAATGAAGTAAAGTACTAGAGCAAATGGTGATTAAGTGCAAGTACTGTCGCGACATACAGAAATAAGACAAGTAGCTAAAAATTATAGATAAAAAGCATCTATACGAGCGATGTATACCCGCCCGCGTTCGAAGGTAACCTCTGACGCTTTTGTAGAATAGGGAGCAGATTCAGCCAATCAAGCAAATTCGCCACACTTCAACTTCCAAGTGTTCTGAAGATACATGTCATCGATCCGGGCAGGAGGGTCTTTATAAAGCGCGACACCCATAGTTGGATCATTATGTGGCCAAGAATATGCCTTAAGATAGCTGGAAAGAATTGCAATGCTAGGGTATGAGGTAGCCCATTCCAAGCGACCAGCCCATCTAGATTGATCGAGTCTCATTGCCTCTCTAACCGTATGGTACCTTTTAGTACCAGCAAGTTCCCACAGCTTTGGTATGATCATATCCCAGATACGCTGGTATAGTTCCGTTTTCTCAATTACTCGCGAGTCAGTTCCGTAATTGCATACCTCAACGTATTCCAACCCATTAAACGCACCATTCGTCTGACAAGAAGCCCAGACGGGACGACAACCGGGCGGTACCTCGAGTTTACCCTCTTGAACCTGTGGTTCGACAATCTGTGAAAAAAATGCAGCAAAGCCGAGGAAGCCCTCGGTATAACTGCCATCCCATCCGAATACTGATAGAATTGTTTCCTTGTGAATCAAGGGAACAGGATGTCGTTTTGACAATCCGGAGTGGGTTGCGTTGTATGGACCGTCGACGATTTCTACGTCGAGCACATCTATGTCATCGGCGTTCCCTGGCACCTTGCCCGTTGGGTCACGTCCGGTGGAGTTGTAATACTAGATTTAGAGAAGAATAAGTAAGCAGATTATAAACAAAGACCTATGAACGATATAATAAAAAAGGATTTCGAAAAAAGGTCCAAGATGAATTCCCCCAAGACCGATGCTCTAGATGTCTTGGTGCTGATTAAGTGAAGATACGCACATACGAGCATACAGCTAGGGGCATCAGGTCGGCTGATATGATAAGGGTTTTGCAAATTTGATATTCAAATGTATACTCACATGCATAGCAGGATTCATGAACGGTTGATGTCGGGTTCTCAGACGCATTTTTTGCTAATGTTCGATATTTTGATTAGCACTAGCTACTTTATATATTTAATTCGTTCAAGATTATTTTTAGAAAATCGAAAAAAGCTTACCCTATGTGACATTGCCTCAGCGGGCATAGACAAGTGCAAAACGCAAAGGACGAGAACTGCTAGTATTTTTGAGAAGGCCATCGCGAGATGCCGTAGGTGTCTCTAGATACTCTAGAGCTCCACCAGCTATTACTTGGCTATATCGGCAACTTGAAATTGTGGGGTTATTCGTGCACCCCTCCACAAAGGCGAATCTGAAAGACTAGAAGTATCTCTTTAGAGCCAGTGAATATTCGAATATACTTAGTACTTCCCGGGGGGTATTTTGGAATTAATTTGCAATTGGGCTGAACTTGAGGAGAAAGCAACGAAAGCAGAAGATCTGGCCTGGAAGGGGTGGGCGTATGTGGATTCTTATTGCCATTAGATCGCAAAATTGCTAAGACTACGGTCCGGAGGCAAAGCAGCCAGAAGTGACAGGTATCAACTGTAATGTTACCCAAAATCACAACTCCAACGGCATAACAGCTCTTCAAATCGCCGTTCGAGTTTCAATGCTCGAAGATGAAACCAGACGTTGGATTTTGTGCGTTGGTAATTGGCTGGGCCACCAATGGCATTGCGAACCAACATCTGGAACGTTACATGCACTGTGATATAATAAGCCATTGACCCTTCTGGTTAATTACTAAGTTGCGATTTAAACGCATGAAATTCAAGAGAACCAAATCCTTTTCATTTCCATTATCCTAAATTTTAAACTTAAACATGGCGAAATCATATCAATAAGAAATAGACAGCACAAAATCAAAGTAGTCATAAGGTTCATTCTGACATCCCCGTGTATTTCTATTCCGCTTTTCAGGTTAGACTGCAGCCACTGGCTACCTCGATCGAGGAGGTTATTTGGCGGGGTTGGGCATTTAGTCCACGCTCACAATCCTGCCACACATTGCCGCATCCAACCCTAATCCAACGTCACCTACTCCACCGCCCTGCCGCCCACTGTCAGTGACCAACAGAATAGTTCCTTCCTCAATCCACTCGACTGTGGCAGTGAAACTAAAGGAGTACCTAACCGCGCCAGCATCAACTGTTCCGGTGAGTTCATGGCCTTCTTCCTCTTCCTCATCAAACCCGAATAGCCCTCCTGAATCCTCCGCAGACTTATCATGCAATCCGCCACCACCTTCGCCAGCAACAAGCACTCTGTCCAAAACTCGAGCACAGGTTCTCACACTCCCAAAATACACGATTGCGTTAGCGCCAATGCTTAATGGAACTCCACCACGCTCCTCTGAAATCTCGAACTCAGCGCTGAAACCCGTAGAAATCTTCGGTTGCGGTCCACTTCCTGTTTCGGCACCGCATGGCAACAGGACCATACCTTTCCGTAGCCTACGATCCCCTGAAAGACCAACATGCAAAGTCTGTGGCACATCAAGAGTATTTGCAAACGAAACCGATTTCTGGAGGGAGCCCCTATGCGGTACTGTCGGTTGTGGGGCGTGAATCTTTGGCCCAGGTGGGCTGAGCCGCTCACTTGACATCAAACGAGCGATTGCGGGATGAGATGGTGCATCTGGAGCTGGAACTTCACTCCACTGGCACAATCCAATGGTTCCAACTTCACCAGCCACTAATGAAGCAACAGGGAGGCGGCACTTGCGAATGCTAACCACTTTCACTGTCTTCCATTCACCGATCTCTTCTGGGGCCAAATGATCATGACTGTGCTTTCCAGGAGACATGTTCGGTGACCGACTGAGATACTTGCCATGATCTGCAAAGCTCGAGGCTGGGGTTGTTGGTCGAGAGTAGGAAAGAGATGGGAACGGCCCAAGCAACAGTTTGTCTCCCATCTTGATTTGTCCGTACTTGACATGCCCACCGAGGACGGTTTCGACCAGGGCTGAAACAGTCTCAAATACGTCCTCAACGTGGAATAGAGGCTTCGAAGGCCCTGGAGCTTCTGCAAGGTCTTCGTCATCTCCAATAACTAGCTCTGTAGGAGGGGGTATTGGTAGATGTCCGATCAGTGCCTGCAATGTGTCAATTCCTTTGCCAGTCACGGAACTAACAAGCAGAATTGGAACAACGGAGCCATCAAGAACGGCATCCTTGTTCAAGGAAATGAACTTGATCATCTCTACACCGCCGCCTTGAACGACTTTTGGCTCTTTTCCTGCTGCCCTAATCATCTCAAAAGCCAACTTGCATAGTTTTCGCAACCCTGCATTACTGGCAAGGTCCAACTTTGTTATCAACAGGAAGAATCGGAGTTTGAGTTTCAAGCAAAGCATGATGTACTCAAACGCGGGCCCAGTAGCAGTGTCTGGGAGCTCAATGTCGCTAGCCATGACAATAGCAGTGTAATGAGGCGCCCACCCAACGAGACCCCGTATTGCTGTGCGCCGGTACTTAAATAAGCCAGCAGAGTCGAGTAGAAACACGGTTCTAGCAAAATTTTCTTGGCCCTCTTTGAGGTCTGCTGTGCTCGACCCCACGGTGGCATGTATATCCATCCAGCTGCCAACGTTACCAGAGTGGTAATTTACCATCTCACCACTTGCTGTAAATCCAAGTAATTCACTCGCTATGCTAGAGGTGTTGCCGGTTGCGACTTCGTGTCGATGCTTCAGAAGTGAAAGTCTAGACTTGCCACGCCCATTGTCCAGGGTACTAGAGGTCAGTGTCCCTAGCAGCGAAGACTTGCCCACGTTTGTTGGCCCGGTCAAAGTGATTCGCAACTGTGGGATGTTATTCGCGTGACGGGCGTCTGCCGCAGGGTCACTTCCGATTGCTGGAACTGATGTGAATTGTCCTGGCCGTACTAGGGCCTCCGCAGCGAATAAGGGTATCACCTCCCCATCCTCCGTCATCGTATTGGCGACATTGACCTTTCGAACCACTTCAACCACGCATCCCAATGCATCGGCCATCTTCCTTAGAGTGTCCAAACTTGTCTCTAGCTCCTCTTCAATAAGACCTAGTAGTCTCCCATTATCTGCTACCCCGATTTCGTATAGACATCCTTGACTGTCTTGTAGCAAGGTGGCATAGTACGCTTTATCTACCGCTCGGGTTCCGGATTGATACTCCGTCTCCTTCCCGTCTTCATTTTCGAACACGGAAACTGGTGGAGCGATTAACCCGGCAGTATTATGGGAGGGACAACTCTGCTGGAGTCTCCATAAGAGCTGTGTTGTCAAGTGTTGAAGTCGCAACGGGTTCGGGTTGAGGAGTGACAGCTTATACTCCGTCGACCCTTCCTGAGGCTCACTGGCGAGAGATTGTATTCCATCTCCTTCCCTCTTGTTCGGGTGCACCTTGCTCGGACCGGGAAGCAGCAGCGTTGGAGTTGCGACTCGAGTATTGGCGGCCGAGTTCGGTGGAACCGGGGTTGAGATAGCCGAATTCCATGGGGAAGACGGTGGAGAAGGTGAGTGATTGAATGTGAACAAGCTGGACATGTTTCTGCTAGGAGTAGGAATAGGTTAGTAGAAGCTCTAGAAGCTCTGCTAAACCAAGACTTAGTCCGGACCTTAGCTAACTTAATTCCTAAGCGTATTTACTATGTGTATATATGTATCTATAAGGACGTCACAGAAGCCGGTCGGGCCTGCAGGACAAGAACCCCTTCAAGGGCTTGAAAGATTGATATCGTATGTCGCGACTAAGCGTGATGAAGACTCGAAAGAGAGAAGATTCACACCCTTTTTCGTAAAGAGTTCCAATTCGTTTGCTGAAGGTGTACTTTGAACAATGCTACTAATCGCCGTGTCATCTTGACGGTATTGTGTGGAGAGTAGATACTCGTTCACTTGACGATGTCAAGCAGAGTGTCTGTTGTCGCTATATATTGAATAGAACGGGAAGTCCTCGAAGGATCCTAAAAGGCGAGCATTGTGGCTAGCCTGTTATATAATCTCGTGGTTTAGATGTGGTGTGTTTATGTCGAGGCCATGTTGAGGTTACTAGCGATGGTGATGGTGATGGTGATGATATCAGATATTCTTGGTGTAGCTAGAGATCTCGAGACTAAGTAGTTAAGTATGACAGTACATTAGGGGCTCGCGAGTGCGACCTGGTGGCTTTACATAGTTACGGGCTTGGGCATCAGCTGCTGGACGGGTATGACTAACAACACGGTCAACACCAAAACCTGACAACTTCGAGTCAGCCTGACCCTCCAAATGAGCAATTTCAAAAACATGCCTACATTCAGAAAAACCTGTATCAAAGAAATTTATTGACTTCGAATTTGCATTCTCCTTGGTCCAATATAGAAAATTAATATGTCATATCCTTGCTTGATTTTTATATTTCGCCACCTAAATGTATTTGAACGGATTTTGGAAGATAGATTTTGCAATTTTTGAAGTAGTAATGTATTATGATATCGATATAACACTATGGGGCCATGGGGGAAATAGGATTCAGAAAGCTTCTAAATTTATAAAACATAAAATTAAACTTCCCCACGAATGTATTGATGCGTATCATGATATAAGCCCATACATAAAGGATGGGACCGCTTTTTAGTTTTCAAAAATTCATAGGCATGCGACCAGACTATCCGAAATACACAGACAGGTCCTCAGCTGCGGCTCAGATCGGGCCGCCAGATGGCCTATAGCTACCTATGATTCGACTCGGGTATAATTATCAGTTAACTACATGTGCAAGTCAAGACATTCTGACTCAAAATTTCTCGCCAAACTCCGGTAAGAAACGCCTTAGATCGTCTTCCTCTTCTCTTTCCGCTCTTGAATAGCCGTCCATTTTATGGGGACTCTCTCGTACGATAAATCCCAATAATACGGCACAGAATCCTGAAAATCCACCTCCCGGTTACCAGCCGCGGACTTTCTGCACGACCGATCCATATTCATATTAGTCGCCCCAATGAGTTGAATGATCTCCATGCCTATAGTAGCATATATTGTAACCCGTTGGTGTCCTGGATAGTAAGTAAAGTGTGACGGGTGAAGCATTTGCGCTATGTAGAAGATGAGATGCCATGCTTCAGTTTTGAACATCGACCTTGCATCTTTTCCACCAGAAATTATGAAAGCTAGTAAATTGAGAATTTAAAACGAGAATCGCGGATATTTTAGGTCATTTACTTTTCATTCTCTATGAATAATATATAATTTCGGCGGGAGTAGATGTGTACCTTTAGCGTCCTCGAGCTGTTCGTCGAATTTTGACTTTGGGCCCCAGAGTTCAGAGTCTTCTAGGAACTCGATTACCCGCTTTTCGACATAGAGATAGGCGTCTACAGTAAGAATTTTTTAGAATCTATTAGTATATGTACTTGAATTCATATTTCTGACTTCCCCCCCGGGTTCCATCGTTGACGCGCAAATCTTGACTCATGATCAATTTAAAGGTTTGCTGCATTGTAACCCAAAGTTGATATGCATATAGTTGCAAATATACAATACAAATATATGCTATTAATTTGGTAAAACAATATTTATATAATCTTGAGATAGAGTATTCGAAAATATTAATAGCCACGAACCTCGAAATTGATTTAAGATATCTGGACAAAGGTATCCCTCCCGGTTTAGGTCTAAGGCATCCTCCAGATTTTGTATATTCGCTTTATCTCTCGTTGTTTGTGGCTTTTTGTAGATATAAACCTTTTCTTCGGATACTATTTCTGCTTCCCTTGTCTCTTCTACAAGAATATAATCTAGTGGACTGCTGAGGGGTATTCTTGTATCGGCTTGTAAACCAACTGCGGCATCGACATCGTTTACCATATCTGATTCTAGAGATTTCCGTCTTGCAATTGGATTTGGACAATGTTAAGTAATTAGAGTATATTTGACATAACTCGAGTTGATATTTCCTTCCGATCATTAAATACGGGGAAGGCCTCCCTTTGCCTTCAATATAAACTACAAAAATGAGCCGTCGCCGCGCCTACGTATGTGCACAGGATTCTAGGAATTTCTGGGCTGACATAATATTGCGCCTTAGGGCCGGGACATGTATTGATGTCTGTAAGCCCTAATCCCAGCCGTTTATAGTTGACAATCCCATCATGTATAGTAATATAGTAATATACATTAGCCCTGGTCGTATATCAGCCTCCGTAAGGCTGTAGTAAGCAGCTGCACGCATAAGTACATCCTGGATGCCACGACCCACCCCTCAAATTCAGTCAAATGCAATTCATACCCCTCATTATATTACTCTAATATTTATTATCGCTGTATAAAGTACCTAGGTAATTAGGTAGGTAGGTATATAAATGTACCAAGCAGGTATAAGAAACCGATACCACAAAATTTAAAAAGAAATTAAAGAGAAGTTCCTTCGTTGGAATCCTGTAAGAGGTAAGATAAGTGTCACCCGACAACCCTAAACTCGGTCCTTTAATTATAATTAACCACTTCCAGATACAGCCGCAACCTCACTACCCGTATACGTATTTGAAACCGTATTATTCGCATTGCTTTCGATGATTTCATTCACACGATCTTGAATGAACATCTGAACTTGCTCCTCAGTCATATCAAAGATCTCATCCATCTCACCCTCATTAATCTGTTTCCTCAGTTTTGAAGATTTAGCCCTTGCAGATCTCGGACCGTTATGTCCTCCGTCGATGAGCTTTTTTGCGACCCCTCTTGCTACCATTTCAACCCTGAGGTTTCTTCTCCAAGAATTGACCTTCTTTTCGTATCCCTCTCTTTTGCCGAACCTTTCTAGTGCTTCTTCGAGTACCTGCTCTCTGGTAATCCCTTCCTCGGGTGACTCGGCACGATCTTCTTGGACACCCTCTCCATCCTTCCCACCGTCTGTCACATCATCATTCTCTGCCTCTTTCTGACCTCCTTCAAGAACCTTGCCAACTAGTATAACGTCTACCCCCAAAAAATCAAACCAACCTTTCAACATATCTCTCTTCCCAATTTTACTTCTATCGCTGGCATTTGCAAACTTCTTCTTTGTAAAGCTTCTCTCTTCAAAGAACCGACTCTCAGTCAGAAACTCATAAACCTCCTTGACACTCCCAAACCTTTTTTCATATTTACCAACATCCAATCCGAAAAACTCAAGTGTCTCGTTAACACTCTTCGTCAATTCGACCTTCGCTAACTCTCTGTTGTGATCTTCGATTTCTCTGATCCGAAGATTAAGACACTTCTCGTCCGCTACTAGCCCTTTCGTTCGAGCCATGATGCCGAGGATGGACCATAGATCTCCGTAGGCATGTTTGAATGAGACCCACCACATATTCTCGGGTGATGGGCAGACATGAACGTCAATTTGCGCGTATGTTTTCCCATCCTCCCTTTCTTCTCCCTCCTCCAATTCACCAGAATTCTCCTCTAGTTCCAAAGGTACCGCGAAAGATGTTGTAGCACCAGCGATAGCAGTCATATACTCCGCTCCAAATGCAACTTTCACATCCTCCATGGTCGTTAGTTTCGATTTCTTCGAAAGGATCGGTTCGGCGACGAGATAGTCTAGATCCCCATATGACGTCTTCCCGGGTGCCTCCGGAGGGGTGACCACATATCCGTAGAGACCTTTTAGGATATCGTGGTATTTTGTCTTGAGTCTGTGATAAGCCTCTGGACTCATTCGAGGGGTTAAAACTCCTTGGTTGGAGAACGCGGATCCACCCATCTTTAGTGGGGTTGAATGGAAAAGTCTTTTGTGTCGACAATTTGCAATTGGAGGTCCCTTCGGGGTCGGAGATAGAGCTACTAGGTACCTATTTCCTGAATGGCGTCGTCAGATTTGTGGGATTGAAGAAGTGTGAATAGATTTAAAATAAGTTATACCAATACGCTGCTGAGGATGAAATCTATAGCGAAAATATAAGGCTGTGGTAGAATACGAGAGGAAGTTTATATGTTTCATGGCAGTTAGAATTTATATTGATGCCATGGCCTTACGCTTGCTATGCCTCAAAGATTGATCAGTCTAGATCTGCGTAGAATTATGGTTCAGAGATACGAAGCACAAAGTGTTCCTGATATGCATATATGAGTCAAAACTTCAGGCACCTTTAGCTTACAATTTTTTCTTTTGCTTCAGCCAGCCTTGCAAGGTGCAGGCTATCGAATGAAATACATTTTCACACCGACAGATTTTCTCCAGGCACAAATGAAGCTTATAGTGGTAATATATTATTGAAGTCACAAATAATGCCGGTAATGGGTATATCAATGCGTCAACGAAACAGAGGCTTCGCAATGCAGAACTGCGGATCGAAGCAAAAGGAACCCCGCGGATTAAGGTAAAAAAAAAAAAGAGAACCAAGGAGAGAACCGGCAATACTGAACCCTCCCAGCCAAAAGACGACTACACACAGAGAAACACCATATCGCTCATATGCATGCTACAAATAGATGTCACAAAAAAAAAAAAGGTACCGCGCCAAATGCTTCGATTCAAATCCAAGTTTCCTAGAGAGTCGTTTCATTTCGACCCACCTTTCCTCCTACCCCCTAAACTCTGGCTCCCTCCGCCAGCTAGGACAACAAATCCCTCTTCTTCACTGCCACTATTACTCCTTGCCACACTGATGCTGTTCTTCTCTTTTGCAAAGCGGCCTCGTCCTGTTCTACCGAATCCGAAGCCCATTCCGGTCTCCATATCTCTAACTCCGTATACCCGTCTATTACCTTGAACGATTCCCAAATTTGTCAGAACCATCAAGAACGGGCGGGCAAGCAGATATGCAAGTCCGACGCAAAATCCAACGAGCACAACAGCATAAAGAAAAATAAATCTAGTTCCATGTGCCGTTTCATGAGGTGCAGTGTGCTCTTCCACATTAATTTCCGTAGAAGAAAGCGGTAGGTGTTCGTGATCATCTCCTTCAGTAAACGCTTCCTCTGAGAGATCTGGATATAGGTGTTTCGTGTTTCCAATGGAAATGCAGAGACTTTGTTGCTTGTTGGGTTGCGGCTTCTTGGCGAGCGGGTTGACGGATTTCGGGGCAGGGTGGAAAACAGGAATGACGAAAGTGCAGAGGAGGTCGATGAGATCACGCTTGGGCGAATTGCTGGGTTCTATGATGGCAAACACAAGGTTTTTATCTTTATACCAAATTAGTTAGTACTAAGCGGGCGGTAGGGAGGGAGTATATCGTGGATATGAAATATCAAGGGCCCGGTCAGACAGCAGTTGGATATCAATTTATGCTTCCACATGACTTTGTATTCAGAACAAGTTTGTGTGAAATTGTGCTTCATCATAAAGGGCATCTTGGTGAAAATAATGACAAGTGTGGAAAGGGTACTTTACCTTCGGCGTGGATCTTAGTGGCAGCCTCCTTTGTAACCTGAAAAAGCTTCATCCTCCTCGCCTTCATCTCACTCGTCTGTGGAACAACGCTTCGGAATGTTGTTTTTGGCGCATCAGGGTCTGCATTCTCCCAATCCCGACCGACAACAATGATGTGGGCGTCCGGCCTTGCAGACTCTCTAAGACGTCCCAAGAAAACCATCAGTTCTCTCTTAAACTTCTCGGCATCCACAGGCTCCTCGAGTCTCAAGAAGTCCCTCTCACCAACATCCACGATTAGCATCTGTGGGCCAACCTGCTTCAGCCATGGGTCTTCCTTAAAGAATTGCAACTCCTTTTGTAGCATATCTTGGAACTGCTTCGAAAGCTTTCCCAACTCCTCGGCTCTAACCTGCGTCGGTATAGGATTTTCGTTGAAATACTGATCCTTCAATCCAGGCAAGGGATCTCTAGGGTCACACTTCGACAAAAAACAAGATCCGGCATCAGCGTGTGCGTGTCTGATCCCCAATATCTCGGCTGCCCTGAATTGTGTCGAGTTAACAACTGACACGCCATTCTTTACAACCTGTCTCACGGCATGTGCGCCTCCATCGTCTCCGACCCCTCCTCCAGAATTATCGTGGTCGTATCCTAGCAACCCGCCATAAACCTCCGCGTCAACACCCTCTCCGATAAATTCAACGTATACTCGATCATCCTGTCCATCTGTCCAAAGCTGTCCTTGTCGTACCAGCGTATTCGCGACCAAAAATCCTTCAAAAGAAAATGGATGATCCGCGATACTAATGATTCTGACAGTATGGGGGTCCAGGGTACTCTGCTTCCCCTTCTTCTGGTTTTTCCCTTTGCCAGGAATGGTGATCGGGACGAAGATGACTTCCCGGTCCCTGTCTAATGAATCAAAGGTTGGGAGAGTGTAGAGCAGGTCTTCAGATCCGTCGACAGAGACATAGAAGCTGTAATCGTCTATTTTCCCTTGCGGCTTTGGACGTAGCTTGAGAATACAAGTGTCACCGTAGACTAGGACTGTAAGGTATGTACCCGGCCATCTCGAGGCAGTATATGTATCACGTCTTCGACGCCATCTCCCGGTGAACTAAAGACAAATAACTATATTAGCGATACCCAGCAATTGACCATTCGTACATTGAACCCTTACGCTAAATAGCCCTGCATGAGTCTTGGGTGTTATCAAAAGCTCTTGATAAGGGATATATTTCGGATCGAACCTATTATCGTTGGTGTTAGCTACTTGCACTAGGTAGCTCTAGCCTTAGAGGTAGGAAACTTACACTGTTGACCTATATCCGTCCGTGTCCGATTGTGCCTCAACAGGCGTATCATAAAAACACAGAAGTGATATTAATACCACCAGGAGTTGAAATGCCAGCGACGTGAATATTCGTCTCGCCATGGCGGTGTTGTCGAGACGTCAAAACGTCCTCCGTGCACAAGGGTTTGCTCTGTCCTTTCCTGATCCCCCGTTCGGGATCCTCCGTCTCGGAACGTGGTGTTTGTGTGGCTGATGAATTTCTGAAAAAAAAAAAAAAAAAAAAAACGTGTCGCTGGCGTTTAAACAACCCAATTGCAATTGGGCTTCTGTCCAAAAATCTCTCAACGGTCGGATGGGGCCTAAAGTTTCTTCGGGAATCTTTCAACGGTGGCAGTAGGAGTTCGTGAAGTAAATGGTGATTGGTATGATAAACAATGGCTGGATGTCGGATCAGCTACTTAGGTCGAGGGGAAAATGAGGGATCGGAGGTTGAAAGGGCGTCGGATGTGACACAAGATCCAGAACAACATAGGCCCAAAAGATAGCTGACCATATTCTCCGGGGAGAGCAGGTGATATTCGAGATACACCGACGTTGAGGTTGAAGTGGCAGGAAAGGGGAACCTAATTGGGCAGGAATAGTGTCCAAAGATGCATCGCCTTGGCTGGTGAGAATGCGCGCTGTCGCCGAATACGGCAACGGCCAAGGAAAGTCGCCGCTCAACACCAATAATGCAACAGATGCGAGAAAATGGATGTGCTGCAATTAATTACATTCTAGGAGAACAATAGTACGGTGCTCGTAAGATAATGGTAATGATGACTACTTGATGTCTTTTATTTGTTTCTTCTATCTAAGAATAGGTACTTATATATACTGGCATAGGGAAGAAAGTACTCTTACTGAACAAGTGCTCTGCACTGTCCGTACCAGGTGGAATCAGAATCCGTAACTTGAGGACTTCCACAGCGGTTTGCTAGGGAAACCTTCGGTGTGACAATAAATTATAGTATTTCTTTCATCATTTTCCACCTGAGCCCAAGTATCCTCGAGCAGAAATTATAATGAATAGGAAAAGAGCAGGGCACGCATCTAGGGATCTCGAATATAGCGGGATTGGTGACTTACCATTAAAGCTAAGATAGCTCCGGGGCCAGAGTCCTGACCGCAAGACAAAGCCAACGTGCGAGCAAATAGGTTGTACGAAGATCCTCAAATCGAGACTAAATGACGTCCGAAATTTAGTTATATTCAACGCCTTTGGAAGTTTGATACTGTTACCAACCTTCTCCTGCGGGGAAACGAGGTAACGTCACCCAGGTTTGGTTGATTTTTTTCTGGTTTTTCCAAAGTTTTCCAGATGTTTTTCGTTTTTTCGCAAAAGTTTCAAAATTATTCGCTAAAGGACTACGCTAAAGGGACAAGGAAAGAAAGAAAAAGGACTTTGAGCACGAAGCCGCACTAGTAGGAATGCTCCCAAAGTTAGGCGTAATGATGTTAGCAGCAGACCTAATAACGTGGAACCCATAGGTGGCTAGTTACTTACAAATCAACTCCAATCCGGAGTTATAAATGGCTCGGTAGAGCCATTATACCTCTATCCATAATTGGAAGAGCCCAAGTAACTGATATTACTTGTTTAGGTAAAAGTCGGTCTAACAGAGTAATCTGTCGTTAAATTCCGCATGCTGAGGCGAGGGTCTCTCTTGTACAACTAAGTTATAGAAGGGAGCCTCAGGTATGATGTAGAAGTTAAATTGGCCAACCACCCAGTTGCATGGGAGTGGCAAGGTACTAGTCTGTCTCAGCTGCCACCTCTGGAGTGTCCAGTAGTGGCATATGCTGGTAATTGAACATAGTATAAGGGTTCTCTACAAAGTCCCATGTAATCACAGGGGTCTAAGTATAGCCTCGAACTTGAAGGACCGAGGGGAAGTCTATGATGCGGTTCCAAGTAAGCCCAGAATGTCTCTCAACGATATAGTTTCTAAGATCTTGATGATGCGTGCCCTGAATTTTTAATGTGTAAAAAAAAAAAAAAAAGGGGGAGGGGGTTTCTCTCTCAAAACCTGGCAGATGGAGAGCGAGGCCACCGGGGGTGAGGGAGCAAGCTAGGAGAGGATACTAAGCCTTGTAGAAAGATGCAAGTTGTGGAGTAAATAAGTGTTGGACAGTGCTAGGTAACCATAATGGAATGGAAGCAGTCTCAGGAACAATTCCATGTTAGCTGTAAAGGAGTGATATCAAGAGGGAAAACAGGCAATTATAACAAACTGCTAAGAAGAAATTAGTAAGAACAATGGTGTCATGCAACCTTGTACAAGGAGCAGTCTCATGTCTGCCATGCTAAGGTGCTTGTGTTGTTTAGCATAGAAGCTGACCGTAACTAAAGTCGGCAGGAGGAAGATTATTGAGGTTTGTAGATTGAGGCTTGTACAGACGGAGCTAGAAGGCATTTGAAGAGAGGGGGGTACCTTGTTCAGAATTGAAGCGTTGGAATAAACAGCACAGTTGAGGAGTCTGGCGACGAGACAAAATAAACAGTAGGTTGGAATAGACAAGAAGTCAGGGTAAGACAAATGAGAAGCAGAAGCAGAAGATAAAGAGGGGGGGGGAGGGGGGAAACAAACAAGACGAACGTAAAAGTTGAATACCGCTCAGAGCTGCTAAAGGATACGGATAATCCGTTTTTTGAAGTCATGTGTGTGTCCTTCAAATTAATTTCTCATCACAGCGGTATCGAGCCTCCTGTAAACCCAAATTATGATTCGATAAGCAAGGGAATTGGCAAACCTAGAGCAGCTGGGTATCAATGCCCGGGCTATAATTGATATCCTACTTATCGTTTTGTTGTATCCCTGAGAGCTGATCAGATAATGAAGTCTACAGTATGCATAGGTAGTAGGTATGTTATATTGTAAAAGGTAGGAAGGTATAAGGTGGGGGAGGAAGATGGAAAGAGGAAGAAAGCAGGAAGAGAGAGCTTAGTTAAATAATGGAGGTTAGGGAAACTTTTGACTCTGCTCATTAAATTTCCTAAACGGGAACAATTACAGTATTGATGATGATGCTGTGAGCGTTGACTATAGACGTCTGTTGCTGAGCACTGAGATTCCTCAATAGCATTGTGTTTGTGTTGTATGATGTCGAAAATGTGTTGTTCTGCGGTATTCTGTCAATGTGTTGCCATGTTTGGAGCAAACGCCAATAGTGCCAAGCACAAACCCCATGTCCCAGCCAGGCACACACGGGCCATGCTATCAATGCGACCATCAAAACCTCGAAAAATTTCTGGTGTCTGCGAACAAAGCCCGCGAGCTAAAACCTATATGCGCCTGCCCACCTGCATCTCCAACATCATTTACTCTCATCACAATCACCATCATCGCTGTCATCACCTATCCCTTATTCTTATTCCCATTCCCTATTCTTGGCGGCATTATCTATTCTATTCATTTACCGTCCTTCCGTGCCGAAATGGTTATTATTTCTTCTCGAAAACCTACACTCATCATCAAAATAGAGACCATCCCACTTGCATAACCGTTCCCTCTGATACACCACCCCGCCCACCTACTCACCGACTAATCCCTATCACCTACATACATAATGTCTCATCCTAATAAACGCCAGAAGGTCAAAGATGACTATCTTTCATCGTCATCCGTCTCTGCTCTTTCGAAGGTCCGGCTACGACACCAACATGATGCACTACAGGAAACCCTGCGCTCTAGTACTGGACAGGGAAAGAAGACCAAATTTTTCTCGGAATCACCTGAACCGTCTGGCCGATCAATTCCACCTCCTCCGATATCTAAACCATCAAAGCATACTGGCGCAGTGAAAGAATCTTCAACTACCAATGGGGGCATTAGCGAGGTCGAGGCTATAGAGCTTCGTCAAAAGAATGAAAAAGCAAGGAAGAAATTGGAGAGGAAAAAGCGAAGGTTAGCCGATAAGGAACGAGCTGACAAAGAAGCTGAAGATGGCGGGTATTCGTCTTGGAACGGCTTTAGTGACAGCCAGGAGCCCAGGTCGAATACTGCTCCTCCCCGAAAGATCCGCAAAAGGCTCGTTGAAGAGGCAGTCGTGCTGGATAAGCCGGTGAAAGCGTCGAAGGAGGGAAGGAAGCGTCCAAAATCACCTCCTGCCACTAACTCTACCTCAAGAGACACCAAACCTGAACGGCTTACAAAGGAGCGAAAGCGAAAGAGACAGGAGGATATTGACTCTAACAAGCCTTCTCTTAAACAATCGAAGAAGCCACTTACCAAGGGAGAATCACCAGTATTCCCGGCCGTTCCGGAGAGTACTACGGACTTCATGCTGCCCAACTCAATATTAGTACCTCCTGCTGGGCGGAAGAAGCCAACCACTAAAGTAGAATCACCGGTGTTCCCAACCGTTCCAGAGAGCACTACCGATTTCGTGCTACCAAACTCAATATTGGGCCCTCCTGCCGCACGGAAGCCAGCTACCAAAAGAGATTCACCAATATTCCCAGCCATCCCAGGGGGCGAGGGTACGGATTTCATGCTGCCTGAGTCATTGTTAACATCGATCTTGACCCAGAAACCGGCTAAAGCTACTTCTAAGAAGATCGAAAGTGTCTGGGATAGACTTAAGTCGAATCCCAAGGAGTCTTCTACAAATCCGTCTACGGAATCATCGAAAGCATCACTGGGGTCAGGGGATCCTGTATCTGAAAACTCCATGACAACCGCTAGTTCTGGTCCCAAACCATCGTCTGAACTACAAACGATCCCACAGAAGCCTCATCAAGAGGCACCACCTCTATACAAAAACGCTGAGAAGAAGGCGCTATTACAGGACAAGTTAGAGCCCCAACGGGAAGCGCCTTTGCAGAATAAGGCCTATAAAAACCTGCCACCGCAAGACAAAACAGAGGTTCAACAGCAAGCGCCTCTCCAGAATAAGATTAAAAAGAAGGGTTTACCGCGTGAAAAAACAAAGGTTCAACAGGAGGTACCTTTGCAAAATAAAGTCTATAAAAACTTGCCACCACAGGATAAAGTAAAGGCTCAGAAAGAGGTGCCCCTGCAGAATAAAGTTGAGAAGGAGGCCCGGCATGAGGCACCTCTAAAAAACAAGCTCTTTAAGGACGTGCTATCGAGTCATAAAACGAAGTCTGAACAGGAAGTTGGGAACGACTCTACCACGGGTCTAGTCGACCCGCTGACGCCTGCCCCGCCAAAGCCACCCGTCAAATCAAAAGAGCAAATCTCTCGAGAACTCCAGGTGGTCCGCACATCCCTTCCCATCTGGGAATTCCAGGATGAAATCCGCGCCACTATCCGCAAGTCCAATAGTATGGTCCTGGTTGGTGAAACAGGTTCTGGTAAATCCACACAGATAGGTCAATTCCTCCTAAACCAACCCTGTATGTCTAGGATGACTAGTGCAGGCGGGAAAAAATACGGTGGATGCATTGCTATCACCCAACCTCGTCGAGTGGCTGCAATTTCGCTTACGCAGCGTGTTTCTAATGAAATGGGCACTACTCTCGGCAAGGAAGTCGGCTATTGTGTTCGATTCGATAATATGAGCGACCATAGCACGAAAATCCGTTACATAACTGACGGCATGTTGCTTAATGAGATTCTACACGACCCTGAGTTGTCACGTTACTCTGTGATCGTCGTTGATGAAGCTCACGAGCGTAGTGTGTCTACAGATCTTGGAATGGGCCTTCTCAAGGGCATTGTCGAGGCTCGTAGGAAGAAGAAGGTACCTTTGAAGCTAATTGTCATGAGCGCTACCCTAAACGTGGAAAAAATGGCAAGTTATGTTGGTGGGCATCCAGAAACCGGGGAAGTCAGCGAAAAGTTCCCGCCAGCACCTATCTGTCGAATTCCTGGAAAGATATTCCCTGTGGAGGTCTTTTATACGCCAACGTCGATCGATAATTTCCAAACGGCTGCGGCCAAGACAATATTCCAAGTTCACTACCAACAACCATGTCCCGGAGATATCCTCGTTTTTTCTACTGGAAGCGAGGAAATCGAGGAACTGGCATCAATGGTCGAGGAGCTGGCTCTACAGATGGAACCCGACAAGCCCAAGCTGAACGTTATGCGACTATACGCTAGTCTCGACCCCGCAGAACAACAGAGGGTCTTCGTTAGGGGGAATCCTAAGGAACGCAAGGTCATCATTGCAACAAATATCGCTGAAACCTCTGTCACCGTCCCGGGCGTCCGACACGTTATTGACTGTGGAAAAGTAAAAATGAAGCGATTTAGGCACCAGCTTGGTATTGAGTCGCTCCTTGTCACGGACATTTCACAGGCTTCCGCCCAACAACGAAAAGGTCGAGCAGGTCGTGAAGCTCCCGGCACTTGCTACCGACTCTACACTCAAGATTTCTTCAAACAGCTTCAAAAGGACACTGAACCTGAGATTCTCCACTGCGACCTAGCCGGTGCGATGTTAACATTGCTTGCTATTAAATCCGAAAATAGTATGGACACAGTTAATAACTTCCCATTCCTGGATGGTCCTAGCCATCAGAGCAGGGTGAAAGCTTTGACGACATTACATGAACTAGGCGCTATTAACGACAACGGTAACATTAGTGATGTCGGGAAGAAGATGAGCAAATTCCCGCTGCCTCCGGTACAAAGCCGGGTTATTGTAGCTGCAAGCGAGGAAGAGAAGTCCAACCAAAGTAGCGAGGAAAATGTTTTGGTTGATGTTATTGATGTCCTTAGTTGTCTCTCGGTGGATGGAAACATCATATTGCAGCCCGCAAGATGGAAGAAGACCTTGGCGGAGCCGAAGGAAAAATCCGATCCTTTGCTTGCTAAAAAAAAGAAGAGGAGGCATACGGACGAGGAAGACTCGGATGAAGAATTAACGCAAGAGGAGAAGGTGCAGAACAAGCGGATGGATATTGTTCACCCATCCGGAGATCACGTTACATACCTCAATATCCTTCGAAGATATCTCAGCAAGCGCCCAAGCGAACAAAAGAAGTTCTGCCAAGAGTACCAAATTTCATATTCATTAATGCGCAAGGTGGAGAATATTCGCAAGCAGCTTCGGGGGTATTGCCGCCTTGACAAGGTTGGAGACCTACCGAGGGACAGTGAAATGAGGTACGAGAGTGATACCTTGGTGGCAAGATACCCAAGAGTCAGTGCGGAGCAAACTGAAAAGATCTTGAGGTGTTTTATGAAGGGCGTTGGGGTTGAAAACATCGCCAAGAGGACCAACGGTCGGAACTACAGAACATTGACATCGACCGGAAATGTGGCTTCCGGGGTAGATATGTCGGTCCATCCGAGCAGTTGTTTGATGTGGGAGAGCATCGAACGTGAAGTCAAGCGGTCAAAGAAAGACATTTGGAGCGAGGGCGGGCACGACCGGGAACAGAGCAAGATAGCTCGAGAGGCAGCCAAAAGGAAAGAAGCATTTGGAGAGGCGGTGATGTACCAAGATGTTGTTTGGACGAGCAAGGCGTTTATGAAATGTGTGAGCAAGATTAAGTTGGAGTGGACGGCTGAGGTCTTTGAGGGCCTCACCTTATTTGCTCAGTAAGGTCCGTTCAGTCTTCCAGAAGACTTGCGGGTTCGACATGTGGTGGATGCATTTATGATACTCCAAACACCGAATAGAAGATAGAGGGGGTTTGGAAACAGATAATATCTGTATGTAGGTTGTTGGTATTCATACAGCGACTACAAGAATTACATAGCGAACCAAATGCCTTTTAGAGCATGAAAATACATGTATATTATTACGACGGTGATGAAGAATCAAATATGGTGTCCTTATCTGAGAACGGTCGGCAAAGCGACGTCGCGTCGGTGATATCGATCAATGTTGAAAGCATGTTGCATGTTGTAAGTTGCACATCAAAAAGGCGGTGCATTTTTGGCCTGTCAACCTCTGAGCCCGGGCCAATTCTGTCTCCGATTAATTGCGACGCATAAGAGAACGCGACGACGAGCACCATTCTGACTAGCTACCCCAAACTCCGACCCGGTCTAATATATATATATATATATAACTAGTAGTTGCAAGTCGCAAGAATAGTAGGTCGGCGTTGGTATTGAAGCTACATCAAAGCGAGATGGCCTCATTCAACAAGCTTCCATTCGAACTACACCACAATATCGTCCAGTACCTCGACAATGATTCTGCCAAATCACTTCGATTAGCATACCCAACCCCAAAAATCATTGCAACCACCGGCGCCACTGTTTTCAAAACGCTGGTACTCCGTCTCGGGAATCACAAGAATAGTCGAACCAAACTCGATAATCTTCGTTCCTGTCTGCTGACAGAAAATAATGAAATCGACTTGAGTACTGACGGGACTTTGACACACGTTCGAACCCTTGTGGTAGATACGAGATATCCCTTTGTGGTGACAGATGAATTTACTTGGACACGGTCAAAATGGCGGACGTCCGGTCACTTGAATATGCCTAGTAACTCCCGTTGTTTGGCGGATTGTGCCGAAATTGTACCCGACGAGGAGCTTAATTCCTTTTTGGACCTCTTCACAAAGGTCATTTCTACGATCTCTAGCCGTTTAAAATTATTAAGGTAAACGAATCATTGATTGTCGAGTTAACTTTCTTTCGTTTCCTTCAAGGAATATTAACTTAATGCAATATCTATTTAGATGGCAAACCTCAGACCTATTACCTTTCCCTGTCTACGATCAAATCGCAAAGCTCCTCTTCTCTCCTATGTTATTAACACAAAAGAAATATGAATTTACGGTATCGCACACCTTCGCCGCTCCCTACGCCCTAACACAGTATCTTAAACCACTGTCAAGCTGCGATCGACTTGAAATCATCGGGGCAAGTACAAAGAGTACTGAGGAAGAGATCGATCGCATCGACATGGCTGCTGTGGCCGAGTTAATATCCAGATGCCACGAACTAAAGAGTTTCAGTTATACGTACCAAACTTGGGTAGACGCCGATTGTTTCGACACCCTATGGGGGGCAATCAACAACCTCGAAACCCTTGAGGAACTACAACTCCACACCAGCGAAAACATGATCGGCTCCGTAAAACCCAACCTCTCAAAGTTGAAACGATTAAAGAGAATTTCTTTCGACTGTTCAGAATATATATATTACGTATTGGATGGTCATCCTGTCTATGCTGTATTTGATTCCCTCGTGACTACTGGAATCGATGGAATAACGAAGTTTGCAGTCGGGGTCTATACGAACAATATTCAAAAGGTATTATTGCAGCAGAAGGCCATAACTGACTTAAAGTTACATGTTTCGAGCAAATCGGATATCCTAAGAATTTTTGCAGTCATAATACCCACCGTGGCGGGGACTTTACGTTGCTTTCGAATTTCTGGCGTGGTAGAAGGGCAACCATGGGGTTGGTCAGACAAGAGAACCGATGGGAGAGGACTTCTAGAATGCAAAAAGCTACAGGAGATCGAATTCCCATTTATAGAACGCAATTTTCTTCTAACAGGGGAGGGAACAGTTATCAACAGCTTACCTACCTTAATCAACGATTTTGTACGAAGCTGCCCAGAGTTGATAAGGATTCATACCGGCAGTATCGCAGCAGATTATAATGTTGCGTCCTCACTGATTAATGTCTTGACGGATTTTAGATCTATGGATAAAATTTTTAAAGGGAGGGATATTGAGATTATGCTTAGGCAGCACACAGAAGGAGAATGGGGTAGTTCGAGGTGTAGGACGAGGTTTCCTCGCTCTGGGAATGAAGAAGATTTGGTGGGGGTTTTCGATTATTATATTCATAGATGGAGGCTTCGAGAAGAGACAGCGGATGATGGAGAAGAGAAGGTCTACAGGTTTGAGAGGGTCGAAGACAAGTGCTGGATGCGAAATGAATGCTGGGAGGAAGATTAAAATTTCATATAGTATACATCATAGCCTCTCTACCGCCTTCATGAAGACACAAATTAACAAGGCCACTGCTATCCCGAGATAAGTAGAGAGCTACCTTTACCCTCAAAACCCAATCAAGATCTTAAAACAAGCTACTTGCTCATTTGACTCGCTAGCATTACTATAATAGATCGAGATTGATCATCCCTAGCTTACATGCATGGCTATCGGCATAAAAGTGGCTTCCAGAACCAGTATTAACTCACACGCGCACCTGTCAAACCAGCTGAGTAGAGATATCTACTCGTAAAGTATAGTATTTGGTCTAACTTTGCACTCACTAATCCCAGTATACTGGTATTATTCTTTACAGCCCGTTGAATGTAGAGCACGCGACATATTTTATGACAGCTATCGCAAGGCCGGCAGACAAGAATACTATAGCTTAGTACTAGCACTATCGACCCTCTTTGAGCCAAGCCTTGGGCATTCTCCACTATTAACAACATGATCAGATTATATAAAGTCCATAAGTACATTCCTCGATCCTTAGCTCTAGAATTTTGTAATATTCAACTTGTTTGATCATGAGGTTTATGGACCGGCTGGTCTCTCGACTCGAGGAGGTCATCTGTGGTTGGTCAGGAGGGCAGGACAACGCAAAAAATACAACATCCTGAGACGGCCACCGGTCATTCCATGAACAAACCGAAAACGTGGAGATATCACAAAGATGATAAGATATCACTTGGGCAGTATTTCTGACCGTTCATGTTACGTATAGGGTCTAAGGTTATTTAAGTCAGGTCAGCCCCCAGGTGTGAAAGACTCTTTTTCCTGCCACTCACACGAGTAACACAGCATCATATCCTTTTATTTCGATTTTCCATAAACGTCTTATAACAGTCTTATACCCTGTATTCCAAGTTTCTTTCTTTTTAGAAAAAATCTTTCAATATGGCTCCTAAAGGCGAAAGAGTTAGAGTTTTTCTTAGAGATCGAGTCTTTTATTTGAAACGCTGGTATCATCGTGTGGTCAGAAAGAAGGTCACCACCGAGGTTGAACCCCACGATTAAATCATCTTATATATGCCCGACAGGTATACACTTCGACGCCTCTGGTTGAAGAAACGGGAGGTTACCTACTTCAGCTTCCCAGAATTCCTTGACCGAAGTGCGACAACAGACAAACCAAGACGCCTTCGTCGAGCCCGTTCTCTTCAACCAGCAGACTTCGAACCTATCGATCATGAAAATTATACACACTACACCACCACCGATAACAGCAACAATACTTTCGTTTCCAAATACCGTTCTTTTCTTCCTTTTTCTTCTCATCGCACTAGTTCCTAGTTTTAGTCTCGCAGACCGTGGTTATGACGATGAAGTGGTTGCCTCAGACCCGGAGCGCATTGTGCGAGAATCTGCCCCATTATGGCTCCTACCTCAGGGAACATGCATTCCCGACTCCGCCGTCGACAAGGACGGAGTACAAAATAATGGAACTGATACCGACCTTTGCCGGCTCTACGGTTCTCTCGATACTGGTTGCCCCGATCAAGCTCCTTTCGACGGGCCTTACACCAAATCAACCGCTTTCCCAACATACTACCATTTCAGATACTGTCCCAACGTAAATCAAATCAGGATCCTTTATGATATGTACTATCCTAAGGATACAGGTCACAGACATGATTGGGAATGGGCGGTCGTTACCTTCAAACAAAATATTATCACCGACTGGCGCTGGCACCGTGAACAGCTCATCCTTCAAAATGAAGGGACTAACAGCGTTTTCCCATGGGCTGATATTCCCGAAGCTTACTCCGAAGGTGATAACTTCCGCAATAACGCAGGTCCTAACGGTGATCACCCAAAGCTCTATGTTGGAAAGTTTCATCATTCTGTGCATACGGACCCTTACACTTCCATATTTTCAAAGTATAAATGTGCTTTTAATGCAGCACCGGTGTATGGGAATTGGGATTATAGAGACTCTGACTACTATTTTCCCGCGCAAGAATGGTTAGTAAACGGTGATTCGATCCGGAAGGACTGGACTTGGGGGACGTCGGATAGCCCACCGCCTGCTTTCTTTAGCGATGGGGGTTATGACATTTGTTATTTGAGGGTTGATGCTACTTCTTAATGCCCATTTCTTTCCTTACCCCCCCTCCTTTCACTCTTTACCTAGTCTCCTTTGTACACGGTTTTTTTTTATGTTGCTGACTGCATTTATCTTGGCGTATGTGGAGATTTAATGGAGTTTTCTTTTTTTTTTTCTCTTTCCTTTCTTCTTTTCGCATAGTTTCAAGTATAAGGCACTGGCGTTTTCATCCCTTCTTAGTTAGGTTCTACACTATCCTTCCTGTTCTTTGATATCATTGCACCCAGTCATTCTTAATATTTGTTGATAATACACCAATATACCCCCCCTATACCCATAGAAAAACCTCTGGTCTTCATAAATTACAATCGTATTCCCATAGATGTGCCATGTAAGTCTCTAGAGTTAATTGATAAGCCGTGTTGATGGATGACTTCTCCAAAGCCACTGAACACCTGATGCCGCAAACAGTGTGATATAAGCACCTGATATACCCCGGGAAAATATCCGCAAATCTAACGACCCCGACAAGATCAAGCATACTGCTGTCTCCCCACATCCTTAACATACCAACTCCCCTTTTTACCATCCCACTCTTGTTCATACTGCTGTATCCGACCGTGACTTCCAGGCAACGCACCTGGACTTTCATTAGCAAAATTGCAACACGATGTTACTGGTTATCTGTAGACACAAAACATACCTCCAGCACCCCAAGCCAAATAATCTAGCGGTTTAATAGCTCCTTTATCTCTAGCAAAAGCTAGCGCTTTGTCTTTGGCGTCTGTAACTTCATTCTTGTAGTACCACATGAAAAGTCGAACTGCGAGGTTTGAGGGTAGTCCTCCAGTGAAGTATAGGGCTGTCAAGAGGCCGCTGACTACCCCTGCTATCGACTTTTTGATCAGATAGCCAACAAATTGGATAGGTAGAGCGGGAATAGATGACCCCCGCAAGATTCCAAAAGATGTGAATGATTGGTGGATTGTATATTCCGGGCTCTATTTTTTTTTTTTTAGCTATTAGCTTCTCGAAGTGTAGATTCCGCCTTCGGTTCGGAGAGCACCTACCACAACCAATATCTTGTCATATTCATCCGTCACCACAAATCTATAAAATCCATCCTGTGTCGTCAAAGGAATGTGCACGCTAACATGTGTAACCGCATCAAACCTTCTTGTATTCGCATTCGATATCTCTTGCTCTGCAGCTGCAGCACTTAAATCAAATCCCACGACATCCTTACAAAACGACTTCGAAGGAGAAACCTCAGTCCCATCAGCAGCGGTATACACGATCTTCCCACCAGATGAAAAGCTCTTCAACTCAACGTCTGGAGTAACATCCTTCCAGCTATTCTTCTTCGCTCTTTTCCCAGTCCAACTGGCAGAGTTCCAGCCGAAGAATCCATCAATCCATCCTTTTCTCATACGATAGACTTTGAATTTTGGAGGTAAGCCTTCACCCGTAGGATGGAATATTGGGAAATCGACTGAGGAATGCAGGAGGGTGTAGCGATCTCGTAGTCCCTGACGGACTATCGCGTAATTCGGGGTGACGGTTATAGCGGAACCGATGTAAACATCTTTGGAGTATCTGGCTGTAAACTGTGCCGTTCGGTAAATTAAACGGGCTGTTCGGGCTATTGCTTTCGGCAAGAGAGATATAACAGAGCCGCTCGTGCTTGAGGGCTGGCTTTGAGCGGTGGGTGGTGCTGTGCTATCGGACATGATTGTTGATGTTGGTGTATTTGGTGGAGGACTATAGATTTGCAATATTATTGAAGAAAAGGGAGCGGGTTTATAGATTTTATGTTCACAGATCAAATTTCTAGTTAATGCCTGGGTACGCTAATTATAATGATTATTACGTTAAACATCGCGAACGGTTTGTGTGACGTCATGGGAATCTGCGCGACGACATCATTCTACGGAAAGAGCCGAAAGAGAAAATACAACATCAACACACCGTAACCAATCACCCTATTTTATCATAGCTTCCAAAATTTACGATATATCTTACGTACTAGTCTCGTATTGGTATCTTAAGGTAAGCCAAGTGTAAAAGCCGACAGTAATACTTGCCGCTATGGTAGCATGCAGTAACTAGAGTAAATTGGTAGTAATAATAGCTTTTAGTCTTCAATTTCTATGGGCTCCATTTTCGAACCTTTGCTGCTAGATGCTGCCACAGCGTCCTTAATATCCGGCAAGGCACCTTTAGAAGGTTCCATCTGACTTCCACTACAAGTCAGTGCACTCATCTCATCCCTCAAAGCTTTCAGGTCGATGTCGTCGTCCTGTAGTTTCACCAACTCTTCCCCTTCCTCCTCAACATCAGCATCAACTTCTACATCTTCCTCTTCCTCTTCCTCTTCGTCCTTTTTGGTTGCGTCCTCTTTCTTTTGAGTTTCAAATCTTTTTAGAGCGGCCTCGGCTCTTAGATCTCTTCCCCTAGCACTGGCCGCCACCCTTGGTTTTCCTTTCGTTTTTTTTCCTTTCTCTAACTTCTGCCGTAGGTCATCATCACCTCCGACAGCATTCCCTTCCAAACTACCAAACTTCTTGACTATTCTCTTCTTCTTCTGCTCCTGATAGTCTACCTTCTTTCTCTTCTTTTTGGCGCGTCTATAGACGCCGCCGCACAGGTCTGCTGGTAGGTCCTCTTCAGGGATTTGGCGGTCATTCGTTAAGTTGACCGACGGGTCAAGAGAGTTGCCTTTACCCCAGAAACCCTCCCCTGTGTATCCCTTACGTTTCAGTTCCTCAAGTTCGGCGACATACCTGAGTCTGACTGCATGGAATCGACGGGAGTGGTTCTGTTGTTTTCCACCGCATGAGTTCACGCGCATTTCATAACCACTTTAAGTTTGTGTGTACATACCATCTCCGTGCTGTTTTAAAGATAAAGATATCACTTAGAACTAATGCTCCTATCATCTTAGGGCAATTTCTGGGGACTTACTTGTGGGCAAGTTCGTGTAACATTACAGACTGTATCATGCTGATTGGTAACCACGAACCATTGCGGTTTTTGAGGACCAACTGTATAACTTCCCCAGCGTTGAAGTTACGACCCCAAAATTCTTTATTCGGTGGGAATTCTTCGAGCCTGCGTACATTAATGTTAGCAGGGACAGACTTAAAATGGTATGCACATAAACGAGGTCTGTGTACATACTTCATCACAATGATGTTGTGCTTCTTCATTATCTAGTTCTCAATATTAGCGACGAATGCTAAACTCGAACAATTAACTTCTCATCAAGGAAACCTACCGGATATACTATCGCAGCCACCCGTTCAAGTATATTCATCGCAATCTATGAATTCGTATTATTTATTTTTGTTAGCTCTTCAATCGCCGATGCCATGGACACGCCGTTCATATTGGCTGTTTCGTTTGTCAGCACTAGCTTGGAAGGCAACACTTTAGTTTGCCAGCCATATTTCTCACCTCATGGTCGGGCCCCTTCAGCGGTTCGATGAAGTTAATGTTCTTGTTCGGGCGTTGGACCCGTTCGTTCAAACCTGTTCGCGATGTGAGCCAAAGCATTGAAATGTGTAGATCTGCAGGTTAGATCTTATGCAGCATCGTGGTGTTGATCTGGGCTTGCAAAGACTTACGTTCAAATCCGAGTGGCATCTTGAATCAACTGCCGGAGTCTTGCCCACGATAGAGTCAAGATCAAAAGATCTGATGAAGTTCCCGTTGGTACAGTGGAGTACTAGTTGAAAGTGTTTGGTAAGTCTCATCTTCTGGTGCGCGTGCACGTGGGCAAGTTAAGTTCGACACGAGATCACGTGCACGGCATGTATCAATTAATTACTCAACTAGATTAGGCAGCAGTCGAGAGTGCAGTGCAGCTAGTCGGCATAATGCGGGTCAACAGCAATTATAATAAGCTCGAGCTCCAGCAGCTTGTAGATATACGCCAATTAAATTAATAAACATCGAAAAGGCTTATTCTCCCCCAATCTTAATTATAACCTCTGAAGTTGATATTATAGATTCTTGGCTAGGCCAGACTAGGTCCTGAGGCATCGAAACCGACTGCAGCCGAAGCTATTAGCTATATTAGACAAACAGCTCCGGTTGTGCGAATTGCAGAAGCAAGATGCCGAACCCTTTCTCTGTCAGTGAAGCCCAATTCTCGGATTTACTTACACAAATCCATGATATTATAACAAAATACTACATTTCAAACCCACCAAAAGAAATACGTCCGTCGAAAGACGTTCTTCAAACGACAATCCAAGCAGAACCACCAACGGCCCTTCAGAAAGAGCCACTGGGAACCTATGCAACCATTCAGAACCTTCTCAACGACCTCCTCCCAGGAATTTTCGTCCAATCTTCTCCACATTTCTATGGGTTCGTTACAGGCGGTGCGCTCCCTCCAGCGCTGCTGGCAGACTTTTTGGTTACAATGTTAGATTTGGACGTAATGGTTCACCTCCCTAAAGACAGCATCCATACAACTATAGAGCGGCATACAATTTACCTCTTGTGCGATTTGTTCCAGCTCCCAAGGTCCTTTGCTCCGGGTAGTACCATCACCACAGGCGCTACGGGGAGTAACATTGTAGGGCTTGCTTGTGGTCGTGAGTGGTTATTCTCAAGAGATGACCCCAGCTACAGTATTGCAAAGATTGGCTATTTGCAAGCCGCTATAAAATCTGGAGTTCACAATGGCATTAAAATCATTGTATCAAAGCCGCATTCTTCAATTGCCAAAGCAGCGTCAATATTAGGATTAGGATCGGAAAATCTGATAAATCTTCCTGCCTCGGAAGCAGAGCCTTGGAATATGGACTTTGAGCGCCTTGAGAGTCTTCTGGCGAAACAGCAGGAGGACAAGGTAAGGTATATTGTAGTTGGGCAGCTTGGAGAAGTCAACACTGGTCGTTTTATGAGTAACGTGCCACGTCTCCGAGAGTTGTGTACGAAATATGGAGCTTGGCTCCACGTCGATGCAGCATTTGGATTACCAGTTCGTTGTGTTAATGTATATGATGAAGGAACGGAGGGACTGGCAGACTGGAATAGAATTTATAACTGGTGCTCTGGCGTCGAGCTTGCGGATAGTATAACATCGGACGGCCACAAACTGGTCAACGTGTAAGTTGCCATCTATCCCCTTGGCCTCCTGACCAACGAAGTATCTAACCTTTCTAAAAGACCATACGACGCTGGGTTATTCTTCTCGCGACATCCGGATGTGCTGCAGCGAGTTTTCGAGAACCCAGGAGCTGCATATCTTGCCACGTCAGGAGTAGATATTGTTGCGCCTTGTGTGAGTGCGGCTCTGGGTTATTTTAACCTTTGACTTTGCAGACTAATGCATAAACCATAGAACGTCAATATCGAGAACTCGCGGCGCTTCCGAGCTCTTCCAATATACGCGGCCTTGAAGGCACTCGGCAAATCCGGATACAGCGCTTTAATCCGAAGGCTGATCTTGCATGCTAGAATGATCGCAAGGATTATAAAAGATGAACTTTATCAATATTATGAGCTGATATTCCCAAATATCGATGACCTGTTTATGGTGGTGTTATTTAGGGCTAAAGACGACACTTTGAACGAGGTTTTGGCAGAGCAGATAAATGCTACTGGGAAGATATGGGTCAGTGGTACCTCATGGGGAGGTTCCAAAGCTGTGAGAATTGCTGCGGCGAATTGGAGAGTGAACCTTGAGGAAGATGGATTCGGGGGAGTAGCCATTGTTCGGGATGTACTGAAAAAAGTTGCTAGTTTCAATAGTAGCTAGATATTCTTCTGGTACCAAGTTTTTTCAACGGCCTGCATCAATTTTGCCTCCAAAGTCGATAAGGCGGATCCTCATCGCATCCTTGGGATGCAAAGTAGCTACAAAGGATCTGACCAAGTAGCGAGATGCAGCCGACTCCCGAGTCAACTTCGTGTATGCATGGGGATCATCATTTAGCATCGTGTTGACCAATTTCTTCTCGCAATATTAGTATATGTAGCGTAAGCGGACATTGACTCCTGACATACCTCAATGAGCTCCAAGAGTTCCTCTCCTGCCTTCTCTTCAGGACTGATTGTGACGCCCTCATCGTCGCCCCATATTTCATCAAGCCGTTTTTGGCCCCTTTCCTTAGCCTTCACAGCCTTAGTTCTCCTCCCAGTTTTTCCTGCCTCTGCTTCTATATCTAGATAGTTCTTCAACTCAGAAACATTGATTTTACTCCCAATAACCGGCCCACCGGCTTCCTCTACCGCAATAGCAGCTCCAAGTTTCTCCTTCACAAACTTCTGAAGTTCTTTCGTAAGTCTAGCACTTGTTCGCCTCATCTCGTTGACTTCCTTTTCATAAGCTTCGATCTCTTTCTTTTCCCTCCTCTTAGAAGGTTCAGGTAAGCGATCGATTCCCTCAAGCTCATAAATCTTTCTATCCAGCTCCTTCTCAATCTCTTGGGCAGTAGCAACCCATCCTCGTTCCCGTCTAACCATTTTCTTCATCTCCTCAATTTTTCGCTCCGTATCCGTGACCCCTTTCCTATTCGCTTCGATAACCTTTAACACATTGCGCAAAGTGAGTAAAGTATTAGTCCCGCTATCGTCATCTGGTAGCCACGGTAATTCGTTGAAGTAGCTTTGGGATCCATCTTTCAAAGCGATTGTCTTTGCAAGGGTGATCTTTTCCCGGGTAGCTTCCTCTCGCTTGTGTAGTCTCTCAATTTGGGATTTGAGGCCTCGAATCGCGTCTTCCTGCTTCCGAATGAGTTGGTCTAAAGCTCTGGTGTCTTGCCGAACAGTTTTTCGATGTTGGTCTTCTGCGGAAGCAACAGTATCTTGGGCACTTTGGTCCGGTTTGGGGTAATTGTTTATGGATGAGGCATGGAGGTATGACGTATAAGTCAGAGTCTGGAGCCGGGCGACTACAGCTCGAGATACCGGAAATTCGTAATCCATAATATAATGACAGGTTACGTAGGTTTCAATGGGAATCCGAACTAGTCACAGTCGCGCGGTTGCAATTGCAAGTTGAGTTCCACGAACGCGACTTTCAATTATATGGTTGGTAGACGTGTTGGATATTTTGCGTGCAACACATTGGGGTTTACTAAGCTACGAGTTGTGAATTCTTAATAATTAACAAGATTTCTTATATTATAAATTGCTAATATCTTTAACAAGAATTCCGTATTAAAACTAATAGATCTGTGGTACAGTTGGTTGAGCTAAGAATCTAATTATCTATGCCTGATCTCGAATGGGTGAATTTAAACGGTATATTAGCTTACATAATAGCATACGATACTGCGTCCTAGTACATGATCACAATATCGAGTGATCACGATAGATACATAAAACATTTAAAATTTGCATAGGGATTTTGATGTTCAAAATGTGTCCACGAGAGAGATATCAATGGAAGCCCTATATTAATGCATTTTATCTTTGGTAAAGCAAGACAGGCCTCATTTTATCTCAACAAAAAGAATTTGAAGCACCGGAATCCAAGTTGGAATTAATAATATAAACAGCTGGAATTTCGTTGCTTCGTATCGAACACGATCCTGGTCTTGGATATGTCTATAGAGATATTTACAAATTTATAACATATTCATATGAATGGTCTCTATGGGTTGGGTAATAGCAGCAGTCTAGTCTAGGGCCGGCCGGACAGCGTCGCATGTATACATAGTTTCATCGTTTCCTCCAGAAACTAGTAATATCCGAGATCCTCTGGATCCTCGGGTTGAGTCGGGGCCTTTGGCGTCGAGGGAGGTCGCTGCCCTTTGGTATAGCTATAGCTAGGACGTGGACGCCCACCCGTTGGGCGCGGGGGTCTTTGGTAGACCGTTTTGATGGAAACTACAGTAGATGGGTCTGGCTTAACTGGGCCTGGCTTAACTGGGTCTGGCTTAACTGGTTCCGGAGTTGGAGTTGGTTCCGGATCCGACTTGGTTAGTTCTAGAGTTAGAGTTGGAATTGGAGTTGAAGTTGAAGTTTCTTCTTTTGGAAGAATCTGTTGGAAAGGGACACAACCACCGAAGGGGCCATTTACCTATATCAACATGTTAGCACACGATATTTATAATGTTTCGGACATATATATCTTAGAACTGAATAATCAGGTGTGGGGTTGGGGGTTTATCTTACAGCCTGGTTCTCGCAGCGGATCATGCAAATATTCTTTCTGTCTCCATAAGTACCACTACATTTCAGGTCTTTTGGTAGCGGTAGTTCGAGCCACAGATTACCTGTGCGAGCTGTGTGGTGGGAGATGGAATGTCCATCTCCCGGAGTGTTCTTGGTAAGAGGAATCCAATCACCAAAGTTGGTTGACAGGCCCGATTGATCGAGCTTGCATTTGAATGGGCCTCCTCCGTCTTCATTCACTTGGTGAATACGCATTCTGATCCACCCGCCTGCTGATGCCTCTGGGATCAAATTTTCTTTTATTAGTGTACCCATTTCTTCTGGAACATTAAGTTTGTAGCCGCGCTGGGTATGGAGAAAATTCTGAACTCGATGGTCTCCCCATCCCAAATCGGCAAGGTGACGATGAGGCTGCATGTCTTTCCGCCACATTTCGAAGAGCGTAAGACCGCAGCCCTGCTCTGAATATACACGATGCCTGCCGCAGCATGGGATCGGCGGATCCTTGAATATAACCGAATCTAACTGGAAGGGGTGCTGCCAGTGGCCATGACGGCCGTTCTTGTGAACTTCATGGCGGAATCCTAGACCCCGGCCGTCTTGTTTTTCGTTGGAATTCCCGTGCGCTTGGATAATCAGGGCGTGTCCATAACTGAACTAGCACAGCCCAAAAACGCGAGGGCCACTGTGCTGATGACGGAATGCATTTCGTGAACCACTTTTCTGAGAAGCACGTGATCCGAGAAGGGTCTTTATAGATCCAGAGTAGATGTACAAAAGAAGGATGAAAAGAGTATAAGAGAATGTGGAGTAAAGAATGAATGAGAAAAGAGAGCGTGGAGTGAAAGAACGACGGCGTGCGGAACAATACTGCTGAAGTAGCTAGTAATTGATTTTCCTGCTGAAGCTGGCGACTGATACGTAGGAGACAGCGATCTGAGTGGTCTTTTATAATAACCGTCTTCGAAGCTTTTCTTTGCTTTTGCCCCTTCCGGTACATACGATCCTCATTTGTATGACACCTATCTGTATTCTCATACCCCCTTCGAGCTCCCTCCCATCTCTCTCTTTTCTTCTTTCTGCCTCTTGCTCTGTCTCTCTGTGATGCTATATATCACATTTTGTTGTAAATTCTACAAAGCATCATGCATCTTCGGCAATTATGTTGGCAGAAACCTTGGACCTCCTCGTGATTCCTTAATTCATGCATGGCCATCCTTCCCAAGAAACCCCAATGCGTTCCTTCTTATTGATTAAACTCGGATGCGCATACCGCGCAGCCGAATAAAAGCGCGACAGACATCTCAATGCGACTTTCCGTTGTTTATTCTGGAGATAAGCCCCACACCCCCTATAGCTCTAGCGCATATAATATCGTTTACAAGTGCCTCAGTTTATTCCGTTTTCCGAGTTGCGGAGCAAACCGAGATTTTTTATTTTCAGAGGACATGACATATGACATCGTACTAGCTACTAGTATACTGGGAAAAAGCATAGAAAGAACATATACGCTTTTTTTTTGAGCGGCACAGGTTAAAGAATACGTAGTCTCGTATGCAAATGTTGCAATTGCAAGAAATTTTCTTCGCCTAACTAGCGGTTCGCTCGAGCTCTGTGCAGATCCGATATCTATAATCTGTTAGGATGCATATGGCGATGTCAACTTATCTGTTCCTTGGTATTGCTTGGCATCGATCGTGGCTTGACAGGTAGATTTATACGTAGATAGCTTGAGCCAACAGCCGGCCAAGCTAAGATACTTACTTAGGTAACCATCATCAACATCATCACATTTCTTCTCTATCATGCATGCAATGCAATAATACACAATCTACATCGCGAGCACGGTCAGCAGCATAAAAGTTTAACTTTAAAATACGACCCGCTGCGCATGTCGATCTGGCAGAAAGCTTATACGCGCCTGGTGTTAACTATTATCAGGGATTCTGGTAACCAAGTACCCAAAGTACCCACTTAAACACTCGCGTGGCCATTAAAGTTCAGATAGTATTATAATTATACTATTGAAGTTTTAGATCTCCGTGCAAATCACAACCGTCAATTATAGCCTCTTGGTATTCGGCTTACCACTGTTAACATGTTCGGGTTCACACATCCGACACAAATTACCTAAAGTGAACACGAATGACGTTTACAATCGATGGGATCGGAAAGGCTTACCTAAAAGGAAAAATAAGTTAGCAGTCCGCTAATATGTCTATTTTTTTGTAGAAGTGTTTGTTCAAATTCCGATAGATGCGCCATCGCCCTGACTAAGGATAGTCCCTCGCTATATTAAAATATATATTTGCATAATATAATATAAATGCCGTCCGCCGACATGCACATGTTTAGTCTTAAGGAGCTATATTATATTACCATCACAAAGAGGGCGTGTATTTAAACCATACAAGACGAGATGTTGCCTCACAGTTGCAGGAACAGCCGCATCCTATATCCTTATACGTCACCGCGGCCCGCGGGGCTTCCCACGAGGTGGCCTTTTGAGGACGGTATATACGGAGGCCTAAAAGGTAAGCGAGCCCTCAATTAAGTCCCCCCTAATTTGCATATTAAATCTATTTATATTGGAATTACTACTCAGCACATGCACAAGAAACTTGAATCTGGTCACGAGGCTGGCTGTATTCTCACAACGCGCATGTACATGTACCTGTACACCAACAAACCCGTAAATCGCCATTCAAATCATGTTAATGATACAAGCAGAGATCCAAAAGGGCTGAGAAGGATCACCAATGTCCCAAAGAGTGGGGTAAGGGTCAGGAACGTTAACATGTACATGTATTCTATCCTATCATGCGATAGAAATGATTCCTTCTCAGATCCGGTTATACGTGTACAGCCTCGCGCGCGCTCATGCAAAACTATCGATCTCTGCCAACGATAAAAGCGATACAGATAGATACCCGAGTTTTTAAAATCACTAGATTACTTAGAGTAGACTAAGCAGAACTACATTCGCGCGGCTAATCTATACGGGACGAAATTTGCTGAGCAAAGGAATCTCGACACAATGGACGGATCGGCTTTCGGTACAATCAATAACACCAATGGGGTATTCGCTGTTCAGGCAGGAACCCTGAAAAACACAGGGTAGGACAGTCTAGCTTAGTTTTAGCTTGCGGCTATAGCTTCTAGTTGGTACGAAGAATGCTAACTTAACTGTCGATAGAGTTATGAATATAAACACCAATATGGAAACTGGTATTTAAACCATTTCAATTGACGTCAAGCGCAAGCGCACATCTTAAATCCCCGACTAAAGCTGATTGCGCATGAATATATGAGCTTCAAGATCATAAGAAAATTAGATTTCTTCGCGCGTTACATAAATCGGTAGAAAAAAACCGAAAAGATCGAAACCCAGATCGAGTCCCAGGAACTTGTGAGTGGTTTACGAACCACGAGAAATTCCGAGACTGGGAGAAGAGTCCAACGTCCAGAATGCTCTGGGTGTCAGCTGACCCCGGAAGCGGCAAATCGGTACTCGCAAAATATCTAGTCGACCTATTTCCAACAACGGAAGCAAGAACGACTTGCTATTTCTTTTTCAAAGATGATTTCGAAGGCCAAGGGAGCGCCATCACCGCTTTATGCTGCATTTTATTCCAATTGTTTGATGCCAAACCTGCGCTGCTCTCCAAATATATTGTTGATCGTTTTGAAATTGCGGACGATGGTTTCACAGGCTCTTTTGAGGAACTTTGGAACGCCTTCAAGATGGTGGTAAAAAACGACACTGGCGAAATTGTTTGCATTATCGACGCACTCGATGAGTGCAAACATGGCGAGCGATTTCAGCTTATAGAGAAACTGAGGCAGCTTTACAATAACAAAGGCGCATCTAAGTTCAATCTTAAACTCCTGATAACGAGTCGTCCCATCCGTGAAATCCGCCTTGGTTTTCATCATACGGAAATCTCAGCAGCCTCTCTCATTCACTTAAACGGAGAAAGCGAAGCCGAAATTAAAAAAATATCTAAAGAAATCGGGATTTTTATCGAAACTAAAGTTCAAAATATAGGAGAGAAGTTTGGCTTGACGACAAAGGAGAGGGACTTATTATTGAAAAAACTTACAAGCGTTCCAAATAGAACATACTTGTGGGTTTATCTCACGCTAAACTTGATAGAGAACGACGCTAGTACCCATATTACTATTGACACCCGCGAAAATAGAATGCTCGAGATTGCCTCTCGCCTTCCAAAGACAGTTGATGAAGCTTACGAGAGGATCCTATCCCAAAGTTATGATCAAGTGCAAGCAAAGCTGATCTTGCAAATTTTGGTCGCTGCGGCACGGCCGTTACGCCTACGAGAGATGTGGTTGGCGATGCAGTTAGCTGTCGATAGCACCTGCACATCTTACCGTGATCTCAAAATGCAAGACCGAGAACTTATGGCGGATCCAAAAGATTTGAAGGAACTAGAGGACCGAATTCAGAATGACATCCGGGATCTCTGCGGGCTCTTCGTTGTTGTCATTGAATCCGCCGTTTATTTGATCCATCAAACTGCGAAAGAATTCCTGGTTACCCAAAAGATGAGACGTTCCCGGAGCTCTACTAATAATCTTCAATGGAAAGGTTCTCTTCTGCTATGGGAATCACATCGCATATTGTTCTCTATTTGCATGCAACATCTTTTTTTCGAGGAGCTTCAGAATGAGGCATGCGTACCTGAAAATAGCGGTAACGTCGTCGAGAAAAAAAATAAACTCGCTTCCGAATATGTTCAAAAGTATAACTTTCTCAGCTACTCCGCTAATAACTGGGTGTCCCATCTCAAGGACGCTCAAATGAATCTCGATAAGGCAACAGTAGATCGGATCAGTAAGTTATGCGATGTAACCTCAAATCGATGTCAGCTTTGGTTACACGTTTACTGGGGAACCCCAAATGATTCAGTACCACCTGTTGCCTTCGACAAACTCATGCTAGCCTCTTATTTTGGAATTCGCGAGGTAGTCAAAACCCTACTTAAGGAGTGGGCTTACGATTACGAGATAAATAAAAGGGATTTGACAAATGGCCGATCAGCGTTATCATGAGCAGCCGGAAATGGGTTTGATGATGTCGTCGCAGAATTTGTGAAGCCTCGCAATTGGAAGGGGATCCCCTTATCTTTCAAAAAACAGCACGCTAACGTGGACTCACTGGATCATCATAAACGAACGCCGTTGATTCATGCAGTCTGGAATCAGCACATTCCTGTTATAAAGCTGTTACTTAAGACAGGAGCAAGCATCAAACAGACGGATGATATTGGCGGAACCGCACTTTCGTACGCTATATGTACTGGCCGTGAAGATATTATCGAGTTGTTTTTAAAGAAAGGTAAAACTTTCGACGAGCGGAGTTCGATAACTAAGCGATTGTTTTTTTCTGCAGCAGAAAACGGCCGTGACGAAATTGTTAAGATGCTGCTGCTGGGGGAGGGCGAAATCAGCCTCGACGAGCGGGACGAGGGTTACCGGACACCACTAATGGCGGGGGCAAAAGGAGGGCACGACGAGGTGGTCAAGATTTTACTTGATGGTGATGCAGATATCGAAGCAGTTGATAAAGATGGCTGGAGGCCAATAATGTATGCTGCATGGCAAGGGCGCATAAATACGGTCAAAATTCTACTGAAAAGTGGAGCCAACGTAGAGGCGAAGGATAGAAATGGTCAGACAGCGATAATGCATAGCGCGCTGGGGGGGCACATGGCAGTAGTTGAACTACTACTAGACGGAGAAAACATGGAGGCAGTAGACTCCAAGGGACGCACGCCACTGATATTTGCTGCGCAGGGAGGTGATTTAAATACGGTCGAGCTACTCTTAAGTCGGGGAGCGAGTATAGAAGTAACCGACGATGCCGGCTACACGCCAGTAGCCCACGCCGCGGAGAACAAGCATGGAAGTGTACTTCAACTATTGGTGGGACATGGCGCGGACCTTACCCTAACTCTTCGCAATCACTTAAGCCAAGTCATATCGATTGCAGCAATGGGGAATTACACGGCTCTCGATTCAATATTAGAGAAAGGCGTCGATTTAGACCAAAGAGATAAATATGGCTCGACGGCACTACTTTACGCCTTAATGGGGGGTCACAAAAGGCTCTTTCAGAGTTTGTTATTGAAGGGAGCGAATATCGAAGTAGTTGGACCCGATGGAGGTACTCCACTACATTATGTTGCAAGAGGGTATGGAGACAGCTCAATTTTCTCGCTACTGTTGCAGGGAGGTGCAAATGTAGACGCGGTTGATAGTAGTGGTTGGACGCCACTCTTCTTGGTCGTCGATAGGCTTGGGTGGGGTTCAGATAGGAGCATGGTCGAAGCTCTCTTAAACAATGGTGCAAATGCAAAGGCGAGGCTTATACGGGGGAAGTTACACTCATTAATGTACGCAGCTATAGATCGAGGAGCATTGTGGTTGATAAGCCTACTGCTAGATAAAGGTGCGGATATAGAGGAGAAGGGAGCACTAGGCCTGACACCATTGCTGTACGCCCTGCGAGGAAAAAGACCAAACTTTGCCGAGATTGTTCAGCTGCTGCTTGATAGAGGCGCGAAACGAGAGGTATGATTATACTCATACATTTTATAAATATGGGGGTTTGCACCCGGCTGTACTCGAGAATCTAGAATCAATAAGGTAATCAATTGTTGAATAGCCCTGTAAGAAACGGAATAGGGTCCTGATATTCATCGAGCTAGTCAACAACGATGAATACCCTAGAATAAGCAGTAATGACAGTATCGAGAGTATTAATGATGGGCAGTGGGCGAATTGCTTCACAAGGTATCTAAGCTTTATTTCTAGACCAATAGACTTTTTGAGTCTGCATGTGTATGTAGCTGATCAAGGGTAAGAATGTAGCAACCTGTAGTCAGTTTTTCTTTTTGAGATAAACAGCTTCAAACTCCAGTGAACTAAGCGGTAAAGCATACAGAAGCCTTTAATTAAGTCTATACCTCATCAAACAAGTCAGCCAAAATGGCTTCCTCTATAGCTTCCTCGTCCACCTTCCCCATTCCATAGGTATTCTCGAAATTCCAAATGCTCAAATATCTCAAAAACCGGGTGACGACCTTCTTAACCTCTCCATTACTACCACCGTTTGGTTGTATCAGGGCCAGATCCCTTTCCTTGATCATCAACCGTCTCGAAGTATTAGCTTCACCAGCCATAGTATCAACGCTATCGCTCCTCTTAGCCCTTGTTTTGCTTTCAGTGAGCTCCCTACTGACATAGTCAGCCAAGGCGATCGATGGAACGTCGACGGTATAGTCTGGTTTGTAAACTGCCTCGACGGTATCCGTAATAAACAACCATTCGTTTAGTTGCCACTCGTCCGGCTGGACAACTAGAAGCGTATCAAGAAGTTTGCATCCCTCTAGTAGACTACCATCTGTATATGTCTCCTGGGCCCCTTCCTTTGGCATCCCGGTACTACTCAAAGACATCAGCAGACTTTGCAATTCCGAAACAATGATCGGCCAGAAGCTAGTAAGATGAATACTATCTGTCCTTAATACTAAGGCCCGTAGAAAGAGGTACACCTCGCAACGAGTTGCTGCGCTAGGGCTGGTGATTGCATTTGCGCTTAAAACCTCCAAAATTTTCCCTTCAAATTCTTGCAAATATATTGCAAAGTAATCCTTTTCTCCAGCTAGAAGCAGCATGGCCATACGTCTCAGGACCAGTCCTATCCTCTTATCGGCTTCTGCCCGAGCGCTTGAAGCCCCAACGCCAAAGACACCAGCAGTTGCTGGAGGTGTGATTTTTGCAAATAAATCGAGCATCCGTTCTTTGTCGCTGATGACCCATTGTTTTATTAGTGGTTTCCAGTAATTCCTTACACTAGAGACACTAGCCGTAAAGAATCTGTTATCATTGAAGGCGTCTGAAACTTCTTTTCTCCACAATTTCTGTGTACTTGGGATTTTGGTGATGTGATATATTGTCTCAAGCAGAGGTTTGGGAAGGGCGGTCGGGAAAGCTTTTGATCGAAGAGCTGGGGCAACATAGGAAGTAATGATCGTTGTTACCGCTCCAAAGGTTCGATCTTGCTCTACCAAGATTTTTCGGAGCTTCGGAACCATGTTATTGAGGATCACAGTTATGTCGTCAGCAGCTGGCTCGACTTCTGAAGGCCGTCTATCCCCTGAAATCGTTATATCAGGCAAAATCCCACCAGCTGGTCTAAGGTTAAACACCGTTCCCAGGATCCGTATGAAAACATCCTATACCAGTCAGTACATTCTATAGCATAAAGAGGGTTCCGAATGCCGAACTCACCCCAAGGTCCTTTCGCATCTTTTTCTGCTCTCCGAATATTGTGTTATCCACTTTCTCACCAACGATTGCTGTGAAATGGAGAAGCAATGGTATTGTCTGACGATGCGGGAATGGGTTCTTCAGGACATCAGATAAGAAAAGTAAGCAATCCGACCAAATTTCTTCCATCGCATCGTCTTCCAAAGACTTGACATAGTCAACCAGAAACGCCGCAACGTCAAGGTCCGTTAGTTCTGATGTTAAAGATGATCGACGATTTTGTTCAAGTACTGCAGCATTTGTCCGGCTAAATATACTATTGAAGATTGCTCCAATTGTATGTTTCGGTCTTGAGGCATCCAGAACATTGATTAGCTTGAAAATGGAGATGTTCCCTAAGGGACTAGACTTCCACATTTCCATGAATGTTTCTAAGCATTCGAGTGTCTCGACTTGGTACAGGTGTTCTAGTATCCGTCTCGCCCTGGCCCTCATTCTGGATGATGTGTATGCATAAGAAGCAGAACAACTGTCCACGCTTGTGAACCCGGCACTAGGGTCTCCCCAAGACCAGATAGAATAACAGATACGAACGGTATCTTGGAAACAAAGGAGGACAGTAAGTCGGTTATTGGCTTTTGCGCTTTTTACAACAGGGGCCTCGCCAGCGAATACTCCCGATACCATGTTGCCGAAAAATCCAGCTGTCTCGTGTGGGGTCTTGGGTATTGCGGATCGTACTTCCGCCACCATGATTTGATCATGCGCTGCGGCTATAAGGTGCTCTAGTCCATTTAACATGGCCACTAAAGTCGCTTCTGGAGTATTGATAGCGGAATCCGAATCACGGAACTGTTGTTTTAGAATCTCGAAGGTTTGTCGAACTTGCTTGCAGATGCACTCCACTAGGGGTAGTAGGACCTGGAAGATAACCGGGGAAAGTAGCGGCAAACACTCCGTAAGAAAATTAATCCAACTATCAAGAACTGGCCTGGTTGTGGCAGATGATAGCCCATCGATTAGAACCTGGATAAGGTCATGAGGGGGCGTTGGCTGCGCCATTGCCGCTTCCTTTTCCATCTCTGCTGCACTTGATATCCGCAAACTACCTTTCCCATCTCGAGAGGGCGGCAGTTTTAATTGTGAAAGCAAAGAAAGTTGTGAATCCGCCCGCCGCAGGCTCAACTTTAATGATGCAAACAAAACATCAAGTATTGCGACCTGAACGAAAGTATCATCTTCTCTCAGGGCGCCCTGGAGCCGCTTCACTAACTTGATTTCGAACTCTAGGTCTGCTAGCGGTGTAGAATAAGGACTCAGAAGCAACTGGTGAAGAACAGATAGGGCAGATCGGTGTAGCCGGGTAACCGATCTAACCACAGACTTCTCAGATTCATCCGGCGCATACCTCGTTATCGCAAGGTATGATAACTCTGCGAGAACAGTTTGTAAAGTAATATTTTCCTCCGTAATTGCTAGAACCAATGATGTTAACAGTGGGCTAAAGGTTTTCTCAGTAACTCAACATACCATCATCAAGATATTCATGAAGCCACGCAAACGTAGTGAGATGGTCTTCACCCAAAGACTGGAGGACTGCTTCGGTCGAAAATCGTAAAACATTGTTTAATGTTTGGAAATAGTAGATGCAGGTTTCGATATCCGTGTCATCCGTGATACCCTGATCCTTTGCAGCAACTTTGACACCAGCTGGCGGAGGCAGGCCGAGGAATGGGAACTGAAGAATCTTGGAAAGAATGATATCGAATAGTCTAGTCGAAAGCTAGTCAGTTCTGTAGTCCTCGGGTACGGCCATATAGGATGCTTACCGTTCCGTGGACGAAAGGTTTTGTAACCATCCACGAGTGTGTACGTTCCGTTCCTCGTCATCCTCACCGAGAGCATCCAGCAGAAGAAACAACGGCCTCGAGAGTACCGTTTTGTAGTCGAAAAAACTATGGCTATGGTTCCACAGGACAGCAAAACGGCGTCCAGGGGCGGCTGAAGATTGAATGCCTGGCTCGACCATAAGACTACAAATGGCGGCCTCAATTCTTTGGTCTTTGAAGGACGCCTGTAAAGTCCAAATTCCACGCGCAGCTTCGACATGGTGCTTTGGTGTGTCTGGGGACAATTCAGCCCAAAAAGCTGTAACAAATGGGATGATAAGATGCTTCGTGGCAAACCCGTTGGCGTACCCCTTCTCCACTAATACCGCCAATAGATTAGCCGCACCAGCAATGCTCCAAAAACCAGCTTTGGTATTTTCTAGAATCACTCGGATACTATCAAGGAGGTTTTGAGGGTTAAAGGTCTCGTCAAATGAAACCTTTTTCAAGACCTTTACAAGAAATCTCGTGGCAGATGGGACATTTGGCTCGTTGTTTTGCAGAGATTCTGAAGTTAATTCAGCAAATTGGCGTAAGATGAGATGGCCCCCAAGCCTTGTCGAAAAAGGTGGAAACGCTGCTCTTTTTCTCGAATCCAAAGAAAAGAAATTCGTCACTTTATTAAGGATCGCTTCTGCATCTAGATCAACACTGAACTCATCCTTGATCATGATTGAAGTAAAAGCGCTCTCAGGGATTAAATCTATGAGGTCGCTTGCCACTCCCCAGATCAGTTGATTTCCTTTAGTCAGCGGGTTTTCGGTTTTCTTTGCTTCCGCAATGATGGCCAGCAGAACCAACGGCGCGTATATGATGACCATCTCCTCTTCACGTACGTTGAAAGTCTTGAGAACATATCTTGCAACAGTGAGCCTTTCAGCTGCAGCCTCATTTTGTAGCAAAGGGTAGTACTTTGACCCTAGAGAGGTAAGCAACATTTCTAGGAGTTCAGACCACACCAATCCAGGCTCAACGCCATCAAAAAATTGGGCGGCTGATCTCAAAACCTCATGATACTTTTCCGGTGATGGGGCAAGCTTTTCATAATGTTGCGCCGATTGCATCGCCGGGAAGAAAAGTTTCGGAACAACTGAGCCGCCGATTTCCCACCGGTCCATCAAAGAGAGCAATATTCTATACGGCCTTGCCACCTCTGCTGGATCAGATTTGTGTACCAAAATCCGTTCAGTGAGTCCTGCGCAGAGGCTTTTGAGACCGTATCGACCGAAGTACGAATTTGTGTCAGCGCCTGCATTAATGGGGGATGCTATAGCTTCCGGTTGCTCCGGTCCTAAAAGCCACACCCATAATCTTCTATTGAGGGACATATCCCTTCTGAGTACAACTCTGCAGGCCGAAACAAGGAGCTTCTCGAGATCTTTAGGTGTAACTAGCCTTCGGTTTCACGTCAGCATAGCTATAACTTATTGATAAAAAGCTTGGAAACATACTTTTGAAGAATGGGGGACGATAATGGCAGACATTGAACCAATACATCCAGAAATCCACGCTGTACAAGCAATTGGCTATCTAGAAGCCCGGTTGCGAAGCACCTGATGAGAAGGCCCGGTTCAGGCGTTACTAATGGTGATTGTAGAGCATCTTCATCGCCCAACTTCGGCAACTTCCTTGAAAGATAGGCTAGTGCGCCCTGCCTCCGTCCCGGAGACGACATTGATGCGAGAAGGAAACATTGCCAAAAGTATGCGTCTTCGTCGATGTTCGTTCGAATTGACTCTAGCAGGGCAAAAGTTCTATCGAAGAACTCACTTCCTTCCTCGTCGATTCCAGGAAGAATCGATAGAATAAGACTTCGAAGGGCTGGTCGTAAAGATTTCCCGAGGGGTAGGTAATATGTTTCGAATACCGTAAGCAAGTACGGCTTCACACTTATAGCAGCGTACGAGAGTAATGGAGCAAGTCCTGGCGTCCATGTTGCAAGGTCCCGAGCTAAGCCTTCTTGCTACTCCCGCAGTTCTTAGCCTTTGTCCACATTATTCCAAAATCTATCTTGTAACACATACTCCGATTATAGAGAAGACACTAGAATAAACTTCAAGTGACTTTTGGTGGACCCCAGAAGGCAGCCGTGAGTTGAGGCATTGTGCGAGACGCTTCGATACAATGGACTTCGAGGGTATGACGGCAATCCCATGGTTTGCTTGAATTGCCTAGTACAATGTCTATATATTAATCACTTTGTTTATCGAAAAGCACGTAGGAAGTCAACCTATTACTTTGTGGAGCCTTCCAAGGAATGAGATATAGTCGGCCCATTCCTGTAGGGTATTCTCGAAAAGTGCCAGCGCTCTTTCGACACCAGCAGCATATTTTTTGAACGATCTTGGATCCCTTTGAATGAGGCTATCTAATCTCCAATTAGCCAGTGCTTTATATATCTCCATTCAATTGAGGAATGCTGGCAAGTGGGGGGGCACCTCCATACCATCATATTCATTGGTCCACCTTGGCGCTGGCGACGACCGGCCAGAGCTCAATGGCGAATTATCCAATCGTCCCGGTTCCAGCGACATGCCTATCAGAAATCTAAAGCCTCCAAAGATTTGAATCCACTTCAGCGCCGGGTTTCCAGACAGTCATGGAGGGGCCGTGAGGTTGATATCGGTAGCTTCGTGGGGTTATAATGATGTTACGCGGTCAGTCAACTGGACACGAATCCGCAGCAGTTTGCGCAGCTCTAGATGAGACGAATGCCAAGACGTCGGCCTTGGGTGATATCATGCGCGCCAGCACTGGCCCAATCAGCTCCACTCTTCTCCTGACAGCAATATCCGTCGCGCGATCAGGCGCATTCCCACTACCCCACGGATATCACCCTACCGCCGCACACGGAACCTCGAAGTGGCGTCGCTCGGGGGTATACAAGTCTCCGGAATATGCGTTTGCGACTCCCAGGCCCTTCCCAAGCAAACAGAAGCTCGACCCTGCAACCATGATAAGGCGTAATGGATCTTTACTCCAAGACCATCAACTTGGTCGTTACACCTCTCAGGGATATCTCCGATACTGTAAACTCGACCATCTCGAACTCAGCTGAACGAACCTGGAATTTGGTCAAGAGGGACGGTGGGGACGGTGGTAAAAGCTCAGCCTCTACCGTAGAAGGAAGCTCGGGTGACACCGCAGACATGGCTGAGACTTCAGAAGCAGCAAAACCTTTGGCTACCAGTAATGAGGGTGGGACGGCAGGCGATACAGAGAGTAGTACGAGTGAAATTCCTGGTGATGAAACAGGTGCAGAAGCTATTACATCGGCGTCGAGAGGTATCAGTCTAACAGCCGAACCTGAGGCTGTCGACGAAGCAGACCAAGACGACACTCGGACGCCACGACCACAGTCGCCTTCAAACCCACCCGCAGCAGAGGCAGCGGCATCTAGTAGTGAACACATCCAAATTACCGAGGATTATTTTGCACGACCCCCTCACCTAGACCTTTCCGGAGCTAGTACTCTCAGGGGAGCGGATAACGGAATGCTTGGGCCGGGATCCTGTCCTGTCACTCCATCGCTCGAACGTTTACAAAGCAAACCGACAACAGCTTTGTCATTATCACAAGTTCATGCAAACAATGGGATCACCTCGTCAGGCGTCAGCGTTATCCTTCCATACACCGAATCAAGCAGTATACGTAGTCTAGTTCCTACGATCGACTCAGGTGACAATGACGTCGCCGGCATGCTTGGCGAGATTCTTAACGAAGATAACGTTGCATTCACATCTGGCTACAACCAAGGATGGGCTTTATCACAACAAGTGGAGGAGGAGGAGGAGCTCGTGGAAGACTCGGACGAAGATTGGGACGAAAGTGATAACGAGGAGGAATTAACCGAAGACGAGCGAATTGAAAAATGGAGATCACGAAAGAAGCACTTCTTTATCCTGTCATCAGCTGGCAAACCCGTGTACAGCCGCTACGGGGACGAAGCTGTAGTTTCGCAATTTATGGGTGTGATTCAAACAATCATATCCTTCTTCCAAGAGGGAAGCGACCCGCTAAAGTCATTTTCGGCCGGCAAACATAGATTTACAATATTACAAGAAGGGCATTTATACCTAGTTGGTGTATCGTCATTAGGAGAAACAGATATTCAGCTCCGAACTCAATTGGATATGCTGTATACGCAGGTGCTTTCAACATTGACATTGACTACTGTCGCAAAAGTCTTTGGCGAACGAGAGAATTTCGATTTACGGCGGTTGTTAGGCGGCACGGAGGTCTTTTTGGACGGACTTTCGGACGCCATGGTTAGAGGAGAACCAAACATCTTATTGGGCTCTCTCGAATGCGTTAAGATGCGGAAGCATATCCGGGAGAAAATCAACAGCGTACTTATGAAGTGCCGAACGAATAATTTACTTTACGGACTAATAATCGCCGATGGTCGTTTGGTCTCGGTCATCCGACCAAAAAGACACTCCCTTCACCCGCCAGATCTGCAGCTTTTTATATCTATGTTGTTCAGCGCCAGCACTTTCAAAGGCGGTGGCGAGCATTGGACACCGATATGCCTCCCCAAGTTTAATGCCAAGGGCTTCTTGCATGCCTATATTTGTTTTTTCCAACCAGAGATAGCGCTAGTGCTTATATCACCGACCCGAGAAGCCTTCTTCGACATGAAGGAGGTGAAAGACAACATCATAGAACAGTTGGACAGAGCAGGCAGTATCCCAATCATTGAGGGGGCAGTCAAGCGGGGCAGGTACTTGGCCTCTGACCTAATCGAGGGTACTGTTATCCAGCATTTTTTGTATAAATCGAAAGCGAACGTTCAGTTCACTATGCCCTCTTTTGATCCGCATTTCTCAAGCCCGCACGCTCGCAGAAGGTACGAAAAACGTCCCATTTTTAGCGGGCAAGTCTTTGAATGCTAACACCTAAACTAGGTTGATGATATTGTATCAGCGGCTTCATGCTGCAGTTCATGCACGTGGTGCGCATCTTAAAGTACATCACAGCATCAGAAGAAGATCGGTTTCTCTAGCATGGGTTACCCCTACATTCGAACTCTACTGCGTGGCTGGAGCAGGCACGCCCAGAAACGTTCTAGCAAAACATGCAAATATGATCGTCGGATGGGTCAAAAAAGAAGAGGAACGGCTTTTCATCGTTGGTGGTGCGGTATGTGTTTTTGATTACAAATGATCTTTCTGGTTTTTATTTCTGACTGTCATAAACTTCTTTTAGACGTTTTAATTGGCTATTAGCGGGTTTTCTTAGGGTTATATTTCCATAGAAAGTACTTCTTACCCAACGCTCTACCATCTTGTAGGACGATGGGCTTAATATGTACATAGACATCCTCTTCTTCAAGAATCAAACCGTAGTTTTCATCTCACATATCTCTATTGCGTGGAAACGGCTGAGGGGTACCGGGTATCAAAATCAATGGTATTCCCACATGCGCAGTCTTGCTAAGGAAGCCAGTTACGAACCACGCCTGTGCGGAAAGTACAATCGACAGATATATACTTGTATCGGCTATCGTTGCCCTATCAACAATAAGTTTTTCCTTCTATTTCTAGGGCTATTAGTCGGATTGATATTGTATTCTCTCTCGCATGGCGTATTGTCCAGAGGAAAAGCCAACCCTTTTAGAAGCTCGAGACGGACCCACGGCTTGAATAGCCTCACCTTAAAAATCTCACGATAAAGAAGTTTTACGCTAAATTTGTATATGCAGCCCCAAAAGTTTGCACGGTAGTGCTCATATCATTCGTAAAATTCATGACTTCGTTACATAGAAATGCTAAAAAAAGATTTGACCACAGGCGGCCGAAATGTGTGGATGAAGTATGAGAAAGCAGGGGGGAAAATTGACAATTCTTCAACAGACTCTAATCTTACGCCTCAAATTTCCTTGTATCTATCTTCATAGATACCTCAAAAAAGTATTCTACAATGCAGGTGAAAAACTTCACATCCTGTTAGGCTGCTTAGTTAGTCTTCTTGGCGCCCTTGCTGGTGGTGCAAGAGGTTGTTGTCTTCTTCTTCGAGCTGGTGCAGCTGGTGGTGGTGCTAGCGCCCTTTCCACCTGGCTTGGCTGGCTGTGTGCGACCACCGCAGACCTCGACGAAGTAGTGAACTTGCTTGCACTTTCTGCGGTACTTGTCACACTCGGTTTTGGTGACTCTCTTCTGGTAGCACTTGATGAGGGTGTTGGGCTTTGGATATCCTGGCTTTGGATATCCTGGCTTGGTGGGGGCTGGAGTAGGCTCCTCGCCTCCCTTGCCTCCTGGTTTCGAGGTCGCTGGGGTAGTAGTTGGTGGTGGGAGGGTAGCCGAAGATGGTTTGGGGCTAGGGGTGGTGGTGGTGGTGGACTTGGTGGTAGTGGTGGTGGTGGGCTTGGCGGTAGTGGTGGTGGTGGTGGGCTTGGCGGTAGTGGTGGTGGTGGAAGCAGGCTTTGGTGTCTTGCAGTGCTTCTCGAAGAGACCAGAGATGTGGGCGCCAGCCTTAGTGTTGGCCTTCTTGCAGTTATTCCATTGGGTGTCACAGGCAGCCTTCTTGGTCTTGTCCTTAGCAACACAGAGCTTCACTTGTTCAGTGCAACCATTTTGGCAGGCAAGCTCGAGTTGGGCGACAGAGCCGCATGTGTAGTCCTTCTGACAACCAGGTGAAACAGCATTGAGGTAGAAACCAGTACCCTTGACAATGACAGTTGGGGCTTTGACGCCGTTGACAGGATAGCCGTCCATCTCTGGTCTAGCGCAGAGGTCGTTCTCTTCACCTCCCTTGCCACCAGGTTTTGGATTGCTGTTATCCTCATCTTTATCACCATCTTTGTCGCCATCCTTGTCGCCGTCCTTATCGCCATCCTTAGTGGTGTCCTTGTCGCCATCTTTGTCACCATCTTTGCCGCCATTGTCACCATCCTTGGTGGTATCCTTGTCACCATCTTTGTCACCGTCCTTGTCACCATCCTTGGTGGTATCTTTATCGCCATCTTTGTCACCATCTTTGGTAGTATCTTTGTCGCCATCCTTGTCACCGTCTTTATCGCCATCCTTGGTAGTGTCCTTGTCGCCGTCCTTGCCGCCGTTATCGCCGTCCTTAGTGGTGTCCTTGTCCTTGTCACCATCCTTATCACCGTCTTTGGTGGTGTCTTTGTCACCGTCCTTGTCACCGTCCTTGTCACCGTCCTTGTCGCCGTCCTTGTCGCCGTCCTTAGTGGTGTCCTTGTCGCCGTCCTTGCCGCCGTTGTCGCCGTCCTTGGTGGTGTCCTTATCACCGTCCTTGTCACCGTCTTTGTCACCATCCTTGGTGGTGTCCTTGTCCTTGTCGCCGTCCTTGTCGCCGTCCTTGGTGGTGTCCTTGTCGCCGTCCTTATCG